AGACCTCAAAAAAACCCTTAAAAGTTTAAAACAATTTCTTTTTACTACTTATATAATAAATTAAAACGATAAACATTAAAAAACTTTAATAAAATTTAAGCGCTTAGAATAAGTTTTTAGAAATAAAATCGAGCTTAAATTACTTTTCATTAATATTAATTATGAAACTTTTACCGTCTTATTTATATAATTTAGAAACTCTGAAATCTTTGTTAAATATTTAATTATAATTATAAGCTTATATCTATTTAACTACTACATAATAATTCATTATTTTATTTTAAAACAAACTATTATTATACACGCTTTATATAAACACTTATTCACTAGCCGTGATTCTTTAATTATAACTATTCATAACACTGTAATTAATAAAACTATAAAATATATTACCGTAGCTGACAAGCGCGTTGGCATTACAAGCGAGTTGGCATTACAAGCGAGTTGGCACTCGTCATGAACTTTCCAACCAATACGATTCAAACCATCATATCTCCACCAACAACAATGGCACCGCGTTATAACAAATCAGACTTGCAGCTAGCTGTTCAAGCTAAACGACGTGACCCTCATATTCCTATATTTCAGCTTGTGAAACTCTTCAACGTCCCTTGTTACACTTTGAGCAATAGAGTCAAAGGAATGCCATCACGACGCGACAGCATGCCCAATACTTTGAAACTTATGGTTTCCGAAGAGAATGCCATTTGTTCCTTCATTCTCGACCTGGATGCGCGAGCATTTCTGCCCCGGTACAGTTATGTTGAAGATATAGCGAATCAATTATTGGCGGCGCGTGGGGCTGGACGCGTTGGAAAGAACTGGACGCGGAACTTCATCAAACGTACACCAGGCCTCCGGATACGTTTTCATCGGAAGATAGACTACCAGAGGGTCTTGAACGAGGATCCAGACGCGTATCGCGCATGGTTTCGCCAAGTTGCAGCAGCAGCCGCGAAACATGGTATCCAAGACGCGGATATTTATAACTTCGACGAGACTGGGTTTATGATGGGCATTATTGGGTCCGGCATGGTCGTTACAAGCGCCGAAAGACGTGGCAGGCCTAGACAAGCTCAGCAAGGCAACAGGGAATGGTCTACAGCAATCTCTGCTGTTAATGCTGATGGTTGGGTGGTCCCGCCGTTCATCATTCTACAGGGCAAAACCCACCTCGCGTCATGGTATCGCGACACGATATTACCACGCGATTGGAAGGTGGCCGTGTCCGACAATGGGTGGACCACGAATGAGATTGGTTTGGAATGGATTCAGCATTTCGATAAGTATACCAGACCGCGTATGACTGCTGGTAAACGCCTCCTCATCCTAGATGGTCACGAAAGCCACCATTCCCAGGTCTTTGAGGATTATTGTCAGAACAATGGCATTATCACCCTTTGTATGCCTGCCCACTCGTCACACAGGCTCCAGCCTCTAGATGTCGGCTGTTTTAGCCCGCTCAAACGAGCTTACGGTCGCATGATTGAGGATCTCATCCGGCGTCATATAACCCACGTTTCAAAGGAGGACTTCCTTGCAGCATTTTGTGAAGCACACAACGCTACTATGACGCCAGGAAACATTCGAGCAGGTTTCAGTGCCACTAGGCTTGTTCCTTTTGACCCAGAAAGTGTCATTTCAAAGCTGGATGCTGTCGCTGTCATACGAACACCGTCGCCAGACCCCAATCTGCCACCCACTACTTGGACTTCGAAGACGCTTACCACCATTAACGAAGCGGTAAACCAATCGGTTTATATCCAAAACCGAGTCAGAAACCACCAGGGAAGCTCACCTATATCAATAATTGATGCGTTGAGCTCGTTTTCGAAGGCTACATACGGTCTTATGCATAAGGTCGCTTTGGTTAATTCCCGGGTCCGCGAACTAGAAGAGGCCAATCACCTATTAAGTAAACGCCGGAAAACAAAAAACAAACGTCTAATGAAAAGAGGAGTACTTTCCGTTGAAGATGCAGTAGATCTTCAGGCTGCAAAGGATGGTACTGAGCTGGCAAAATAGGAAATGGGTGAAGGTAGTCGTCGTCCGAGGCGGGCGGCAGCGCATGGGCAACGGTGTGGCGTTTGCGGCAATACTGGCCATAATGCGCGAACTTGTACAATAGAGATAGAAACCTCTGAGGAAGAGGAATCTGATTGATTGAATTAAACTGAATGCGTTATGGTGAAGTTATTTGACATGGCAGTTAAAGAGTTCATGACGAGTGCCAACTCGCTTGTAATGTCAACTCGCTTGTCAGCTACGTTAATTAAATCAATATTAACGTATAATGTTTAACGCGAAACGGGTTAGTTTCCTTACTTTGTTCAAAACTATTAAGTATATAATATTAAAATAGTTTGTAAAGATATACTTAACGAGTATATATACAAGGAAATATAGGTGAAAAGGCGTAAAAATATATAAATTAAGTATTATTATAAATAAGTGCTTATTAAATCTTACTTACTAGGGTATATATTACTTGCTAAGTATAATTTATTAAGATAATATGCCAATAAAATCGATTTAAGATATTTACAACGAGTAAATCTTTTAAAATGACGTACTAGTCGCTAGATTTAATATTATATATATTAAACTTACTAGTCATTATAATGAAACTTGAAAAGAAATGTTATTATATAAAGCGTGTATATATAAGTGTATATCAATATATAGCTACGGGTTAAAGATATTAAACTAAAAGGGTTAAAGCAGTATATACTTATAGTATTATAGTGCCTTATTAACCTTTATATAATTTATTTAAATGCTATAGTAGGTCTTTTTTACTATTATTTCTTAGTAATACGTATTTTACTTTCGAAGTTAATTTAATATTTACATATTACGAAATAATAACGGTATCGAAATTATTAAAAGTTAGCAAGGAATTAATAATGAAAAATCGGCGAAATAGAATACCCGAATTAAAACGTTTAGAACAATAATATCGAGATTAAATCGAAAACAAAACGAACTTAAAGCAAGATTAAGAAGTTTCCGAATTAATATAAATTAAATTAGAAGGGAATAATATATTGAACTGTTATAATTCGGCTCTAAGTATTTATAAAAATGACTTTATAAATATACGTAAAGAAAAAAAAGATTTATAAAGCTAGCTAAGAGATAGGAACAGGTATATATAAGGGTTGACCCGTAGGGCTGTGGGGTTGACATCGAGTGCCGTGACATTCAAAGACGGGCTTTCCGATCTAAAACGAGCGCTTTACTTAAAAGTTGATACGACTGTGCCGTGATGTCGACAGACCAGATACTCGGGAGGACTGCGAACAGCTGCATGTAAGAGAGAATGTATCCGGCTACGCGGACAAACAGGAAGCTTCGGCTCCTATCCTAAGGTCTTACCGCGCATCGGCCGCGGCACCATCCCCCCAAGCAAGACATTACGAACGAAACGCTTCGACGCAGTGGTTATAGTGATAAGAACTTATGGGCAGAAAAGCTCTGAACACCCTACGGTATTCTAACCCCCGCGCCTAATGCTTGGTCAATAAGCCGCTTGCCGTCATCTCCATCCATTATTGCGATGGCTTTCGCTAGGTTGGGTTGGCCGTGATAGGACGAAGTAGGTCTTTTGATGTGTTCACGTCGGCTGCCGTGATATCTTATCAAATCACCCCCTAGACTATTGAAGGCCTCGCCTCGCTGCTCCGTTCACAAGATGCGCTTGTAGGTTCTTGGTGGCAGGGAAGGTGTCATAGTTCGACTGCTGGTGACTTCAAAAATGAATTGCTTGTTGTACGTGGAAAAGGAAGGAAATTATGAAGCTAGCTACCTAGGAGACATGATCTGGTACATATAGGGGTTGACCCCTGACATGTGGGGCTTTCTTCTAGTGCCGTAGACAGAATGGTTGCTTTGTAAGTAGGTAGGCTCTCCAACTCCAAGATGCAGGGACTGTCGCATCCAATAACTCTTCACGAGTGGTCTTCCCGTGAGTCTTCCTGCAGCTTATAAGTGGCTATCATGATAGCTCCTTTGAAGCCTGTCGTGGTTGGGAGACGGGGCTGTACCAGTAGCAGGTCATTAAGTCTCCGACTGGTTTCGTCATCTCAATGGCGCCGACAAATATGTTGCATTGCTGACAGACTGGCGATGGGATCGATGGCTTAAACCCGATGGAGGCTCGGGCTCATCTCGACTTGGCTCTCAAACTCTCTGCTATCCCCTGCGTCAAGGACCTGGATTTCTGACTTATGTAGCAATATGGTCAGTGAAATGCAAGATGTGCTCCTCTGGGTATTTAATAATAAGCTCCCTTCAGTGAGACCTTGAGTATATACAGTAATTCTACTCATGGCCGATCTCCGGGTACAATTAAGCATGGACGGAAGCGTGCGACTTCTTGAGGTTGGCATTGTTTGCCAGGCACAGCTGTATATCCCATGGGAGCAATTTTCAGGCCAGATGGACTGCCCATCCTTAACTGCCCACTACCCTACCCTCTGCACATTGTTGGAAAATATCAAGGTGCATAAACTACTGGATAGTGATAGTCAATCGAAGAGTAGGGCATCCATCGAGTCCCGTAAGGCTTATAAGGGCACAGGGACTTGCAGGCTTTTCAAGGGGTAGTGCAATGCCAGTGTTATGGCACATATCACTATGGATTCAGTCTAAAGAAGACTATAAGACACTCGCAGAAAGTTCGACCTGAAGTTGCATTACGGTTGCAAGACTAGATATGGACAGAGACATGGGAGCCCGAGCAAAAGCAAGCGCTGGTAGGAATTGAATCTACTCCCACACACACCTATGTTCATGTGTGTCGTCGAGTGTCCTTGTATCGGCGACCGTCAGTCCAATCAAGTATTCTACTATGCCAACAATGGGACGCAGAACTATGGAATCAAATTTTCCCCAGCAACATAACTGTCTCCCTCATTTGTTGCCCTCCCTTGGCAGTTGACCTATTGGGACTCGGACACCAAATCGTAGCTCTTCAGGACAGCATACCCTACTTCAGAATGTCTTCCCCACGACGCGAACTGAAGCCGGAGCGCGCCAAACAGAGGAGACGTACGCGAATCGGAATCCCGACTAGATCCGCAGACTTACCGCCATCAAGAGCCGACAATACGCTACGAAGAAAGCCCTAAAAATCGTCCATCAAGATGCAGGCTTCCAGAGCTGTGCCGCCGCCGGACGAACCACTGCAATGATCGAGCTTGACCGCAAGGTGCGCGAGCACTAGTATGTCAACCACCTCTCCATTTCCATATACGTAGCTAACACCACGTTAGTGCAAACTACATCAATGGGGTTGGCGTTCAGCCCGATCTCGATACAGTTGTCGCTGAGGCAGTTCGGGCTGCCCTGAACGTCATTCCGCCTACCAACCAGCAGGGCGAGGCCGAAGAGGAGCACAACGACAACGGCAACGACAACGACAACGACGAGAACCCGAGTTCAAGCACCCCCGCCGCCGGTACGGGCAACAGCACCGCCGTCGATATGGGAGCCGGTATCGTCCTCGCCGCCAGCACCAAGGACGCCGCCCAGACAGGTGACAACTTCGAGGAGTTTAGCACTCTGCTCAGAGGCTAAGCACGAGGATTTCTGGCTGTGCTCGGGAACCATTAAGGAAAGGGATCCTGGTGCCTCTCGGCCCCTGAAGGTTGGACGGGTTCTTGCGTTTGGGTGGCCTCTCAGGAAGTAGATTCCAGCTTGCTGATAGACAGTACGCAGGAGAATGAACGAAAACTGGCTGGGACAATGATGCTGCACTATTTACAATACCTAAGTGACAACGAAATGCGGCGTGGCTCATGTGTGATACCATCGGATCCGGTCATGTACGGTTCTAGTCTTGACCGCATTGTGACACGAAGGAACGTAGTACCCAGGGTACCAAGGTGACCAACATACTTGCGAAGGTTGACCGCAAAGCAGCTAGCTAGTAGATTTCCTCGACTGTGTCTAAGTATCATTTCGATATGCTCATTACCCCCGAGGGATATACCCACCCGTCTGGGTCCTAACGTGCCGGAAGAGGCTTGTCGATAAGAGGCGTCGGTGGCGCCATATGTTGGTGTGTGTGCTCCCAGCGCGGAATGACCTCCGTTCCGTCTCCAACGACCCCCGATGAGCAGTCCGAAGTTCATGCTCAGCATCAAGAAATTACTATTATGCTGTCAGACACGCATCGGTTTCCAGCAACGACCCGAAGACATCAAATCTTTAGCGAATGTCAACTGGTCTGCTAGTAACGACGATCCGGGGTCATACCATTGCGGGTGTCCCGATATAGCTGCCCTTACAACAAGGTATCTACCAACGTATAAGCTTTCGTACATGATATAGAGCTATTTACATGCTCTGATCGCCACCTTTTTCGGCGCCCTTGGTGGTGTGTGCCTCAGCCTACGGTATGTGTACTAGTAAGTGAACTTATGATTCCTAGAGGAGAGTCGGGGCACCCCAGAGCAGGATTGAGGCGGGATCATCAGCATACTCCTCATATTCTGGAAACCGATATAAGCGCTCAAAATCAGACCGCGAACCCCAACCGAGCACCCCAGCATTCGCAATGCAGATAGAAAACGCCACATGTCAGGGGTCACCCCTGGCACATGTCAGTCGACCTGCCAACAACCACCTCGAAAGAGTGCTTCGGTGCATGTCGATCAGACTTAATTGAGCCGGAATATGCAGCACCATCCGAGAACAGCAAAGCTGGAGAGACCTATGTAACCCCGCTCGAACACTTGCAGCAGGCATTTTGAAGATAGCTAGGAAGGCGAAGGCCACCAGATTGCAGACCCTGTGGCTGGCGTGGTCCCGTTGGTGTCGAGTAGGCATCGAGGTCCCCGTGGCAGACCATCGGCAGCCAGATCGCATATATCTCTGCTGTGCGACATGATAGATCGCCCATGGTTCCTGTCAGAAACCAGGTCGTTCCGCAAGTTCAGGTCACCGGGATGATCCGGGTCACAATGAGCCGCAGGTAGGGGCACGGGATGGTACGCTGCTGACTTCAATGTTGTATGCGGCCAATGCGACGTTGGTCGATACTCCTCTTTCGATGATGTTCTTTCCCACCCAATCCGCTTCTTCGGGGTGCACACCGGTCTTGTGGGTGAATATATACCTATACTATTGATCTGTCCATTGCAGGGTCCTTGTGCTGACATACGCCGTGAGACGCAAAGTAACCCCTAGCTGACCAGAAGCAAGATTGCTCTGAGGCTCTGAAATAGTCAACACCGAGTTGGATGCTTGATCAGACGCAAATAGCATATTCCTCTCATGCTTACGGCATTCTTCTAAATTGAGAGCCTGAAATATTCGATGGCGACCCCCGATGCCCCCCTCACGGCGGCATGGTGACTACTGAAGCTGGGTATCGGAGCAGAATGGGGCTGACGTCGACGGAGACCAAGATCAACACATTGAAGCATGAGACTCGCGATTATTATAGTTCAACCTAGAACTCAATAGCAGTAGGTCCCGCGATATTCGATTGAAGATCTTGGAAATTTGCTGAACTAGGTCTTGACAGACTACCTACCTACTCAGTCCGCGCAGCTCCTTGAGAGGCACAGCCGGAGATCCTTGAGAGGCACAGCCGGGGAACGGCTGCCTTCCTGAGGCCCTGTCAAGCACCTCGGACGCGCGGTAACCATGACCCCGTCCTATTTCTGTCAAGAAACGGAACGGAACCTCCCAAGAGTGTCTTTTGGAAGCTCAAGTCCCTTATAATCTCTTATCTGCGCATGTCCCGTGTCAGCATTTTCACAGCGACCTGCACCCCAAGGGCGATCGTTGATGTAACCACAATGGGGTACCCGGACGCCTCCCCCCTCATTTCTTGACATATGCTTGACAGTTACATTCGCTTTCCTTCTGCCCATCTAAACGTACGGTGTGGTGTCGATGCGGATTGCTAGCATAACAAGCCATCTGGTGTAGCGTCGCTGTGATCTGCGATTACCTGGCGCACCTCCACACACACGGTGATCATGGTTGCATTCCAGCAACGTCGTCCGATTGCTGAAGGTTGTGGGGGTCTAGTGATCATGGGCAGGCTGCGTCTTCTGGCGATCTAGAATAGAAGGTGGCCCCCTGAGCTGCAAGTGAGCATGACGCTACCAGCTATTATGATGGCTGTGCCCTTCAGAGCTCACCTCGCCTCTTTGCTCTGGATGAATAGTTATACCATAGCATACTACTTGCTTCGAACCGTCATAAATTCCGCCGCCGAAGCATTACCCTCCCGGATACTCTTGGGTTGCTGGCGGCTCGGGCAATCACCCAAGATGCCATGGGGAAATGACCAGCCGCCCTAGTAGGCCGTCATGCTGTGCCCGTCTGACACACAAAAAACACACAGCCGTCACTGGTTAGAGCTTCAGACCTGGATTACGGGACCTATACGGGATAAAGACATCAGTGTGTACAGCCCCCGAGGCGCTGAGCAGTGTCTTGAATACTGACGAATTGTAGCGACACCAGTCACGGTTTGCCCGAGCCTTACGATCCGCGTCGACACCTGAATGATTTCCCGCTCGATATCAGACTGGGGCAAAGAGCTTGAAAGCTCTCTTTCTTGCTGCCTGATGCTGGCGCCTACCCTTCGCCCTATCACTGCCCTGCTAATAACAAGCCCCTGACCCCCGAATGATGCAGGCGCACACCGGGGCTGTGATGGAGACCCAAGGCTCTTCAACAGCTGAGATGCCCGCTGCACCTCGACTGCCAAGGGGTATGATATTTAAAGTCACCATTCTATTTCCGAGTTCTTTTTTCAGCTGGCCCTCGCATACACCATTGAGATCTCGTCGGTGGAAGCATAGACTACACCTGAAAGTCGAGGATGCCTCTTCCGCGTTGCTATTTCGGACAGTGCAGCTGGTGCTTAGCTGCGCTGCCCAGAAGTGGTCCGCCCAGATGTTATAAGGCAAGAAACGAGGCAAGGAACCCGGAAGGTTGGACCCGGAAGGTTGGGCTGCCAGAGCAATTTCTTGCTGCGGTGTTCAGGGGAAGCCAGGCGAACGTGCCCATCCTTGATTTCCCGGTTCCAAACTCGTTCCCAGCGATACAAATAACACACTCCATCGCCTCGTGACAGCACTGCCCCTCAGTTGGCACTTCGCCAGGTTGAACAATCCATCCAGTATTCTCGACTTATTTCGCTGTCGCTGGTCTGTCAAGACTCCAATCCAAGATGCCTGATCATCACCGCTACCACCACCATCATCGGAACCACAGGTCGGCATCACCGCGAGCGGCCTCAACTGCGACTCCGAGCCACGCTCGCAGACCCCGGAATCGTCACGCCGTGGTGTCTGGGAGGACGTCTACTGTCCGGGAGAACGATGCTCCAGATTTCGACACCGGCGCCGCACATCTAGACTCATGGGAAGGAGGAGCCCACGGCTCTGCTGTGGCCGGCAACCCGACCGCGACCAGTGCTGATACAAGCTCAGCACCCACCGTCGAGTTGGCCGAATCATTTCCCGTGTATCCTGCGATAGCGGCATACAACGGCAACCACACTCTCGATACTGCAGAGGGCTTTCCAAGTACCGAGTCTTCTTATCTGATCCCTTTTGAAGCCGGCGATGACAGCGGCATGCTATCAAACCGCGCGAGCTATCCCAGCCGTTGTGCCTATCAGTACGACCGCCCCACGACCTTGCGTTCGAGCTTTGAAATAGAACAGTCACAGACCATGGCATCGAACAACTCGCAAGGCGCAACGTCTCCGACTAGCACATACCAAGCGGGAATGAGCCTCTATAGCGATCCCGCTGTCGCCGGGTCTCAGAACGTCTTTGCAGCGACTGTCTCCTATCCCTCAAGGCAATCATACCCAGCGCGCTCAGACACTGAACCGGACCTTCTTGGTGACTCTTCGCTGGCTCAGGGGTTTGGCGACAGGCAGTACAGGACGGACCAACCAGTGGAATATAATCCTCCCTTTAAGTCATTGTCGCGGAGCTCGTCTATCCGGGTCAGTCCAGGGTCATACGAGTGAGTTATCCTTGTAATCTCCTCTTCGGGAGTGACTAACATGGATGAAGAGATGACCAGCACGCCGCAGAAGAGGCCAGAAGGCAATCGCCCACAGACACAATCCTCGATAATGACGATGAGCATCGAAGCTACCCCAACCCTAGCAGCTCCAACGGAAGCGGAAGTCGTCTATTCGAATACCACGCGATCTTGAACTTCATGCAGGACCACGAGCCACCATGGAGCAGCTGGGAGCCAAGACAGAGAACGAACTACGATGAACACCATAGCCATCGGAATGGCCGCTACCGTCCACGAAGGTAGAGGTGAGAGCGCTCTGACGCGTCGTAGTACATGTTGCTGGCCAACTATTTGCTTGACGTGTCGGTCGATGGTTAAAAATGGGAACAGTGAAGCGTGAGATTGTTTGCCCCAGGGGAGCAACAGCGGCCGCCGCCCTTCTCGACTCGTGCAATCAGAGAAGGGAGAGATGGGTCATAGATAATCTTCGTCGGTGGATTCGACCATGCAAGCTTTCAAGTCGTCAGCGTTTTGTAGAACGCTGACTTCTCCTCTATTCCCTCCAGAAAGCACGTGTGGAGACGAGCAGAGGTTCCATTGGGTTGGGCATTGACGGACACCGACGCAGCCTTTTATTCGAAGCCCCAAGTACGAGGTCCTGTACCGGGGGAGTAGAAAATCTACGAGGAAACGGTATCAGCATGCTATGCCCAGCTGGTTTGCGGTCGATTGACGTGGGTCAGGTCTAGGAATGGCGCAGCCTCAACTCCCTTCGCCCCTCCCTGTCATACATCATTTCAGGGTTACAATTGTGTCTAGACGAAGTAGTACAGCCAATGATTGAAAAATTCCGTCACTTTTCCGGTACCAGTTTCAGACACAACCATTTCACACTGTACCTCTCACGGTATGCCCCTGTAACATGCTCTACCAAGGAGCTGTACCACAGAAAGTTTTTAGACCTAGTTAAGAGTCTCAGGGTTGCCCCATTAAAACCGCTGCTCAAGCGAAGCTGTGAATCTTGTTTGCCGACAAGCTGCTTCGCATCGGCCGTAAGGCTGGTCAAAGCCAGCAATGCAGCAAAGAGCTGCTTCGTCAGCATCGTTATTGTGACATAAATTGTTTCAGATACTCGTCATTATTCGAGCATCCCTGTGACACCACATGTTGGCTTCCCCATGGCCACGGCCGCTGTGTCTAGTTTGCTAGGTCGACAATAAGTATAAGTAAGTTCTTCATCCCGGGTGCTTCGTAGCCTGTGGCGGAGCAACCAGCAACAACAGCCTGAGTTGACACACTCCACCTCGTTGATAACTTATCTCTCCAAAACAAAACCTTTCCAAAACAAAACTATACCTCCAAACATGAAGTACGCAAGCTTCCTCCTCAGCCTCGCGCTGTACATGCTGTATGTCCTTTAAATCCACTCTTCGCTCGAACCCAGCGGATGACCCCAGCCAAGCCAAGCTCAGCAAGGCGGACAAAATCTTGTGCGCCGCGGCTGACAACTCGAATTCCCAGGGCAACTTGAACGCCGGAGGTTATTGCGGAGCCTTTGAACATGCGGCCGAATTCGTGGTCAAGAATGACAAGCTGGTAGTTGATGAGTGATTTGTGCTTGGGGGATCCAGAGGAGGGAGCATTTCTGACTGTCGGCTATTGAGTATTTGAGATATGCTTGAACCAACCGCGTTTGCCGGGTGGCCACATTCGTTTTGCTGTTGGAGAAGACGGTATGCTCTTACTACACATTCGTTAGTTGACCTAGATGAATACCTACCTAACCCACACGGAAACTCGTCACTTCTCATGAAAGCAGTACCATACTGACAATTGTTACTTGGTGGGCATGATGTGATTGGAATTGTCACGTAATTGTTGGGTTGACCTGAACAGTTGACCATGCTTTGCTTCGTGCCACAACGAACGGGATGCGTCAAGGTATGCACGATGACGGGAGTGTGAGCATGCTATCTGTGACATGGCTTGAACCACTCATGACTTCTCTATGCAGATAGGATACACGACATCAGAGTGTGCATTCCCCCTGCGAGGCAACGGCTGCTACCATGGAAAAGGAACTAATCACTAAGGAGTCTGACGTCTGATGTCATGTACATAAGGACTGATCGCAACGAGCCTCACAAAAACAAATATTTTTCTTGGCGCCCCGCTGTTAGGGCGCAACCTTGATATTTGTACTAAATTAGGCATTTTTCTCAGTAACTGACTATCTCTGTGAAGGCACAAGAGAATTTTTTTCACAAGCCGGATGGCACCCTTCCACGACGGGCCCCCAAACACGCCCGTGGCCGTCCCAAAGACGACCACCGGCGGCATGCTCAAATCTCCGGCCCCTAGAAAGACATACGGCCCGGCAACTCCGAGCAGGCTACGCCAGGCGCTGCTTGACGACATCAGCAGCAGCCCGTCACAGGTCTCTGAGGCTGACTTCACCGTTATTTCCCCTCTGAAAGGAAAATCCCGAAATATTAATGACAGCAGCACCACTGGAATGAAACGACCTTAATTGAACGAAATCTCGGCAGACCAAGCCATTACACACGATATAAAGAATAAAACCTTCTCCTTAGAGTGCCAGGACCAAATTACTAGAATACTGGCTAAAGACAAGCACCTTTATAAAGCCAGGATGACAATATTTCAAGAGTGTGCTGCAACGGTTGATAAGACACTTAAGAAAGCTAGAACCGAACTATACTCTTATGCCAAGGAGTTCAGCGCTTTCTTCTCTAAATGTCTGAGCAAGTGGCTGGAAACCCGAGATCTGCCCAAAAGGAAGACCATCCCTGGGGGAATAGGGATGATAAAGCCCACCATGACCTTTGCCCAAGCTGTCTCCTCTAGCCAACGACAGCATCCACGGACAGTCAACACTACCATAGAGAAAACACAGCCTGGCGCCCGCATCACTGCCAACCAACTAAAAAAAAAACAGGATAATCTCCGGGTCTTTGTCCGCATGGATAATAGCCACCTAGAGCCTTACAGAATAAAGTCTATACTGAACAGAAGACTTAAGCTCCACCCTCAAGAGCTTAGAGAAGTGACCCGGTGCCCCTCCGGATTTACCTTATACCCAAGGGACAAGCCAACTCAGGCTAAGCTCCTGGCCTTCTAAGAAGAAATCACTGATATTCATAAGGCAGAAAAGATCGAGACCCACACGGTCTGGCATCACTATAAGGTCGATGGATGCCCAAGAAAGGTCATTAGTGCGGAAGGATTGACAATCGATATTACCGACATTATTATTACTAATGAAGTTGAAGCCCAAACAGGTGACAGACCTTTAAGGTGCATACTCTCAAGGAACACAGTTGATTCTGATCCAGAGACCACATGGGTGATCTCTCTGCCCCGTGCAGCAAAGAAACCATTCACGCTTTTTGCTCACTCAATGACCTCAAGGCACATTCAATACTCCCCCAAGGTTCACCAGTATGCGAGCTGCTTCAGATACCATGGTAGAAACTACCGATGTGAAAAGCAAGTATGTGCACGTTGTGCCAGTACAGTACACCAAGGGGAGTGCGAAAAACCAATCCCAAAGTGTGTTAACTGCAAAGGACCTCATGCTGCCAACTTCGACAAATGCCCTGCACGTCCCAAGGTTGTGAAAGGCATCATCCACAAGCACATATAGGAGCAAATCCAGGAAATAAGGCTGGCTGGAGAAAGAGCCAGATCCAAGGCCTTCAATGAAACAGGCAGAAACCAAGCTGGGTCAACACCCAGCAACAATAACAAAAACATCACAATACAAATCGACACAACAGATACAACTCATCCCAGAGATGCCGATACCATTGTTGTCAGTCAATATTAGGTACATCAAACGAAACACATCGATACGGGCATCTAGTCATCCATTCTATGAATACAGCAGGAGGACAAAAGAGTGCAGGCCCTACAGAGTTAGCCATCAACCTGGCTGACTACAAAGGAGAACAAGCAGACATCATTCTGATGCAAGAGCCCTGGGTTGGCATACCACCAGGCAGGAGAATGGGAGTAAAGACACACCCCAATTACAATATATACTCCCCAGTGGATTCCTGGGACAGCGACAGTACACGGCCCAGATCTCTCATCTATGTGAGAAAACACCTTCAAGCGGATCAACTTCGGCCCTATACTACACGAGACATCACCTGGGTCAAGGTACATGGCATCATATTTGCCAGTGTCTACCGGCCATGTGACAACCCACAGGAAATGGATGATATTCTGGAAGTATGGACTCCACCTTTTGGCTGTGTTATAGCTGGAGATTTTAATGCTGGCGACATATTCTGGGACTCGAGCAATCCAGGATATCACGGTGGCGTCATACTGGCACAGACTATGGCAGACCACGGACTGGATCTGATTTCTGAACCAGATGTCCCAACACATGACGATGGAAATGTACTGGATCTGGTGTTCTCAGATGTCCCCATGGCTGAAGCCTCAGTCAATGATGCACTTCAGTGCACCTCAGATCATGAGATATTACGAATAGTCATTCCAATTCAGGGAGATCGGGACCGAGTTCTTAAGGCCAATTATTGGATAGTACCGGACGATAAACTACAAGAGCTGGCAGACAATGTCCAAACCAGGATTCATGAACTCCCCCGGCTGGGTGTATCCCCTGGCCAGGTGGATACCTTTACATAAAGCTTGATCAATATGATTCAAGGCTGTATCAGGACAGTGGGCAAGAAGCCCCGTCAATCTAGGCCCACTGCTTGGTGGAATGATGACTGCAAAGCAGCTATTCAGACATACAGGGCCCTTTCTAAACAGACCACAAGCCAAGAAGGGCGAAATTCAGCCCGACAGGAATTTCGCTGTGTGGTCCGAAAAGCTAAGAGAGAGTACTGGCAGACTCTAATTGATTCAGCGACTGAACCAAAAGACCTGTACAGAATTGTTTCCTGGCACAAGCTGTCAGCAGGATTGCATTCCCCCCCAATTATCATAGGGGACCAAATCTTTGAGTCACAAGAGAGCAAGGCAAATGCACTACGCTTAGCCACGCTTAAACGAAGTACCCCAGACAACGATATCATCGACCCCTGGTCTGCTCAGATCACACAAGCCAAGCCACACATCCCCCTTGAATACCATGTCGGACTAGAAGAGGCTGAAGGGTGCACTATAGGGACCAAGAGCAACTCCCCAGGAGTAGACACCCTCACAGTACGGATTCTGAAAGCTTGCTGGCCAGTCATTGGGGAGCATATCAGAGCCCTTTTCCAGACCTGTCTACAGATTGGACACCACCCTAAACCATTCAAAGTAGCTGAGGTGGTGATGATCCCAAACCCGGCAAGAAAGACTACTCTAACCCCAGGGCCTACAGACCAATATTGCTATTATCATGTCTTGGCAAAGGCCTAGAACGACTCATTGCAAAAAGAATTGCCTGGTTTGTCATCAAACTTAGAATTCTAGCTCCACAATATTTTAGAGCTCTGCCAAAGCGCTCTGCCACTGACCTGGTAGCTGCACTCATACACAATATTGAGCAGGCCCTTGACCAAGGCCTCGTTGCAACAGTAGTCACGTCAGATGTGAAAAGGGCCTTTGATGCTGCCCTAATGGGACGGCTGGTGGTTCGCATGAGAGAACAGAGCTGGCCGGGCTTTCTCATAAGATGGGTCCAGTCATTCATGTCCGAGCGGTCCGCAAGGGTTCGGTTTGAAGGTATTGTGACTGATATTAAAGCTCTCACTTGTGGGCTACTACAAGGCTCACCAGCTTCTCCAATCCTTTATATGCTGTATACAGAGCCAATCTGTGCCCGACTCGGTATGAAAAGGAGACGCTTTGGATATGTAGACGACCTAGCGACTCTCTGTATTAAAAAGAACCTTAAAGAAACAGCTACAGAGGCTTTTAAAAACCTTTATTTACTTAACCAATGGGGACATAATAATGCTATTAAGTTTAATTCCGATAAAACCGAGATCATGCACTTCTCACGGAAAAAGAACTCAGACAACCCTCCAGTCCGCCACGGGACAATGAACAAAATAGCAAAGGATTCCATGCGATGACTGGGTGTCTTCCTGGATAGAAAACTAAACTTTAAAAATCACGTTTCCCACTGGGCCAAGAAAGCTAATAAGATAGCAAATCACCTTTGAGGACTATGCAACATAATTAAAGGACTTCCAGTAAAATCAACTAAGAGTACTGTGAAAGCTTGTGTTATTCCTATTCTTACATACGGCCTGGAGGCCTGGTACCCAGGAATCGAGAAAGTTGGGAGCTTAGGTGGGACATCAGCATGTCGCATTAAGGGGCTTCTTGGAACAATAGATGCCGTACTACGAACAGCGATCAGGGCTATCTTGCCAGTCTAGAAAACACACTCTGGACATATCCTATACTTTGAATCGCAGATTCCCCTAGCAGGAGTTCTTGCAGAGTCAATAAGACGACGTCACGGCCTCTGACTAGGACGAATAGACCAGAGACACCCTCTTGTTGGCAGGCTCCAAATACAAGCTCACAAGAATCCAACAAGGTTACAAAGGAGCTTCCAGCTAGTCCCTGACTTCCAGAGACCAATACTTACCAGGCCATCATAGAAGAAGCCCCCAATCCGTAAAGACAAAGACAAAGAAATAGAGCTCTTTAAGCAATGGTTACAGGAGAGAAACGTAAACACTAACCTTGTTATTTATTCAGATGGATCACAGTTGGATGACCAAGGCACAACCCGCACTGGATAGGGTTATACCATCAGGAAAGGCGGCACTACACAAGAAGTATACCGGGAAAAGAGCAGACTTCTCTAAGTAGAAGTAATATATGCTGAAGTCCATAGTGCTCTCCAAGGTCTTGTAGCAGCCAGGGCAATTGGACACAGAAAATAGCTATATGTCTGCCTGGACAACACGTCAGTGGTAGATGGGCTCAATGGGACTCCACCCGAGACATCACAGAACATTTTTCTATGATTTCAAGAACTTGCCACAGCACACACTCCTGGAGTGACCGTTAAGTGGATTCCTGGACACAGAGATATTAATAGTAACAAAACTATTAACACACTAATAAAAAAGGGTGCCATGCTAGAAACAGACACGACAAACCTTCCTATAATCTCTTAGGTCAAGAGAGATCTCAAAAAAAAGGGCAAGAAAGAGTTCAATTAATGATAAGAAGATCAATCAGAACCTAGATATCAAGAAGTATACTCACATATAATAACTAAAAGAGACTTTATATCTTTTAAGAGGAGTACTTTATACAGACTTCTAGTGGCCAGATCTGGACATGGCAACTTTGCCAGATACCATGAACGCTTTGGGCATACAGACTCGAATGATCACTGCAGCTGTGGTGAGAAGAAAACACCACAATATATTTTCTTTTGTAAGAGGCTGGAGAAAAACTGGCTGCTGCCTAGGTACTCGCCTAGGACAGCTTGTTTACAATACTAAGAGGAGAGGAGCATAGAATAGGCAAAATTCGTGGAGAAGAGCAAGTTCTTTTCAACAATCTGCCCCCAATAGATAGCTTTTCTTGAAGGACCAGATGGATGACCCCAAGGTCATACCGCCGCAACAACGGGGATGGGCCCGTGAGCGGGACTGACTGTACTTATTATCTTGAGACCTCCACAACCCTGCGATACAGAGGCTCTGGGAGGCGTGGTTTGTACTACTGAGGAGCTACCCCCCACGTTAAATACAAAACAAACAAACAAACATAAGGACTGATCGTTCTTGTGTGGGCCTGAGGAAGTGTGTCGCCGTTGACCCGGATGGCAGAATCCTCAGGCGCTGTCAGCATAATTGACGGTAGGTGTACCGTACCTGTGCTCTCGGCAGGCCCATCGACAGTCATTTGCAACAGAACATCTGCAAACGCCCAGTCGACCTGGAGGTCTCCCAGGGTTGTACCGTGCTTGGCCTTCGCGTCCTCGGCATAAGTGAGACCTCTTCTGGTTAGTCGCAGCTGAATGATTGTCTAGAGCATATTAGTTGAGGGCCAATTGTGGAATACTGTTAGATTCAAGCGAGTTCAGTGATTGGAGGGTGATTCTTCGTGTATTGCATGTAGTGTGTTGTATCTGTCCTGTCTGTTCAGGTGCCCCTGATCGATTCCCAGTTTGGTGCTGGTCATCTCCGCCGTACCGTGGTTTTTCCGGTCGGACTCGGCTCATCTTCATGACCCCTGTTATCCAACAAATACCAGAAACCTCGGAGCACACACGCTTGGCGAGCTTGGTGTTTTGTTTGCCAGGGGCCGGGTTCGAGGTACGGCGAGGTGTGGCTCCGCAACCCATTTTCCAGCCACAATGACGGATGGGTCACGGACCAGGATACAAGGTACCTTGGAGCCCAACTGGTACCCGTTTGTACCTGATTTGTACCCAACTGGGATGATAGCTACTTCTGGGATTGGAGCACCACCCATCCTTCCTTTCAATCAAGCAACTTCCAGAATACAGACCAATAGCCACCATTCGTGACCCTGGTCCTTATTCTGGATACCGCTACCACAAGCACAGAGGTACATGTATTCAGATTATCGGTGAGCTAAATATATTGTTATTCAATTAACCATGCTGTAGACTGTTATCTACTAAGCGAGTATTGGTCTAAGCTCTGTACCGTAACTCTGTTGGTCTGACAATCTGAAGCCCTGGGCGTCCCACGAGGCACCAGCTCTCAACAGCTCCAAGCCAAATAACATAACTTCAAGATCTGTACATCAAATTCATTCCGGAATATGGGATCGAAGCGGGCTGCAGCTGGGGAAGCCGGCCCAGACGTCGCGAAGCGCCGCCGCGAACACGCGCCCTTCAAACCAGCAAGAATGAACGGCTCGGCAATCGACCAGACGTACGGCCAACGCGGAGCATTTGGTGACCTCAAACAAGTCGACACGACCGCTCCTACCGGCGAGAGTGATCTCGACTGCGAAGATGATACCGAGGCGCTGGCATATCTCAGATCCGTACGGTAAGTTTCATCTAGCACCTCCATCGTCTTCCTCGGAGTTTCAAAGCTAAACTGCCTGCCCAGCTCTTCCCGAATGATGATGCTGATGTGGTGAGTACAGAGTCCAAGCCTACGCCATTCCCCATGTCCTTGTCGCGAAGAAAGCTGGACCGCAGCGACCTCCTCACACCGCCGATATTGTGGATGGACCTAGTGTCAAAGAGGAAGATGATGAGTCGGACACAGCCGACCGGAACAGCTACCAAGACGGTGCTGGCGACTTCAGAGGGTTCTATCACGATGGCGCATACACGGCTTTGCCCGCAGACTATTTCGACGAAGATAACGACGAAGAGTACTACGAGGAAAGCCAGGATGGTGAAGTAGACACACAGGGCCAGGAGGCCATGGATTACTTCGAGGAGGAAAGCCTCGACTCCAGTGATGACAATTCGCACAACAGCAGTGCAGACGAAATCCGCGACGCATACTTTACTTCTCTCACTAAGAAGTATCTGGATCTGCGCCAAGTTCTACAAACGGATCCGTCAGCCAGCGCGCTGTCCTCTCTTCCCGCATCGAATCCCACCGAGGTTGGCAATTTCAGCCGCCAATCCGACACGTTCACCAGATGGTCGAGGAGTTTGTGGTCAACGGACCCCCTCCCCACACAGATTGCCGGAATGCGTAAAGTCGGTGCCTTGCGGCTGCTTCGTATAATCCTGGGTGGCAAATTCCTTAGAAAGAAACGACCTCTCCACGAGCGTACAAGTAGATGGATCTGGGCACTGCTGGCGCGCCTGCCTGAGAAGGGCGTGCTCGACTACGAGGAGATTGGCTGGATCCGCGAGCTGGGGAAGCGAGCAGTCCTCTTGATGGCCAGTCTGGCGGAGCTGGAGATCCTGAAGGAGCACTACGAAGTTGGCGACGCTAGCAGCCACGGCAGCCGGGACAAGGGCGACTATGAAGACACTAATGAGGAGCTCCATCATGATACACCCGAGGATGATGACGAGTTTGACTCTGATGAAGCCGACCTCAATGATGGTGCCAAGAGTCCCGTTGTCATTCAAGGCGGCAGCTCTGCTATGGCCGAGGTCACTGTCACCAAAGAAACGGTATCTATCTCAGTTGACAGCGAGGAGCGTGTCACCACCACGCAGACAACCCACACCCAACAGATTACAGACGATCATGCCTGTGTACAAAACAAGGTCCAGCCAACTAACACTTCTACACACCCAGCTTCCGGAGCAACGCTTGACGAGTCCTCAGACGTCGAGATGCAACTCGACTCAGACATGGAAGACGGAGAAATCCCACCTTCACCTCCTACGTCTGATCTACCTGTAGCCGACGGCATCGAGGCAGCCAAGGCGCGTCTCCTAGCACAGCTCAATGACGATGCTGGTGCCACAGGCGACCAAGACGAAGACGCCACGCCCATCGTCCTCGAGGTAGTCATACCCACGCCCGAACCCACCGAGGAAGAGCGGAAAAAGCAGGAAGAGACAGCGCAGAAACAGCGAGAGAAGGACAGGGCCAAGGTCAACGAGCGCGCCACGCTCAACATGATCCTGACGGTTGTCGGTGAGTTCTACGGACAGAGAGACCTGCTTGAGTTCCGGGATCCCTTCGGAGGGGTGTCAGACTGAGTGTACCGTGTGACATGAAGAACGGTAGGATAGACAACTGGGGAAATCCCTCAAGCACAGAGACGGAGACAGAGACGTGACACTGCGATTATTCCTCGAGGTATAGTACGGTCCATATGCTGTAATTACATGCATACACACATGCAGGTAATACTTGACAGTATCCTACGCAGGTAATACTTCGCAGTACGTCACACATACACTTGTACGCATAATTAGGTATAGTACAGATCTTGATGGTTTAATTCAGCTCCTGCCTGTTAGAGCACTCACGCACGTCATATAAATACTATCAGGACGCCCATGTCCATACGCAATGCATTTGTACGAGATCCTAGAGTGATATCCGAAACGCAAATATGAGTGACACGCCTAAACGCCTGTCGCTGAAAGCAGTTGACTAAATCCAAACGGATGGGAGCAGAGCAAGTCTAGCTGCCCGTCGCTCTTCTCCGCTGCCGTCCCCTCGCAGTCTGGCATCGCAAGCCAGTATCCAAGCCGCAATCGGTAATGACAGGCAGACACTCAGGCATCGCTCATATCCACCTCCCACGCCTTCTGATCCAAGAACGCTGCCTCCTCAAAATCGCTATCCACCACCATGACGTTCTCCTGTTCGATACCAACAGGTCCCGGACAGCCTCCCCTTGCGGCATGACCGACCATCTTGCTGCGCAGTCTTCCCTTCCGCGGCATCGCCAGGATGCGTCCATTTCCTGGTCCCCAGCCCACGGGCGCCAGGCTGCGCGGACTGACGTCGCCGTCGAAATGATGGCGCCAGATATTCAGGCGGTCCGGGATCTCGAGCGCCTCGTTCTCGTTCTCGTCCTCGGTGAAGAACCGCTTGCGCGCGTTGACGGGCGAACAGTCGGTGTCGGTGGAGAGGTTGGAGTCGGTGCTGTCCATCGAGCCCTGGCTGCTCGTCAGGCCGGGCATGTCGCCGAGGAGCGGGGCGTCTTTGAGGCTGAAGATGGGCTGGTGGTGGTATGATGTCGATGTAGACGCGTGGGTCGTCGTCATTGTCGAGATGGAGAGCGGGTGCTCGGGTTGCGTGTCCATGCCGCCGACCTTGTTGATGCCGCAGAAGGGCAGCAGTTCGCGCGGCGTCGAGAAGGCGTTTGCGCGCGACCGGCCCTCGTTTGCTGCCGCCATTTCGCCTGCGCCTGGTATAGTGCCGGCGTTGTTGTTCTCGTCCCAGAGTGCGAAGGCGCTGTAAGTGCCTGTCTTATATCCCTCGGGTACGGATTTGCGCACGCGCATGCCCACCGAGATCAGGTTCGCTTGGACAGTGTGCGATAGGTGAGACGATGCGTCTGCTGAATAGGATCCTGATGCGGGTTGTGCCGTGTGCGATAGGTTTGTGTTGGTGCACGACGGAGACGAGGATGCGTTGCTGGTGGTGAAGAACGATGTGATCTGGCGCTGGGCGGGATCGCTAGCTGCGCCTGCGAATTGACGCTTCGTTCGGGGTGCGGACATGGTAGTGGGGTGATGTAGGTATGGGATGTGTTTCGGAGATGAAGTGTGATGCTTATCTCGTGAGGTTGGAGACTGGTTGGCGAGCTGCCTCCAATGTGAAAGTATTCCAGCTGGGGTCCAAAAGCTGGCAGTGCCGGTGGGATACCTGAGGTAAAGCTGGAATTGGGCAACTTTCTGTATAATGATTGAGCCGCATGGAATGCAGCAAGATGGCGGAACGGCAGAATGGACAGCCTGAGAGGGGAGATTGAAGGGTATTGTTCCCCCTGTCGCTATTTACGTCTCAGGTGTCCTGATGATGATGAAATGAGGACTGTGCAAATGGGTCGTCAGGAGCGAGGAGTAGGAGGAGGCCGGGATGATGAGGAGGGATGACGAGGAGGGACTGCTCGTGACAGGGGCTGCAGGTGATGGATGAGACGGCATTGGAAGTGGGGAAGCGCGGTCGCGTCTGATGTAGCACCGTGATTTACACGTTTAATGGGTAAAGATAGTGGATAAGGGACGTGTTCCGTGTCGAACTTACATAATTAGTTGCATAACCAACCACCCAGCAAAGCAAGTTATCCTGACGACAATCGACAGGAATGAGCACCGAATCATTGCTTATTTCACAAGCCAAAGTGTCCTGTCGACACCGACAGCTTCGACCCCGAGAAAAAATATATGTCACAAAAACTTCCAACCCAAAAATAAAATATACAAATAAACATACAACACCAGGGATTCGCTGGTCGTCACCGACCCAACTACTAATCCGGCGGTATCAGGCTTATTTAAGGCAGAGCGGACGGGATGCCAAGTTCTCCGGATCCTATGGTCGTATGTAATGGCTTTGTGTGTTGAGGGGCTTATATTACAGATCTGAGCAACCACAGCCCGAATCAGCACACATCCTACACTTGAGCATCTTCACCCGAAGCGCGTCGCCGAGATACAGGCAATTCCAGCTGTCCTGGTCACCGCCGCCGCCTGTGAACTTCTTCATGATGGCACACAGGGGTCGGTATCCCTCGGGCCGCCGCCAGCGCTGAAGAAGTCCGGGAGGAGGCAGAACAAATTGTTGACATTAACGCCGTCTGGGTTCTCGAGGGTTGGTTGGATACCCTGTAAACACCACGCAAACTCGGTCATGTCCTGCAACCAGCTATCCCTCGACTGTTGAGCTTCTGTTTCTTTCCGTGAGTGGAGTGGACGGGACTTCGGCGGCTCTGACGGCCAGCAGCGGCGTCTCAGAACAGCCGTCTGCGTTACATACTTCATCCCGATAAAGCTGGCAAAGCCTTTGGTGTCGTGTCGCTGGCCTCCATCCTCTGTTCAGATATTGGGCTTCTTGAGGATCCTCTAGTAGTGAGGGGTCGGCGACTCACCAGCTTGATCTTGGCTGTCGCCGTGGTCTACGTGCCGGCAAGAGTGAACTGGACTTCGTTTTTGACGTCTCTGAACAGACATCACACGATGAAGTCATCTCAGTCGCAAACGACACCATCAAGGGAATCAGGGTGTGAGATTTTCATCAAAGTTCAAGGCCTGGTTATGTCGGAATCACCGATACGAATGCTGCCCTTCCGGATGACATTCTCCTCGGAGGGAACCCCCTATTGTAGACATCGCGGATGGCATGGTTGAAGATGACTGGATGCGATGTCTGGTTGGGACAAAAGGGTAGGAACCTAACTCTCAAGCAACGTTCGGCTGGGAGAGGGGCGCAGATTCTGAACTCCGACAGCGCCACAGGAAGGTGATGTCTGGGTAGGGCAGAGAGGAGAGACAATGATCTCCGGTGAAGTTTCCGCGACTTGGGAAATGATCGTGAGGCCTGGCACAGACTTCTTCGAATAGCTAAGCGCCGAAGGGTACCGTTACATACTGTCCAGGTCTAGTGGTAAGGGACGAGGCAAAGTAAGTCACATTGTTTTGCTAAGCCCACTGCCAAATGGACTGAGCGTTGTGCATCCTCGTAAAGGTAGGTAGAAACATGTGACGCTGGTCGCCGGGCGATTGACAGGAAGGTGGTGAATGAAGATGGTTGACGGAGACCGTGATCTCGAAGGAGTGGTGGATGTGCATGGAGACGATTGATGGTGGTTCTGATTTATGAAGAGGGAAACAGCATTGATTGCAGAATACAATCAGATTGCAAGGAAGTGTGATGACAACCACTTACGTGATCAAACAGATTCCGCGTACAAGTATTACGCCTAGACTACTAGAAGATCTCGGGACCATTTATTCCAAGGGTATAAGACGGCATAACCATCACCCAATGCGCTTATTTCAGCGCAAGATTGTTCTGTCACCATTTGACATGAACCGGTGTATGCTGCAACGGTAGGGAAAAGAATAAATGCATCGAGACCAAATTAAATGATATCCCAATCTCATAGAGCTACCACTACCGGTCGTCCAGCATCCGACTGCTGTCCAGCAAGAGCACGCAAGACCGGATTTCGTGCCACAGCAAGGAGGAGGGAGAGGTTGTTGGTGAAAGAACGAGAAGACCGCCGGTATACTTACGGACGCATATGACTTGACAAGCAATTGGTACTGTACGTGAGAGGTCAACGTCTGATAGAAGACACACGGAAATCCGGCAAGAGCTACAGCACACGACATACCCACCACGTTCCGAGCAAGCAGATATTTGATAGACACCGGCCCAGGTACATCAACTCAGTTTAGGTGAAGATGCGTACGAGACGAATGGGCGCAAGGGGTTATTCGTTGGAGAGAAGCAGGAGGATATCAAAGTGGCGAGGTTTGAAGTCGAGAAGACAGGGGCCCAGGGCTCGCCCCAGAAGATCACAATGACGACAATCAGGCGGTTGATTGAATGCGCTGCATTAGAATGTGGCCCGCGTTGACTTGAGGTCATGGATGGGAGCGAGGCAGGCCATATTCGTTGGCAGTACCAATGATAGAGTAGTCATTTCAGATATTATGTCCGCATCTAGTTAATCATCACGAGGGACGAACATCACGACGTACGAGGCACAATTCAAGCAGCTTTCGTAGAACTCTCTGGAATTCGCGTACAGCAGTGAAGGCAATCACTGCAATCGGGTATGTAGCGATCCTCAATCAGCGTTCCACGTCCTCTCACACCCGGAGGGTCTGCCCGTGTAAGGCAGGCCTCGACAGGTGCTCATGCGAAGAGCAGTTTCCAGCTAGCCACCCACGTAGAACTATTGCCCACCTTCGCAGTACACAAAAGCGATTGAACGGAAAAAACGAGTCGCGGGACAACGGATGATGCGAAATATCAGGACCCCAAACGCCCCAGTCTGTATTGAGGAACTTTTCGGTATCCGTCGTCTATCTGCAGCTGACGTAGATGTTATTCGTGAGAGGTCGAGTATGTCCGAAAGACAATATAGATGCCCATGTTTTCATGCGCCCATGCCAGTGAAACAAGTGCTCTGCAGATATCCGAGCCGTACCATGAAGTCGTGACCAATGCCCAAGTACGAAGAAAAGACGAGAAGCGTATCCTCTACTTTCTTCGGAAAGAGCAGCCCTCTGTGAGTCTCGCCTTTCCACCGGTAGGTTGGCACAGGACAGTGGTGCAGCCCTGGCAGATGACAACGGTCTGTGCGTGCGAGAAAACGGTGGTGATCGTGAAGCAGCCGGGGCACTTGACGTCCATGAAGAAGGACCGGGGAGCGGGAACCAGGGTCTACAAACTAGTCAGTATCACCGCTTGCTACCTTGACTTGTGTCATCACCGGTAACGTACCTTGAGCTTGTGCTTCTTAGCCTCGGCAGCCGGGCTGGGGTTGAGCAGATCAACGGCGAGAACCTGAGATAAAATTTCGTCAGCATAACGGCACTATTTTGATGTAGTGAAAAATGACCCGAGGGTTCATCAAATTCCGTATGCGCCATTCCATCCTGCCAAGAACAATCACATCGATGACCCGTCCGTAGTGGTTTGTCGTCGTAGAGGTCGTTGTCGAGGGGTTTGACAATGATTCGGACCCGGGCAGGCGGAGTGGCGGACGTGGTTGCCTCACGAACGGACTCGGGGCAGGGAAGCGGCGGAACAGAGCGTCGCAGCCGACTTACCATCTTGTCTGAATGTCACGAAGATTGTCTTGATCGATAGGTTGGCAAGCGTGGTGTTGTCTGATGAAATCTGACAGCGTCGAGTGCAGATTTGTGATTGCGATCGATGGTAGATGATGAGGGGAAAGAGGTCGTGTGTGGATGGAGGTTAAAAGTTCGTCTGCAATTTCGGGGTGGCAGATTTTGGTTGGCGGGCTAGCTCCAGCAGATCTGTGCAGTGCAGTGGCCACTGGGGAGGCGACTCAGGCGAGATGGATGCACTGGAAGGACCCTTCTGGTGGGTTCCTCAATCCAGCTTAGCGGCGAAGAGGGCTAGGGCTTTGGTACCCACTCTTCTTTGGAGGTTCTGATCCGTGCCGCCATTGTGCCATTTTCTTGTGCTCAACAGCTGCCAGCCAGGACGTCCCAGCCGCCAGCTTTTATGGGGCCCTGACAACTGATTGTCTGCTTATCGCAAAGATGATGGCGATGCAAGCTTGGAGGGGCAGAGGTCCATGTCGCTCGCTGCCTGGAGGTGTCGAAAGCAAAGAGCATATCAACATTCAAACGCAAGACAGAGGGATCGAGCAGGAGTCTCTTTTACACTTCCACTGTGTTATTTCAGCGGATCTGAAGATTCGAGTCAATCGGTGGGATCCGGCCAAAGTCACGACACTCAACAAATCTTGAAAGATGGCTGCCCCTGCCGAACAGCGCATTGCTGTGCCCATCGACGACCCGAATGCGGACACTGAGTGGTATGGTATTCTAGATGTTCCAGACACTGCCAAAATAGTACCGAATTATCTGATGGCTGCACCAGGAATGACATACTCCGGAAACATGGCGTCATCCCCGAGAAACCCCCTTCACCTACTCCCATGATCGATGAAGCAATCCAAGAAGGCCGTCGACTAGCACACGAGAACAGGTTAGAGGGCAAGGAGCTTGACGAACTCGATGCGCTCGAAGACGACGAAGACGAGGCCTTCCTGGAGCAGTATCGACAGAAGCGAATGCAAGAGCTGAATAGCCTGACCAAGAAGTCCATACATGGCACTGTCTACCCGATAACGAAACCCGAATACTCGCGTCAAGTCACGGAAGCCTCGAACAACAGCCCAGTCTTTGTTAATCTCACATCACCTATGGGCAACAATGTCGAGTCGAGAGTCCTGTCAGAACTTTGGCGGCAGGCAGCCAAGGAATACGGAGACATCAAGTTCTGCGAGATCAGAGCTGACAAGGCAATCGAGAATTATCCCGATCGCAACTGCCCGACGATCCTCGTATACAAGAATGGCGATATCGTCAAGCAGATTGTCACCCTCGTCACCGTCGGAGGCGTTCGAATAAGCATGATGGAGATTGACAACTTGCTTGTCGAAGTCGGGGCTGTTGGCGAGAAGGACATGAGAGTGGTCAAGCGGAAGAGAGCGGCGGAAGATGCGAGGGAAGAAGAGATGATGGGGAAACGGATCAAGAGTGGGGACTTGAGACATGCGACGGATGGTGATGACGACGATGATGATTGGGATTGAGAGCTGTATGTTTTGAAGCACGACGGTTTGCTCGACAACGTGCTCATCATCGCCGACGAATCGTGAGCATGCAGCATCGCTCCTCGAATCGATACTCGGATAGGGGGCCGTACATCAGGCAGACCACCAATCAACTGAGTGTCCATACGAATGAGAGGCACTCTCGAGATTCCGCGACGAGCAAACCGCATTCCCACATTCTATCTCAGGAATAACTCCAGCTTTGTTTGATATGACTCGGGAATGACTGAATGATTGAATTGGGGAAGTTCGACGGGCTGGTGTTGGCCATGGAGGAGGGCTAGGCCCATCGATGCATTACATAATACGTGTATGTGGAACCGAAGTGTACTGGGTACGTACCGATAACCGATAACCGATAGCTGATTGTGAAAGGTGGGGCGCCGGTGACGCGCGCCGCCAAGCTCGAGTCCGCTGCACTTTCCTGATCCATGTTTCCTCCCGTCGTTGCAGAGTCGCGTCTCTCCAACTGCATTGACATCAATCTCCAATTCAGCTTTTGGAGCTCAATCATCGAGGGGTCCCCTCCACCACCCACACTAGGACACAGCTCAGTCGTTTCAAACTGCACACTTACGACCCTGCCAATCATGGCAGACGAACCGACTCTTCCTTCCCTACCCACGGTCGCTTGGGATTCCGAGACCCAGACCTTCCGGAACACGCGAAAGCGGAACCGCGATCTGGCACCTGCGCCGCCTCTTTTCTCCAACTCGAGTGACCCGGCCGTATTCTCCAGCGACGATGACCCCAACGTGGATAACTACGCTCATGGACGACACCGAAAGAAGCGCTATGTTGGTTCGTGGTACCAACAGCAGTCGGCATCCTCCGACTCGGCCTTCAGCGACGAGAGAACACTTCCTGCCAAGGGCAAGAGGACATTCGAACGTCAAGTCGATTCTGGTGTGTGGATGGGGAGTGACAGTTCATTGGATTTCGAAGACGACATGAGCATCCAGTTCGACACGCCCGCGGAATCCAAACTACCTCAGTTGAAATACACCCAGGCTGTCGGGACAAAATCCCCAACGGAGGACATGGTCCGCCTGAAGATACAAACAGCCATTGACAATGGTGATGAGAATATCGACTTGTCGTAAGTCACCATCTCTTATGAAGCTTAGCGACTGGCGGCTGGCTATTTGCGTACTCTTCTGGGACGAACCTGACGAGAGAATAGATCACTCGACATCAAAAGTATATCCAACGCGACCATCGCTCAATTGAATGAGTTCTCTTGTATCCCTCTGGTGGCTGCGGGCGTTCCCTTCGAGCAAAAAGAACCCGAACTCAAGCTCTACTTATTCAACAATCCTCTTCAGCGCGCCCCGGGAGCTCTGTTCAATCTGGAATATCTAACGGTTCTTAGCCTCCGAAATGCTCAGATATCAAAGCTTCCTCCGAGTATTGGGAAGCTGCGGAACTTGGAGACCCTGAATCTATCACTCAACCGTCTTCGATACTTGCCGGCCGAACTTCTGGATCTCGTCAAGGGTCCAGGAAAGCTACGTACCTTAAACCTTCATCCTAATCCTTTCCACTTGAGCGAACACCTTCCACAACTTCGGCACATTGAGCCTAAGCCTAGGAGCGATCAGCATGAAGATAATGTCGATCCAATCTACGAGCTAGAACAATCAGCCGGCTCTGTTACTCGATACTGCCTTTATGGAGACGTAGCACTTCGAAACGCTATGAATATCACCCGTTCAGATGGCCTCGATCACGCTAGGTGGGAGGCGATTGTTCTTGCACGATCACCAGTGGAGTTCAGCGACAGTCGCGGGGTTATACTTTCGAAATTCCAGTTGCCTCAGGAGGAAGTGGTCGGGTCCGGCGGTGCTGCTTCCGAAGAGCTATCCAGCGTTACAGTGCAGACTGAAGCACTCGCTTCCCGGCCAAGCCCACCGCAGTCTAGCCGAGACCGCGTGGTATCCTGCAACCGGCAGAGTCGAGTCCCATCTTTGCTTGAACTGGCATTGCAGTCCTGCTCTCGGACTGGGCAACTTCGAGAGCTTCCGTCTTATCTTCCACTCAATGCGCCGCCGCATTTCGCGAAACTACTTGATCGCATAGCTGAGCAAGGTACAGAGAATGAAAACCGAGGAGATGTGCCATGCTCGGTCTGCAAGCGACGAGTGGTAGTGCCGATGACGCAGTGGATAGAATGGTGCGACATGTCGCAGCTGGTCGGCTATCCAGGGTCACCCCCATACTGGGTTCCGATAAGCTTGAATAGGTGCGAAAACGCAGTGCCATTTCTGCGAAGAGGTTGCTCCTGGAACTGCGTCCCCCAGGCCAGCATGGTTGGGCAACCTGTATGTGGCGTTCTGAGACAAGGCGCCGAGATACCCAAGGACAACGTATAACTAGCCTCTCTCGCATCGTGAGTGCAGGGTTACTGGAGAGAAAGGAGAATGCGACTTTTCTCGCAGTACCCGGAATTGTCAGCTTGATGGGATTAAGCTTTGACGGTGTCAGTCAGTGTATCTGACCTCAGCGTGGTCTAACCGTTATCTGTATTGTCAATACTAGTCAATGAATACCAGAACATAAGAGGCACTCCCACCGCAAGGCCCAGTCTCAAGAAGTGAAAGGCGTATAAATATTGGTTCCTAACCGGCCCTCCCTATTTAGTAGTCAGTAGAGTCGACTGCAACCGCTTTTGCCGGTTCTGTCTCGGTGCCATTGACACGGGAGCGCCACCAGTTACAACATACAAGATCTGACTATCTCCCCATGTCCTACCAAAGGCGGCAGCAGAGCCGCCACCGACGACGAGCTGGCCCGAGCCGTCCGCATCGACGATGAACACCTTACTAGTGAAGTCTGTCGTCACCCAAGTCTTCCCGGCCTTGTCGAACGCGAAGTCATCGAGATTGGCAGCTACCGGGTACCCTTCCTCGCCAATGGCCAGGCGGACGTAGGTAGACACCAAGCCGGGGTTGGTCTAGTAGAGGTGCCCATCTCGCTCGCCCCTTCAGCCGGTTGACGCCGATAGGGATTATGGTGTTGATTCTGGGCTCGGCACTATCTGCGACGCCGCGATCACCAACGCGTACGTACTCGCCCGACGCGGTGTCGCTTCCAAGGCGCCAGGCCGAGTTCAATGTGGCAACGATCGGCTATGAGGACTACGCTTGACGTGGCCGTCGGCACGTCCGCCATGGCACTCCCGCTATGCCGTTTGGGAATCTGGCTTCAGGCTTGCGGGCTTCCCCGTCGGACGAGGAGACCGGCGTCGTCGTCGTGGCGTCGAAGGAGAGCTAAATGGCTGCGAATGCGCCCCTGAGGATATAAATCGAGGCAGTCGACGACAATAGGGTCATGATAAGGTCGCCGTTGGGTGGGACTACGAATTTCTCTAGCCAGGTCCCGGTCTCCAGCCCCTGGAACTGGAATATCGTCTCCGTCGGGAGCAAAGGAAGGTGAGTTGCGCGAGGCCTAGGCTGTGGTGTTGCCGTGGCGAGCGACGGGCCGCGGAGAAATGCCAGGGGTCATCAACGAGGAGAACATGATGGCGCAAGGTTTATCGCTGTCTTGTTGCGGTGTGGAAGCTTAGGGTCAGTGACTACTCTTTACTTTAAATACTTACTTAAGGAGCTGCCCGAATTAACGCACGATCCGAAACGAGACAGATCGATGTGGGCATCGTTATTGGTGACGAGCCTGCCACGAAGAGTCCCCCGACAATCCTGGCCCCTGAAGAACAGAATCCCCACTGCTGTTCGTAGAATGGCACGGGCCCTCAGGGGTAGCGCAAGTCTCCTTCCATTCTGAGTCCCGCGTAGAGGAAGCGAAGTCAGTTTGTCCAGGAGCCTTGACCGGCACGATCTTTTCATTCAACTCGTCGGGCAGGGTGGCCGGAAAATCATTAGCTTCTCCCTTCTAGCATAGACGGTGCCCCACGGCTGGAAAGGGGCCACGCTGAGCTTGGGCTTCTCACTGCAGTGCGCTTTGGTGTTGGGCATGTCATCGATTGGCTGAAGTTTTTGGCTGTACAGAGCTTGAAGTAGGGGGGTTGTGCCCGTTTGGAAGAGGGCGTCTCTCGATCATGCCAACTCCGGAGGTCGAAGCAGAGAGGGCTGGCACGGCGAGTAGGTCAAGGACAAAGGCGGTGAAAGACTTGGCCTGCCTGCTGATGGGAATGGGTAGTTGTATGGTATTGACAGTGTGCCTAATGCAATGGGCGGAGAGGGATGATTGGGGAAATTGATCTTTCGTCAAGATGTGCGGACTGTAGGTGATCTTGTAAGACGTATCGAACGACCCCTATATGTACTCACCACTGGAACTTGAAGTTCAAGCAATCCTAGCATCGACGCCGTCAAGATTCACTTTCAGACGAAAATCGCTCGCATGTGTCTCACGTCTCAGGTTCTGGACTGTTCAAAGCTTCGAATTCGCAGCAGTCTTGTGGGAGTCCGTCCACAATGCTTCTAGGTGAGACGACGGGGCTGCGACTCCAACATCCATGGCTAGCAAGCCCAAGAGACTGTCTCACGAGAAGAATCCGCCTGACCTGCCATAAATTGAGATCAGAGGGACTACGTGACAAGCCAACCAAGCCATACGGTTCTATCGTCATCCCGACGGGATGGAAGAGCCATACTGCGGGCAGCCGTACACGAGACGATCTCTAGTTGAGGCAAGCTGGTTTGGACGAGGAGCGGCAGTATCCAAGATGCACCGATGCTGGATTTCGTCATGCAGTTGTTTCAGACAAAGATCAACGAGCAACGAGTATATCGAATGGTACCCAAGAAGATGTCGTGTGTGAAGAAGGCCACTGGATCCATGTTTTGACAAGCGATGAGGAATATCTTTGAATGAGAGCAGCGGGATCGACCGCACTCAAATGACGGTGCTCACGACACAAAGATGAGCCGGATTGCTGCGGATCGAGTGGGAGGCATTAAACTCGAGTCTTTCATACTCTTAGACGTTTCATGAATCAGCTCCGGAGCTCCAAGGCGAGTATCGCATTTCGTTGAAGTATCCACGTGTCGTAGCTAGCCCCCAAACTCCCAACCGCCAAAGCATTCGAGGCGTCTGTGAGACATTCAGCTACTACCTTTTTCATTGCAATCTAACTACATAGTGCCCCTCAGGCTTTTGGTTTCTGCTCAGTGTGAAGCAATTCTAGAGCAACAGAGAATGACCATGTTGCCAAGTCTGCAAGACCAAATCCTGTCGACAGTGACTCCTAAATCAAGGTACAAGACCCAAGAAGCGGCTGCCTTCTAGGAACAGCGGCATCTTGTAGACCCAATGAACCAAGTGTGAAACTGCCAGTCATGTGTGGTGGTTTCCAATCTAGACGGTTGATACAAGATCTTGCAGTGGCATGGACACCGAGTATCTGGTTGTTCCGGCAGATCTCCACCAGGAAGATTCACCGAAGTTGGTGATAACGAAGAATGGTGTGCTGGCCACTCGATATCGCCTTTTCCCTCCTCCATTGTGGTACAGGGTGTCGCTCATATATGGGAATAAGTTAGGAGGTCAGCCCTACTCGTGAGCGACTGAGATGTTCTTGGATGCGAGCTGGATACCATTGTGCGAAATGAAAAAGTCGGCTGCGGCGCCCGAGACTTCCATCTTGAAGTCCAAAGTGAATCGATAGTGCGGAATACCAGCTCCCCGGCCGAGTGGCAGTGTCTCAACAGGCACTGGAGTTTTCCACGATACGCTCGCAAACAACTGCACGCACTTGTCTTGTCTGCTGGGGGCCCGCTCATCATGACACACGTAAATCTCGGTGGTTCGCGACTGAATACCTCTCTTCTTGCAATCGAACTGGTGGTATATCGATTCGCTCTTCGAACTGCGAGTAGAGATATCATCGCCCTGAAGTGTAACGATTAGTATAGTTCAAACCGGCCGTTTCCATGTAGCATTACCCGCTTCACTGCCCACGTCATTTGCTTCCACGCCACCCACTCTCCATCGTACTCGTCCCATCTCTTGTCTCTCTTGTCGTGTACTCCCTCAATGAAATTGGTCGCGTAACACCAACCGTAACTCGCACGAGCGATTCGGGATCGCACTTGAACTGTCTGCTTGACTAGCCCTTGGCTCATGGCACCAGAGAGGGTTGCGCCTCGGCAGATGGCAGACCACCTAAGCGCATAATTTTAGCTTGTGCTCAACACCCTCAAGTTGGTCAATACTACTCACGCATCCTTGGATTCTAAAAGTTCCGTGGGACGGTCTCCGAGCCATTCTTTCAGACACTTGTAGAGATAGGCGGAGCGACCGAATCCACCGACAAGTATAATAAACTATATTCTTTATTAGTTCATCTAGTTCCTGCAAGGCTCAAGATGCGTACCTTTGGGTGCTTTGCGGTCTTGGTCAGAATCTCACGGAGCTGGTCCTTAACCAACTTGCGGATCTTGGGAAGGACTGCCGAGAAGAGTTGCTCGATGTCATGCCTAGGATAGTTAGATATTTGACAATCGGGGTTTCTGGTCTTATTTAACTTACGCCGTAAGCGTGGGATCTCTCTGAGTCAGTGGTGATGGCAGTTGAATCGTCCATGACTTGGTTGATCCATCGAACTTGCGTTTGACTATACCATTTAGTGTTAGTGGAATATTCTACAAGTGGGAGATGGTGGCCTTGATTGGTTTTGTAAGCCTGTTAATGCGCAATGACAGGCACATCGATGGGCTCAGCTTGGAGTCACTTACTCCTGTCCTCCCAGTTCTCCTTCATGATCGCCGTAATTTGAGGTCTACTCAATGACTTCCAGGTAGGTAGCGAGATCTCCCTGATCATTCTCGCTTCGAACTTCTCGTCGACAAACGAGGCTCCACAGAGGTCGCCTGGTGAGTTCGTGAGCCACGTACTTGATGCGCATATTGGTACGAATACATACCATCACCTTCCACGCACTCGGTGACCACAAGAGGCTTGGGTACCTCTATCTTGTAGCTGATTACATCGCTGCGTTATGCGAGTCAGCTCATGACATCTGAAACAAGGCCTGGGGATTTTTTTGCATTATCGGGAAGGCGGCAACTCACACTGTACCCCCACCAGCGTCGACGACAACAAAGGTGTCGCCAGCCTTCAGGTTTCCGCGTCTACGGTGCTCGTGGGTGGTGGCAAAGGCAGCAGCCTCGGGCTCCGAGATGAAAGAAACAACAGTGGGCCCTGCGGCCCTGTTTTTCATGATCCCGGCACGCTTAGCAGCCAGACGCATTCGGTCTCGTGTGTAGTCTTTCCAGATCGCCGGAACGGTGAGCACAACGTGAAAGGGAACGGCGTCAATTATGGCACCTTCCGTCTTCATGATCTTCATCAACACGTGGCTCCACAGCTTTCCTAGGTAGTCGCCGACGATTTCGACGGCGGTTTTGCCCGAATCTTTAAGCTTGCGACGTGCAGCTCGCAAATGGAACGAATCACGTAGATGCGCCTGCAGATCCTCTTGCTCGAGGAGGAGAAGCTTGAACCACTCGAACGGCTCGACGTCATCGGGAATCTCGTATCCCCAGTAAATGTCGTCGGTGAGCACGTCATAGTAGATCTTGGATGGGACTTTTTGGGCCTCGTGAGTGTTGGAACGATCCGTGTCCCAGTCTCTGATCACTTCGGGGTCTTGGGGTTCATCCGACTCATCGTCGCATAGGTACCAAGATGCACCGGAGAAGCTGTGAATAGAGGTACAGTAAGTATATTGGATACGCAAAGCTAGGCAGAGCAATGGGTTGGAAGAGCCGCAGAGTCAATACTCATTTCATTACTAGACGCCTTCTCCAGCTGCTTGGATAGCCCCAACCGGGGTATGAGACGAGATTCGTGACAAAGGACAGGAGAGGGCCGATAGCTAATTTGCTGGGAAAAAAATTTCAAACTTACGTAGTACCGAAGTCAAGGCCTACCACTAGTGGGAGTCGCTTCGGAGATGCCGCCATGGTGGTGCTTGAGATGCTGGTAGAACACTGGAGGATGATCAGCTTGGCGAGAACAGACTGAGGTGAGGTCAAGAAGAAAATAAAGTTGCAATAGAAACGACAACGATTTGTGCACCTTCCTGCAAATCACCACCGGAAGAGAGTTGGCTCAGGTAATTTTGCCAACGAATATGTCGACTGCTTTGAAATTTTGAGGCGGACAGGAGGGATTATCGGAAGGTGCATTGCGTACCGCTTGGAGAATGACGGCCTCCTGGAGTTGAGATCGACGTGACAGAGGTCGAGGAACAGGGTCACAGACAGGTAAAGGCAGCGAGGGAGGGCCTGAAAACTGATGCCCACAAGATGCCACTGGGGCGAGAATGTGACGAGGTGGAAAAAACGAGACAGAGGCCTGCAGTACAAAATAAGGTACGAAGGTACGGAGGTACGGAGGTACGGAGGTACAAAATGAGGTAAGTACCTTGAGTGCCCAGATGACGGGAAGTGTGGGATTGGAGTGCCATTTCAGGTTGCTACAGAAGTGCTTCAAGCACTAATGTTTTCACCCGGGCACCTGCTCAAGGATACGTGCGTGTCCCAGGCATCACCACAGAATTACAACAGTCCTTCCATTCTGACCCACCTCTCAACCCAGCCCACCTTGGGCATGATCTCACTCCGGGACATCTCTGCACCTCACATCACCATATTCTTCCTGCAATTGCAACATATTTTGCATTGCGGTACGTCTTCAGTACAGTGATTCTCTGGGGAGTCGGCATCTTCTTTCCATATACCTCGTCTTTTCTCCTTTCAGCATACGGCTCTTCGCAGCTGCCAGCATCAGAACGATAACCATACCCGCCTCAATATGCAGAGGATCATGAACATGTTATCAGGTAGTATGCATCAGCCATCACTAGACCTATATTCCCTAGTACGCTTTATAATTAACACAAACACAGGCAACTCAATACCCGGAAACGACAGCTTCTCGACGAGCCGGGTCCGAGACCAGGGTCAGGATAAGCCCAAGGAAACTCATGCCACGGATATCGGACATCGAGACGACGATGCCAGCGCCTCATCGTCCGTCATAGCCCAGCCTGCACGGTCAGACCCCAACCGGCTGTTTCAGGATCCTCAATTCCATCAATACGTCAAGCAGGAGGCTACGAAGATGTCACACCGCGACATGCAACTTCTTCGGGACCAAATCCAGGTTCAGAATGCGAGGATTGTGGAGCTTGAAGCAGCAGCAGATGGTGGCGGCCAGAGCCCTAGTAATATAGATGCTCGAACCCATGTGGTCATGCCGAAAGAGGAGGTGCACAAGATGAAGGAGCGCCAGCGCGACCTTGATGCTACGAAGGAGGCGCTGGCAGATGAGAAAGCTCTTCGCGAAGAGCTCAACACGTCTTACCAGGCAGCGGTTGATCAGCTTATGGTTCTCAGATCCAACAAGGGACTGGGAAACTTTGTAGTCGAGGATGGGGACATGGTCATTCAATGGAAGAATCTCCAGTTCGACATCAGAGACATCGCCGTACAACACATCGCCCGGCCAGTCCCAGATGAGCCTTTGTCTCTCGATGCCGTGCAGCCTTTCAAGCCTCTTTCGATGCTATACAAAAGCTTCCTTCAAAGCAAAGCCTACAGACGCCACATCGTGCAGGCACTCATTTGGGATCACCTATGTCGGGATATCCTGCTTGTTCCAACCAAAATTTGGGGGCCAGAAATCTCGGATCTGGCAGAGTCTCTCTCTCGGACCGTCGCAGGTGAGCAAACCCGTCTATAGCATCCCTACAGACCTTTCTAACATTATCACAGGTGAAAGTAACACTGAGCAGTCCGCGACAGACTACCACTCCTGGCGTGCCCAGACTGGACAGATAATCCACAATACCGCAGGCACCGACGAGAAAACACTCGAATCAGCTGTTCGGAATATCGGGCGAGCCCTTAGGCCACTGGTCGGAGATGGTCATAGACAGGAACTGAAGGATTCGCTAAAGGAGGTCGTCACGAAGGCCGCTGAGCTGGCCAGCATCTTCAGTAAGTCCCGGTCCCACTACATCTGCCGTGATATCATGGAGAATTTCGCAGCCGTCGCCTACGATGACGACCTGATGCAAGATGTCAGACAGGCAAACCGCCCTGCACCTGTTCGTCTGATGCTGTCACCGGCTCTTGTCAAGTACGGAAACTCGAAGGGCAAGAACTACGACAAGTCCATCGTCCTCGCAAAGGCTGTTGTGTTCTGCTGCCGACCTCCCAAGTAGAAGCCGCCAACACCCGGGGCATATTTGGTAGGACTGCAGCCAGGAGTCTAGCTCATACATCGGTACACACACTCCATGTACACTTGGTCGGCCGTCAGCGGTCGTCACATATGCTGATACGGAAAGTCGCTTTGCACCCGCCACCGGGCCTGACCACCCAAGGCAGAATGTGCCGAATGAGGTCAACACATAGGAGTTAAAAGCTTTGCCAATGAATCTGTGTCGTCTATGAGCTTCTAAACACGTCGAGTAGATGCAAATGATGAACAAGTGTGATGGTGTCGATATGTTAATTCAATGTGAGAACGAGAGGGAGAGCAGCCCCTACCGCTTCTGCTGTGCGACAACGTAAGATGAATCGCCGGCTCGAAGCTATTAGTAAGTACCCATGCCTTGAAAGCGAAAGCACGGAGGCCCGTCAAGAACGATACCATTGCAATTCAGGGACAGACTACCGGCGGGATCTCAAGCCCCTCAACTCCAAGCTCTCGGGTTGTACAATGGCCCTTCTATACTCTGGCTCAACGCCAGGGGGGGCCTGGATCATCCTCAGCATCTGTCTCGGATTGTACTTGCTCTCGGCTGTGTACGCAGACGACCGCCTCCGCAGCATCCCCGGCCCCTTTCTCGTGTCGTTGTCGTACATCACCTCTGGATCGCGCGCGCCCCGTGGAGCGGCACGCGATACGAATAGTTCCTGTCCATAGGCGAGGAGGACAGCTCGTTGGTGCATTTGGGCCTCGAGACCCAACGACGAGGGGCCCAGACTTGATGAGGCGTATCGCGAGCGCGAAGAGCGCGTATGGAAAGTCGGGCTGGTACGAGAGCATGTCAGCAACCGGCCGGCTCATCGTTTTAAGTGGGGTGTGAAAGGGGACACTCGAGCTCGAGCCGGTAGATGGTCTAAGCTTCGCTGAGGTAAGATAGCTCACCCCTGAAGGCAAAATACCACACTCCCCAATGGCCATTTCTTTCGCCTCCTGGTGCCCTAATACCACTGACTCTTCAACGAAGGACCTCTTTTCTCAACATCAAGTTGAATTGTCTTTCATACAAACCCATCATTTTTGCCATGGATGGTATACTCGAGAAGCATCACGGACTCATCGCCAGCGTAACGAGGCTCTACGCGCTATTGATTCAGATGCGGTATCTCTCGCCTGCCGACGTATCCTACCCACCACATACCTCGCCGCCGGTCAGCGTCCCCCTGTTACAAACGATAGGCTTTGATGACGAGGTCATCGAGTTGATCCAAGTACTCCCTGCTATCAAGCCTGCAGTGACCTGGGGATGGCACATGAAGGCGGCGCAGATAGTCCCTCGGTCAATTGCAGTCAGCTATCTTGACCCAAGCGGCGGGCATGTGGATGAAGGCTTGTTTGACTTTATTCGGAGTGGTGGCTTTGACAATCAGCATTATGCCGAGGCGAACGCGACCCTGTTGCCGCCCTGGATGTTTAGGCTGACGGTTGCAGGAAACGTTCCACCTGGACTCGACCTGATATACAATGTACAGTACAGTGAGTGTCACCAGTCCCCGTGACGCTCATATTGAAATACAAGAAATAATGGAGACGAAGACAGTCGGCGGATCAATGCAGCAATGGAGGGCTGACGGGGACAAGGATCGATTACGGAATGGACTCAAATTGCAACGAGATCATGGCAGGAGTGCCCCGGTCGTCCAGCTGAAACAGTCATGGATGAGATAGCAGGGAAGCTCAAAACCTTAGAATGGGTTCCTTACTATGATCCAACCGATGACGGATATGCAGAGCCTGCGAGCAGGGAGATAGTGGACAGCCCGCTCATCATGGAAAACTTTCGGCCTCTCGGTTTCAGCGGCAGCCCAGTACCGCTGCCACTAGACGATCACGAGGCCGCTTTGGCTAAGACGCAAGAGGTCATTGGATCGGGGGGCGTGGACGGGATCAGGGAAAGGCTGAACCGCTGGATAGCACTGCAGAAGCTCTACCGCGACTGCGGATGGGGCTCGGGGGACGATGACGACGCTTTCGATGGGGACGAGTTCGAGGCACGGAGGCTGGACCTGATCACGACGGCAAAGACACTCGATGACGATAAGACCAGGACCGCCGCAGCAGGCCCTTCGAGAGAAGCTATGGCGGCTTTGATGAGAGACAACCCTGTGATGGCGCAACACATCATGCAGGAGCTCCACGGAGACACATCACATCTGATGTCGGAAGCGCAATGCGATGCCAAGGAAGAAACTGAGCAGAGGGTGCGAGATTTCTGGAAACAAAGGGCTGGAGATCAGGCTGTGTGATTCTGGGCCAAGCAGTATTGATTCAGCCATAGCACGCCGGTACTGAGACTGCAAAGCTGGCTATAAGACTGCAAAGCTGCTTCCCGTCGCGAGTCCGACTTCCAGATCTGAATCTGGTCCGCCCACGACTTCCCCAAGCCATCTCGTTTTCGTCGACGAAGGCGCCGGCGCTGTTGGTGAGAGCCACGGACTCGGCTGCGGCTCTTGAAACCCAGCCGAGGGTTGCAGGGTAGACTCTTGGCAGACGTTATTTCTTCATGGTCCCTTGCGACAGTTCAACCTCTCCCTCAAGAGGCTGTCAGGGCGTATGCAGCGGAGAGTCTGGTGCAACAGGTTACAGGCTCCAGGTTACAGGTGACAGCTTATATTCAGGCGTGGGCCATACTCGGATCCAGTTCCACTGCTGATTGAGTCCTTAACTCTACAGTACACTACAGGTGGTCCCAGCCCGGGAAGACAACACCCCCTGCCCTCCGGATTGATCCGGAGTCGCTTGGTAATCAAGATGCCTAGGCGTGAAACGAATCGCTAAAGGGATGCTCCCCAGTTGAATCATTGAATGCTGGTAAGCCCAGGGTTCTTGTTCGGGGTTTCGCGTTGCCTCCGTCTACTGGGATTGGATAGGCAGCAACTGCAACTACACCTTGCTCCTGATTTATCTGAATTTTCGGAGCTTCTTACTATAGTCGAGGGTCTCCCAGAACACCCATGAACGAGATATCGGGCACCTGTTCTGGCCTTGCAGTCAATAGCGCGACACGGTCAGACTATGTATGGTCGCTCTGTGCGCCAATCCGTGTTACATCCATTGCGGAGTAACACGTGGATCTCCACCCTCAGCATGGACATTTCTCCGGATATATACCAGCAGCATGGTCTCTTCCTGTCGATCTCCCAGCTTTCTGTTCCTTCGTTTCAGGTACGCCGTCTCATCTTAAGGAGTCTGTACCCAAGTCTGAAACTATCCCTAACGGAGCACTTCTCGGTTCCCGGGGATAGTTCCCATCGCCCGTATTCTGCTTAGTCTGCTATTGCCGTGGGTTGTGATGTTACCTCCTAATATCGTGATACTTCTCACTTCGCATCCAGGGAGTGCGTGCCCGAAGATCAGGCAACCACGATCCACGACAATCAAGCCGCAACTCAGCTGACTAGTAACAATTTCGCAAGACTCTGCGGCAGAGTTGCGGCAGCAGATCTGCATTTGTCCAGGATGGTGACCGTTGGGGGAGTCCATCTGGGACACAAGCCTCGCAACCGGGGCTGCGGGGGATTGGATAACATGCTTCAGAATAACGAGGATTCACTATACTATCCTGTCTGAGCACAGCATGGGTTCCGATCCTTCGGAACTTCTGAAGCTTGATCAAACATCTGCTGGTCTCTGGTCAAGATGCCAAATTTGTATAGAGCAGAGGCGGCAGAGAAAGCAACATAAATAGGAGCTATCGCCGCCTCCAGAGCAGGAATAACATCACTCATCAGCACCATCACCCCCAAGTACAATCGCGCTCTCCTCAACGCCTCAAGCATCAATTACTTCCACGCAAGCTCAGAAAGCTTCAGCCTGTAAGCACACACCATGACGACGTTCATTGTCCTCCGCTCCAAGTCCAGATACTGACCATACCTGTCGCAGATAAGTCCGCTTCAACATCAATATCATCACCACCACCTCCACCATGCAGCTCTCAGTCATGTACGCCCTCACCTTCGTCGCCGGCCTGGTCGCCGCCGGCGTCGCTCCAGCGGCCGACGCTGGCCTCATCGCCCGAAGCTGCCCTGACCAAGATTGCTCGCAATGCGACGAAACTGCCGAAGCGGGCGGGGGGTGCATCGCCGACATCTGCTGTGGTTGTGCTCTGTGCTAGGCTGTCCACGACTGAGCTCCCAAGACGATGTTGGGCGCGGCTATGATGGGATGCTGGGGAAAGAAGGATGGGAGGACTAGCCGGCTTTCGGGGGAAAAGGGGGCGGCACATTACCAGTGGATACGCTCACTGTCTTGCACCGTACATTTAGCGAGGGTGGCCAAGAGGGACTGGGTGCTCTAGATGGATAGTCGGCCACTTGTGAAAATATGCGGAACTGTCATCTCTTGCTCTTTGCCTCTTCTGCTTCTTTTATCCCTTCATTATGATGACGGTACCGGAAGCGAGCCACAGCCTTGTATACTATTCCCACTGTAGAAGCAATAGCCAGTGACTTTGAAATAAGTGGCTTCATACCTATAACATATGTGAATCGGAACCTTCGACCTTCTAGCTGTTGAATGGCACGCAAGCTGCCGTGGTGTAAGGGACGTGGCCGAAACAAATCGGGTGAGGGATCTTCAATCTCATCTCGACTCAGTTCCCGACATCCCAGAGCCTTCAAGTTGGCTTTGTAGTTAACTCCGGCATTAATGGTGATCTGCCCATCCGCTGAGATGGAGTAAGCAGACTCCGGCATACTGGCCTTGGACTCATGCAATGACAGCATGAGCTGCTTGACCTGTTACTTGACTTGAACGATATGGACCAAGACTCGAGCTCATCGCTATCATGTCTGTCCTTTGGAAGAGACATTCACCCGACATTGTTCTTGCGGTTCCCCAGGAAAGGAGCTCTGTCCGCACGTTCTTGGCCTTCAGCCACCGGCTTTTGGCAATATGCCTTGAAGTTCGAGCCCAAGCGCTTCTGATACCGTGATTCCTAATCCATCCGGTGAAGATATTGGCAAGGCACGTCGTCATTACGGTGAAATATATCCTCCGTCAGGCCACCGCGGATGTGGACGAGCTCAGTGGCAGTTGCATGACTTCCAGTGTTCTGATGTGGGACTCCGCACCAGGATAATAAGGGGTAAACTTCTCCCAATGAGCCATCTCCCTAAACGCAAAACCCCAGTTCTACGAACCAGCCACCGCGATATCCGTGGTGTTCGTAATCAACACCGCACTAGAATACACATCTGGTCTGCCCATCGTGTCATTCCCACCCGTCGTCCCGTTCTTCAGGTAGCAGAACCCGGCCCCGGCCTTGACGATCGACACGGCGATGCAGTACCCGCCCCCAACGCCCGCGTCGCCCCGCAGGCCCGCGCGGTACGCCCAGTTGTACTCGGCGCACGCCATCATGCAGTCCTCCAGCGTGGGCATGTAGATCCGCAGGATGTCGTGCGTCTTCGCAGCGGGAGACGCGGGGTAGTTCGTCCAGCACTGCTGCTGGAATTGCTGCCCTACGGCCCCGGCCTCGAGCGGGATCGGCTGCCCGTTCACGGCGTGGGGCGTGTACGTCTGGCCCTGGATGCGTGGACAGCCGCCGTCGGAGGGGATTGGTGGGGAGCTTCGAATGGTAGGTATTCAGCGGAACAAGCCTTGAGTAGGTAGTGTTTCGAGAACTGTTTTCTCTCACCTTGAGGTATCGCGAGTCGGGCTTCGGCGTGCTTTGAGAGCGCCACCTACGCCGCCGCCAATACCGACGGCGAGGATGACTGCGAGTACGAATAGGAACGTCCAGAAGAGCGGCACTGTGAGTCCCAAGACCCTTCGTCTTTTGCTTTGCCACACTGTTGCTGTGTTGGGGTTGTCCTCCCGCGTTGACTGCACTGGTGAGTTCGCCTCCAGTTCCGCTATGGGTTGAATATGCGCCGGTAAGGGGTACAGAGGCGCCTGGTTCGGGACGACTTCGAGCCACGCCTGATTCTGCTGGACGTCTGGGTACTTGGGCGAGATGTCTTCGCTGTAGTCGACTGGGTACTTGTAGTAGTTCTCCATGAAGGTGATCACCTAGGTAGCTCCCAAAACTCAAATTTCAATTATCTGGCATATCTTCAATCGCTTTGAAAGAAACAACTAAGTTACAGCTCTGGGCTCGAAGAAGGATGGGAAGCTCCACCCCAGATCGCTGCCGAGATCTTATACCAGCTCCCCTCTCCCGCACGTCACTCGAAATCGCAGCTACTCGAACCTGTAAGAAGGCAAGAACTACGATCGCCGCCGTTTCTGCCATTTGCACCGCACACGAAACGTCGGGCTTGCAGCTCGGGTTGCACCCAAGATCTATGTTTGGAGCGCACGCGAACATATCCAGGGACCGCACCTGCCCGCGTGCGGCGTCGAGACGGTCGGGCCACTCAGGTCTTGTGGTTCCGTTGGAGATAGTTACCCCACGGCATCATAGCTGCCTTTTCGCTACCACATCGGCGGTCGCACTGATACCCACCCACCGTGCCGATGGTAGCGTGTTCAGGGTCGAGGTCTCTGGCGCCCAACGGCGTGCGCGGATCACTGGTCTTCCCCGCAGCTGCGATGCGACCCTACCTTATGAATCGAGTTGAGATGGTCATTAGACGGGCTCGGCTCAGGCTGTCGTTGTCATCGGCACCCTGCATGATAAGAACTTTGCAGGTGGTCCGCATGACACTCTGGCTGGATGGAACATGGCACCAACAAATGGCAACAATGTGGTAGACAGCCTGCTGCGATAACGTGTCCCCAAGTGCTTGGATGCTACACAATGACACCCAGGGACTCCCAAGGACTCGATATGGGTAGGCATGAAGTCGCTAGGCCGTGGCGTTCGAAGATAACATGACGAGGACATGTGTTTGACCTGCGGTTGGCATGGTGGTTGTAGCCTTGCGGCCCCTGACCTACATGGACGCTCCGATTTGCTGTACGCATTTCCGTTGCTGGTGCCGAACTCTACTGGAGATTGACTGACGAAGACGTATACCGCTACCGCGTTTCATTCGATAGGTCTTTCTCGCTGAAAATGAATTTAGGAACCCGGTATTAATCATTGATGATGATCAGGCCAAGCCTCACTATCTGTTTGACGGGGAATATAGTCTGTTCGGATTTGCAGTCATGTTTCAAGAAGCCAAGTCTGCGGAAGGACTAGGTCGACAATCTGATGGCCTTCCAGAATTATGATATAAATATGAAGCTAAAGGATATTATCCAAGGTTTTCTTGCATTCGCATATGATGAGAGATTGGTCGAGGAGATTGTCGCCGTAGCTCTGATGCACTGGGAGGATCTGATCAGCACCATTAAAATAGATGACATTCCAAGGTGCTAGCCATAAGGACTTGTGGCAGGACATTGCGAATTCGGATGCTGACCTGAACAGAAGGTGGACGGCGAATTCATTACCTTTCTTTGGTAGAGATATTACAGATCACTTACCTCATACCTGAAGTTTATCAAAGTCAATCGAACAGAAGTGATGTGACGAAGAGAGTGGCAAATAGCGAAGTATCGAAAGGCTCATGGTCCAAATAACGAGGATGCTTGCTTTCGTTGCCTGCAAAGGCCTAGTGATACATGCGTGGGATGGATGAAACCCGGCTCTGTGTCGTGACTGCCGAGCTCACCTCATCGGGTATGATATGCTATGCTGCCGTAAAAGCAAGGGTTATTGTACAAGTCCACCACCACCAAAGGAAATGCTCATCCATCATAGTCCACGAGACCGTCACATTCAAGAACGACTCTTGCCCAACTCGCTCTGAGCCTGAGCGGTGGGACCGCCCTTGACGCGTTCGCCACCCGTCACCTTCTTCTCGCCCTCGGTGATGTCGTGAAGGTTATCGCTGTTGATGGGCTCACCGGCGTGCTTCTGAGCTTGAGCCGTGGGACCGCCCTTGACGGGTCGGTCCTCACCGGTAAGCTCCTTCTCGGCTGCAGTGATGTTGGAGATGGTGGACGAGTCAAGCTTGCCGCTGGGGTTCTGGCCGTTGTTTGCCTGCAGCAAGCATGCATCAGTTACTACTCCAGCTGGCGCTGGGTGAGATGGAAGGCGAAGTACTCACGGAGTTGTTCATGCTCTGAACATAGGCAGCCGGACCACCCTGGACTGGGGCATCCTCGCCGGTGACGCGCTTCTCGCCCTGGGTGATGTCGGAGACAATCTCTGGTGAGATCTGCTCGCCGGCATGCTTCTGAGCCTGGGCAGTGGGACCACCTTTGACAGGTCGAGCCTCGCCAGTCAGCTCCTTCTCCTTCTCGGTGATATTGGAGATGGTGTTGGAGTTCAAGTTCTTGCTGGCCATCTTGGCGGTTGATTGGTACAGTGGTTGGCGAAGTGTTGTTCGGGGAGTAGAGGCAAAGAGTCTGAGAGCTTTTGTGAGTAAAGAGCGAGACATGGCTGCGGGATTGACGGGCTTATATGAAGGAGAAGTTGACAGGAGTGTGCAAGACGTAGATTGCTAACCTGTGTTTGATGAGGATTGCGTGTCTGCAGGTTGCTTGCAGATTGCTTGCTTATATGAGGATTTGCGAGACGCGAATGAATGGAATGATGGCTGGTCTGGAGGAGAAACAGAGACAGAGCAGATCAATGATGAGATGACTTATTATCCATTCATCATTCATCATTCATCACAGCTGTGGTGGGTCTTGAGGTCGAAGCTTCCTCCGATCCGTGACTTCATGCCACGATGTACCTGCATTAGGGTGACGTTGACACTGGAGCTGCCGGGCCTTACCTCCGAGCTTGCCATAAGCTTACCTTAATACTCCTGCACCAGACCTCTTGATGGTTCTCAACCGCTTACACGTTCGTACCAGGTTTATGTCTTAATGTATGCAATTCTTGCATGTCTTCTTTGCTGGGGCTCTCAAACGCGTACCATCGTGCCATCAATTGCTGGAGATGTTGCATAGACTCAGGTGAAAGGCTCCTCTTTGCATGACGTCACAGATTCCTGCTCAGACAGAAGCTCCGGCTCCGCAATCAAATAGGGGCACATATTCTCGCAAACCTTTGGTGTGTTTGCTACATGTGGACAACGGCAGTCCTTGTGAATACCTTATATTCCAAGCCGGAGGTAACATGCTCTGCTGTCTCCCATTTTATTGATGTCGACATGACTATGATGTTGGTAGATGACTACAGTTAAGACTCCTTTCATGCCCCGAAATGGTCTCAGCGGCTCATGATCCAGTATTAACAGCTTCTCAGGCGACGCAGTCCTGTATACTAAGTATAATTTGAGCGCCCCTTGGTTGTGATTCCCCTTCTGCGGCTACTGGAGCCTGGAAAGGCCTGGTCTGGTCACATACAGAGGAGAAAACCTACCTTACCATGCTGCGACTTGCGCATTCAGTCACGTTGCTCTTGAATGATCCGCGAGGCTCTCCTGATTTTGTGTTTGCATGAACTTGGTTCGAATCAAAGACACCTCTGTGCGCGCAATGCGAGGAAACTTTCATCAGCTGCTCGTCCGAAACTGGGGAGAATTTGGCTACCTGGTGAGAATCGTCTGAATTGGCGATCAATCCAGCTCATAATCTTCCTCACCCTCAATGAAGAACTCAACCCAACGTCGACGGAGACTTGCGAGAACATCTCTCCGATCCTTCGCTGGTCATTAAGTTCGTCGACAAGGGGACGGCAGACGCGGATCTCAGCCAAGGGTACCGGATTCAACGAGTGACAACATTACAATGTGATCTTGACTATAGCCACCAGAATCCTGTTGCCACGATATACCGTTGTGTCGTACTTCTATTGCGATCAAAGTACCAGGGTGCGTGGTCGTGCGACTCCAATGGCTGTAATACTGTACTCAGGGGTCAGTCAGTGAGGTATGTAAACCCATTCCATTCGAGTCCCAGCCGTCTGGCACCAATGCTGCAATGTCAAATCTAATCTGTCAAGTAGATGAACCTACATATCTTTGGTGGACTATAAGCTCTGGCCCAGCATTACAGGAGGTGGGGGGTTGATGCTGGTGCACCATGGCTCGTCGCAAGTTATCAAGCCGTACCACGCCACCGTCGACGACAACTCCCTCGCAGGCAGGGTTTCCTCGACATGGCCACCTACCCTCGGTAGACGAATAGCTGTACCTCGGGTGGGCGAATACTACTTCTTATCCGACAGCTTCTGGGCAGCCTACCTCGGTAGGTACCTTACTTACCTTGCCGAAGTAGGTACGGGGGGCATCCAGTGCCGCCCGGCGGAACACGCAACATAAAAGATGGGAGGCTGGGTCCAGTGCCCAGGTGCATACAAGTTCCTGGCATGTATGAGTCCGCGTGGTGTAGATTTGGTGGCATGCGTCGAGCAAGATCTCCAAGTCAATCAGGGATATATCAGATAAGGCAGGGAGGGACCGGTGGCTCCTGCCACGTCTATGCTCCTTCTACTTAAGGCTACCTTACTGTACGTTGAAGGCGACTTCCATCCACGCTGCACCAACTGTGAACGGGAGACATGGAAGTCACTGCCCGCTGGGTGTACTGAGGCTCTCGGTCAACAGTTGACAAGACATGGAACTTCAGCAGTCACCGATGGTGCATTCTTCCATCTTCAGCTTCTCAATTTGATACTTGCATCCCACGATAATCAGCACTATCATCATCACCACGAACCGTCGACGACCTTCGCGTCGGGTACGACGACTTTTGGTTAGTGCCTGTTCATCAATCAACATTAGCCCGGCGCATCTCCCAATATTGTCTGTTCCCTCCCACTGTGTACGCCTTTTGTCTCCAGTCCTGGAGCCCAGCCTCGGAAGCCGCCCTGCCCGGCTCATCGAGTACTTCGAGCCGCGAGCCCATCATGCACAGGCGCAACAGTACCAGGTCGGGTGCTATTGACCGTCGAAAATCCACTTCTTCCGTAAAAAGCGTCCAGCTGGAACATATCCTCCCCGACACGGCCGAGCGTGATGCACAGGCAGCCGCCGCGCAAGCATTCGCGAGAGCAAAGGATCGATCGGCGGTTGACGCTCCTCTGTGGCCACCGTCTCGCAATTACGTCTCTAGTCGGGCAACAGGTTTTATTGGGACGCCGGACAGACGTACAGACGATACTCCTCTTCGACGTCAACAGAGTGTTCGCTTCGTTCGACCGGCGCCGACGCAGCTATCACGTAGCTATACCCGAGGCGAAGACCTGACACCCACTCGCAAACCGAATACTGTGAGGCTGCAGGTTACCACGCGTGGTGTTGAGCCATGTCCAGCAAGCACCGCCACGACTGCTGGGATGACATGTGCGGCCAAAGGTGCCGCTGGTGACTATATCAGTGCTCTCATTACAGGTGAAGAGTACTATACGCCTGAGGATGATATCGCTTCAGCGCCCTCGTCATATCGCCGGATACGCAAGTCCAAATCGATGTTTTCTGGCTCACAAACGACCATGCTACCCCCGAACCACATGGGCTATCGGACTTCAGCGACCATGAACCAACTACCGTCTCCATCTCCAGGCTATGCAGGTCCTCGAACAGACGAAAACAAGCCTCCTGTGGGACTCAAGGCTCCGAAGTCAATGAGTTTCTTGCGTAGTCGGCGTGAGCAACCGATGCCCCATCCAGATCATCAGGGTGAGATGCCACATGCGTCTTCCACGAACGAGTTTAGTGGAACTTATAATCCGAAAGGAAAACTACTGAAGGCACAGCCTTCGACTTTCTTCCGTTCCAAGCGTGCTAGCACCGATAGGACCTTCCGGAAAAGTATGAGAGATGTCAGTAACCATGCGATGTCGACAACTGGGCAACCATCCAAAGAAGGTAGTTTGAGGCACAAAGCTCGGAAAGTATCGTTGAACCTCAAACATAAACTGAAGAACTTATTCAGTTCGACAAAAGGGGAGAACGATGAGTCGATGCTCCCTCCGCAGCAAATCGAAGCTCGAAAGTCCCATGTCACTGGCTCGGACAGTCTTGAGGAAGACTTCAACGACGAATTTCGACCCACGCCTACAGCCGAAGAAGGTGCGTTATCGAGGGTTACCTCGGGTGTTGCATCTCTTCATGCCGTTCCCTCATATCAGCAACTCCGTTCTCGCCAAGGCAGTCTAGAGAGCCTTAGAAGCGAAAGGAAGTCCTCGGATGAGAGATCTCGAGTGACCAGTTGGACGAATTCAGATACCGCCACTCTCAACACCATGAGTAGCCAGAGAAGCGCCCAAGAACGTCAGCGACTGTCAATCATAAAGGAGAATGGCACGCACATCTCTTCCTCGGCGACGAGGAGCGGAGCCACCCATTCCCATCCTATGAATCGCATCCCACAACTGCAACCAGCAATACCCGTCCGTCCAGTGACAGTTGACAGCCATAGGATTTACTCGGCACTCATGAAGAGAATGAATGAGACACAAAAGAATAAGCACATCCGAGCCGTTCACAGACAGCGCAGTGTTGATAGTTTCGTGGACTCAGGGGTTGTGCCTCCCAGAGGCAGCTCCAACAACTGTGAAACCAGGGGATCTGGCACACCCGTTACCATACGTTATGTTAGGTCGGATAGTGAGTCAGATTCTGGATCCTCGAGGACAGTGGAACGAAAGCCCGTTATAATAGAACCCCGATCAGGTATCGAGGATGGGGCATCTTCATCAACACCAGAAGGCGGGCCGAGCCAATGGAGAACAGGGTTTCAATCCTCTGCGTTAGTGCATCAATCCTCTGGACTTGGCGGGTCAAGCAACGGTGATGGCCGGTTCCTCTCTGTCCCAGGAAACCAAGAGCCTCAAGCTTTCAAAGCAACACTGTCATCTCGCAGCTCGGCGTTCTTCGGGAGTCCGACATGCCATCTGTTTCGCACACAGAGCCCCTACCGACGCGCACTACAAGACACCATCAGAACGACTTCTGAGGAAGAGCAACCAGGGTCCCCAGAATTCAACCCCTGGATGCGCTCAATTTCAGACTTACCTATGCGATGCCCAAGCACGTGCGAGTCCGAGGTGGATAAGAAAATGCACTACGCTGAAAGCATCTACTCTTCCACTACGGAGGACCAAACGAACGGAATAGACAATGGACTGTCCGCACCAAAATACTCTCCTCCCAGACCTCCGAGTGTTCATGGAGACGCAACGATTTTCGTCGATCCCCCTGTTTACAGGAGCCAGCCGGTACCATTCAAGCGTCGCATGACTTCGACTGCAAGCTCTGTGGAGTGGAAATCTTGGCTGTCAGCGAACGTCTCGAAGCTTAAGGAGTCACCTGTTGTTCCAGAGACCAGTCGACTTGATTATACTCTTCCAGTAGCTCTCTTTTCCGGTCATGTCCGAGAGAAGGCCCAGATGAATGACGAAGAAGAGGACCAGCATCCACCAGAGGTTTATGAGCCGTCCAGACCAGGTACTGTCCACGCATCAACCGTGCCCGATGCGGAGACCCTATCACCGGTGATTCAAGAAGCCCTAAGGGATGATTCGCAAGCACCTGGCTCGAAAAAGCAGAACGAAGCCTCCGAACCGCCACCTCCACCACCTAAAAGCATCCTTCGTACTGCTCCCTCGGTCGCAAGCATGGGCTCGGCACGCACAGTATCCAAGCCTCTCACCGAAAACACCAACAAGGAAAAAGTCGGTGCTATGGACCAAAAGTTTTTGGCTCATATGTCTTCACTCAACGCACTTTCTGGGAACCAGTCACGTGGAGGAACGCCCGGCACTGTGAAGCTCGTCAAACGCCAGCCTCGGCCGAAGGGATCGAATACCTCGTTATCTAGCCCAGGACTCGCGAATGCTGTTGAGAGGCAGTTCGGGAAGCTTGAGGGGTCTATCAGATCCAAGCAAAACAATACTCATGCACACCCGAACAGCGAGAACGTGAGTCCACACGTCGGCGGCGACGATGATCCGTATGGGATCAATGGAGCTGTTGTCCTTGGCCCCGACGAGACCGAAGACGGGCAAGGCGTAGGAAGTAAGAGGATGGTCGACTTTTTCCTCAGCAGCAGACGCAAACGTATGGCGAGCAGTGATGAGGGCGAGGTGTTCCTCTAGATGCGCCCAGTATACGGGGAGTATTTATCCTGCTCGAAATACACGGCCGACTATGACTCGACAGTCATCAATTTGGACCTTGATGGAGATCTGTGATCGGTGATGGGCTTTAACAGCTACTAGGTCAGAATGCTTAGGCTATGCTTGCGAGTGCTGGGTCATGTTACGGGTGTGACTAGGACCTGTCGGGTGCTGTTGGTTTCGGAATAGGAGACCGAGACCATGTTGGCTTATTGGGAGAGTATATACTAGCTAATGAGAAGAGGCAGGACCAGGAGCTGGAGATAGTATTGCTAGCAGAGGTTGGCTTTTGTGCGTGCCACGAGGTAGAGGTAGGTAATGAGTAATGTTGTTGAAGCCCTGGTCACCGATGATAATGAAGCTTGCCTGGCTCTGAAGACGATCTCAAAGTTCCGGATGAAAAAGAAGGGGGCCAGATCGGGACGAACCAGCTGGTTGCAAGTGCCACTTGGGCACGAGGACACAGTCAGCAGTTCCAAATGCGGGTGGCGGGTGGATCCGCAAGGGAAACGTGGAGTCGACCGGTTGCATGTTCCAGTCCAAGCGATTGTGTCATAAGGTCGGCTGTCTTGGCTTATCAGATAAGAGGATAGATACGAGAGGCGAGGAGGAGTCATCAGGATTCAGCATCACCGGCAATAGCAGCTCGCTTGGTCGTCTGTTGATAAGCTTTCCAACCTAGGACTCATTGGTGTTGAGTTGCGGGAGTTGTATCTCAAGATCTCAGGGTCCATCCAGGCATGCATGAGTCGAGGATACCCGCGCGGACCTGACTACAGTACGATATCGGACCCTGGTTGATTGCCTGGGGAACTCGATGTTATACTTGTCACTTGAGACCCTCGAGTCGCAATGCCGTCACATGGGCCGCAGCCGACCATCTACGACACCTCATCAGTGTAGAGACAAGTCGGCACATGTCGTGCCTGGTTATCAAAATGGAGTGATAGATATGCATAGCTCGCAATGTACCGCTAGACAGTCAGACAGTGGTTCTCAAGGTCATGCATGTCGTGGCTATATCGGTCTCGACTGGGCTGCGATAAGAGCTTCGTTCGTGAGGCGGGAGACGTCAATAGGCACAGAAGCTCGCCAGGCACCCCACCATTGACCTCTTTTGGCCTAGTGTGTAGGTCAGCCTGCCAAGCCCTCCCGCGCTTGCCCCGGCTCGGGCTGAAGGTTGCTGTGCGGTCGCGACGTCGCCATCTGCTAGCGGTTGGCCAGCAATCCTTATCAGTGGCGCCTGGTGGGCTGTGTGCGTCACCTGGACAGGTCGGAGCTGGGGAAGGCAGCAGCGGCACCCCCTGGTCCACCCGCTCAGCACCTGGAGGACCAGTCAGCCGTACCCACAGGAGCTCTCCCCCAGCCAGCCGCGGATGAGCCACATGCACCTTTATCTGCCCGCTCCTCGACCAGCTTCGTCCTCCTCTCATCCTCCCTCTTCCACTAATGTTCCCATCTCCCATCACCACGCCCATCTCTCCATCATCCATCAGAACAATCCATCTTCCCCTTCGTCGTTGACACGTCCACCGAGGCATCATTGTCTTGATCCCTCTGCTTTTCCTTTCTTCGTTCTCATATCTTCCAGTCGCTGGTAGACTCATCATACATTGAATCCGAACTTCATTCCATCTATCCTACCTGTTCATCATGAGGGGCCTCGTTGCTCTCTCGCTGGCATACGCTGCCGCCGCAGCACCCTCCTTCAGCTATGAGACCATCCATGATGGCGCTGCACCCATACTCTCTTCGTCCATCTCCGAAGAGATTCCCAACTCATACATCATCAAGTTCAAGGACCACGTGTCCGAATCTTCCGCGAGCGACCACCACTCATGGGTCCAGAAGATCCATGGTGCCCGCGAGAACGAGCTCACGGAGCTCCGGAAGCGTGGCCAGATCCCACTGTTTGGTGATGTTACCGACGCCTTCAAGGGCCTCCAGCACACCTTGAAGATCGGCGACGGCTTCCTCGGTTACTCCGGTCACTTTGATGACTCCGTCATCGAGGAAGTCCGAAGACATCCTGATGTAAGTTGCTGCAACGTTGACTCCCTGAAATTTCCGCTTCTTCGTTCTCCTGCACGAATGAGGGCAATGCATGCCGTCCTCCCGACTGTCTTATGCGAACTATACTAACCAAGATTGCCTCTTAACAGGTTGAGTTCATCGAGCGAGACCAGGTCGTTCACACCCTTAAGGAAGACGAGCCACAGATTGAGAAGAACGCTACCTGGGGATTGGCCCGAATCTCTCACCGGGACCAGCTTTCTTTTGGTACATACAACAAATATCTCTACACCGCCGAAGGTGGTGAGGGTGTTGACGCCTATGTTATCGACACTGGCACCAACATCGAGCACGTTGACTTCGAGGGCCGCGCCTCTTGGGGCAAGACCATCCCTAACGGCGATGAGGACCTCGATGGCAACGGCCACGGCACACACTGCTCTGGCACCGTTGCTGGCAAGCAGTACGGTGTCGCCAAGAAGGCCACAGTCCACGCGGTCAAGGTTCTCAGATCCAACGGCTCTGGCACCATGTCCGACGTCATGAAGGGCGTTGAGTGGGCTGCCGAGGCGCACATGGAGCAGGTTAAGAAGGCCAAGAAGGGCTCGCGAAAGGGTTTCAAGGGTTCCACTGCCAACATGTCCCTCGGTGGTGGCAAGTCCCCTGCGCTCGACCAAGCCGTCAACGCCGCCGTCGACGCTGGGCTGCACTTCGCTGTGGCCGCTGGCAACGATGACGCTGATGCCTGCAAGTACTCGCCGGCTGCTGCCGAGAAGGCCATGACCGTCGGTGCCTCTGCCCTCGATGACAGCCGTGCCTACTTCTCCAACTGGGGCAAGTGCACCGACATCTTCGCCCCGGGTCTCGGAATCAAGTCTACCTGGATCGGCAGCAAGACCGCCATCAACACCATCTCCGGTACCTCGATGGCTTCTCCCCACATTTGCGGTCTCATGTCCTACTACTTGTCTCTCCAGCCCAGCAAGGAGTCTGAGTACGGCATGGCTGCCATTACCCCTGCGAAGCTGAAGTCCAACATGATTTCTGTCGCTACCAAGGGTGCATTGTCCGACATCCCCTCGGACACGCCTAACAAGCTCGCTTGGAACGGTGGTGGTTATTCTAACTACTCCAAGATTGTTGAGCAGGGCGGCTACGTTGCCAAGAAGAGCGCCGCGCTTTCGTTGACGCTTGAGGACGTTGAGAAGGCCATCGAGAACGACTTGAACGTCGTCTCGGGAACTGTCGTTAAGGGTGTCTCCTCTCTCTCTGACAAGGCTGAGAAGCTGTCCGAGAAGATCCACGAGGTTGTCGATGAGGAGCTTAGGGGGTTCTTTGAGGAACTTCGAGCTTAGAGTAGTGCCATGAAGGCGTGAGCGCCTTGCACTAGTTACATTCCGAGGTTGATACTTTGAATGAACTGTCCCGAGTATTAACTCATCAGGAGTGATGGGCATTGCATTTTGGCTCTGGGTTTCTGTATTGTAGGAATGGCACATGATGCATTGACAGCATCTTTTAGTTTCATAGGTTTATCCACGGCACGAACGCCAACAGTCCATCAGTACTCCCCCCAGCATTTACTTCGAACCTCCTCGTCCTGCCTCTCTATACAGATATGTTGTGACTGTTTGATAACCCATCTTGCATGGGGTTGTTTTTGTTGATTGGTTGAGGACTTGGGGCCCCATCATGGTGAATTGCAGTCGGTCTGCAGATGCACCACACGCATCAAGCAATTAAAAGCTAAAAATGTCATCCTTGAAAGAGTCAAGCCTAGAGTGTAATTACCTATGCAGCGTCCTGGTGTTGTCCTTGATGTTGTTAGTGATACAATTGATGCATGGAGCTTGGTGGAGTTAACTGAAAGCTGCAAAGCCCCGGGTCCGTCTAAGCCACAATTGCACGCGCCACATTCACACGCGATATCCTGGGCAGGCAGGCTGACGATTGACGTCGTTTCCAGTAGGCAAGCTTGCTGTAACAGACAGCCCGCACTTGCTATTGTAACTTGTTGTTGCTGACGGTGTGCGCGTCAGATACAAGTACACTTCGCATCGCAAGTCTCTTTCGGTTACTTCTTCTGGTGGCGCTGCTGTTAAGCAATATCATACCTACTGCCGCTCGTGATCCCTCCCTCCATTGTCAGCCTGCTCCAGTGCCCCGACAGCGGCTCCCGCTTTCGAACCATTCGATGCTCGCCCGTGTTTGCAGCAGCCTAGACCCCTCCAGGGTGCTAGCAGTATCGAACTGTATAACATGAAGGGAGGACGACTTGCCTTGCTGCGCGTCTTCGATTCCTCTTAACCATCCACCATGTCGGGCCGAACCAGTCGCTACCGATCTTCCACGTCCGCGTCGACCGCCTTGACCACGTCTAAAGCTACCGAAGTCCTCCAGCGACTCCTCGACAACGTAAATGCTTGCCTCTCTTTCACAACAGGCAATGGGTATCCAGACCCCGAGCAACTATCAAAGCATATCCGCCAGATCCAACAGCACCTCTCCGCGACAACCCCTCCGAGCGCTGTTCAAGACGACTTCAGACATCTACGCGGCTTCCACCTCTTGTTTGATGTGCTGCGGTCTTTCTCGGGCTTCTACAACCCCCAGAAACGAAGTGAGAGCGAGAAGAAGAGCTTTTTTGACATCCTCGATGCCATACTCAGCGCCCTTTCCGCTGCGTTTGGCAGCCACCCAGGCAATCGACGATACTTTCGCACAAGGGTCGAAGGTGGTGGGTGGGATGCCCTGGAGCAGATTATTGCGAGCATCGGACTTGGTGGTAGCGATTCGGACCTCTGGTCGAGCTGCCAGCTGTTTGGGAAGCTTCTGGCCTTTTCTCTCGACGATGTTGCGCTGGACCGGCTATGCTGCGATGTCGCATCCGCAGGCATTGAAACTCGACGGTCTGAGACTGCTGCGTCTGGTCCCGAGGAAGGCGATTTGAAGAGCCACCATGACGCCGGATCCGAGGATCCTATCGTCGCGATCGAGAATGCTATCGAAAACACCGTGGGCCCCAAGTCGACACTGCACAACCCTGAAGTTGTTCGGACGATCGTAGATTTCTGGGAGTCGGTTCCAAGAGATCAGAAGCTTGCCGAGAACTTGGCATCTTTGATGGTACTCAAGGTTCTGGCTGCGATCGTGGCCGTCTCAAACATTAATCTGAGTCTAGTACACGAGACTGGCGTCTTATCTCGGTTTCTCAGGCTGGCCTTTGATGCAAACTCGGCACTCAATGATGCGGAGAGAGGTATCATGCTCGATTTATGTCGGAAACTCATGCCTTTCGGCATGAATCGACTTATGGACGCTCAACTGCTCCTCCTCAATCCCTCTATCAGCTCCGCCGACTTCTGTTTGGATATGATGCATAAACACAGCAGTCCCCCTTTTATACAATTCGACCTCTCATTGCATGGTCATTCCTCCATCGAGTTGCCCAGCCTAGGCCGGCCATTTCCCCATCAATCCTCTGCTGGGTACACCTTCACAGCTTGGGTCCGAGTGGATCAGTTCGATCCCAAGTCACATACAACCATTTTTGGGGTCTTCGATTCGACCCAAACTTGTTTCCTTCTCGCATACCTCGAAAAAGATACCCGCAATTTCATCTTGCAAACTTCAGTCACATCTTCACGTCCCAGTGTGAGGTTCAGAACATTCACTTTCAAGGAGAACAAATGGTATCATATTGCAGTGGTACATCGGCGGCCCAAGACTATGACAGCTAGTAAGGCTTCCTTGTACATAGATGGGGAGTTCGTCGAACAGTTACGAGCGTCGTATCCAAACCTGCCACCTGTGTCGAATGCCAGCACGGAGAGTTTTGCGTCATTCACATCGAACAGCAACAAAACACTGCCTGTCCAAGCGTTCTTGGGGACACCGCGAGAGCTATCCGCCCATAGCGGCGCCGGAATGATCAACTCGAAATGGTCTCTAGCCACAGCCCATCTCTTTGATGATGTACTAAGCGAAGACTTCCTCGCGGTACCGAGCCGGCTTGGTGTACATTATCAGGGAAACTTTCAAGACTGTCTGGGTGGATTTCAGACTTACACTGCATCGGCTGCCCTTGGGCTCCGCAACGATCTCGTCGATGCTAGCAGAGATGATTCTGATATTATGAAAGTCGTTCGGGATAAGGCGAGTCACCTTGTTCCTGAGCAACATGTCATTCTTAGCATGATGCCATCTGCAGTTTTTCTGGAGAGGGAGCATTTCGGCAATTCGCAGCTGTTTCGATCTCTGTCTCGCGGGCCCGCCAATACCCTCGTGCAGATGGTCTTGAAGAATGGCACGGGTATAGCTATCAATACAGCACTGCCTTCCATCAATGATGCACTGCTCCGCTCCAATGGCGTGGCTGTACTGGCCGGGGACCCCATCGTTGCCGCACCTCAGTTCTTCGATGACGCCCTGTGGCGGCTTGCTGGGTTTACCTCGCTGGCCCTCAAGCTAGTAGAGCGGGCTTCGTCAGCTGATGCACTTGTTCGTGCCGTCGAGATGGTTTTCAAATGCACCAATTCGAGCTGGCGGAATAGCGAGGCCATGGAGAAAGACGGCGGGTATGCGATATTGGGACTGCTTCTCAGAACCAAGCTTGGCTTCGCCGGGTCTACGAGCGAGAATGTGACCGCGAAACTTGTCCTTCAAAGCACGGAGAGGGACAAGCTATGCTTCCAACTGCTGAGTCTCGTGCTAGGGTTCATCGGATACAACCATCGGGAACCCCTTGAATCTGTCATCATCAATCCTCTGGCATATCGAATTCTCCTGCTAGATTTTGATGGTTGGAGAAGATGTGTACCCATCATCCAGGAGCTATACTATAAACAGTTCGTGGCATTTGCGGTCATGAGCAAGTATCACCAGTACAACAACCGGAGGTTGCTCCGAATGCGTAAGTCTTGTGAGACCTAGGTACTTGATCATGCTAATAGTATTACTCTAGGAATCGTGAAGAGGCTTCTTGATGCCCTGAAGGCTGAGCCACTGCCTGAAAACGTGCTGCCTTTTTTCATGGAAGCCATCGAAAACCTGGTAAAATGCAGCTATAATACTGAAGTTCACCGAGCTCTCGCCTTGTTTATTACTTACACTTTTCACTCTCCGCTGAGGTCATACCCCCGTACACCCAGACCGGCTTCCCTTATCGATCGCTCGAATACGACTGCTTCATCGCGGCGACCTACGATCGAAACGAACGGGACGGGCGAGAACGCTGTACGAGCTCTCACCAAGAGGGAGATCGGCATACGTATCTTGGATATGTACAGTCAACTGCTGTGTGAAAAGGGGAACTTGGCAATCATCCGCAAATTCGCCAAAACAGTAACAAACAAGGTACTTGACTCAAGGCCATTACAATCCGAGTCCAAGCTGATGATGGCCCAGTGGCTGCTGTATCTTCTCACCGAGAGGGACCCAGAGATTGTAGTTTACGGCTGCAAGATACTTGCTCGGTTGCTTGTCTCCCATGGCCCTGTCTATGTAAGCAAGTTCTCCGGTAAGACCGGAGGATTCTGTATCATGGCACACCGTCTCAGGCGATGGTGGGATGTCCCTACTATATGGCCTATATGTTTCAGCATTCTCTTCGGTTACGATGTGGCAGAAATTGATTTCGAAAAAAATCTCGATTTCTTCAGCCTGTTGGAGACGTTTGGAAAGTGTAAGGTTGCCAACCCCGATGCTCTCTCGGTCATCACGTCCATGATTCAGCATGGTCTCAAGGACATCTTGAAGAACCAGGAAGATCCAGACTCTCCCCGAGCTGACCAGGAACCCCCGAGGCCCTTGACAGCTGACCCCGAGTCATCGAGTACGAGATCTCGGGCAAGGTCCATGTCTCTTCAGAAGGAGCTGGAATCGCGGCGTAAGTCACATCATGCCGATGCACCCCAGCAACTAACACATGTCTAGAATCGCCCCAGACGGGCTCTGATCGTAACACAGGCAATGCGACCATCCTGCAAGCTGCGATCCGATTTCTTGCAGACTTACACGCCCGCTCTTCCGATTTCAGAGATTTTGCGTTGTCCTCAGACTACGTAAGACTGCTTCTCTCTGCTCTTTACCCTGCTCTCGTTAGCACGGATCCAGTCAATCCTGAGACGGAACTGAACTCCAGAGATTCTGCTCTCACCTTTGAAGGTGGTGACGTTATACTTCGCCCTGTCGGGACATCTACCGCTGCTCCGGTAATTCGAACCTCAAGCACTACTGACACATCGCTTCCGTCTTCTGGGGGCACGCACCGAGGAACCCCATTGCGCAAAGCATCGTCATTCATACTTCTGACTTCGCAGAAGTCGCCACAACCTAGCCCTTCTCGCCTGGCTCATGTGATGTCCCCGAAGACAAAAGTCACGACCCTCAACATCGGTCATGGTTTGATTGAGGGTATTGTGGAGCTTGTTGTTAACGTCTTCATGGATCAGCTCCTGGCACGAAAGGAATTCCCAGGTTTTGGCCTCTTCCTCAAAGTCCCACCTGGATTCCAAGAACACCAGGCGTATTTTGAGTCATATGTTCTGAAGAGCACCATTATTCACATGACGACAGCCATCAAGTTGGATTGGAAGGTTCTCAGCGAGCCGAGGATTTTGACCAATATGTCGAGATTTAGTCTGCACATGGTGGAAGCTATCTTTGAGGGCTGGTTCATGAACGGGACCGAATCCATGCTAGACTTTGCCGGGCTGCTACTAGAACATCTCCAGAAACCAGACATCGCCAAGATGAAGACCGTGAGACTCTGCAGCCAAGCAGTATCCACGATACGTGGTTCCTTTCTCAAATTGGTACTTCTGAGACTCTCAGAGATGGATGATCCCGGGACTACCGACAAGGAGGCAAACTTCTCGATGGAAAAGATACTGTATTGGCAGATGGTTGTTCTGGAGTCTCTGTCTATCGATGACGAGTACATGAAGCTCTTTTGGTATCAACTCTACATCAAGCTTGTGGACACAAGGTCTACCGTCCGTCTCGCCGCTGTCAACATATGGCGCATCATGCTTGTCCAGAAGCCTCAGGAGTGTGCATCACTGTTTAGGCTTCTCATGACTTCGGATCAAGCCCAGCTGGCAGCGGGCTTCCAGAAGCTCACTGAGCTGGACACCGACGCTTTCATCGAGTGGGTCGATCAGCATCGGTCTTCGTTGGATGCGCTGTTTCTCGGAAGTATCTCTCGAGTCTGGGAGGAGTTTGTCGGAGCGGAGAACCACCGTACATGCGAAACTGCTAAGTCACGGGTCGCCAAGCGGAGGGATATTCTCAAACGATGGCACACGGAGATGTACGAACGAGACAACATCCTCCTGCGTCATGATATGACGAACGCTGCATGGATGAAATCCATCTATGCCTCCGAACACTTCAAACATCAGCGCGCCATGCAAGACAAGCAAGACGACTTCCTGTTCTTCTCAACCTCCTTCTCCAAGATGGAACGAGATTTGAGTCGACCTGGCGCTGTTCTATACAAGCCCGGTCCTAACAAGTGGAAAGTTGATCGAACAGAAGGACGGAACCGCATGCGTCTTCGATTACTTCCAGATTCGTCACCAGCACATGAGGAATATCAACCAAAGCGAAGGACAACTGACCAACAATCGGCATCGTCTTTGAAGCTGGACACTTCTACCCCCGCGGCGAAGGCGACGCAGTCAATACAGATGAGTCCCTCAGTGATAGCACCATATGTTACTAATAACGACGGCACCGCAACTATATCGGATCCTCCGGATGATACAACTTCCGATGCCAAATCGCTAGAGCAGTCTGCGATTCCCGAGGAGGACTTTGAGTTGATTGACGACCCGAACGACCCGGCTGATGACGGGTTTGAGGATAAGAATCGGAGAGTCATGAGACGCTTGCAGCAAGGAGACGCTGTTCAACAAGTGTACAACATCTCTCGCATCATCGGTCTTGAAGCCTGCGAAGGAATCCTGCTGATTGGGAAGAATGCTCTCTACATCATGGACAACTTCTTCCAGTGTGCGGATGGGGAGATTGTCAACGTTTGGGAGGCACCTGGAGACGAACGAGATCCTTTCTCCCAGATAATCACGGGGACGAATTCCGGCGAGAGTCGGCAACCGTCGAGCCGCAGCACTCAGTCTTCTCGCAGCTGGAAGTGGTACGACGTCATCAGCGTCTCGAAACGCCGATTCTTGTTCCGCGATGTTGCAATTGAAATCTTCTTTACCGACGGCCGAAGCTACTTGTTGACAGCAAAGAATCCGGCAATGAGAGATGAGGTGTTTGCTAGGCTCGCGCACAAAACTCCCCATACCGCCGGGCCAAACTCACTGCCCAACCCGGAGGATGCCTGGCGTTTGGAATCACTCAAGATGTTCGAAGAAGCGCCCCAAACGTTTGGGTCCAAGTTTGGCAGCATCTTCAACTCCTCTCCATGGAATCCGATCATGCGCCGATGGCAGAGAGGAGAGATCTCTAACTTCCACTACCTCATGCTCGTCAACACAATGGCTGGCCGAACTTTCAATGATCTGACACAGTATCCTGTGTTTCCGTGGATCCTGGCAGACTACAGCAGTGATGAGTTGAACCTAGACGACCCTGCAACGTTCCGTGATCTGTCAAAGCCTATGGGTGCGCAGACTGCCCGACGACAGGCCGACTATCAGTCCAGGTACACGAGTCTTGCTGAGATAGGCGAAACTCCATTCCACTATGGTACTCACTACTCCTCAGCCATGATCGTTTCATCATATTTGATTCGCCTGCCCCCTTTCGTGCAGTCCTATATCCTCTTGCAAGGTGGCAATTTCGACCACGCTGACCGACTTTTCTTTTCGATCGAAGGGTCATGGAAGTCGGCCTCCCAAGATAACGGGTCTGATGTTCGAGAGTTGATACCCGAGTTCTTTTGCCTTCCGGAGTTTCTGACAAATGTCAACGGTTACAACTTCGGTGATCGGCAGGGATCTGGTGGCCGAGTCAATAACGTCGAGTTGCCTCCGTGGGCAAAAGGTGATCCCAAGATATTCATCGCCAAACACCGTGAAGCCCTCGAGTCTCCTTTCGTAAGCCAGAACCTCCACGCCTGGATAGACCTGGTCTTCGGTTTTAAGCAACGTGGCGAGACGGCTGTGGAGAATCTGAATGTGTTCCACTATCTCTCCTACTATGGCGCCAAAGATCTCGACAACATCACAGACGCGGATGAGAGGCAAGCCACCACTAGCATCATCCACAACTTTGGCCAGACACCGCATCAGGTCTTTACCAAGGCTCACCCAGCTCGCGAGAACGCCTCGTTCCCCGCGAAGAGACTGGATACTTCTAGCTATGCGCTCGCCAGGATTCCACATCCACTTCTCGAGAGTCGAGAGCGAGTGGCTTCGCTGCTGTACTCGCCCAAGCTAGACCGTCTTCTTTGCTCGTCCCCATTCCGGCTCAATCTGCCACCCTTCTTTGACAAATATCTGGAGTGGGGCTACGCGGACAACAGTGTTCGGTTCTACTTCACAGAGAACAGGAAGAGTGCCGGCGTCAACGAGAACTTGCACATTGGCCAGATCTCCTGCATCCTTGTTGCAGACTCAAAAACTCTGATCACGGCGGGCGAAGATTGCGTGGTATCGGTCTTCAGCATCCAAAGCGCATCTGGGAAACCCGTGGAGCTTATGCACCGGTCGTCACTTTTTGGGCACAAGACTCCGGTCACGACCATTGCCGTGTCCAAGGCATTCAGCACCCTCGTGACCATCTCTGGCGATGGCCACGCCTTCCTCTGGGATCTCAACCGCCTCGAGTTTATTCGGAAGCTGCCAAGCACCCGGCCTGTCGAGTGTGCTCTCATCAACGATGTGTCTGGCGAGATCATGCTCTGCTCGGGCACAAACGTGGCATTGTACACGCTCAACGGGGAGCTGATTCTCGACCAAAACGTGTGTGCCGAGCACGACGACTTCGTGCACTCGTGTGCGTCCTACGAGGGGTCGGGCAACGAGTGGCTGGAGAGCTATTTGGTTTTTACTGGACACAGGAGGGGACGGGTCAACATATGGAGGAGGACGGTCAAGAACGGACGGTGGGTGCTGGAGCTGGTCAGAAGGCTTGATCATATCGATGCCCGCAGCGAGACGGGCACGAATACCGAGGCGGCCATCACGTGCATCACGCCCATGCCGCAGCTTGTATATACGGGGGATGATGATGGAAGAGTGGTAAGTACTTAACCTGCCTGCCTGCACACCTTTCCCTTTTTCCCGCATTCAAGAGGTGTCACGAAGCAAGAAGGCTTACATGTCTATTGCAGTACGAATGGAATTTGATCCAGCGGGAGCGGTAGAGCCTCTCAGCACCACGTGCCATCCGTAGTGTTCCAACAGGCGAGGGCTAAGAGTGTGGGTGCTGCATAGAAACGGAGTTTTGTCTGGGGTGGGACTTCGTTGTTTGTTGTATTTGAGCTTTGATTCTTGTAGCATGGCATGGAAACAAAGAGGGAGAGGGAGTTATCAGCAGATTTCTTGTCTCTGCAGGATAGACGTCGTTGTGACGGCCGTGGCTACAATGGTGCTGCAGATGGGATGTGCGCGAATGAAAAGAAGCCTCAATCGATGATCGATCATGTCATGAAACATATCCTTCCTCCTTGTTGTTGGTTGGTATTTGTTCATTGTGCTGTTGTGCTGTTTTGATGTTGTTACACCACCATGCCATCGGGGGCTGTCTGTCTCGTGACTTGTGATCCCATCCATCCCATCTTCGCATGCACTGCACTGTATGGCGCTCGAACCCTGTGCGTGATTCCCAGAGCATTCTCTACCGTCCTACGTACAGCAGTCTCTTCCCTCTTCCCTCATCGTGCTTCAGGTATCTTTCCCCCCTTTGTTTTGGTGTTATGTGAGTGGTGTGTGGGTGGTGTGTGATTCAGTCGTCGTAGCCGGTTAACGTCTTTCTCGGACCTTGGGGAACTGTTGAGAGTTGGTGTTAGTATGTTTGCGCACTTGTCTGCTGTCTATCTCCCTTTCTGTCTATGTCCAGACCCAACCAGAGTAGAGGGCGTCCGATCTCTCTCGCCTTTCGTTCTGCCTCTTCACATGTCTCTCTCTCTATCTGGAGGGGTGTGTTCACGTACTCGGATACGTCATGGGGATCGGCTTCGCGCGCTCGTAGCCCAGGCGCTTCATGGTAGGCGGCACGGTCAGCAGCATCAAGGGCCCGCTGGCCCCGAGGACCACGGAATAGAAGAAGGCCGGCTTCTCGCGCGCCGACCAGTGCAGGTAGCGCAGGGGGCCGGCCCAGAAGCGGGGGGTTGGGTTGACCATTGTTGTCGTTGTGAGCTGGGAGGTTTTGGTTAGTATTGGTTGTTTGTACTGGGTGGTGGGATGGTGGAATGGTGGAGGTAGGTAGATTTTGGGCGCTTGGGGGTGGTTGTTATTCACGCACTCACTTGGCCGTCGTGGGATTGGCTTCGCTGCCTGGGTGGCTGTCTTCTACGTACGGGAGGTCGAGGGTCGTCTGTCTGTTGGCGGCAATTGAAGCTGTGATGCTCTCGTGAAGTTGAAGCTCGAGTTGTTAGACAGCGCTGGTGGTCCGTGCATCTGCTGGCCGGCTAACGTAAGCAGCTGGAGCTGGAATATCTTCGGCTCTAAGCTAGGTACCTAACCGACATGTGGCCCCGGCTTGGCAGGTACGCGGACCGGGGCTGGGGGGTCGCCGGCAGAGGGCTACGTATGCCAGAGCTCCAACATTTTGAGACAGCTTCCTTACAGAGAGAGACGCTGAACATCACCACGAATCCCATGCGCGCAGCACACTCATCGATGCTGTCGCAACCTTCGTCCTCTTCCTCCGTCCCAAACGCCGTCAATTGATTGCAGAGACACCGCAAATATGAAGTTCCTGGTGTCGTTCCTTGTCTTGGTCTTCGCCGCTGTGGCCCAGGCCATCAGCTCGAGTGGCAGCAGGCTGCTGGTCATCCTCGAAGATGTCGCCGAGAAGGCTGGCTACTCCAAATTCCTGGCCGACTTGGAAGGTGTGTGCCGTCTTTACACAAATCCATCCACAGGCTAGACATGCTGACCAGCTTGCGAACAGGCCGAGGATTCGACATTGCCTACGAGACCCCCAAGAGCGAGAGCCTGAGCTTGTTCCACCTGGGCGAGAGGTCCTACGATCACATCCTGTTTCTACCTACCAAATCCAAGGGTTTGTGCCACTGCTCCAGCCTTTTGGCGGTTTGGTGTTCTTGTTGCTGGCGATACTGACAACACAAACAGGTCTCGGCCCCAACCTGACACCCAACATCCTGCTGCAATTCATCAATGCAAACGGAAACATCCTCCTGACCCTCTCCTCCTCGACTGCCACCCCGTCCTCCATCGTCTCTCTCCTTCTCGAGCTCGATATCTACCTTCCGGCTGACCGCCAAGGTCTCGTGGTCGACCACTTCAACTACGACGCCCTTTCCGCCTCCGAGAAGCACGATGTGCTGTTGCTCCAGCCTCCTGGTGCCCTCCGAGCCGGTGTCAAGGACTTCTTCAGCGACGCCTCAGTCATTGCGTTCCCCAATGGTATGGGCCAGACCCTTGGCGAAGGTGCCCTCCTTGCGCCGGTCCTGCGCGCTCCCGCCACAGGTTACAGTTACAACCCTAAAGAGCAGACCGAAACCGTCGACGATCTCTTCGCAAGCGGGTCGCAGCTCTCCCTCGTGAGCACCATGCAGGCCCGCAACTCGGCGCGCTTCACCGTCGTCGGCTCGGCCGACATGCTGAGCGACAAGTGGTTCGACGCCAAAGTGAAGAAGGTTGGCGAGAAGGATACTGTCAAGACTGGGAACCAGGAATTTGCAAAGGCCATCTCGGGCTGGGCTTTCAAGGAGACTGGCGTGCTGCGCGTCAACTGGGTTGAGCACCACCTGAATGAGGAGGGTGCGGGCAACGCCAGCAACCCCAAGATCTATCGCATCAAGAACGATGTGGTGAGTTTCCCATCCATTCCATGTTGCTAAAGCTGCTCGCTAACATGACGTAGACCTACTCCATCTCTCTGTCTGAGTACTCGTGGGACAAGTACATCCCCTTTACGGTGCCCGAGTCCGACGATTTGCAGCTGGAGTTCAGCATGCTTTCAGCTTTCCACCGTCTCAAGCTGAACCCCACCATTTCCTCTGCCGACAGCACCACCTACTCCTCCTCATTCAAGCTGCCGGACCAGCACGGCATTTTCAACTTCATGGTTAACTACAAGCGACCCTTCTTCACCAATGTCGTGGAGAAGAACACCGTTTCCGTACGACACTTTGCCCACGACGAGTGGCCACGCAGTTTCGCCATCAGCGGCGCTTGGCCATGGTTAGCGGGTATTGGTGCCACTGTCACTGGCTGGTTGGCGTTCTGCACGGTCTGGCTGTACAGCGCACCCGCGGCGACGAGAGAGAGCAAGAAGACACGATGAGGAGTATTCACCAAAAAGGGGGCGTTTGAGAGGTTGAAATAGATTCCCCCAGGGATAGGGGTTTGCGGAAGAAGTCAATGCGATGGACTTCATCATGTGCGATATACCTCTGTACATTTCAGGTAAGATCACGTCCTAGAATACGGATAGAGACTGCTGCGAGATTAATGATGATCAAGATCTCAACATGTGCTTGTCTTCTCACCTTTGGCTTGAACCCTGCCAGGAGCCCTGTATGATTGATTATGTTTGCGAGTTTGTCTCTGTGTGTGATGTCAATCTCTCATCTGCTGGTTCTTGGATGTGTCAATCGCCTACTTGGTTAAAGACTTCATGTTCCCAACCCAGCAGATTGAGAGATGGTGTCGATCTTGAAATCAATTCAGGCTTTGCCGCAATCTTGAGCAAAAAGCAAATTACCGATTTCTTATTGGTGGCTCATGGCTGAACTCTGTTAATCTTCTCCGTCGACCTTAACGCCAATCCTGGTTGAGATGGGTCTAGGGCATTGAGTGTACCCAAGGTAGTAGGTAGGTAGTTAGCTAGCCACTGGTAGAGAATTGAGATCTTCTTGATCCAATTGGGGGTTTCTGATACGGAGGGAAAGGGAGGGCTTGGTGGGAAGTAGTTGAGTCGGTATTCTGTAGGAATGTAACTTGTGTAAGTAGTGATTGTGTGGTACTTCCTGTTCATTGCCCCTTGAATCACGGCTCTGGTGGAGAGAGTATTTACGAGCATGTAGATTTTCTATCTTGGTATGGCTTTGGATGGATGGACAGGACGTCGGGATACCAGGGTATGCTATGTTCAGACTGGTTAAGTTACCTTAGTATTTCAGGGTTCGGTGATATCTTCAAGTGATGACTCTTCACCCGGTGCTGGATTTAGGTACATAGATAGCTGCTGGGAGTCACTCTTATGCTTGTTTGAGTACCTAAGGGAGGTAGACTACCCGCCCCTTCGGCTATCCTTGTTCTGTTTCGATACGGACCGTTCTGGAAACTGACGGTAACTTTATGCGGTTGGCCTCAGTAGGCTGTTTTGCGTATGTTACGTCGTGTTGGGTCTGGTGCTTTTGGTCGCTTGTTTCTTCCTGCATGTAAGTAGGCAGTCGGTCAAGGAAGAATGGACGCTTGTGTGGGTGTGTGGGTCTGTGTCTTCATGAGGTGTATGTCTCTGTGCGGTGCGAGAGCAATGTAATTGATGATTCAAGATCAGGTCCCTTGGATTGTGGATGGTAAGTTATAAGGGTGGCTTGCGCCAACGCGACTTCTTCTCCTCTGCGGTCTTTTCTGCCCCTATTTATTCGCCGGGTCTTCTTCCTAGGTCGTCGACTTCGCGCATTGGATAATCTGCTTGCTGCGTGCCGAGTCCTACAAGAGGTCTGTTGTTTTAGCTTAATGTCGTTTTTTATCACCTTCGAGTGGTGATATGCCTATGTATCCAAAAGAACATGCACAGCCATTCCCGCTAGGTCTTCACCTTGATGTTGGGCATTCGGTGGATTATCTACCTGGGTGGTTTGATCAAAGCAAGTGACCAACCACATCTATCATAATCTAATCTGGTATCTGTAACAGTGCTTGACAATAGTGCTTGACACATGGCGTTAGGGGCTTGTTGTCGACGTCAGCAATCCCGGGCAGGTCGCTGCCCTCGGACATTGGGCAATAGGCAAGGACGTGAGTACTGGCGAGTGGTAGTGATCCTCGTCGGGACCACTTGATTCGTCATCGTCATCGTCGGAGTCCTTGATGGCTAATGGGAAATACTCCTTCATCAAATTCCCCATGGCGGCTTCAATAACTCCTAGGATGTATTGATAACGATCCAATGATCCCCAATGATACAGTTCCGGGTAGTGTTTCATCGTCAGTGCCTGCGCCATCATATTGCTTTCATCTTCGGTGAGGTACGCGCTCATGGGTCTGAATCTGTCGTGGATGATGACAAGGGAACTTAAATCGATGATGTCCACTAGTGGCATCTCCCGTATTCCGGCAAGCGCTGGGCACCAGGTTCGAACCGTTTTGTGTATAGCCTTGCACATGGTCTGAAAGCAAGATCCGTGCCCGTTTCCCGCCCAGACCTCCTCCCATTTTGTGACCCTGATATCGAAATCGACAAAGTAATGGAGAAATGCATGTGTCATCTCGTGACACAACACGCCAACGAGCAAGTCGAGAGTTGTTGGCAAAGCATGTCGCCACACGGTTGTCAACAGCACCAACTGCTTTCATGGATGAGCCAGTAGCCCTGCAGACTTGGAATTCCAAGATTTCGCCCTGGTCTGTGTCTCAAGCAGAGAGACACTTTAGGCTTTGATCCATGTTGAGTAAGGGTGCCGAAGAAAAAAAACCTGTCCAGATTCTTCATGAACCGTGTCAACAGCTCCACGGCCGGTATTGCTGAGGGGAACAGGTGATCGTGGACGATTGTATCTCGGGCTTCCCGCTGATCTGAGGTCAGTCTAGTGACGTGGCCGACGCATGAATGGTCCAGCACAAGTCGCACAAGCTCACTTACCGGATGTTTGCCCTCCTTGAAGTAGTATGCGGAATATGGTGGTCCAGTATCCGAGTTGGGTGCAGGTCGTGGTCTTCTACCAGAGAGTGTGTACTTGGCTAACGGGGATACGTCCGACGACGTAGATAATAATCTATGTGTGGACGGCGGCGAATATCGGGGACGTTTTGGGGCACTGAGTAAAGTCGCTGTGACAGATTAAGCATGCCGACGGATGAACAAAGGACCTGAAACTTGACTTCTCAGAGTACAGCAGAGTAGTAGTCGGGTGGTGTTGTGCTGCATATTGAAGTAAGTGTTGGCAGTCGCAGAAATGGTGGGAGCACATGTCACAACTGCCGTATGGACATTAGATCATGACTTCCCTATGACTAGAAGTCTAGATCACAACTTCCCTATGACTAGGAGTCTATGTTACAACTTCCCTATGACTAGGAATCAAGGGCAACTGCCATATTCAGGTAACCTAAGTGTACGGATAACTAGCTGTCAACAGGACGTGTGTGCTTCGTTTTGCTAGAACGGTACATTAATCAGGTGGTATATATGACCAACGATGTATAGCCTTTTAGTGGGTGGCTGCCCATCCCGCCCGTCGCCCTAATAAGTAACTGTCCGTGGATACTGGTAGAGTACAGACATTCGTATCCTGTTCTCCTTAACGAACGAGTCCAATGATATAATGCTTTCATCCTTCGCTTTCTCTGGATAGCAGTTCACAGATGGCTTGTGGTGTCTGCGTGTGGTTCTGGAAAGTCCCATCGCGAGGTGCCTGTGCCTGAAATCCATCTGTGTTCCAAGCCGTGGGGGCGTAGCGTTACTGGAGAATGAATAAGTTTCAAGCTACCGGATTCAAGAATTTGAAGTGTCATAAGTGTGAGATTTCAAAGTGTTCTATTAAGGAGAGGAATTCCAGCTACTCTGGAGCGGCCAGAGTGGCCCTATATATATCCAAGATACTAAAGGAAAGGATACGTGGCCTTATATTGGCCACGTATGTGACAGAGTCACGAATGGGAATAGTGATCCTGAAGGATGACTATAGGTGGGCTAACGTAGCCCAGAATCCAACAATAAGCAGCTGTTCCTGGGTCCTTCTGCGTAACCATTCCTTCCTTTGGGTACTAATGCAATATAAAAGATTTGACACTAATCTGTGTTTCTATTCTGACCTAAGAAAACATAAAAACCAAGGAGCGCCTAGGACAGGCCAGTTCTCTTTCCCCCTATTTTTCCTGCCACTTCAATTCTGCAATCACCCAGACACAGTATCAACGTACCGACGCCATTCATACCCGAACCACACACCGAATCGCAAGACCGTTATCGCTACATATTCCATCATGTGCATGACTACGACATGTCAAACAGAGCGTGCGGGCTTTCAGATGGGTGAAAACGTATATTCTGGTGTAATCCGTAATGTTGTTGTGTCTGTGTGAAAATCCTGCTGTGGGCTAAGTGGCCTAAAAATGCCCTATTGGCCTTGTTGGTGCACTGCCACCTCCCTGAACGCCACGGTGGCTTGCGCGCCATTCAACACGACAACCTCTACATTTGCCCTGACTGCGACCCCCACCCCCCCAACACCCCCAACCGACCGCGCATGGGCAGAAGCCAGACTGGTCAACATGGGAGGGTGGCACTTGGCCCTTGAATTGCGAAATGGAATCCCTACTAAGGCGCGAAATAACGATGGAGAGGGTTTCGCGGGCTGTGCACCCATGGCCCGCCCTCGCAGAAACTGGTCCCGTCGCTTGTCATGCCCGTGCTACATACTCGGAAGGCGATATTTCGCCTGGCGATGCGCTTTACACACGCAACTCCTTGAACAGCATATCCGCGAACTTGTCTTTAACGACAACGATGGGGGCAACGGCCACGATCGATACACGACGCAGAGCTACGACGGTGTGTATATAGAGAATTTACCCGCATTACGACACGTCGACAGCCCCAGCGTACCACACCGGGCAGCCTCCATCGTTCCCAAGTCCACCATATCATCATCCCGCCGCCGGAACAGGACCGCAGCAAGGTATCTGGTGTATACACCCGCAGTACAAAACATCGACAGCCCCGGCGGACTACACCGAGCAGCTTCCGTCGTTCCCAAATCCACACTATCCTCCTGCCTTGGTCACAGAACCGGAGCAACTGTCAGCATTGACGCTACCACGCCGACAACGATGGTCCCGCCAGCGGTTGATGGCGACGGCGGTAGCGACGGCGAAAGGCACGCCCTGACGCACATCAAGATGCCTACGTGGGTCTCAGGTGGATAGACCACATACACCTTCGGCGTCGAGGTCGGGCCCGGAAAGGAGGCGCGGCTCGAGAGCTTCGAGTCGAGTCTCCCTTCTCGTGATAGCGCATTTGGATGTGAGGAGCAATCAGGCGTATTGAAAACGCGGAGGCGAATGTTTCGAACTGAGAAATGGAGGGACAGTGCCTTTAGAACGCGGGTGTTTGAGCTGGGGTTAGGGGTGGTTGGTTGGTTGGGTTGATAGACTTAGCGTACAGCACGGGGGCTCTGCTTTTTGTTGTCTTTTGGGGTATTTGGGTTTGGCTCCTCCCTTCCGGTCGCAGAGCTCAAAAAAATTAAAAAATCGTGGTTGGTTGGGTTGTTTTCAATTCTTGGTGGAGGTACGGCCGGCGCTCCCGTGATACACTCAGCCCTCACACGTCTCCGGACGCGCATGTTGCCAAGATTCCTGATCACCAGTTGGATAAGTTGGAAATACTGGAATAATCATATGGGAATAAGCTGCTTTAATTTGAAGTACTACTTCTAATGCTTATTCCTGTGTGCTTATTCCATTTTCATTTTATACCGTGATGGTTGAAGTGATTTGCATTGCTAGTCTTAGCTACGTTGCTATGTAGCCAACCTTCTGAGCCTGGCAATACTGGATAGACATAAGGTCGCATCCATCACAATCGCGAGCATCTTCGGGGTGGCCCTCAAGGTAGAAAGACCTGTACCGATATCGAGCTGCCTGTACTAGAGATCCATATCGCTCTCTGGCCCGTCCTTGCATGCATTGCAGACGCCAACAACTATACCGCGGCTGTTCTTCATCAACTCAGACCAGTAGAAACCATCTGGCTCATCACTATTCTCAAAGACTGTGCCATTACCATCCAAAGTGTTTCGGAAGCCACCAGCATTGCAGCCTGTGCAACAGCAACTGGTTATGACATGACTGGGCCAGCAATTTCCCTGTTCCAACGCCTCCACCATTTCGGTGATCAGATTGTAAACATAATCGGGGATGGCCGTGCGCATGGTGTGAAAACTTTTGTCGGTGATCATCCACCAGTGTGCAGACCTCGGAAAGTCCAGGAAAATGTCTTTGGCCCATTCGATATTGCGCTCGTAGGCTATTCGAACACCTTCGAAATATACCTTTATATCACCTTCGCTCAGATGGTTTTCCGAATCTACGCACTGCGCAAAAGCCCTCTGTGCCCCGATAGCCTTTGCGAACATGCGGTCCTTGAGGTGGTCCTTGACCAACACCTGGAGATCATCTAGGATGAGGAAGTCGGCTATTGCGTGGAGGTCGAGGCAGGCCTTGTAAAGACGATCTTAGTCCTTGAATACTTCTTTCGGTAGCGCTGTGAAGACATGAGTATTCAATCGCAAAAGACTAGGGACTACGGAATGGGGCTTGCCGTTCGTATAGATCCATGTGATGACCCAGTCTAGATGGCTCGGGTCTTCGTCGTGGAGTTCGATCTCGCCAGTTCTGGCTTCCTACTCAAGAGGTGAGCATGTAAACTTCAAGAAGCTTGACGAATTCTTACGACGAAGCCGCCGCACAGGGCCTTGTTGAACCACTCTGAGCGTGAGCAAAGTACCGGTATAACTTTGTACAGCTTCCACTCGCGAGAGTTGCATTTGACCGTGACATCTGCGAAGCGTCCGCTCTCGAGAAGCCTGGACCCTGGTTAGCCATTATCCTCTCATAGATACACTCAGCCCTCATAAGTCTCCGTGCGCGCCATGCTGGGAGGATTCCAGATCACACGTGGGAATTTGGAGATACTGGAATAGGCAGACAGGAATAAGGAGCTGTGGTTTGATACGCCACTCCCAATGCTTATTCCAGCGTGATTATTCCCATTTGATGTATATATCGTTGTTTCCTGGTACAAGTGGTGTACGGAGACTTAGGGGGGTAACGGATTCAGTGTATGAAGGGACGGGATAGAACTTACCCCTTAGTGTTGATAGAAACGGCCATGCTGCCTTGTCTGGAGCCAGGTTGCAATATTGGCGATGCAAGTAGGATGAGTCTGTAGCATGGAGGCGTCGTGATAGAGGAGGTGACTGAAGATTGTTGTGTAGGTGGACCGTGGTGGAGCAGGGTGACCGAAGAGGGTGACCGAGGAGGATGCCGCGCAGTGTGATCAGCCAGGTGACTAGGAAGATGCCCAGTATCAGCCGAAAAGTAGCCAGAATTTTTTAGTGCGAGTAAAACTTACAGTTCCGCAGCGAGGTTCCAACCCGTCGAGGCTGCGGGTTTTCAAGAGCACCCAGGGACTTGGACTATGGGAGTAGGTGCCTGGGTACGTATCTTAGGAAGAGTACGAACAAGTATGTGATACCCCGATGATGATAAAAGGAAGGGCAAGGTGGAGACAGCAAGCAGGCGGCCGAGCTGGCACTTGTCCTAGACTACTTTACTTCTAAAGAGAGGATGCTCACAACGCTCTTATTTGTGCCTCGTTGGCCGCCGAAGCTCGGATGCTGCGCTTTCTGTGGTGTACACATGTATATTTGGTGAGGCGACGAGTAATGCGCCTTGGTCGGATTTTTAAAGAGGCTAACATCGTTTTCTAGCACCTGCAACATTTTGCCTCGGGCACCTACCTCCCCTCCCATTGCACTACCACAATGGAGTGAGTGCCCAATCATTATTATGTTATGCCAAAGGCACCCCTTGCGAACCCGTATTTCTCGTTTTGCCCCGGCCTGCCCGACCGATGTGCCCTATTAGAGTCTGCTTTACAAGGGCAATGTTCTCTCACATGACCATGCCTCGCCAATAATCTCGGGACAGTGCTAACCACTGGCTTCGTAGTATGGAAGGACCCGATCCAGAGGCAAGCTGTTGGAATCTCGTGTGCATGAGCGGATATTATCCTCTCTGTATGGTCCTTTCATGGGGGCGAATGGGAATTGCTGTTGCTGACTTATGTCAATATCATAGAATGTGTGTTCTTGACGCACCCTGAACTTACGACAGAAAGGATTCAGCCGACTGGCAAGGGCTCTCCCGTCATTCAAAAACTGGCCAGGGTGCCTGCTTTATGAGCCGGTAGTTACGAGCCGCAAATGCCGTGGCCAGCGAGGTCTGCGATGGGCGTGTTCCCGGGTCAGTGGTCGCAACTACACAGAGGCTGATGTCTAAGCAGACAATGGTACATGTATGCAGGGCCTAGTGCGGCTACCGAGGCCGGCATCTATACTATCTTTCGGCAATTGTTTGAGTATCTCCTAGAGCCATAGAGCCAGTGCACTTCAGCTTGCCCATGTTACCCCTCGATACAGAGGGCTCTTAGACATACCACATTGTGGATGGGAGAGTCACGTGCGGTAGGGAGTTGGAGTCTTGGAGAGCCCGAGACCGGAACGTGGGAGACCGGAAGCCCTATGTGCTCACGATCGTTCATTTGTGACTAGTCACTTTTTCAAGTTCTCATTTTGGTGAGCCATAAACCTGCATGAGTAAGGCCGAACCGAGGGGGTCAACCTGCATGGATATATCGTGGAAATTACCACAAGCAGGCCTCAAACTCACGGCATGTAGTTCGCAGTAGGCCATCGGTCAGTCCGCCAGTAACTATAAGTCATACTGAGTGGCCCAACTTCTTCCCGCGAGTCAATGCGAGCAACATGCGATACGGCAAGAAGAAAAGAGGCTGCGAGGCAAAGTGGACGGGGTATGCCAGTGTGTATAATCACTCAAAGTAGCGGTAACGGATACGTCGCATGGCACCCCAGTTCACGACCCCAGCATTCAAGGTTCGAGACTTTAGGAGCAGCCGCCGCAATCGAGGACTCGAAGCCATGTGGGAAGTGGGCAATGCGGATAAATGTGGGGACACCCAAACCGGCACTGCGGCTTCCATTCGAGCGTGGTGACTGGGCCGGCGTCGCCGCTCCACAGCTGCAGCGGCCCCCCCTTTACTCACCGGTCCACTTCCCATGTGGCCCGCAAGTATCAACCCCCCTATATACTCCCGGAGAGGAAGCTGCGGTTTCGAAACACTCTTGCGCGCATACATACATGATTCTAGACCAGCTAAAAGGGAAATGCCACGAGGAATCTGCTACCAACACGATACACGCAGATCTAGCGTTCAGCCTCCATTCCGACAACCGTCGCCAGTTCGGGGAGATCTCATCGTTTGGACTTTACCAGATCAATAGAAGTGCCACAACCCAATCGCAGAAACAACTTCTTGGCTAGATCTGACCAGTATTCGCCTCCCCCGCAGGCGAGCACGGCACTGTGCGACGTCTCGCATCGTTGGGTTGTCTCGGGTACGACCGACTGTGGCGAGACAAAACGCCTCGAGAAGAAGCAACCGCCGCAGTCGGCCTTGACTACATGGCCTGGCGCTCTAGATCGATCATGCCCTGCGGCGTACACGTGTTGCGGCGCTGATAAGGAGGCCTGAATGTCTCACTTTACCGCAGAGTTAGCGCCAACGAGCGAGAGAAATGTGCGCCACCGCAGAGATTAGAAGATGAATGCTGTGTAATCGTGATTCGTCATTTCTTCTTCGTTAATCGTCAGACGGGAGTGCAGAGTCAGTGATTGTGGCGTGCCGCCTTCTTATAAACTGTTGCCCATCCCACCCACGTGCCACCCCAACTGCCGGAAGGTCTGAAACTTCTCCTTGTTTCGTGGGTTCTCGGTTTCTCATCCTAAGTTGCTAGTATGGCCATACTCGAAGAGATTTCATCTGCAGCTCCTGCTGCCGAGCAGCCTACGCCGGCCTTTCCCGACTACATGACAGATCCGAATGCCGTCTTGGGTGATACGGGCGCGCAATGGAGATATGGCCAGCCCCCAGATTACACCAAGACGCGCAAGTTCTACGCAGAGAGTGAGTCGAGTCGATTTCATCTCCCAAACCCCTATCTAGCCCCCTATTCGTCTCCTTCTCCTTCCTTCAGAACCAAGTGTCTAACTCGCTACCTCCATCACCTAGCCAAGCGCTACAGCCACGAACCCAAGAGCCTCTCTTCCCTTGTCGAGAACCTGGTCAAGAGCTGGGAGATCGAGGCCTCGTTCAAGACGCGCATCTCCGACTGGCGCACCATCGACCCGGCGGGCTACACCTTCGCCATCAACGGGCTGGAGCCGTGCACGGGGGAGGAGATGCTGAAGCTGGGCACTTACAATGCGATCATCCCTCCGGGCGAGTACTACGACCCGGTGCATACGGACTTTGCATCCAGTCATAAGACGTTCAAGCGCAGTACGTATCTTCGCAAGCCTTTCTCTCCTTTTACCAATGGGCTTGGAGAGATTGATTCTCTTGTTCGGGCTGCTTTCATGAGCTTCTGTCCGTGAGACGCGTGTTCGTTGTCCACGCTGATGGAATGTGATTGTTAACTCTTGACTTCTGCAGTGATGCCCACATTCGCCTGGGAAGTGATCGAGGTGTACAGCGGGCCCCCAATCGCGACCTTCAGGTGGCGCCACTGGGGCGAGATGAAGAACGACTACGTCGGGTGGAACAGGCGAGTCCAGCCGTCCCTCCTGTCCCCTCAGCTCCCCTCAGCTCTCCTCCCAGCGTTACCTCCCCTCTCCTCTTCCCGTTAGCACAAGTACCACCATGCCACAACCCCATCCAACCCACTCTAACACCCAACCCAACCCAGCGCGGGCGAAAAAGTAACCGTCAAAGCCGCCGGCCAGCCCATCGACGTCCAGGGTGTCACGGTCGCGCACCTGACCGACAAGCTGCAGGTCACGAAGCTCGAGACCTGGTTCGACTCGGGCGAGATGTTCCGTCAGATGGACCCCGAGAGACATGCGGTCAAGAAGCCCGCGGTTCCTGCGGCGGATGTGGGTGGGGTTGCGGATGGGAAGGAGAAGGGGTATGATTGTACGGCCGAGAGTGGGCCGGCGGCGGTCAATGGGGGACTGGTGGACGCCGGGGTCATGAGCGGGTGTCCGGTGATGGGCGGGCGGGTCGGTATGGGGGGATGTGGTGGTGTTGAGGGCTTGCCTGAGATGAATGCTGAGTGAGGGCGTGGGGGGTGCTGTGTTGGGTGTGGAATAGAAGACGGGAGGTTTGAGGGGGGAGGGTATTGACGGAAACGCTCGTCGTGAGTCGGTGCTGGCGCATTTTGGATGAGTCGATGACAGCGATATCGCCTGGGACGGTTACAGAAGACTATAATCCTGGAAATTGACGTCCCCTCCGTAATTTGCCCCAGGGCCTTGAGTTTCAAGGTGACCTTTTGCTATCAAGGCGGTACTGAACATACGATACGCTTGGCACCGAGTGAACCTGATGTGATAGATTATCTCACCAGAGCGACAGTGACAGTGGCCGGACTCGCCCGGGTAAAGGGGGCTCGCAATAGGGGTTACGACAAACTGGCAAAGCGAGGTTCTCATATCACACGCTGTGGGATCTTTACCGTAGTGTCGTATGCGTAATATGTCCTGATTGATTCATCGCGTGTCTGCCGTTGAGGATATATGCTAAGAGTAGTCTATGCTCCCGAGAAGATAACTTCTCATCCGAGATTCTCACGCCCCAGTACTGAATCCGTTCCCATGTACATGTTCTCGATATAGCACGTGGCAGCCTCTCTTCCCCACTCCCGGCCTTCCCATAGCGCAACATCGTTATTCATCTGCAATGAGTCCGGACTTCTTGCCCTAAGCCTTGAGGTGACGCTTTTGTGCTTCGCTTAGTGCAGGCGCAGTTGGCACCACCACAGTCTCGACTCTGTCTGTAATGGGCTTCATCAAGGAGGTGCAATGCTTGAATTTAGAATACTGCATCGCATTGGAGATTGACGAATCCATATGATATATCAATGTGACCACACTGTAGTCGTTCTCCTCAGCGCTCTTCGGCAATGGCTCAGCAGCATGATTGTGCCAGTAGTCAGCGATGACACCGTACATAAGCATCGTACATTTATCATGTACCTCCGTGCTGTTGTATATTGTTCGGTCCAGGAGTTCCGCATGGACGCCTTCGAAGCAGCTGATGAGCGTTACAATCTCCTGCGAATAGGTCTTTTCTATCCACTCTGCGACTCATGTGATCAGCTTCGAGACTTGAATGAATCATTTTCAGTGATACGAGAAAGCTTACCGTAAATCTCCGGGGGCTCAAGAACGTCCATGTCCTCGTCGTGCAATTCATTTTCCCAGCTTAATTGACGAACCAGCATCTTCGCCATCCGCTCGAAAAGCGCTGCGTCCCCCAATTCCCATGAGATCCAGAGCACCTCGAGGCATGTTCGGAAACGAATGCAATTTCGGAGTGAGCAGCATTGACAGGGCGTAGCCAACTGTGTGCACACGGCCTGAGCAAATGTGTGAGCCCATACTTGTCTGTCAAGACCGTTATGTCGTAGAGGCGGCCCAGCTGGCGATTCTCATCAGCGTCGTTGAGTTTGACTTCATGAACCCGGCCATGGATGATATTCAGCAGGGTCTTGAATGCCTCGGGCTCGTCCTTTGGCAGTCGCACAACCCATTCCGTCTTCTCGGGGGCACGTGCTGCCTTCTTCTTGGACTCGGCAAAGTCTCCATAGAGCATTGCCTTGAATACGGGCGAAGCTCTCGACATGGCTTTGGAGCAGGCGATGAAGCTTACTGCTTCAAGGCCTTCACCGACTTCGAGGCACAGGTCGCCGTCGAAATCGATATGATTCTCCCGGGTGACTGTTCGTGAAGCGCTGTTTGAGGACGCCATTGTGGTCTGGAGAGATGCGTGTGATGTCGTTCGCAGGTAAACTCGGAGAATGGTGAAGTATGCGTGACGGATCAATGTAGGATTGAGCGTTGGGGGTGCTGAGGCAGAGATAGCCAGCAGCTGAATGTAGAGGAGGCGAATTGGCAAGTGAGTAGATCACCTTTCGCTGGCAAAGATGATGATCTGTGGCACGTGCGTCTTTGGCGATTCAACGGCGGATGTAGTGCGTAGGTGTTCGTTGATTGGCTCAGGGTTGTTGGAAGCGAGCTTCACGGGACAGCAGAAAATGCAGATGGGCTTTCGCTTTTTGCATGTCCTCGGAGTCCAGGCGGTGAGGATTGTACGCAAGTACTTGCTTATTGCCTGTAGGTGTTGGGGGTGAGCTTCTCGGACTCGCAAAGGGCACGGGTGAGAAGGTTAGGAGGACCGAAGGTGATTGAAGTCCTGAAGTGGGAGGTAGGAGGTAATGAGTGCCTGAGTTGTGGAGTCGCCTAAGTGAAGAAGGCATGGCACCTGATTAGGATTTGCACAACTTTGTCGTGGAAACGAGTTGATGAGTGGAGAGGAAAGGTGCCGCACAGTTGGACAGTCTCGAGAGCAATGATGAAGTGGAAGTGTAGGATCAACACCAGGTGCAATCTCGAATTTCTTCACCCCTTGCGCCGCTGCCACGCAATATGCCGCTTCGTAGTGATCCGTCAGGTCAACAGCAAGCAATGAGACTAGCTGACAAGGCTCTGTGGGCTTCGCATGTACAGTTCCCGGGGAGCTGAATGCATTCAACGTAGGTATTTCGATGAAAGGTGTATGTCTAGTCGCCCAACCATGTGTACATGGCGTCTCGCTTGCGGATAGAGGAAGTACACTATCTTGGGAATATTCACAGGTCAATAATGAGTACCAGGCACATATACAACATGTTAAGCCGCTCATGTACCCTACTTATAGGAAACGTGTGTCGCATTATCTGACTTTCCTACCCTGGTACTGATGCATATCCCATACAATTTGGAGGTGATCTCCTGCTGACCTTTAGGGTGCAGCGAATATTACGTTGCTCTGTGGTCTCGAACGTCATCTTTTCTTTCTCTAGCTATACACCATTACTCTTAACATACATGCGTCTTGGCTCCGACGTCGTCGTACCCAGCACTCTGCATATGCCACCTTGAATTGTACGAGGATGAATGCCGACTCGTAGACAACTATAAGTAGCCGCAGTACACTGACATTGAATTCAGTCATCAACTCGTCAACAGTCAATCAATCCTGCTTTCTTTCCTTGAGCATCGATGTAGAGTCTCATCGCCTCCGTGAGAACCGGACGTGAAAGGCAAATTTGCGTCAGTTCCTTGGAAATGTGGCTCCCACACACATGGTTCAAGGGGTGTGCCTTGGAAATCCGTTGAGCTACCTCTTTCAGCTTTTTCGCTAGCTCCCGAGGACTGCCTCTTATTGCATCAGGATCTGGTATCGGCCACATCTTCATCGCTCGTAGAGACATCGATATCGTTCCTAACATCCACTCGCCGCACGCTTCCATCGGCGTTGTGTGCAAACAAATCACGCGGCCACCGTTGAGAATTCCATCCGTTGTGGTCTTGAAAGGTTCCAGTAGTTCCTGAAAGTGCTTTTGCTGGAATTCCTTGAACAATTCTATCAAAGGTCCAAGTTAGTCTTGGGGCACCCAGGAAGCTCCGCATTGCATATATCATACCTTGTACCCCTGGAGGACTGAGGACACCGACACATCCCTTGGTCTGCGCATTGAATGAGGTGGCCATGTAATTGATAGCCTTCCGAAACAAGTAATCTTCGCCTAGATACCAGGCTATCCAGAGATTCCAGCCAATCCAGAAGTGCTCGTCATTCAGGCGGGGATGTTCCCGCAACAGAGAGAGCCATCCTTCGGCCCAAGGTTGGAGGAGATGGGTCAAGTCGTATTTGTCCGTTATCACTGTAATTGGGTAGAGCTCATCAGGATACATAACCTGCGGTACATCGGCAAATCGAGAGTGTGAGATGTCGAGTAGTACTTTCATTGCGTCGGGATCGTCGTCCGGAAGCTTTACAACCCATTCGGCATCGCCCCTCTCGAGGTGCATCTTCTGGGACTCGGAGAATTCGCCATATAGTATCTTTTCCCAAAACGGTGATGATCTTGACAGGGCTCTAGAGCAGACGACAAAAGCAGCCTTTGAGTCGTCGCTGCCGACTTCCAGTATCAGGTCACCTCTTGGGTCGATGCAGGTACGTGTGGGTGCCTGGGGCTCCATGATGGTGATCCGATATTGATGTGATGGTGAACTGCTTGACTGGATTCTAATGAGAAGTAACATGGTCAGCTCTCCAATGCGAAAGTCGAGAAATAGCAAGAAGAGAAATGGTGGTGGGAATACAACCAGTGTGAATACTGTATCAACGAACACTTACCTTGAATATCCTCGAGGTGGCGCAATCAGACCAGATGGCTCAGCAGGTCTCACCTGCTTTTCCTTGACAGATGACCAAGGCGAAGGATACCGACATTCGTGGATCGGGACTGGGAATGTTGTGTGGGCAGTGGGTCGAGAGATGCAGCTTCGAGAGATGCAGCTGCAAGAAGAAGCACCTAACCTTGCAGGTGGTCTCCTGGGTGCAGCTGCAGATTGTTGACCAGCAACGAGACGTTGGAGCCCACAAGACCAAACCGTGCTACCATTTGCACATCCTTGCGCCCACAGTCAGCAACCTTGTTGCTGTTGTACGCCCTGTATCAGTTGATAACACAGATACACTGAACCCTCATAAGTCTCCGCACACCACGCATCTAGCAAACAACGGTATTTTTGCCGTAATTCGAATAAGCAGACTGGGATAAGCATTAAAAGCAGCGTATAACACCAGAGCTGCTTATTCTTGTGTGCTTATTCTAGTATCTTGAAATTTTCACGGGTGTGTGGAATCTCATGGACATGGCGCGTACGGAGACTTATTAGGGCTGATTGTACTGTGAGATTTCAAAGTGTTCTATTGAAGGAGAGAAACCGGGAGTAGTTCCTGAAGGGCAGAAGGCCCTTATATATAAGGAATACAGAAAGAATGTACGTGAAAAGGACTGTATGTCCTTTTCCAGATATCCTAGCACACAGGACAGATATGGGGTTTTGGTAGGATTGGTGACGTTGAGACCTCAGGGTGAACCAGAACCCCTAGATTCCAACATGTACTACCGCATGCACACCTTCACCCCCGCGGCAGCTTTCCCCAATGCTTCTCTCCCTCAATATATACCGAACCCTTTATAATATGCTTATTCAAATTCGATAAGTATACCGTTTGATGGTGTACGCAGACTTATGAGAGTTGAGTGTACCTGGATTGAGCTGACTATCAACATAAGTCCGCATCCACGCCCAGAAGGTACCTAAAAACCATCTGGCTGACCTTTTCAACCGCTTCGGCCGCCATCGCTATGATCTGTCACAGCTGTCCACTTGGCGAGCATCCTCTACTATCTCATCACTCGTCAAGGTGCACGGACGTAGGTCAATTGAACATATTCGGTACCGCGGCATGAATTTTCTCTCCTATTGAGTAATTCGAAGCTCAGTACGTAGCATCACACCTATCTCCTACTACACTGGTTCATCTCCGGCGCTCCGCTATCTCTCCTACTGAGACGCGTGGGTATGGGTTTTGGCCGGAGCCAGAACCAGAGCCTGAACCCGAGCTCTGCGCGGGAGGAGGTGGTGGCGGTGGAGGAGGAGGAGGAGGAGGAGGAGGAGGGTCTCTTTTCTTGCCTACGTTCGCTTGTTCCGGCATGGTTGCTGAGGATTTTAAGGTGGTGGTAAGGAATTGGATCGTCGGTGTAATTGGTGCCGTTGAGAGTCGTCTTGATGGTTGTTGGTGTCGCTGGTGTTGCTAGGGTCTTGCCTGGGTTTGGTTCAAGGAAAGAACAAGTACCTCTGGAATTGTATTCGAGTGTTCTTTTATAGACCTCGAAGTAGTCACTGGATCCCGCCCTACGATGTAATGATCTTCTATGGCTGACTCGATACCCCTAGCGTTCGTGACCACGCCCCTCTACACCTCCTACTTGGGTACTGACTTGGTGCAGTCACACCTCTCTGATGTTAGTTACTGTCCCTGCTCATCAGCACCGGGCTTGGAGGCGACACCTCCTGTCCCCCGTACGAAGTCACCTTGTTTCTAAGCACGCCAGGTCCTCGATCACGGCGACGCCTCGGACCGAGACGGCGAGCGCGCCGTGGACTCTAGTGGTCAATTGTATATGAGACCTAGGTAAGAAACCCGGACGGAGTTGCGCCGAAGCTCGACCTGTCCGTGGACCTAGTCACTTGTCGTACAGACAAACGAACCGAACATGCGAACTGTGTGGGAGTATTGGGTGAAATCCTGCAATATGTGCCGGTGCCCTCAATGGAGTCCGGGCCATAAGTCTCGCAACCTAGACGCCGGGTATGTCCTGAAATTCGACAAAAGCAAAGCTCCCACACCGTGAATACCTGGTAAACACCGAAGACACAAAAGCCACAGACAATCTCTACCCGCAAGCAAATAAGCTACTTCTTTCTGAGCAAGATTTCAATATACACGCTGGGTTCTGCTTTTCGCGACTATCCCATCTGTTCGACGGGTCCGGCTGTTACGGTATCACGTAATACCTCCACATATCTTTGTACATATATACCCTATCTTTACCTTGTCTCTTCTTCCTTAGATATTTTTGAATCTAGATATTTCATCTCATCAGCCCTGACCAGCGCAGTTGCAGGCCTGATTGTCACACCGGCCTACTACCTCCAACACCTGCGTGGTGTCCGTTCGATTATTCCTAAAGAGCGCACCTTGCCGTTTTCCCTACTTGCTATACTCGACATAGATTCGCCCCTCTTAAATGTAGTCCGTGTCCCGCCTAGCCGCCCCTGGTTTGGCTCGCCATCTTGTCGCAAATTTTGACGAAGATATCCAATATATCCGTCTTAGGCTCGGTGTTCTCCGACATCCACACGTACGGGTTGCTCGCATACCCATCCGGGCACATATCCCAAAGAATGGACCACTCCTCCTGACCGCATTGCTTCGTCGCATATTCCACGGCTGGGTCGTTGTGGAACTAGGCACGCACGCCATCTCCAACGAACGTGCCGAAATTGGCACCCCTCTTTTCGCTCAGGATGTGGACGCAGTAGTTGCATATTTCCTCGGCCCGAGACCCCATAGTATCGCGTATTCCTCTGTCGTGAGACTGTCGTCTACTTCATCGCGGGGGGCTGTGGTCGTGGCCTTGATGACGGCGATGCTGATGACGAGTAGTAGAGCGGCTGGGACCCTCATGGTGTTGGGTATGCAAGGCGCGTTCTAAGCGAATGATTAGTGTAGTGTTGGGCGATGGGTGTTTGAGATGGATGCTGAGTGTCAAGTGTCTGTGTTTGAATTGGAGTAGGCGTACCAGAGGAACTGGAATACTCTAGACCTCTCAACACCCACCCCGTGGTACATATACTCATTATCAATCCAAGCACGCATATGATTCAGGCAGAAGCAACCGCAATGTACTGCCCCGTTTACCACATGTCCATATGCCCCGCAAGGCAGTCATAAGTTGGCATCCATCATTGAATCCTTACAGGACCATGCCATGACCCCAGGGTTGATTGATTGATTGTATTTATCGTGGGTGCAGTCCCTCCATAGGGCAAACCACGCCTCCCAGGGCCATTGCATCGCAAGGTTGTAGAGGTGTCAGTCTAGATACATTCAGATCCGCGCACGAGCCTATCCTCGCTGTAGCGGTACCAACCTGGAGTGACCAGATGGTTTTAGTCAATACCCAAGCACGATTCTGTCAGAAAAACCTCCTGTCCAGTGACAAAACGACCCAGTGAACCTCAGTCCTCTGGTATACACATCGTTCCAGTAGCCGTTCAATATATGTCGCATTGGTGGGTGAAGTAGGTATTTGTTATCTGATAGCGAGGGAAACCACAAGGGGAAAAGCCTCGCAGGAATGGGTGTTATAGAGACAAGCTGCTTGGCTATCGGGCTCTGCGATAAGGGGCCTCTCCACTGTTTTGTGCTGGTTGTCGACTCGCACAAGCCGGGTCAGAAAGGGGGCCATAGTAGGATTCGAACCCACTTGTTCTCGTCACCCACCGCACAAACGAAAACACAACCAGGCGCATTTGACCATTGCGCCATACGGCCACCATGACCCCAGGCGATTGTAGGCTGCAACCTATGTTTCACGCGGTCTGGCCACATTTAACCGAGCCCACAAGAACACGGTCGCAATGCCGAAAAGCTACGTAGTTGCGTTGTTCCTCGAATGCATCGTACTAACGCCCTTCTTAGCATACAGCACAGAGGCTCTGTTTTTGTTGGATTTTAGGGGTTTGGGTTTGGCTCTTCCCTTGCGGTGGAAGAGTTTAACAATAAAATAAATCACTAACACCCTTTATCCCTATAATACAATGTATCAGAATTAGTTCTGCCGGCCTAAGCTGCAGAGCCCATGCTCATGGCGATTTGTGCCTGTTAGAAAGACACCGCCTCCCAACAGGAACTCGATGTCACAACAACTCGTGCTTGGGCATGCATCTTCACCCAGCCTCAGAGCGTCCTGCCTGAGATGGCATGTAACCATACTGAGGTCGTGTGTAATCGGCCGCATGACATATGGCCTCTTACCTATGATCCTATGAGCAGAGCTGGGGCTGATTTCAAGCTGGGAAAGTGCGGAGCTTTCCAAGGGTGGTCCGATGCTTTGGAGGTACTCGACTCCATGGGCAGTCATTCAGAGTTAAAACCAGCGTGCCCAGGACGTTTCAATGCAGTCTGTTGATCAAAATATAGGGTGTAACAACGATGTATTTACTAAGAAGCTCTTCAACCGCAAGTACAAAGTTAAACCCAGATGACCCCCAAAAGAAAAACAAGAAGGGAAAAGAGCAAGAAAGCGCAGAGCCCCCGCTCCAAGCACGAAGCAAAGACGGGAATAGGAAGTTCCAAATCTACTGCGCGATAACGGTACCGTGCCTGAATATTTTGTTCCAGCTCGGCATCTCCGTCTTGCCGGACCACGTCGACAGATCACTCGACAAGCTATAGTAATAGTCGCCGTGGAAGTTGTCAAGCCACATGATCCACGTGCCATTCTGGAGCTTCGTGACGGCCGGGCCTTCGGCCTGTCCGAAGCCGAGGGCATTGTTGGTCTGGACGTACTTCCAGGGGCCCTTGGCAGAGCTGCTGGTCAGGTGCTCGATGTGTTTCTCGCCGCCGGCATCGTTCTTCTGCCAGCCGTGGTACGTGTCGCCGTCCTTGAGGGCGAAGAAGTCAATGTGGTCCTGCTGTTTGCCTTGGCTGTTGTTGTCGACGTCCAGTAGCTCCGGTGTGGTCCACTGCGTGAGGTCGTCGTTGGTGGCCGTCATGATCCAGGCCGCGAAGTGGGTGGATGTAAACTGTGTGAGTCTTGGGTTGGCGTTGTTGGTGCTCTTCGGCCTAAAGTGGCGGGCATCAGTTAGTAAAGTCTTTGGTCCATGGTGACGTAGGATGCGTACTGCTCTAATACGGACACAATAATATGGGTGTCGGTACCGTCTTGGAAGAATTCCTGTCGAAAAGTGTGAGTATCTCGACTCCCTGATGTAAATGCGCCATGAAGCTGGCTTACAGGTGCCCAGGTCTTTTCGGCATCGACGGCACTCGATACGCTAACCGTAGCGACCTCGTCCCAATTCTTCAAATCCGTGCTGGAAATGAGGCCAAAGCCGTCCCTTTGGCCATTGGTGAATGTGACCCAGTACTTGTCGTGGAGCCAGATAATGCTAGGGTCACGAACTTCCCCAGACGCGGATTTGTACGCGGCCATGGCGTACTGCTCGAAGTTGATACCGTCGTCGGACGTATAGATGTCCAGGGATGTATTCCCCTTGTCGCCGCCCTCGAATGTCGCGAAGACGAAAGCCTTTTGTACTTGGCCCCGAGTCGTGAGCACTGGGCTGGAGCTGGCGAGCGAGGCCACTCCGAGCAGGGTCGCCGAAATTGTAGCTGAGAATCTCATGTTGTGAGAATATTGAAGTCCCGAAAGCTTTGTAGGGGAATTGATGATGTCTGTCTGCACCCTCTCATCCCTGGCTGGGGATAGACCGCCTTATATCATGAACATCGATCGTAGAAGCCATCCTATCACGTTCTCGCATCGTATCCGAAAATAGAGATCGAATTCTAGGCAACAACCTGACAATTGTGATGGCGGTGCATGGGGGGATAGTAGTTTAACTTGGGTATAAGTAAGGAATAATTGCTGATTGCAGGAATATCGCTGATGTAGGAATATGGGGAATCGTAGGAAGACGGCTGATCGTATAGATGACTACCTGTACCCAGTCAGTCACTTCTAGCGGGCCGGAAGGATGCATTGGATGGCTCCTGGCTATAAGTTCCAGCTGGCTGCATATATGGCTGACTGGTGGCTGACAGGTAACTAAGCAGCTGCGTGTGCCTCATTATGGAGTGCAAGTCGTCAGGAGAACAATATCAACATTGAACCTTCCATAGCGGCACAGGCCCCGTGGCTCGTATATCAATCTCGGAAGCTCATGCAGGCAAACCTCTGATTCTGACGTAGAAGAAAGAGTTCCGCCCCTAAACTAGCGGCCGTGAAGATACCAGAACGAGGAAGACAGAGGTCCGAAGATGCCTGCATCTAGCCAGACTATATCAACGCGGCGAACATGGTTAGGGCCCGGGAGAACAGCGTAGATAGATGCGGCCACGAGATCTCACATGTGATCTGAGGGGGCTTAGACCGTCAACGAAGACGGCTATGCCAGAAGGGACCCTTGCTCTTGACGAAGAAACGATCTAGTAACACCATCCCTCATCCACTACCTCCACAGGTAAGGTAACGAGAAAAACATAACACTGATAAAGTCGTCAGCACACAAGACTGATGGCACTGTTGCTTTGAGGATCATCCATATTCCAATGACGTAGGCCAGTGGATCTCAGGGCGCGGCACGAAGGATGCTGGATATCTTATTGTATCTTAGGCACCGGGGACGAGACCCCAAAAAACCAGTGAGATGCAGGGACTTCCAAGGCTATGGAAGCGAATCCTTCAAATGCAGGGACGGCGATGACGGACCGGGGATTTGTTCAGATCTCTGACGCTTGAAGGAACTTGCGAAAAGCGCGCTTGCATCGACGTTGACACCAACGAGTATCCAAACCGTACTATATTGAATGAAGGCGGTCCTCCATGAGACGAGAAAGGGGTTGTCCTCTTGAAGAAGTGGCCGAACTGCACCGATATCCTTTCGGATTTAGGCAGCTGGCAGAACCATCAGCTGGCAGCTGGCAGCCATGGATCAGCGCTAGCAGGGGTAGATCCCTCAGGTCCCGGTCCAAGGAGTGGGGATATGACAGAATGATGCGTCATTAGCGCCGCTGGTCCCTGCAGACGGGATTGTACAAGGCTGATGCGATTTTTCTCCGAGGCTGAGCATTTCCCATCTCGGCAACTTTCCTCGATGAGCAGGTCAATTGATTGCCAATCGACATCCCGAAGGTCCAGTCCATCTCAATGCGCCCGACGGCATCATGAAGATCTCACAGACCGTCGCCTCAACCCCGAATCCGCCATAGCTGAACCAATCGCCTCATCTACGTCTGTACCCAAGAAACAGAGTTACTGTCACACCATCCCCACGGCAGGGCATCGCCCACGCGCCCATCGACAATGGCCGCCCCCCTCCGAACCGCAGCCACCACGGCTGCCGCATCCTCCTCCAAATTCGTCCCCCGCGCCGTCTTCGAAGTCTCCCCCTCGATAACGCGGTCCTACTTCCTGGGCCACCATGCCGGCGCCCTAGCCTCGATGCGCAAGTCCCTCTCGAACATCGGGCTGATCCTCGAGTGCCGCGACAGCCGCGTCCCTCTTACGTCCACAAACCCGCTCCTCGAATCGTCGCTAGCCGGCCGCGACCGCATCGTCGTGTATACCAAGGCCGACCTGTGCGCCCCGGGGTCCGCGACGCGCTGGCTCGAGAAGCAGCAGCACCTGCTCTCGGAGTGGCACTCGTCGCAAGCACACGGGGGCGTTTTCGGGGACCACGGCTCCCCCGATGAAGAGGGCGACGGTGGTGACGGGGGAAGGAGAGGAGCCGCCGCCGACGCCGACGACGACGACGGAGCGGGACTATCCAGCGGGCGCACCGAGGTCGTCTTCACCGACGAGCGCAACCCGCGCAGCATCCAGAAGCTGCTCGACCGGATCCGCGCGCGCGCCGCGGCGACGCACTCGCTGACGGGTTTGCGCGCGCTCGTGGTCGGCATGCCGAACGCGGGCAAGTCGACCCTACTAAACGCGCTGCGGCGCGTCGGCCTACAACTACCCAAGGCGGCGCGCACGGGCGCCCAGCCGGGCGTCACGCGCAAGATGAGCACGCCCGTGCGCATCATCGACGGCACGGAGCCCAGCACCGCGGGGACTTCGGCCGACGCCGGCGCCGCCGGTGCCTTCGTCGTCGACACTCCGGGAGTGTTCGTCCCCTACGTCGGCGACGTCGAGGCCATGCTGAAGCTCTCGCTCGTCGGCTGCGTCAAGGACGGCCTGGTCCCCGCCGAGACCATCGCCGACTACCTGCTGTTCCGGCTCAACCTGCTCGATCCCTCGGCGTACGGCGAGTTCTGCCCCCCCACCAACGACGCGGCCGAGTTTCTGGAGGCCGTGGCGCGCCGCACGGGGAAGCTGCTGCGCGGCGGCGTGCCGGGCACCGAGCAGGCTGCCGACTGGGTCGTGCAGCAGTGGCGCAAGGGCACGCTGGGCCGCTTCGGGTTGGACGACGTGAGCGAGGAGAACCTGCGGCGGCTGGCGCGGAGGGCGGCCGAAGGGGGTGGGGAGAGCAATCTGAGTATGAACCAGGCGCGCAGGCAGGAGAAGGAGGCGCGCAAGGCGAGGAGTAAGGCCAAGAGGGCGGCGGCGGGTGATGGAGGTCAAGGGGGCTGATTGATGCGCTCCAGCGGGCTGAACAGACCGACCGAGCCTTGTTCTTTCCACCCACCTATCTGCCTACGACTGGAGTCGAGTCTTGGCCATAACAAGTCGGGACTGAGACTGTCTGTCACACGCAAAGGCGCTGAGATGCCATGCCTGACACTGGACGGACTGCGTATCTTTCGCGAGAGGTCTTCAAACGAGGCACAGAAGACGACGATACCCTCACGAAACTATATCAACATTGTAACATTGTACATTATCTATTTAAAGTACGCGGCAAACAAGGGCTGCCGTTCCAACAGCTTTTGGGGGGTATATTGCAAATACAACACCACACGCATATAGTTACTGGAACATCCAACATACCCCTCTCCCATTTGTAACTGTGTTCGTCGGTAGATGATGCTCTCTCTCAAAGACCGCAATACCCTATAGTAAGAGAGCTGGCCAACGCCGCCCGGACAGCTCCAGTATGACCTGAAATTGTCCGATCCCATTTTCCCCTTAGTTGCCCCCATCGCCATGGTAGCCACCTAATGAGTAGAATTCCTTCCTAAATCCTGCAAATAACACCGAATAATGCAATGGCTAGCCTGGCATGGTAGCGGCAGCCGACCCGAAGCCCCCAAACGCCGATTCGACTGTGATTTGTTCAACACCATGTAGTCGTCTCAATGAAAGAATTCATTCTGCCACTTCAGCACATCCCTTGCCAGTATGTCCATCATTTCGACACAGCTCAATTCTTTGAAATCTTTCGGTAATACTATACCGTTACTCGTGATTTCATTAGAGACCGAGATATCCTTGGCGACCTTTTTGGTGGTGGTGCTTCCATTGCCGTTGACTTTCGTTTGGGAGAAGGCACCACCAGAGCCAGAGCCGTCATGTGTTGATCCTTGAGCCAGGTCGGGTGCCGACTCAGCCAATGGTTCGCTCGCCAGCTCGACCTGTGTGCGACTGATGTACTCGAGTATACCATTGGCCCGTCTCTTCATATCACTCATGGTGACTCTAGAATTCATGCCGCCCTTGGATTTGCTCTGCTTAGTGGTGTTGTCGTGACCCGAGCTTTTGGCATGGGATGTGCCATTTTCATCCCCATTCCGGTGGACATCACGCGATATCGACCTGGCCGGGGAGTCCTCGTGGTCGTGGTTATCGCGGTCCTTAGTATATTGGTTCCGGCCTTTCTTCTTCGATTGTGCTGCGGGTTTCTTCTTGTTTGTGGATGTAGTTGGTTGGGTAGCGGGCGGTGTATCAGGCGGTGGTTGCGACGATGGAGGAGGAGGCTCTGGGGCTTGTGCTGGTTCTGTCGTTCGGTTCACTGCTGCTCGTGCTGCGAGCGGCATCTCCTCTGAGGGGTCGTCGTCTGCACACAGGTTAGGTTGGAATCCTTCCACGGCTTTAAGGGGTTATTCACCTTCGACTCGGCGACGCTCAGCTCGGCCTTTGCGTTTACTAGCCGCCTCGGCCCGTTTGCGTTCCTGTTCCTCGCGGCGCTCGTCTCGTTCCGCCTTCTCACGCTGATTTCGGACTGCATTTCGGGAGCGTTTAGACCCATTGCGAGTCCCCGACTCGTCTTCAGACTCATCTAAATCTGCTGAATGCGTTTTCTCACCCTCAGGGGATGGTGATTTTGAGTGAGTTCGTTGCCGCTTAATGTCGTCGAGTTTTCTGTCCACAATGTTAGGCATTTGTGCAAGCACGTGGGGGTCGATCGCGTACTCTTCACTTCCATCTCTGCCTCGCTTTGGGCGCCTTGGCGCCGATTCCGGTTCTTCAGTTCCCGCATCCTCTTTACTTGCCTCGATGGCGCGGCGGAGTTGTTCTTCTTCGTCATAAGCGGCATCGCGACTGTTCATCGTGGAGCGTCGCTTCGCCATCTGTGCCGCTGCCGAGGCGCGCGAGCTTTTGCCGACACTGTCGTCAGGAGATGGCGCACCATCTTTGGCTGTGGATGTGGCTCGAGACGCAGCCCGCGAAGGCCGGTGGATGGGCAGGAATATGGAGTACTTTTGTCTGGAAGTCATGTCGTTAGCACAATGGTCACAATGGTGGTGTGTAAATACGATAAGACGAAAGTTGGAGGTTAGGAGGGAACGTCGGGTTGGGGAGCGATCGACAGATGCGCAACCGTCAGCGCTCCGCCACGGCTGCAAGGCAGCCAATGCGACAGCCGACCCGGGATTGGGGTTTTGGGTAGAAACTCACCCATTGCTGGCGGTGTAGGTGCGATGTAGGTCCTTACGGCACTGCTCGCAGAAATACTCCAAGTCGTCGGGGTTTGATTCTTCTGTTGTGAAGCCAACGCAGGCCCCATGTTGCCATGTGTTGCAGATCTCGCATTGTACAAAGAAGCCAGCCATCTCGTCTGTGATCTCGATGGCGAAGATGCGCTCATGGTCAATTGCATCTGTGACGCCATGCTTCGAGTCTTCATCGAAAGGCGGTGGTCCAGGATATTCGTCATGACCACAGATGCATCGGACAGACTCGTCGTCCTCCTGTACTTCGTTGCCAGCGGGTGGCATGGCGACGAGCTCCGATCTTGGCTGCTTTTCTCGATCGTCGTCTCTGGCGCGCGTACTGCGCCGGCGGAGAATGCCGTCGTCGTTGGTGGTGGTGGTGGTGGTTGAGTCCTCGGGGGGCTCAGAAGAGAGAGATGCACTGCCGGTAGACTTCTGGGGTGATCCGGTCTTTGCGAAAGCTCTCGTGCTTCGTTCGACACGCCCAGAAGCACTGGACGCAGTAGAGGAATGATTCGATTGAGATTGGGTTGTTCGCGCACGAGAAGAGCGTCGGCTGGGGGAAGTGCCAGCCATCGCTCGGTGGCTAGGCGACAGCTCGGGACGACGCAGAGGGGTTCTAGACGCGGCGTGGCAGGGACTCGAGTTGGTTGAGATGGACGATCGGGTCAGAGTAGTCTTTATTGTCGGTTCAGCAGGGAGAAACAGCGAATGTGGTAGGTAGATTGGGCGTGCCGGGAGGGTTGATTCGAGTCAGGACGGTCGAAGAAGGGCGTGAAGAGGCGAGGCACCCCAGAGCCACTACGCGAGCTCTCGAGGTGGAACCTGATCAAGCTGGTGTTACAAGGAGTTGAAGGAGGGAGAAGTCAACGATCGCCTGGGAACTACTAAGTGTATCATGGTTGAATCGAGAGCTGGGAGACTGGTGGCAGCTTGAGGAGGCGGGAAGAATAGAGGGGGGAGCACGAGGGTTGCTGGACAGAAAGCAGCACGGCCACCAGCAGCAGCAGCAGAGGGTCACTTTTTGGAGAGCGAGCGCAGGACGGACCGCATTCAATCAATGTTCACTTTTGCGCGAACAGGCGGACAGCATGTGGCAGGTGGCAGGTGCAGCTTGGGGGTCATCAGCTGGTTTTGGCTGCCAGCCAGTGGCCTTATAACTGGCCAGTCTCCAGGGCTCTGAGCCAAATGATCCGGCGACTGGGGGGTCCGAGGCGCGGGGCACCGTAGATCTACCATACTAAACACGGTGTATGCGCTCATTGTCTCACCCCGATGACGACCCTTCTCTGCCATGACCTGACATGCCTGATAAGCATTGCACAGTGCCCAAGTGTATTACCACCTTCAATTGGCTGATAAATTGATTCGGGGTCGATGAGACTGATCACTGATGAGCAGAGCTCCCCGCCGCATGTAAGCGGCACGTGCACACGGCACTACCTAACAAGATGAAAAGAACAGCTGTTGGTTTGCCCAGTATCGGCCAATGGATGGGCACAATTGCTATTGATTGCAGAGTCCCAGCACGGTGTTACTGACGTGCCTCCATCTCATAGTATCGCTACCTCTATGGAGTGGTGGTGTTCGGAATTGGAGATTCTACGGACCGTTCAGACTTCAGTGTAAGCAGAGGTTAGGTAATTTCAGTGGCCGAGCACGGGCTCTTGACCTGCCCCTGTTCGCCCCTGTGTGGGAGCCGTGTGGCCACAGCCCGCATCCCGCCCACTGACCCGGTGGCCTCTGCACATCAATTACATATCACCACCTGCACTCACCAGCACACATGCAATCAGTCGTCAATCAATACCTGACATTACCTACCTACTGTACCTTACGTGGCATAGCGAGGATTGAACCTGCATTCTTATCACCTGTATTCTACCTACATCGCTGAGCTCTTGGTACCCTATCGACTCTGATTTCAACCTTGCCTCGCCGAAGTCTTAGGTATTCTGGCGACGGACCAACTTGGCCTTCAACTCTGGCTTCGGCTTCAGCTCCTCCAGACTACTGCCCACGATTGCGAGACCCCTAATCCCCGAGCCCGCCTACGACGGTACGATCTAGACTCTAGACATCTTCGACCACTGCAATCCGTATTGAAAAGGGTTTGTCGTCGACGTGGTGTTTCTTGTGCCGCAGTCTTGGCCTTCCAGACCCTACTCTGAGCTTCCTGCTCCGCCGCCGAACCTGGGCCTCGGGCTACCACTTCCTGTATGTCCAGACACACGCAGACGGGCGTCGTCCAGTCCGTCTCCTGAAGGCAGTAGCGCTGTGGGGTCTAAGTAGCACCTCCTGGATTCCACAGGCTTCAGCTTTGCCATAACCACTTCCTGCCGCGTCTGTGCTTGGCCAGTGTGTTAATGCCGTCACGATGTATAGAACGAAGACCGCTTCCCAGACAAGCAAAGAACAAACTTTCTCCCGCCCGCCGAACTACTTGCTTCCCATCCTTCGACGATAGCCTCTAGCACCAGTACGTTTATCTGCCTCGACCGAGCCAACCAAGTTATCCTCGGAGGCAGCTGGGCTGTCTTTATGTGTCTGGGTCCAGATTCGTGAAACGATATGTGATGGGTATGTTGCTTCCCAGATGCTCGAATACATTAAGAATCATCGACCCATGGGGACTGCCGAGACCTGTAGTTCTGGCATGCACCAAACAAATTTCGATTTCCGATCTTCCCCCCTCAGGCCTCTGCCTCATCTATCTCCTCCCATTTTGTTCAACGAGCCCTCGACACCATTCAATCCTCCAAACACCCCTATGGCATTGACAAGCCTGCCAACTCATACTCCATGTCATGTGTTTCTGCCTTGTATCCTACTTTAAAGGCCTATGGCTGATACTGACTCAACTTTTGGGATCAGGTCACCCAGAGAATATGTCTCCCGAATCCACCTCTCCCCTGTTCCCTGACCGACCAATTCGACCTCTGCCGAAGCGTCGACTCCGGGAAAGGCTACCCTCCGATGTTGCAGACAACATCACGTTTCCCCCATCACCCCAGACTTCTGCACCCTTGTTTGACTACCCCTACAACACGAAGGACGACCCGTCCCTCTTAGGAGCGGGACCGTCGAATGTAGCGAGTCGTGAGAATATGGCCGATATGGCCAGACTGGGCCACGAAGCCGGTTACCGAAGGAACGTTCTCAGCATCGACCACCATGATAATTCACTGATAGGTCAGGCACGCAGAGCTCTGGGTTCTCGTGGGTTTCACGAACCAACAGGACATGGGATCCGCACACAACGTCAAGGACAGGCACGACATACAAATCCGCTACCACCCTCTTCAACAGCATCTTCAGCAGATGGGTACGACTCGTTCGAGAACACCAACAATAAGAAGAAGAGGAAGATCCCCACTGCTGGCGAGACGATCCTGAACGGAATGCATGTGCTCAATGATCCTGCTGCTTTTGGAGTCCCATCTCCACCCACGACCGGTGACGAGGGTCCGGGAGATGCGTCCGGGCCGACAAGTACGCCTTACTACCAAACTGGGGGTTCTACCACCAACGGCCAAGGGATTTCTGGCCCCGGCAGGGGCAGATATGGTAGAATTCGCAACGGCAGAAGTCCTTTGAGAGCTTTGTCAGATGCCAATGGCAACTGGTCGGGACCAAATCACAAGCTGCGGCCTGGTAGTCAGTATCCATCACCACCACCTGGTAAGTCAATGGGCCTGGGAAATTGTTTCTTGGCACTCCGTTTTCCCCGGTTGGCTCTCTTTAACTTCCTCGAGAATGAGGTACTGAACTGGATGTCTGCACTGCAGCATGGACGGAATTCATAACACTGTCAAAGCAATTACTGACCTTGTCTCATCTCAAATTAGCAGAAAACTCTGGAATTATATCTACTGCTATTGCCAGTGCCGAGAAGGTTCCAGTACCGCAAGGCCAAGAAAATATAAGCCTTTTACAGCGGCAGACATCTGCAAAGCCTTTCACCTTCACTTTCGACCCGCAGAACCCAGTTTCATGGCCTGGATCTGATCCAGCGCCATCCAACCTACCGGGAGTCCATCGTACGCAGCAAGGAGCTCTTCCTGGAGACTACAACCGAGGTGGAGGAAGGGCAGCTCGAATTCCATCCGGTCCGGCTGCGGCAATGCCTGGATCTGGTGCTGAGCAGACGGCGGCCGCTATGCCGGCCGAGGGCGCTGGAAAGGGGGGGAATGGTACAACTGCAACGCCCAAGAAGCCCAAGCGTCGCGGCAACTCTCTGGCCATCGCAGCCAAGCAACGGCGTAAGGAAACTGAGTATCAGAACCTCCATCACCCCCCGGCACCTGAGGACATGTGGATCTGCGAATTCTGCGAGTATGAGCGGATCTTTGGACGGCCCCCCGAGGCACTTATTCGACAATACGAGGTGAAAGATCGACGCCGTCGCCGGGAAGAAGCAGAGCGGCGTAGACTGCTCGAGAAAGCCAAGATGAAGTCGAGAAAGGGAAAGAAGGCAAACAAAGTGCCTGCCAAGAACAACTCGACCACGACGGATCGCAATGGGGTATCTGCAAATGATCAACCGCCCCCTCTGCTACCTCCTCCTCCCAATGGTCAAGAGGAGATTCACGATATCCCTAGTGAAGATTTCGGGCCAGACGATCCTTTGTGTGAAGACACTATTCCCGGCGGCGAGGCTTCAGCTATGTTACCGGATGACGGCTATGCTCTGCCTGTATCGGCGCAGTCTCAAGGAACTCATGGAGGAGGTAGAGGTGGCGGTGGAAGGGTTCCGAATGGAGTTCATGCCTGAGACCTTTGCTCTTCCACGCACGTGCTTGGCAGATGCTCCTCGAATTCGCAACTTGTCTAACATTCGGCATCGTAAGCACAACTCGAGCGTCCTCTTCACCTTTAGCATATGCAGCAACCCCCATTTTTCGGCATAATCACATTGGACTTCTTGGCAGTCTTGATCAGCGTGCCGGGTCGGTCGTTTCTGAAGGCTCTGCGACTCATCGAGCGATCGGGACACTGGGAAACAGTTGTAGAGTCCGAAAGGACATAGCGGTGCGATGGTTGGCAGCGCACAGGACGTTGGTGTACATGGAGCTGCCTCGCGGCCATAGATCACATAGATCATACAATCTCTCATCCAAAAGGATGTCCCGCTGGTGCCATAGTCCCTTCTTGAACTTGACGGGTAGTCCTCATACCTGGAACCCAACAAAGAGAATTGTTATACCTTGAAACGGCGTGAAGGCACGTACGATAGCTGTAAAACCAGTACCAACCCAAGTTGAATGCCCCCATTAAAATCACCCAAATAAGATGATTGGCTCGGTCCGGATGCTAGCTTCCAACAATGCTGCTATCCATACCTGTGACGTCACGTTTTACTTACATCCAACGATCCTGAAGACTGCAAAGACTGCATGGGCCACAGGAATGTGCGAGCTCTTAAGTCAGTGCTGTGAAACCCCTTTTAAATATCTCTAACCTTTCATATGCGACGCGTACAATATTCCCACGATCCTGCCAGCCTGCTTGCCTGCCAGAAGCATCGAAGTGCGGACATGTCGGTAATGACATTCAGCCCAATTGGGCACTAGGAGCCCTGTTGAAATCAACGTTCACACATCCGGCGTCGTTAGTGGCTGCTTGGTGTGGCTTAGCGGCGTTCCCCGAGCGTCATCATGAAATCTATATTGATCCATGGTCTGGAAGTAGCTGCGGGAAAAGTGGAGAAGCTCCCATCCCCATGATGGTGGATTCTGTCCTGCGAGTCTCAACTGACAACCTCCATTGCACGTTGGCGACCAGCGCGTCGGCTACCCCGTCTTGGTTTGTCATCTACTTATTATACGTATGCAGCCCGGCTCTATCTACGACTCGGGTGTATATTACCTCCAGTACCTTACTCGCCAGCAGCGTCATAGTCTAGCTGTCTACCCTCCCTACGCCGCATTCGGCCTCAACACCAATTGCGAAATACATAGGTCCTCAAGCTATACCTACACATATCCCATGCGCGACTCAGCATAGCTATCCGTACCTCTTACTAACCGGGCCTCGAGCCTGCGCGACACACCAGGAAGATGTTTGGAGGCTCAAGGAGGCGCCGGCCTCCCAGACCAGTAAGTTGTGTCCGTCTTTGGCCTTGTCTCAACCGGGCGCATTCCTGCTATTCACAAAATCTCTTTGTCTATATGCCTTGTCAGCTTGTGTCGTTGGTGTTAGCGCGAGCCTTTTAGGTTTTGCACTGGCTCTGACTGGTGTGGAATGGCGCCAGCTTGATTCGGTGGGAGAATTCACTCATGGTGACGACTAGTCATCCCATCTCCATCATCCTGCCTTGCTTTTGCCTCTGCTCTAGCGCGCATTCAGTGAATGCTAAATTGCTAATACATGCTAATATACGCCTCCTTCCTACAGCCCTCGAAGCCCTTGAACTCGGGAAGCGCAAACCCAAATGCTACCACCGCTGCCGCCTCTGCCTTCATGTCTGCCTCGAACCAGAAGCCGAACACGACGCTCTCGTCCGCTGCTGCCGCCGCCGCGCTGCGAGCGCGTCCTCATACGCCCACCAATGTCGCCGAAGTCCAGACAAAGCGCACAGCACGTCGCAGTGCCTCGGTCTCTTCCTCCCGCAGTTCTGTGGCCGCTGTTGGACGATCAAATGGCCGACTCGAGAGGCGAGGAAGCTCGGCGAGCATGACGGAGCGCACCTTTCGAAGCCCGTCACCGCATCGTGCTTCGGCAGCACAGACGACAGAGCAACAGCCTCCGGTCCCCCAGATACCCGCGAGCCATCGGAGATCAGCAAGCTCGAACACACATGGCGTTGGGATGCAGAATTTCCAAACAGCATCTCAGAAAATGAGCGCAGGACATCCGTCGTGGTACACACAGCCGTCTGGGGATACAAGCAAGGTGAGAACATCCGACGCTCCCATGCGAGCAATCAAATCTCCACCACCAAGGCCGATGAGTGCTTCCATGTCGTCTGAAAGAAGCGACAGTAGAAACTCCTTCAACTTTTCATATCCCTTCCATGCACAGTCGCCTCCCGGGTCCCCAACGACTGCTACAGCACCACAATGGGATAATCCACCACCCAGATCACGATCATCGCCACCGAGATCGAGTAGAGCATCGATATCGTCGTTGACAGGTGGAAAGTCCAAGCAAGACATGGTGTACGATCCGAACTCGAGGCGGATGGTTCCGAAGGCGAACGTGGATGCAGCAGTAGAGCCTCGGGTCCGGGAGGCGGCCGAAAAACAACCCAGGAGAAAGAATAAGGCGGAGAGCTTGCCGAGAGAGGGGAGCCGCTTGGCAAGGGGGACAGTCGCCAGAGTACAGGGAACCACTGTGGACGACGATAAGAAGGAGCGCAAGGAGCAACGTCAGCAAACGCGGTCGCCTGAAGCACAGAGTTCACGGGCATCCAGTGCCCAAAGCCTGTCACCAGCACCTGGGGCTGAGCAACGGACGATATCTCCATCCCCTCGAGCCCTCGGCAAAAGGCCATCCATTGTTCCCGAGGAGCCTGAGGACCCCGACGAGATTTATGCAAACATCGATGCACCTGGTAAACCATCGCAAAATGTGCTGCATGCTTTGGACGCTGTGCCCACACGACAGACCAGATTCGAGGATTCGAGGGATTCCCAGCCGCAACACCAGCATAGTAGTGCGGATGCCTTGGATCAGTACACAACAGGACCGACTCTCGAGCAAATAGAACATCTAGCGCCAGTGCAACAGGAGACGAAACCGGTTGTCATCGAGAACAAGCCAATCACGGAGCTTTCTAAGGGAAACGGCACCGTCAGGCGTTCAAGTTCCAACAGCCCAGCGCGACAGGCTCGTTTTGCAACTTATCCTTCGGGTAGCCTGGTTGTACGTCATGCGCCTTTACCACGATCAGCATCTCCAATCAAATCGGCCCTGAAGCGTAATACCGGTAGTCCGACCCCTAGGGAGTTGTCACCTTCAGAGCGCAGCACGGATCTCTCGAGTTCTCGCGGCGCATCACCGAACCAGCGAGAAGAACCTGGAGTGCCGCGTAAGAAATCGGCCCGTGTTAGTTTTGATGACCAAAATATCGTGATCGTCGGTGAAGCGGCAAACGGGGATATCCATTCGCCGGTTCCACTCAGCCCGCAACAAGCCAAGCGCCCTTGGTATAGCAGTATAGGACGAGGCAAGAAAAAGGATTATGTACTGGAGGATGACGAGATCATGAAGCCCCGACCCGAGCTACCAAGCTTTGGCAGTGTGAGAGAGAAGAAGGCCCGCGAGCCCGAGGAAAGACCTCTTGTGCGGCCTCACGACCCAACATATTCACCAGCAATGCCCTCTTCGCCAGAATTGCGACCGCAGAGCTCGAGTACCTTGGGCGAAACGGAAATAACGGATGGACCGGTTCGGGGACAATCGAGTGACCTTGCGATAGGCTCATTGCTTGCTCAAGAACAAAACGCGCGCAACGAGGCCAACACTTCGCGACTTAGGGAGCCTTTGCCACCCGTCGTCACCTCCATTGAAGGTAACGGCTACTATTCATCTGATAGCATGCGAAGCTCCGACAGTGAGGAAGACCGTCCTGAATCTGCCATGGGAACAAGTGATGCAGAAGTGATACCTAGCACACAGAATACCGAAGTCACACAGCCGGAAAGCCATGAGGCTTCTCAGAACGGCTTGACAACCCTAGACGAAAACCTGGCAAACGAAAACGAACAAGCAGCAAAATCAGTCCAGCTCTCTCCACAGATTATTCCAGAAATCTCCGTCATCCAGCCAAGTCCAATGGCTTCAGAACATGTGCTTCCTCTTCGGAGCTCGTCGAGGTCTCATTATTTTGGGGTACCAGGTGGTTTTCCGGACGACGAATTCGACGAGCATTACGATCCTCACCCTGAGCCTCAGGCAGACGGCGCCACACACGAGGACAGCTCATCGGTACCTGCGCACACGATCCTCGAACCCACCGCGGCAGTACACCCCGCTCAGACAGAATCTTTACCTCAAACCACGCTTGCTACTACTGCACCAGTATTAGCAGATGATGACAAGTCCACAGATGGATCAGAAGGCAGTATCTACAGTGATGCGTATGAGGACATCTCCGACGCAGAGGGCGACGGCTTCATGTCCTTGAATGCCGTCGTTGAAAGCCCTGTCAGCAGAGACGCGCCATCCCAAATACCCGAGCTGCCGGGGAGCACGCTCCAGCAAACATATAACCAAGACCCTGAATCATTAGCATCGTCGCAGATTCCGATACCATATCAGCCTTCCACGCCTCCTCCACAAGACCCAAATGACTGGGCACAAGCGAAGGTTTTTTGGCGCAGTCTGACGGCGGAAAAGAGGCGGGAGCTCGAGCGCGAGACCGTGGAAGATGCTGGTACCGAAGGTGACCGGGAGGAAGTTGCGCAGCCTATTCGAAGAAACGGCAGCAAAAAAAAGTCTACAGAACAGAAACAGTCTGCCAAACAGGTCACATTGCAACCCCACCCAGGTCCCGAGCCTCCAGTTGCGGTGACGCCGTCATCCTCTGACCGAAAGGTGAATCCAGATAGGGTCTACATGATTCAGCCTGGTTCTCAAGCCACTCACGAGCCCATTAAGTATAGTCCAGAACAGCCGCGCATGCGAACATCGTTGCGAGCGGAACAGCCTGCCAAGGGTGCCCAAGCACAGTCCCCTTCGGGTATGCGCAGAACGATGAGGTCGAACGGGCAGATGGGGCAGGCAAATCAACAACCCGCACGCCGCACCACGATGCGGCCTGAGCAACCTGAACCAAATCAACAGCCCGCACACCGCACCACGATGCGGCCCGATAAACCAGAACCATCGGTATCAAAACCAAGTCAAGCCCGAGTTGCAAAGCCTCGTCCGCAGATGGCTCCATCTGAATCTACTGGAAGTCCACGACCCAAGCAGTCCAAGCCCGCTTTGCAACGACGCGGGTCCGATGCCAGTGACAGCAGTTTCAGACGCAGTCGGGCTGTTTCTGGTGAAGGCTTCAACTTCCGCAGGACTATGCGGCAGTCTTCTGCCCCCCAATCGCCTGTTGAGCCCGGAAAGGGTTCTGGCCGACTCAGCTTGCGATCGCTGTCTCCTGCCGGCTCCCAGTTTCGACGCAGCTCAATCACCAGTGCTACCAGCGGCCCTCCTGTTAGCATGAAGCGGCGTACTTTGCGATCCAACAGCGAGTCTAGCCCAGAAGGAAAGCGCTCTTCTATGCGCTTTCCCTCATTTGGCCGATCCAGCAAAGAGCAGTCATCGAATCGCTCTAAACGACCTAGTCGATTAGGAGGCTCGAGCGACGAGGACGAAGGACCGGTTTCGGGGTTCCGCAGTCGTTTTGACGATTCAAGCGACGAGGAGGATGCCCGACCTGCTTCTTCGGGAAGGGCCGGTCCCCTGTCAAAGGGTACTCTTCGTGGATCTAATACAGCGCCCACCACCTTTAATAGATCGGCTCCTATTCCGGAGAAGGACGAAGACTCGCCAGAACTGCCTGATAGCGATGACGATGAAATGCCTAGCCCTTTGCGAAGTCCGCAAAGTCGCGCAGCTGCCGCAACGGCTGTGCGCGCTGGTCTGGTACGGTCGAGTTCTTCAGCAATTGGTACATCCACCCTGTCACGTCCTGGGATTGGCGGTGGCGGCCCGGTGCCCTCTGATTCGACTCCTGCCATGTATGGCAGAGACAGACGCCACTCTTTCATGGGTATTCTACGGCGCAACAAGAAGTCAGATCGGCAGTTGAACGATATCCGTCGGGATCAACCCTCCAGCCCGAAGTTGCAGAAGAGAAGCGCGTTGAAGAGAGGTGACAGTTGGCCGCTTCCTGAGCTTGAAGAGGGTGAGGGTACACAACGGCCAAACACGGCGGGCAGGCTTCTCAGTCAGAGCAACATGTCCGAAAACGTTCAGAGGCCTGGCCTGTCTGGAAGACGAAGTGTCAGTCTAGGCCTTCCCCCCGCCCAAGACCAGAATGTGGGCAATGTTACGGGAGATGGTCTCGGGCAGAGGAAGAAGAAGAAGTTTGGCGCGTTGCGCCGGATGTTCAAGCTGGATGACTAGAAGGGATCCATGGCTGACAAGAGGAAGAAGCGCAAGATGTTGGTCAAAAGGGGATCTCAGGCAGGGTAGCTATCTCTACTCCCGTCAGCATGCGAGCCGCGAAATTTCTTTTGTTTACCGGGGCTAACATATTGGAGAAGAAGCGGCAACAGAGACCGGGCCGGAAGTCTCGATGGCAGGGGACTCGACTCGGTGCGACTCAACAGGGTTGATGGGCATGCCGGGTTCTCAATCGCGCGCCAAGGCCATTTTCTTTGTTTAGGATAGGGACATACCACCTGCACACACACCCGTTGCGAATTGCATTATTGGCAGGCAGTTTGGCTATGGCTTTTTCGCTTCGGGTTCCCTTCAGGGTGAGTTGATGATACCTCTTGTTTGTGCTCGGCTGCTTGTAGGAAACCGCGAAAGCTTTAAGTAGTGGGCAGGAGAGCGATGCGAGGGAGCAGCAAATCTGACCGCTGGTCTCTACCTATACCTAATAAAATATACTGCCAGAGAGAGTGAAGCGCTGTGAAGCGTACAGACGCAATCGAACGAAGAAACTGCCTATTCCGTATGACACAGCTTCGTCGATAGCGTACTTCTCGTCCTGGGCCGTCTCGTCACCCTTCAGCCCAAGGCAGACACGCCCCGATGCGATCACGCATGGTGCAGAAATTTACGACATTTGGTTCTGGGAACAATCAGCCTGCAAACAGATTACCCTGGTTCACGGAGAGTACCAGGTCATATGGGTGTGCAAGTGTTGTGCGTCATGAAGCCATCGTGAATCCAGGCCGAGGTCGCACCAGGCGCGGAAGGCGCGGTCAGGTCAGGTCAGACAAGGGTCCTGGGCTCAGCGTTGATGGGGATGGGGATGGGGATCAGCAAGCCACCCCCACGCCCCGTCGACTGGCGGCTGGCTGGGAGGCGAAAGATGAAACCATCGTGACCTCACAACTTGAAGTCACCCTGCCGCGCCTCCAGCATTCATTCATACATCTATGATGTATTGCCTCATTACCAGCTCGGTGTGTTATTACAGAGAGCACAACCTTGGGTAACCAAACTCCTCATAGCGTACAAACTCGTGTGGCCAGAGTCTAGACCCGACAGCAGTTCATGTTATGTCTGTGTCGAAATTACCTGAGCCGTTTTGACTGTCACGATGTCTCTCTCTCTCGCTCGCTCGCTGTATTTCGGTCATTTCGGTCTCCGCCTGTAGATTTGTTCAATGCTGTGTGTTCTTGATGTGTGCTGCTGCCAGCACACACGCACACACACACGGACAAGCTGCAAGCAACGATCGTGCACCCCCTCATCACTCAGCTTCCCCCCTCTCGATGTTTTCTTGCCGCTCTCGTATGTCTCGTCCCTCTTGTCTCTCTCCCCCACTCTCACTCGTCGCTCTACATATAGATAGATAGGCATTGCGGCTCCTACTGCCTTGACTTGGGCTGTTATTCTTGAAAAGACCAGCTGGCTTAACTCTGTTTGGGACCGACCAGGCTCCAGGGACCCGGACCCGTACCTGTAGTCTTGCGTACACCCAGTCTCTGCTATCATGGGATGTTAAATCCTGTATTCCTAATATAAACGTGGGTACTCTTTGCGATGACAGATTTTTCTTCTCCATTCATCCCGTCTCATCAATAAATCCCCCCAGAATCCCGCAGCGACTCCCCCTTATTATAGTAGGCTATTAGCGTGAGAAGCTGGTGGTGGGACCCGGGGCGTGCTGGGTTTGCATGTCCGATTCCCGCTTGTCATCCACATGTGTAGCGGTCTGGAGGCTCGCATTGGTCCAGACGATCTCGCGGCTCCTGCTGGCCTTACCTATCTGCGTAAGGTATCGTGGGTCGGGCTTCCGGGAGGACTAGCAGAGGATTTGGGGTCAGGGCACGACTCCAGTCACGAGGTCTTCCAACTTTCTGTTCCTAGGCCTGCCAGGGGTCCTCTCTTCCCCACCTGAGCTTGGCCTGTCACAGTGGGATGCCCCTCCTTTTTATTGCTAGCAGGATGGGGGGGGAGCTCGTAGCTATCCATTGATAGTGCGCGCGGGCGTGCGTCTGCCCGTCTGCCACCCGTGCAAGGAGGATCGTGAGTTTTTTCTGGTCGGATCTGGTGCTGGCCTGGTGTGCGGTGAGCTGGTCCCCTGACTTGTTGAGGTGCGAGGGTCGTCACTGGTATTAAAACTGTCCCCTGGGTGCTTGCCTTTCTCATCTCCCACGATCTCCCTTCTCAATTGACTTTCTCCCTTCCTCTCTCCTCTCTCTTCACTCTTCTTTCTATCGCCAGCATCGTACAGCAACGCTCTCTTCCACGGTCAATCAGAGTATCGTGAAGCGTCGTCCCTCTTGTTTACTACCTAGTCGATTGACCCATTCTGGTGGCTCCAGCTTCATTCTACCCACACACTACCAAGCTACTCCAGCTTTCTCCCTGTGAAAGTGGATAATCAGAGCTTTTCTTTGAGCTTTTCTTTGAGGCATCGATAGTCCACATCCCTACGTCATTGTCCATTCTCCACGAGCTGCCTGTCAATCTCTTAAAGCGCATTGAGGCTCTCGCAGACAACTTGAACAACACATTCATTCTCCATTCGCCCACTACAGAGTAGCATACCTATTCAATAGCCTAAGTGTGCACCATCACCACCTCTCCCACCCAACAATTGGCGACCACCTCGCGCACACTTCCAACCTACCTATCACAACAACCGGCCATCCATCTTCTCTGGTCCCGTCGCCGATCGCCTTTTCCTCACCTTCCAACACCGCACATCGCATCATACCCATCACACTTCCTTCCAAGATGTTCTCCCGCAACATGCTTCGCACGTCGACGCGTGCCCTGCGCTCAGCCAACACAGCTGCCAACGTCACCGTCGCCCGACCTGCCGCCGCCTTCCTGCACACCAACCCGCCCATGTCCAGCGCCGCCAACAAGGACAACAAGCACAACAATTCCAACCAGCCCGGCTCCTTTGCGCGTACGGATGACTCTATTACGGTCGAGTACCCAGAGGACCAAGACCTCCCCTCCTCGACGCCCGTCCAAGGACGCGGTGGTCTACACATGAAGCGCACTCTGGCTTCATTCTCGCTGGAAGGAAAGGTTGGCGTGGTGACTGGAGGTGCCAGAGGCCTGGGACTCGTCATGGGACAGGGCATGGTCATCAGTGGCGCTAACCTAGCCATTGTCGACATGAACAGTAAGTACTTCCCTCCTTATTATGCATTCCATCTCTGCGCGACCGCCCGGTGGTTGTGGTAGTGGTTGTGATGTGGTGTTGAGATGTGAATGTCCGGGTTCGGCATGCACGGGCTCTGGGCTTTCAATCGCTCGCTTCTCATTCGACCTCGACTTCCTTCTGCTCATGCATGATCTTCACCCCACGTGGCCTCCCCAATCAGCCACCAACCACCCGTGTGACTTGCCATTCTCAAGATAACATGACAAGTGAGATTGATGGCTGACGAATCGGCCCGCTGAACAGAGGAAGAGGCTGAGCGTCAGGCTTCGGAGCTGGTCGAGGTGTTCCGCAAGGAGAACCCGGGCGCGCACAGAGTTCCCAAGGTGACAGCTCATTACGCCGATGTGTCCGATGCCGACTCGGTGCAGAGCTGCATCGACAGTGTGATCAAGGAGCACGGCAAGATCGACCACCTGGTCACCAGTGCCGGCTTCACCGAGAACTACAATGCCATCGACTACCCGATCGACCGCATTCGCAAGCTGTGGAACGTCAACGTCGACGGCACCTACCTGTTTGCCACCACCGTCGCAAAGCATCTGATGGCGCGCAAGAGCCCGGGAAGCATGGTCTTCATCGGCAGCATGAGTGGTGCCATTGTCAATGTGCCCCAGCCCCAGGCGTAAGTTTCTCCTTTGCTCATGGCAAAACTCCTGTTGGTCGCGCATAAGTCGCTCTCGAGCAGAAGTGCTAACAATCCTGTGATCTCGCACAGACCTTACAATGCCGCCAAGGCCGCTGTTCGACACCTGGCTGCGTCGCTGGCTGTCGAGTGGGCTCACGCAGGCATCCGAGTCAACTGCATCTCCCCCGGATACATGTTGACTGCCCTGTAAGTCTGGCTCGGTCCTTCCCTCGCCTGCGATGTTGACCTGGTCTATTTGATCAATCAATTAGCAGAGGCTGACAAGTTTACTCCCAAACAGTACCGAGAAGATCCTTGATGACAACCCTGAGCTTAAGCGCCAATGGACATCACTTATTCCCCAGGGTAAGATGGGTCAGCCCGTCGACCTCATGGGTCCTGTCTCCTTCTTGCTCTCCGATGCCAGTCAGTACGTCACTGGTGCCGACCTCCGTGTCGATGGCGGTTACACTGTCACCTAAGCGACAGATGGACAGGATCAGCTAGAGGTGTGTGATACAGGTTCATGGCGTACAAGGAAAGACATGGTTCGGCTCCTGGTTTATTCGATAGAGAAGATCTCTCTTTTTCTATATGCCCAGACCCCGGTAGGCCTGTGCGGCCAGGCTCTCGCTCTCGCTACATGTTTGGACAGAGCAGGATGGAACGGGCCTGTATAGGATACGACGGCGTGGGATATGCAATGGCTACTTTGCCGGCGTTTTCAGTCTGTTGCTAGCAAGCAGGGACAAAACTGCGATCGGTGGTTTTCATAGGCGAATAGGATCCCTCGGTCTGCTTTCTGATTCTGATGTGTTCAAAGTGAATAGTCGACACAAGGACAGTGGATAAGCATGCGTTTCAATTCAGCAAGCATTGGGGATGAAGAAAGCCAGTAAACTAAGAAGTGAATAAGTGCCTTGTAAAGCGAAAGAGAATGGTTTCGTTGTCGCAATTTAATTTGGGACTCGGAGGCAAAGTCCCCGTCTTGTCTTGGCGCATTTTCGTGCGGCTCCCTCACTTATTCAATATGGCATTCCGGCGGCCCGCGGCGAATGGAGCCTGCCCACCTGCCGAAACCAGGTAACCGCACCATTGGGCCGGGACGGGACTTGGGCGTGTCATGGGATCCGGACGCTATGCGGGTGTGTCTTATTTTGACATTTGCGCTTATATTCAGGTGGACTGCGGGTTGGATGTCTGAAAAGCCGTATCCATTGTAAGTAAACACCCTCTCTGTCTGTACATATATTACCCGCGGAGACTTCAAGTAACACAATCTCCTTTCCAGAATGCCTATTCCGTTCCTCCTATTCATAAGGAGCCCACTCATCGTTATAAAATCCAATCCATAAGACATGGCAACAGCGTCAAGAGGCAGACGGTGTCTGCAAGACAACCTACCGTGCCTCTGCAAGCCCCTACCAGCAACCTATGAAGTTACCTCATCACTTGGCTCGTATTCGAGCATCATCGCTGGTCCAGTCGGGACGATGGTGAGCTTGATAGTATTTACCCATGAACTGGTAGCGAAAATCGTGAATGCCGGACTCTAGTTGGGCTGTTCTTATGGCCAGTGTCCCGACTCTCGAGCGCTGGCATTTGGCTGGGCGCCTTGGCAAGTTGGCAATCGAAAGATGAAGTGTATCGAGGACCTCCCTCCTCGTTCGCCTCCCAGTAGGTTAGCAACTTAGCATCTGTCGATGTTCCTTTCTTTAGAGTGTCATCGCTATCCTCGGGATCGGCATCATCGTTGTCGGTTAAATTATCGTACTACGGTGCCCGTGGTGTTCGTACAGCCAGCCACGTCCCGCCTGGAATAATGAAGTGAAGGTGTTATGTATATCACTACCTCCTTCCTCTGATCTGAGCCCAATGCGGTGGGTGTCCCTTCTGTCGGGCGGGTTGTCTGCGGCTAGAACATGATAACTACATCTCGGGTCCTACTAATCTGGCGATTCTCATAGTCTTCAGTCCATACGAAGCGATTCGTAGCTCAGCTCGTGGCCCAAGATGTCCACGCCATCGTAGTTAATTGTCATGTGAGCGGCAAGGGGCGACGAGTCGTCCTTCCAAACCAAAAGTGCGGATCTCTGTGTGATGACATCCCACTGCCGACGTGCATATTCGACACGTGGTCCTTCGCCCATTTAATGGCGGCCTTCCCACCAGAAGTGTCGCAGGTGTACTCGCTCGTGTCGGAGCTGAAGGTAAACAAGGGCGGAGCAAGACTGACAACGTCAGGGGTCCAACGACGAGCTCCGGAGGGCTGAGACAGCGACGTAACTCGAATTCCAGGTGGTCGACTGGAGGTTGGAGGGCACGTGCGAAGCCGGCATAGGCTGGGGCGTTTAGCAGGTGGCAATGAGGAGTAGAATATATATTATTTGACGGCATCAAAGCTTGGATAACGTATCTGGCATAAGCCCTTGGAATAACCAGTTTTTAAGGCGCCCAAGGTTCTCCTTGCTTGTTTCATGGTGCTTGATCTAGATGTGCCTTGCTTCTAGGTTAGTTGTATCGAGGAACACCATTCAGTGGGCTCATGTACTTACCGATAAAGGGCACATCTTGTCACTAGCAGCTGGTTGACGCACTGACTAAACCGTAGTTGGTTGAATAATGTGCCTTTTATACATAACCTCATCAAGAGCACGTTGTCATCCAAGGTTTTTTTGCGTACATACTGAGCCCAGAGATGCCTCTGCGCATGGTTGATGTCTATTGAGTAATTTGCGGGTAAGTTAACAATCACAATGGAAATACCTACTAGTTATTGTACAGAATGTGGATTTCAGAGTAGCAGTCAGACAAGGACGTGCCTGGGGACCTGGAGAATGCAGAAATCGAGAATTTCTCCTCTTCTACACGGGCATCTGCCTGAAACTGCGTGATCTTGATAAGTCCATCTATCAGGATGAGGTGTTTCCTAAGGGGAGTCAGTCAGATCTAAACACGAACACTCTTGGGTAGCAGGCGTAGTGGGAGATTCCATCTCCCCGGGCCGGAATTCACGGTCCCGGATGCTTTCTCAGAGATCAAATAAGATGGGAGAAGGCACTGCAGTGAAAAGGGCCATGTTCCGGCTCATGATTTACTGGTCGATCGATTACTCGGCATTCGTGGCAAGGCCGCAAGGTAAATATGCATAGTGGTGCTTTGTACATAACGTTAAACTCTACCATAGACTGGCATGATCAAGCGTTAATTCGACATATTAATTACCCGCGACAAGACCGCCATGCTATCCTCCTCCATTCAGGGCGATATGGCCCCGACAGCGACTCCGTGTGGTCCAAGGCTCTTGATGCTGACATCCCATAGTAAGGTCGGAATTGGCGCCGTGCCCGAGCAATGTCTCAAGTGTGTCAACTTCATATACGTGACTATCCCTTGAGTCTCCTTTTCAATTGATTGACACGGTTTGGGCAATCTCATTGAATATTCAAGCTCGTTGGACCGTCACGCATCACGCATGTTTGTCATTGGGCTTTCAGCAGCTTTGCCAGCTATGGAATTACAGAGCGGTCCAGCAGCTTTAGGTGTATCAACGGAGTGCGCTGGTCTCCCGAAAACTCATTCTTCCTTTGGATGACGAGCTCATCCCATGGTTCTGGTGAGTAACAGCAACAGTTCTGGCCGTCGCGTAACGTTATTTCTAATCTCGAAACAGGGCTTTCGTAACAAGAGCCCGAGTTGCCGTCATCACCACGTGCTATCCGAGTGGGACCGAGCAGGCCAAGCCCGTTCGCTTCAAGGCCATATACGCTGTCGGTGAGCTCACCATCGCATGGCTCGGATCAGAATGCGAGCAGCGCGGATGCCAGCATGTCCAACAGAGCACGATCGAATCCCGGCACTACAGGTCGGCGACCTGAGGTCGCCAGCAAGGTTGGAAGTAGTAGCGCGAACGCTAGGCTAGGGGACCCAGATAAGTATCGTCCCTACAAATTTATATGGGAAGATACGCCTGAGAGCACAGCAGTTTTATAAATAGAACCGTGATCAGCAGTATATCCACATCTGATCTGGCGATATCTGCCCTCCGCATGGCGTGGCGCCGCGCTACTACTTCCGACCTCAGATCGCCGACCTGTAGTGTCCGTACAGATAGGGTGAGGTAATTCAGGAACATACCTAGGTACACACCAAGGCATCCATGCTGTCGATGATTGCGAGTCCTCAGAGTACTACAAGTAGCTCTAGTGCCTCCCAAGTTCTTGGCATCTTGCTCTTCATCCATCAGTGCACGTCGCGTTGCCGCACCACCATCACCCGTCGTCACAATGTCCACAATCAATCCAGATCCGCTGGCGTTGGCCCCGCCCCTGGATCGTCTCCAGCTTCGCCTTCTCCAGACTCTCTATCCTCTCCCAGCGCACCCCCCACCGCCGCGCTCGTCATCTAAGCCCATGGCAGTACTCTGTCTAGGACTCCCACGCACAGGCACAGAGTCGCTAGCTCTGGCTCTCGAGATCCTCGACATCGCGCCTGTATATCACGGCTGGAACAACAACAACAACAACAACAACAAAGACCCCTCGAACTGCGCGACGTGGAACTCGTTCGCCAGCTTCAAGCGTGAGAATGGTGATGGGAAGATGATACCCAGAGAACACTTTGAGCAGATATTGAGCGGAGCAGTTGCGGTCGCCGACTTCCCTGCTACTGCGTTCTCGAAGGATCTGGCGGAGGTGTATCCCGAGGCCAAGATCGTGCTGAATTGAAGGCCAATGACTGGGGAGGGCAATGAATATACCGACGAGGAGGCCGCGAGTGGAAGAAGAGCATGTGGGAGAGCTTTGTGGGGATAGCGGAGGGGAGGTGGATTGGATATATGGCATATTTGCTAGGCTTTGCGAGGTATTTCGAGGCCGAGGCAGCTTGGGTGTCCAATGTAAGTCGTCGTTGGTGTGCGGGCTCGGCTTGTAGTTATTGGCTACCTCATGAGCAGGAAGTTGACATATCTCTCGATCTTTTAGGACTATCACTGGGTATATCGACCATACTGGAACTACAACTTCCAAGATAACGCGCTGTAGCGACATACAAGCGACATTACCAGGAGCTCGAAGCTCAAGCAGCCACACAAGGACGGCAGGTGCTGCATTGGAGCGTCGAAGATGGCTGGTGTGTCTTGGTCTGAGATCAGTGCAGACTTCGGCAATGAGTCTTGCGATTTTCCTCACCACTCACTCGTACTGACCGTGCAAATATAGGGAACCACTTTGCGAATTCCTCGACGTACCCGTCCCCGCGGAGCCGTTCCCTCACTCCAACCAAGCCTCCGACTTCGACCGCAGAGTAATGCAGCTGTACGAAGCGCGATTCCAGCGCGCATTCAAGAACGTCGGGGTCTTGGTTGTCGCGTCCGCATTGGCAGCGTTCAGCGTCTGGTATGTAATGCGCAGAGTCTAGAACCGCCTTGATGTGGAGTTTCGACTTGTCGAGAGGAGTTGTGGGTAGCAAAGGTGCCCGAAAGTATATGTAGTTGATCATTTGAGCATTTTCCTTCTTCTCCCGGAATCAACCAAAGCGCTTACTCAAATATACTGCTGATCTCAGCTTGGCATTGGGGATCATATACGATATGTGTATGGCCACACATTATGGCAAGTTACTCGGCATGGGGGAAACAAGTGCTTTGAAGAAGACAGCGAAAGGGAGTAGTGAGCGTTGTAGTGAGTGTGATCGATCCACCCAACACCAAGTCCGTTTCTGGGCGCTCATGTCAGGACCCATCGACAGCACTTGCTTCATTCAAACAGTCTTGCGGTCATGTTTTCGAGACCCTTCGAGGCGCTGTAGGGCTGAGCAAGTCCTTTGCCGCCGGTGAGCGGACATGAAGCTAATGCAGTGCTTGGGCAACACGGTTGTGTCAGCCCCAGCCCGAAACGACCCCTGTGTTTTCCGACAGGTGTCACAATGCTGCACGTGCTTGGTGCCACCTTCGTACTGTGGCAGGCCTTTCGTTTGAGTTAAGATGCCCCTTCTCCCGCTAGGTGTCACGAGGCTGGCGGATGCTACCTTTGTACTATAACGTGAGCCTGTACGCTACCCTTCATAACGGCAGGGCCATATAAATGGACACCCCCATATGTGGGACAGCTTTCAAACCAAAAGGCTAGACTTCCACCCACCGATAACTCAATCGGAATTGAAGCTCTAGATAATCTATATAATGCGTTTGAATCTCTTTTTCTTGGAGTTTTTACCAATACTATTTGTTCTAGTGGTAGCACGCAGGCTGGCGGGTTGCGCGGCGTGAAGATCGCACTACAATGGGCTCGTCAGACTCCTCATCAGTGCCATCACCCCCTTCGTTAATAGCAACCCCTTTATCCTTAAAGGGTCCTAATTCCTTTGATTCTTCTGAATCTGACTCTAGAGAGGATTCAGACATTGATCTCTTTAATTTGTAAGTATTTATATTCTATAATTCATGTATAACTTATCATTACTCTTTCCACTGCTTAATAACAATTTGTGCGGTTCTTATATGCTAGATTTATTCCTTGATAATGTCCCCAATTCTCCAAAATCATTAATTAGGCTCTTCTTGGGGTGCCTTAGGGCGCTTCTTTGGCTATAGACGCTTGATTTTGTTGTCTTTTGCCTTTAATAGCTCCTTTATAAGCACTAGCTCAATCACTATCTCATTGTAAGACTTCGCAACTGAGCGGATTGCTACTCACTGCTGAGGGGTCTCAGCAACTTATGATAGTATTAAGGCTATATCTTGCCCTAATTTAGGGGCTTTTAGTGCTTTTAGGGTGCTTTAAGGGTTCATTATAGCTGCTGCTGCTGCTTGAATCTCCCTTGCCTTTACCATATGCTCGTTTGCCAGCGTTTTTTTGCTTATTTATTGGCTAAAGCCCAGCAGTATGCTATTCTAAATGCACAATAACTGTGACGGCCTGCACAGACCTTCCCACATGACAAGCCGATACTTCCCAATAAGGGAAGGATCTGACCAGAGGATCCCCTTAAAGGGGCAACCTCCCACTGTACCTATCTCTCTCTCTCTTCCTTTCCTCTCTAGTCTTGATATTCTCGTCAATAGAGTAATAGCTGCTTGCTGCCGGCCATGTCCCAGCTCCTCAGTACACTCGCCGTGACAGTACCTATCTCTCTCTCTCTTACTTTCCTCTCTTGTGACGGCCTGCACAGACCTTCTCACATGACAAGCGGATACTTCCTAATAGGGGAAGGATCTGACCCCTTAAAGGGGCAACCTCCCACTGTACCTATCTCTCTCTCTCTTCCTTTCCTCTCTAGTCTTGATATTCTCGTCAATAGAGTAATAGCTGCTTGCTACAGGCCATGTCCCAGCTCCCCAGTATTGTTGGATTTTACCCCTAGACCAAAACGGTAAGGTGTACAGTCATTCTGCGCACGATGATCTTATCTGTTTTATCTGACAAGTATGCTCGCTGTGACAATCTGGCGTAGCTTTATTGCGAGCTTTTGCTAGGCAAGAAAAGAACTTAATCTTCTCAATAAGGGCCAAATCAATGAGCTGGCCAAGCTAGGCGATCACGCACCGATAAGCGGCTTTAATTACCAAAAAAAATAAAAAAATCTAGCAGCTAAAAGATATGGGACTGCCCTTATTAGTGAAATAACTACTAATTGATTATATAAATTACCATATGAACAGGAAAAAAGCTCATATATATATAGTATTTATGTAACAAAGATACATAAACTTGTCCAAGCAGTGGCTGTCATGGCCGTTAAGCACCAATAAGCAAAAATAATCAAAATCTTTGGGAGCAGTATCAGGTAAATATACCTGGAGGCTAATTAGCATATAGTTATAACTAATAACTCAGAAAAGAAACTTGCCTTTTCCAGCCAATACAGTGCAACCTCGTTCGAGATCCAGCTATTGATGGAGTACGTGGCTATCCAGTCTGGCATTGCGAGAGGCTCCTTGATAAGCCGCTCTTTGAATCATTATGTTCAGATCGATTTTGCCTTAAAAATAACCAATAGCTGGAGCTTCTTCTTAGTAATGGTGATTAATTCTACTACAGTAGTCTACGTGCGGTCATTATTAGACTTAATATTGGCCTCTTTTAAGCCAGAACTGCCTATTATAAGGCCATCAGACCTATGATCTCCCAGTCAGCTATTTAAAACCCACTTGAATTGGACAATTCACGTACTAACGACCCTATATAATGCCATACTTATTAATATTCGCCTGGGTTTTAGGTTTAATAAAGACAAAATCCTTATAATGGTCATAGAAGTCATTGACGTTTTTGGGCATAGTAGCATTGATACGCTTATAGTCAAGCTTTCGTCCTATCTTGGTCTTGATCTCTGGGCGCTTATAAATTAAATTTTATGTGTATTTGTTCCCAAGATGATCTGGTTTTCCCTTGGATTATAGGATCTTTTTGATAATATACCTTAATGTCAAGGCTTAGACGAACAAAGATTGGCCGGTGAGTAGATTGACACTGATATTGCTATCCTATGTACTAGTGGTAGAGTACAAGACGAGAGAAAAAGAGAAAAAGAGGAAACAAGCAAAGAGATGTTTCACAAGCCAACTATATAGAATCTCGGACAGGGATTCCATCTCGTTCCACGATGTTCTATGTGTCACGAAGCGTAAATAAGATGAGGACATAAAAGTCCTGATTGCACTACCTACGTGTAAGAATCTCTTGGTGGGGAGGGAAAGAAGGATCTGACCCGCCAGCCAATTCTGGTAGGATTAATGATCCTTCCATCCGCCCCACTATTACCTAGCCTAGTACAGTTGTGGCCACACGTCTTGTGCGCCAGGTCATGTGATGCTGCGCACAGGCCACCCTTATAGGTTGACAGACTTCCAGGAGGTCAGACCGTCACACTATGCGTGGTTCCAAACTATTCTAGATCGTTCCATCACACTTAAATTGCTATAAATTGACACGTGGCCGGCCTTCTCTTGATACAGGATCTATGAAATCACCTTTTTTCCTGCTTAGGGCTGATCTTCTGCCTATTGCGAGCGCCCTTACAATTAGTATGCGTCCGGGTCATCGTGATGTCTTTAACCTTTTTGGTATTCTATAGCGTTGGGCGGCCTTATAGAGGGATAGATCATTGTTTTTCATAGCGGCTATCGCCTTTACGAGGTCCTCTAGAGTGTATAAAGGCGGCATTCTGATGTACTGAAGCTTCTAGCGCTTATAAAAAATAAAAATAAAAAAAACACAGAATTTCTGCTAGGTTAGAAGGGACAACGGGCACGGGTCCCATTACCCCTCAAATAGGCCCGGAAATGCTAACTTCCGACCCCTACCGCGGCCCATCCCGTCGCGATGGACCTAACCAAACCTAGATCATAGAAAACACCAGGAAAAGAAGATTCAGACGCTGTACTTACGGTATCTAGGGCTTCATTGGCTATGGAGATATGTATAAGTGAACATAGTGATATTGGCTGTGAAAACTGTCCCACATATGGGGGTGTCCCATTCATATGGCCTCGCCGTTACTGAAACGAAGTTTGCTGTCTGTCCTCCGCGCTGGCGGTGGACGATGCAAAGGCCCAGGAGGTCGCTGTCGAAGCGTACCTGCAGCCGACCATACTCAGCTCAGCCGTGTTGAGGCTTGGATGAACTTCAACGGGTGTGACAGTTGCCTAACTTATCAGCTCTGTAGCTTTGTTGCGTAGTCAGTCGCATATCTCATGATCGCAGGAGGTCGACTCCGGGATTTGGATGGAGAGCCGAATGCTAGGTCGCAGCGCAGGCGGCGTGGCAATCTGGGTGCCTTTTAAACATAATCAATCCATGATCATGGAGTGTATACCTAGGGATTGTCAGTTCGTTGCTTTCCAATATCGTAGGAGACAACGGGTTCTACTCGAGGCGGGAGGTAGAGTTCCAAGCACTTGCCTAGAATCCAGAGATACCGAAGCAGACGGACACTCGGTCCTGGACATACTCTTTGCCCTGCCAGACTACCAAGACGAAAGCAGGTCGAAACCTGTCTTTCGTGTTGTCGTTCCACCGTGGACTGTTTTGCCTCTGACCTTCGGTAGGACAGCGCTTGAAGGCGGTACGGCACACACGTCTCTGCCGGCGAGGAAGCGAGTAACACAACTACAGCCTCCACCGTCGAGAAAGAGGACAGGCAACACGACTGCATAGCCATTTCGTAGGTGTCACCAGGTCAAGTTGTGATATGAAGCCAGAGAGCACTTAATGAAGCGTGCGTCGTGTGGGCTCTCCGTAATGTGTTTGTCCGTCGTCTTGCACCACTCGGTGTATCGAGAGGCTTCGCACTTCCCACGAGGCTTCGAGCCGCTCGTGCTGCCCGTGAGGCATTGTCCCGTCTCCGTACTTTCAACAAGCCACCTCGTGTTCTACGGTGTTCCTTTAGCAGCAAACACACACATGGGAAGCCTATTTAGATTCCACTGACACCTGCCTATAGGTACCAGAACTAAGCTCCATGCCTATCACCAACTCGTCCTTCCTTCTCTTTTACTCTTGAATCTTAAAGACACAGACACAAACACAGAAACATCATGCACGCACAAGCCGCCATCCTCGCAGTGCTTGCCGGCGGCCACGCGTTCGCGCAGGTGCTGAATCTCGATCGCATCATCCCTCGCCAAATCACAACCCCCAACACCACCACGGGCACCAGCGATGCGCCCACGCCAACGTCACACTCGCCGGACTGTATTACCTCCTACAATTCACTCAATTCTGCTGCCGCAACCCTACCTGTCAATTTCACAGATTCCAACAGCCTCACGTCAATCTCGGAACTAGGCGAAAATCTCACTGCGCTATGCTACAGCCGCACGGCCATACCGAGCAGCCTGTCCTCTGCCTACGTCGAGTTCATCAGCGAGCGCTACTCATTCTTTTCGGTGCAGAGCTCGAATTTCATCGATGTCGCATCCAAGTGCTCGATTTGGAAGTCTCTTATTACAGAAGACCCGGAACCCAAGTTGACCGCTTATTCGAGCTTTCTCGGCGGAGCATGCAATGCCAACGCTACAGCTACAGCTACTACTATTGCTACGGGTAATGTGGCAGGAAACGGTAGTGTGGCAGGAAACAAGAACGCATAGTGCTGGATCCAGGGAGACGGGCTTCCGCGCTGCAGGTGTTCTGGGAATGGGAATCGGGATTATCTGTGCCACTGTGGCTTTGTAGGAGGACAAGTCCCACCGCATCTCAACTTTAAAGTGATGCGAGGGGCCGCGAGGACGAGGAAGTGAATACCTATTCCTCCTCGATAGTAGCCGACAGCGCCATGCCAGAAACATTGCGGTTCATACGTATGATCTTCGGTTAAGACTGCAATCAACAATTACTATGTCAAGTAATGCCTCTTTTCCGATTTGCATGTGCCAACAGTCATGGACGCTCCATCAAACTGGGCGAACAAGTGGTCTCATATGTGTAAGGAAGGAAGGCAGGTCAGCAGCCTGGCAGGATATACCGTGGCCACGCGGACTCGGATCAGCGTGAAATTACAGGACAGAAAGGCACTAGTCAGACTCGGCTCTCCGACAAGCGAACTTCTAGCAGGTGGTCGTACAGTACAGACCCGGCATCCCGAGGTAGATGGCCTTTTGAGGAGGATGGTTCAACGAGTGGCATTGGTAGATGTATTGATGATGGAGAGCTCTAGCACTATACTGCCCGGAGATTCCCTTATGTCCACTGTACAGCCCCACAGCCTCAAGAGCTGTCCATGGAAATCTCTCAGCTCGTGACCGCGACAGCATCCCAGCTAGACACCAAGGACGGACGTCATCATCAGGGCCGGCAAGGGGTAAACATATGCATATGGGAAGGTATGGCAACAAACACCGAGAACATAACAAGGGATATGGTTGCACATGCCACCCATAAACTCCAGCCTAGCACTAGCTGGGAAATTCGGACCGGAGACGTGGGAGGCTACGCAGGTGGTCAGCTCGGGTTACCTAGACCTTCACCGACAGCAGTCGCAGCGTGTGACCGACGTCAAGCTCTCTGCAATGGGAGGAACAAATGAAGGAACGAACAAACCGCCGAGATGTTGACGCAGGACTCTGCCGAAATGAAACCGGAAACGCCGGGATTTGCTCTCTCGCTGAACCATCACTGCTGCCTTGACCGACTTTCTCCAACACTCCCGGGTCTTGTACGCCCAGGTAATGAGGAATACAGATCCGCCCTGGAGCGGCCGGCACAGCCGGGCACGCCCAGTCCTGCGGAGGTAGGCTTGGCGCAAATGAGGCTGGAGTAGCTTTGCATCACTTTTGACTTCAAAAGTTACCATGGCACCCTTTTGGGTGCGGGGAATATCACAAGTCTCCTCGGCCTCGACACCCCTTGGCAGGCAGCTTTCGATGGGGCCCTGCCAACTCAATTGAGTCTCCAGACGAAATGTCTACCAGTAGCAGTGGGAGCCTCGACACCATCGTCGGCTTCGTTGAAACTCACCTGGTTGACTTGCGAGGATGTTTCCCATCACCCGGTATGCTCAAGCCAGGCTGTTCAGAGGGCCATGGCTTCGGGTCGATGGAAGTGTCGCCGGGCTTGGGTGCGTCGGTTTTTATCCCACACCACAGAGCTTGCCCCGTATGGGATGAGGCGGGAAGGAAGAACTCATGTGCAACCGACTGGCTGCTGACTGGAGGGAAGTCTATTTTCATTCGCTAGCCCTCGCGCCGAGGACATGATGCGTCATAAAAACAGCCACGGGCAACTCACCAGCTAGCCGAAGGATAATCGTTGCCGGGTCTTCTCGAGCAAAGCAATATGTTTTTCTGAGACATTTCCTCGACTTCTTCACGTCACCCTGATACCGTAGAAAGCTCTTCGTTCATAGACAGAAGCGTTCCCACGCGAGATTGCCTTGTTTAACACGCGTACCGAAGCATCCTCGGCGACAGAACTGCGGTCATGAGTTATCTCACTCAGCGCAGGCCGCACAATATCCCGGAGGATGATGTCGAGGCTCAGGGCGCCAGCCGTTCGAATGAACCCAACATTCCAAGTGGGAGCGGTAGTGGAGGAGGCGGCCAGGGCGAGCATGTCAAGTTCGGAGACAATGAGCCGAGCAAGGGCGCCGACTTGGGTGAATTCGAAGCGCTGGATCGATACATAACCAATTTCGAAGCGGAGCGCCGGGCCAGTCTCTCGGGCGATTCGCAGCAGCGAGCGACTAAGAAGCCCAAGTGGTGGCAGTTCTGGAAATCCGAGGAGGGCGAGCCAGCCGTTGAGCCGGCACCCAGCGACGTGGGAAAGCCACCGGACTCCTGGCTAGACACCGATATTCACCAAGGCGTGAGCAGCTCTGCGGTGGAAGAGCGTCGGAAGCGATTTGGCTGGAATGAACTCACAGCCGAGAAAGAGAACATGTTCCAGAAAGTCCTGGGTTACTTTACAGGACCGATTCTGTACGGTGAGGCATACTTCCTGCTCAAGTTGCTCCATACCTGCATTTCTTCTCGTTGCTCTCCCTTCGGTGCTGATTGAACCCTCTAGTCATGGAACTTGCGGCTCTGCTTGCTGTGGGCCTCGGAGATTGGATCGACTTCGGTGTCATCTGTGGTATCCTTGCCCTCAATGCCTTTGTCGGGTTCTACCAGGAGAAGCAGGCAGCGGATATCGTGGCGAGCTTGAAGGGTGACATTGCCATGAAGGCCCCGGTTGTGCGAGATGGTGAGGAACAACAGATCCTAGCCAGGGAGCTGGTGCCAGGTGATATCGTAGGTCAATCATAGAGATGAGCCAGGAACTCCTCCAGCCCCATTGTGGAAGCCGTACTTCCAAAGACAATGGACCGAGCTAATGGTTGGCAGGTCATCATACAGGAGGGACAGACCGTCCCAGCAGACTGCCGGTTGATATGCGACTACTCTCGACCACAAGACTTCGATAAGTACAAGGAGTTGAAGAATGAGGATAAATTTGGCGAGGAAGACAATGGTGGTAATGGCAATGAGAAGGCGGACAAGCCCAAAGAGAGCAGCGGCGGCAAGGAGAAGCAAGGTGAAGATGACGATGACGACGACGACGAGTCAGTCCATGTCGGCGAACCCCTGGTGGCCTGCGACCAATCGGCCATCACTGGCGAATCCCTCGCGGTCGACAAGTACATGGGCGATGTTGTCTATTACACCACTGGTTGCAAACGCGGCAAATCCTACGCCATCATCACCACGTCGGCGAGGTACTCGTTCGTCGGTCGAACTGCTTCCCTGGTCCAAGGCGCCAAGGACCAAGGCCACTTCAAGGCGGTCATGGACAGCATCGGAACGTCGCTACTGGTCCTCGTCATGTTCTGGATCTTGGTTGCCTGGATTGGCGGCTTTTTCCACAACCTTCGAATCGCCGAGCCAAACGTCCAAAACCTGCTCCATTACACGTTGGTGCTGCTGATCATCGGCGTTCCTGTTGGTCTTCCGGTGGTGACAACAACCACCCTGGCTGTAGGGGCAGCGTACTTGGCGCAGCAGAAAGCGATCGTTCAGAAGTTGACAGCGATCGAGTCTCTAGCAGTGAGTGCACCCCGGCATTGGCTCTTCACCAAGTTCTGACTGATTATAAAGGGTGTCAACGTTCTCTGCTCGGACAAGACCGGCACTCTTACTGCCAACAAGCTCAGCCTTCGTGACCCATACGTCGTTGAGGGTCAAGATGTGAACTTCATGATGGCAGTTGCAGCGTTGGCCAGTTCCCACAATGTTGCCTCGCTGGATCCGATTGACAAAGTCACCATCACGTCGCTCAAGCGCTATCCTAAAGCACGGGAGATCCTCCGCCAGGGATGGAAGGTGGATAAATTCATGCCTTTTGACCCGGTTTGTAAGTAGTGCCGAGCTGCCTTCTCCCCCTTTCGCATGTGTCTCGGGAGTCTGTCCCTTTGCCATCAGGGGCCTCTACGCCCAAACCACGGTCTGGGGACCACGAGCAATTGACTCATTGCATAGAACAGTTGCTGACCGCGCGTGCTGCAGCGAAGCGCATCACTAGCGAGTGCCGCTTGGGTAACGATCGCTACGTCTGCGCGAAAGGAGCCCCAAGTGCGGTTCTCACTATCACCAATGTCAGCGACGACATGCGCAGGTTGTACAAGGGCAAGACCAAGGAATTTGCCCAGCGAGGGTTCCGCTCTCTTGGTGTCGCATATAAGAAGAACGACGAGGACTGGACTCTCCTTGGGCTGCTGTCCATGTTCGATCCACCACGTGAAGACACGGCGCAGACGATCCTCGAAGCTGCACATCTGGGTGTTCCGGTGAAGATGTTAACCGGTGATGCGACCGCTATCGCCAAGGAAACTTGCAAAATGCTCGGTCTCGGCACGAAGATTTACAATGCTGATAAGCTGGTCCATAGTGGCTTGACGGGGACTGTTCAACACGACCTTGTGCAACGTGCCGATGGGTTTGCGGAAGTTTTTCCCGAGCACAAGTATCAAGTGGTGGAAATGCTACAGCAGCGCGGCTCTTTGACTGCAATGACGGGTGACGGTAGGTGTTCCTTGGTCTGCATCTCTATCGCACCATAGACTCTAAGCTGTTGCTGATGTGTCTTTTACTGCGCAGGCGTGAATGATGCACCCTCCCTCAAAAAGGCCGATTGTGGTATTGCTGTAGAAGGCGCATCCGAGGCCGCGCAAGCAGCGGCCGATATCGTGTTTCTGGCACCCGGTTTGAGCACTATTATCTTGTCCATCAAGACCTCTCGTCAGGTATGTACTTCCATCTTGCTGTCGTGTGTGGCGCAACAACCCATAGTGTCCAAATTTGAGCGGATGGGGAGGTGACCTTGGGCGGTGACCTGTTGCTAATTGCCAGCAGATCTTCCAACGGATGAAAGCCTACGTGCAATATAGAATTGCACTATGTCTTCATCTTGAGATCTACCTGACGACATCGATGGTCATCATCAACGAGACCATCCGCCCGGACCGTCAGTAACATCCGAGTCGTCCAACGTATCCTCAATGGGCAGCTATTGACTCATGGTGCTGCAGTGATCGTGTTCATCGCATTATTTGCCGACTTGGCTACGGTGGCCGTTGCTTACGATAACGCACACGTCGAACAACGACCAGTGGAGTGGCAACTGAAGAAGATATGGGTTATCAGTGTGATCCTAGGGGCACTCCTGGCTCTGGGGACCTGGATCATTCGGGGCACGATGTTCTTGCCAAATGGTGGAATAATCGAGAACTTTGGGTCGATCCAAGAAGTCCTATTTCTGGAAGTGGCGTTGACTGAGAACTGGCTCATCTTTGTCACCCGCGGCGGGCGAACATGGCCATCGTGGCAGCTTGTGGTCGCGATTCTCGGCGTCGACATCATCGCGACCATCTTCTGTCTCTTCGGATGGCTGTCCGGCAGCGGCGGCGGCGTCATGAGAACGACACCTCAAGACCACTTCAACAACTCGAACAACGGGTGGACGGACATTGTGACGGTGGTTGTTGTCTGGCTGTACTCATTTGGAGTCGTGGTGTTCATCGCCATCGTGTACCTGGCACTCAACCAATTCGAATGGATAAACAACTTGGGACGGAAGGACCGCAACAAGAAGGACACGAATATCGAGAACATCATTGGCCATATCAACAAGCTTACCAGTAAGTACACCCCCACTCGGGCCTTCATCCAGAAGATCGGTCATTGGGCACTGACACTAAGTTCTTCAGTCGAGCGTGAGACGGACGACAAGACGGGTAAGGATAGGTACTCGCTCGTCGAGAAATCAACTGCCGAGGAAGAAGACCTGTGAGCTCCTTGTTCTATTGGAGCGCTGGCGTGATGACGGTGAGGTTGGCTCTATTAGAACTGCAAGCTTGGCGGTACATGCTTATCATGTTATGGTTTCGCATAGAGCAGTTGGATTGGGCGGGAAATATGGTTCAGTAGAATTTCGCGTAATAATAAAATAACCAGCTACTTCGTAGCTTCTCAATGCGCTGCGTGCATTTCACGGGTGGGGCTAACGCATCCTTTTCGACAATAGTACTTGCTACTGCATCTACCCAACCCAAGGTATTTTTGTCCATTTGGTCTATCTATCTGGTCTATCCATCCACGTACGGCTTACGTATGACTGTTGGCCCAGCTGTACCTAGCTGGCGGCAGGCGACGCCGCTCCCGCGGCTTAGCTGCTACTGAGAGGAAGTTCTTAAAGAGGGGCCACGTAACGCAGCTACAGCGCCACAGCACCGCGTACGGCTCACAATTACCACTTATAACCAATATTTCGAACGGCAACGATAGAAAAAAAAAAAAAAAAAAACCATGATATGCATTAAGGTAGTACGGTTCGAATGGTCTAGGTCTCGATAGATTGCACGCAGAAGCAAATGAACTGCAAAGGAAAAAGACGATTTAAGCGGGGCAAAATCTGTTGTCTAATTGGTTGGCGAAATCGTAGCGTCACTAATGTTTTAAGAAAGACTTGATAGTGAAGTCGTTGCAAAGTTCCGTGTCGCGTTGCACAGTCGGTCCCACATCAGTGCCCGGTCCAACATCTCAGCCACAGCTGGCAGCCACTGGTGGGGCGCTCAAGGGGTGGGAAGAGATTCCGCTGCCGGTGTTTTAAAACTTATCAACCTTCGGTCTTCCAAACCCCGCCATTCTATTTCCTGGGGGCGCCAACGTCTGACCGTCGCTGTTCTCCTGAGTCCTGGCAGTCTGCAGTCCTGAGACCGGCGCATTCTGCACGATGTCACGGAGTAGCCTCGGAACTGCCCCTCAGACGTCCTACCTTACGTCTCACCAATCCAAGCAAGGCTGTCCGGATTCTTGCAGGGGTGTCGCCCTCAGACAGCTTCTCGCAAGGTGCCCACGCATATACGTGGCACTACCTTCCAACGTCATATGCGTAAAAAGAATCTTCGGGTTGTGTACCCGTGTTGTCAAGTGACCTAGCTTCCTTCCCCCGTCTACACAGCGAGCATGTTGTTGCGAGTGCACCACCAGATGTATCGGTGTAGCATTCTAGAAGGATTCTGCAAGGGAAGTCGAAGGTAGCTCTGGCAACTTTGCCTATTGGTCACAGAGCTTCCTCGTATTACTACCAATCACGATCCTGAGCCCCCAACCTCATTCTTACCAGCTCTCGGGTACCAGGAGAGGCATTGGGGCCTTCTGTGGTGACGGTCACGGTGACAGTCTACCGGAACGGACCCGTTGGAACGGGACAGCTATCGTGAGCCATGAAGCTGGGTCAATCTCACTGTCGGAAGGCTTTGCCAACGTATCAAGTTGGCAATCTGCTTACTTGACTTGCAAAATTGTCACCACTTCGTCGGGCACAGCCACGTCCTACAAATGGAAAATGAACGCCTTCCTGAGAGAGGCTCGACAACAGATCAGAACACAGGCCACATACGACCTTACCTGGCTCTACTGTCACTCTGAAGCATCACTTACAAGCGTTGATCCGTTCTACCAAGCTTAGGTGCCTTCTAGCGGGCATTGAACAGCACATCCAATACCACCTCAATCTCGATCGACCTTCCACGTTCGCTATCCGGAACCATGACTCTGGAGCGCCAATGTTTATTACCCGCCCATGGTAATAGTGGGCAAATAATCTGAAGGATGACTGCCCAGACCGTCGGGCTTCCAGCTCATGTGCGTCCTCCCTTACACACCGACCATCGATCAACTGCGTCCCTGGTCATGCTGCCGTGTTGTGTCCGCATGTGATACTCAATAGGCAGCCCGCCTTGATAGGTAGTCCTGTGGCACATCCGTGTCATGCGACTGCTGCATCAGTAATACCGATACGTCGGGTTTCGAGGTCCGCACAGCTGGTCTACCAGAGCTTGCGTTGTAGGACGGTGTCATCTGGTGCGAACCGGGCGTTGTGAAGTTGTGGCCCCCAAACGGAATCAGGCCGCACCCGAAAGCCATCATTACTCCTTTTGGTATGACCCAATCAGAGCAGGGGATCGTTGGCCATGCATACAACTAACCTTGCAAAACCTCCAAATGGCTCGATGGCCTGCAGGTCGAGAGCGGTGGCCTGCAGGTTAGGTACCTGGGTACTTATCTATGACCCAATCAGAGAAGGCGATTCGCTGATCATGTACCCATGGATGGCCATGGCGGCCATGGCCCATGGCACATGCCCCCAATTTGATGAGCCTCACAACCTCCAGTCAACCATGCATGATGCATGTTGCCCGGCGCCTGAGGTTACGCAAGCCATCCAGAGCAGAGCCACGAATATCCAAGATGTCGGATGTCTGGCCCCAGCACATGCACCGTCGCTCACGCAGAGGACACCCCCTCGTTGCCGAACACTCATATCGGAAGATGGATATAAGAACTACCTGCTCGCACATTTTGGTTTCTGGCCCCCTCTCCGACTCGTTATCGAACATACCATCTCCTCCTCTCCTTGCAACACTGCTTCTTTTGGGGGCCAAAACATGGCCGACACCTGTTGGGGGCCACATCTGGCAGCACCATGTCTCTTTGACGCTCTCTCGTCTCGTCGCATACCTCATCGACGTGCCACTGAGACATCGTATGTGACAGCGATGCACTACTCGCATCTACTTATATCCCACTTGTTGCCAGGCGCATCCAACCAATATCAATCTCCTTTGTCTTGTTTTCATGCTTCATCCCTTCTTTTGTTTCGACAGCATCGACTATACAGGATCAAAGAAGTCTTCTCGATCGGTCATTGTCACCATGAGACTAGTACTCACAAGCCATCGTCGGGTTCAACTATGTTGCGATGCGCCTTCCCTCACTCCGATACACCAACATTGCTCGGCGTACCTTATCAGCACATATCGGCACGTGACCCAAATCACGGAACCGGCGGAAACCGACTCCCGAAACGACCTCGACCTCAGTCCCATCTCGAAACAGCCTGACGAGGCTTTCTCGCAAACCACCTCTTCTGTCCATCATCGGGACACACAAGCCCGGGAACAAACCGGGCATACCAGCATTTGGAGAATGAGGCGGGCATCTTCGGTCAACACACAGAGTGAGGCGGACCGCATCGTCGGTCTCCCAAAGTGAGGCGGCTGCATAGGAATCACGCCAGCCTTGCATCGTGACCGCGTCAGACCGCTCTTTCGGATGCGACGCTGGAGCCTGCGGTCACATTCTACCACCGATTCGTGGCCATGGTCGATTGGTCGGGATACAGAGGGATTTGAAGTCGCCTTGCTTCACCGAAAGGCTACGAAGGTTGCTCCTACCAACCCGGGCGCTCAGAGTGTCTGCCTCAAGGTGGACTGCCAATAATTGGCTGCCTGTCATACCTTTGGGCTTCACGTTCGGCCTATCAAACCTCTCCGCGAGCTGCACCGAAATACCCGTATGACCTTCGAACGAAGAATGACTGCGATCAGTTGGGCCGCGAACCAACGTTGGGACGTACACGACACTGAGGACATCACGTTTTGCACGGTGGTTAGAGCGAACGTGGGAGTAACGGGGAGCTGATGGGTACGATCCGGTGGCCTGATTCGGCCTACGTGGTACAAGACTCGGTTCTTGCCAATTTCCAGTCTGTTCGACCTTTGAAAGCAGCGGCCGAACGCGAACACCGGAACCCACCACCGAGATGCATATAATGCGTATTCTGAAGTTGCAACCACGACCGGTTTGTATCTTGACTTCAGTCCAATTCACACCACTACCGCTGCTGGCGCCCTCTGGGCTTCGAGGAGGAATATCAGGCCCATCACATCGTTTTCAACTATCACGGTCTGATCACTTTCGTGTATTGTATATGCTTACATCGTCGAGTGACGATGAAGTCACTGCATTTTTTACGTCCTGGCAATATCTCGAGTCTACCACCCTGGCAGGGCCCTGCTGACCGAAAGAGTTCAAAGACGGTAGGTATACGACTCGTTATCCAAGCGTAGCAAACACAATCTTGTCAATAATTCAAGCGAATTCTCCAAGCAAGTCAATCACAGTTACCACCAGCCCAAGTTCCTTTTCACTGTGGTGACTATCCACAGGCGAGTGCGAGCGTGCTATAACGCGGGCATATTTGGCCTCTGCCGCCTTTACGTATCGGTCAAGTAGAGATACCAAGCAGCTTCTATTCTCTCACAACACTGTATCATGTATGTGCATACGTGAAATGTTCTATGTCTCTCCGAACGCCAAGCCCGGTTTAGAGTCGACTGTGATGAGGCCTCCGCGGGTCATATTGTCTTCGGTCTCGGTGGCCCCATCAGAGCAGCCGAGAATCAGCAACGGTGCCACACCGTCCCGGCGTAAGCCGATGCCGTTCTCCGTGCGCAATGCGTATACTGCACGTCAAAGCAACCACTGGAGTAAGGCAAACCGGCGAGCACACTAGCTCATCTAGAGTTGCATGCGGTTGGTTCGGGTTCTTCCCCATTCGTGGCCACAAGCCTGAGGCGCTGCACAAGGGACATCTGTGCCAGCTGGTATCTCTTGGTTTCTTGCTTGTCAGGAGCCAGACAAGACGACATTTGGAGGCTCAAGTGATTAGGACGTAGCAGCACCGTGTCCTGGGACCTGCGCTTCCAGCCAATCTAGGACCTAGGACTTTTCTACCGTCCTTTCTCTATCCTACCTGTCTGGCTAATCAATCGGTATCCTGCAGAAGACCTGAATAGTGCCCTAGCATGAACATGTTCCTGGCCAAGGCAGTCTCCCAGCCTCTAAGGTTTCGAGACCGACGTAGGGTCTCTCCGTCACCAGCACGCCTGACCAATGAGCGACGCTGCAGGTCGTTACGTCCTCCGCGCGATCAGTTGTCGACCTCCTCAACTCCAGATTCTCTACACCTCGACGTTGCGGGTACCCATTCTCCCTATATCGTATATATATTTCCATTGTTCTCCACTCAGCATGTCGAAATCAACTCCCCCCAACCTTCACGAGCTACTACTTTCATACATCCTCCACATGTATATGGCTACATCAACCCAGACTTGCAATACTTCTCGATTCGCGGCCTGGATGCCTCGCCAGCAGAGCTAAAGTCTTCTCGAGTCTTCCCGTCGCTACTTCCCACTCCCTAGCAGATCGAAAAGGCATCGACACTTGTTTTCCTCCCCTTCGCCGTCCCAGAGCCTACGTGCAACAGGAAATTACAGCAACCCAGCCATCATGGGTTCGAACGACGCCACATACAACGGGTCCGTCTCCAAAAACACTACCTCCCGTCATACACATACACCCCCGTATGAAGGTAAAGACTAACCTACTCGCTCCCCCTCCCCAGCACGACGCCGCATAAACCAAAACACCACTACACCACGAGCCCCCCAACGTCGCACTCCACCGACAGGCAGAGCGTCCAGAGCTACAGTCTCGGCACCTACCGCCATGGGCCCAGCAGCACACCCATGGCATCGACGGCCAGCTCCAGGGACATCGAGGCAGCTCACGCGCAGAGGGTCGCGAGGGAGACTCAGGCTATCCTGTCTCGCTACTATAAGTGATGAACGCGGTTTTGAGTTGGCTGTGGCGGATCGGTATGGCTCTCTTCCACGTATAGGCTTCTGTGTTCACTCTCACTGACACTGCCGTTAATGACTAGGTAGTCTTGCTGGCCCAGGCGAGGCGATTCCGCCGTCTATAAATATACAAGGCTTCCTTAAGGGACAAGCGAGCCGTCATCTTTCATCTACCGCCTACTCCCCGAGGATCGCAGGGGATTCTGTTCACCTCTTTTCCGCCCCAGAGGCGAGTGTCCCGGTTGCCATGCTGCTACCTAATGCGCGGACAGCTATGCGGATAGATGTCATTGGCCAACGATGTCTCTTGGTCCAACCAATGCCAGCCTGCAGCTCCTCCACCTCCATTGCCCCCTTTTGTCCGATCTGCGCCCCGCTGGTTCGTCCGCCACGGGTTCCAAAATAGCTGTCACACTCTGCCCTGCAGGACACTCCGCTTGGACCCTTCCCCCCCCCCGCCTGGAAATCGGTCGATCCCGAGCCAAGATCAGCCGCATTGCTCTTTAGTCACCAACATCACATCTCACCATCGATCCTGTTCCAAATCAAAAGACTCAGATCAGAGAGAAAGTTAGCATGCCAAAAGGAGCAAACACATCATTTTCACAATGGAGGAGAAACCAGGTGTAACCAAGACAGTGTCCAATGTCAATATCAACTCCTAACTAGGAACGAATGCTAAGTACACCACGACATCACCTCTGCTGCTTTGACATGCAAGCAGGCTTCACCAATTACCATTGGCCCTTGCCATCACCACCCTTGTTGCCGCCCCAGTTCTGGCTATTCTTGTTGTCCCAGTTCTGACCTTCTCCGTTCTTGTTGCCCCAGTTGTTGCCGTAGCCGTTCTGGCCGTAGCCATTGTTGTTGTCCCAGTTCTGGCCATCACCCTTGTTGTCCCAGTTCTGGCCGTAGCCCTTCTCGTTATCCCAGTTCTGGCCATCGTCCTGCTTGTTGTCCCAGTTCTGACCATCTTCATTCCTGTTGTCCCAGTTCTGGCCGTCACCCTTCTTGTCGTCATAGTTTTGGCCGTTCTTGTCATCGTGGTTCTGGCCATCACCGTTCTGCTCTTCACCCCTCTTTTGGTGGCCACTCTTGTTATCGCCCTTGTTGTTGTATCCATTCTTGTCATCACCCTTGTTGTTGCCGCCCTTGTACTCGCCGTTCTTGTTGTTGTTGTCACCCTTGTAGTTGCCGTTCTTGTTGTTATAGTCGCCATTCTTGTTGTTGTAGTTGCCGTTCTTGTTGTTGTTGTCGCCCTTGTACTCGCCGTTCTTGTTGTTGCCCTCGCCCCATCTGCTCACATCGGCAAACGATCGTTCGATGAACGCAATGTCAGCAGCTCGCTTGCTGGGGTCGAACTCCGCCTGATGTAGTCAGTATCCATGGCTCTAACCACTGGTACCAACTAATTTACAGCCTCGAAACCGCGCTCGTCCATGACAGCAACCGCTCCGCCAGCGACGGGGGCAGCTAAGGCAGCGGGCGCCGCGAGTAGGGCCGCGAGGACGAGCTTGGACACCATTTTGGATAGTTGTTGGCTATGCTAGAAGCATGAAATAGGTCAGAAATGATCGGTATAGAGATATTCTCGTGTGATGTTCGCAGCACCCGACAGCGATGTAGGCTTATGGACGATTGGACACCCTGAAAACACGAGTGAAAACTTGAATAGGGAGTTGTGAGGGATGACATCGCAATGAGGGATGACATCGCAATGGGATAGGAGGCCCAGAGTCTGTTGGTCCTGTAGTGTAGGTTGCGGGCGAATTTACCTTTTTGAGATGAGACAGGAAGTGTGATAGTTGAGTTGAGAGGTTGAGCTGGTACTGTTTGAGATGATGCTATGCAGGTGTTTCAATGCAGAGGTGGTGGGTGTCGAAGGTTATGAGGATGAGGAGGAGAACGAAACGAGACGAAACGTGTTTGAGTAGCGGTATCTTATATTCCCACATTCATCGGCAGAACGAGGGCGTTGGGACCTCAGACCGAGGACCGCATCTACCGATGCCCATATCCATGCTCATGATGCAAATCATCGCCAAGTCTCCGTCACCTCCGGCCCAACTACAACACCTCGCTCAGGCATCTGGGAGTGCTACGAACAAGTGTGGATGGGATGAACAGGTTTTGGAAGTCGTCACGTCCACGCCCAGGCAGTTGTCAAAGTTTCTTGGCAATGACACCCGGACGTATGGGATGCTTCGGGGGATATAAGTTGGTGCGTGCGGTGTGGAGTGGGCCTCGATCGAGGCTCGAGAGAAGACCCGGCCTTGAGGGTCGGATGGCTAGTGCCCGCTCGTAAGCCCTCTGCCACACACGACGACCCGAGATCGGTTGGGTTTCGTCTGACCCAACTAGTACGTAACGTCTTCGTTGAGAACGGTCAGACTAAACCTTAAACCAATGTCGGGACCTCGTCTGTGCCATGGCAGTGGTAGCACCTCGGTGGTTTCACTGACCTTCTCACCTGACTTATTGGTGCTTGACCAGATAGATACGCAATCTGCCCCCCTTTTCCGTCGATGATGTCCAACACACCAGAACCGGGGTGTTCACAATGATGTATGTCTCCGTACTTTTGGTGCGAAACTCAAGCAACCATCTTTTGCTCTGGTCCTTCCGGCAGACAGGCTCATCAGGAGACTTTCCTTGGCCTGCGGGAAGACTTGCTTCGGGTCCGAAACTCTGTGCCCAACAGAGGAGCACACACCCAGGTTTGTCGCTCTGTCCGTGTCATCGATATGCACAACTCAATACCTAAGATTCGATTGTGGCCAGGTTTTTCGTGGATCATTGGATCATATGCGACGAACAGATCACTCTCGTATCAAGGAATGGAAGCGTCATGTCGCCGGCGCCCGCAGAGCTCCAGGTATGCAGGTACATAGATTCTGTCGACACATGGCAGCGAGGGGTTTGCATTAGCTGAGATGTGCCCCGACAACCTCTCAGTCTGACTATCGTCATAGTTTCTCGAGATCAGGTGTTGCATACATGAAATGGAACCCTGCCCTGAAGCCTCTGCCGTGGTATCCCGGATTGCCAGGAAGCATGGAAGGGGCAAAAAATGTATACATGTACATACACAGGGCTTCCACGCCTGATCAGTACCGCAGCTCTCGCAGAACAACAAGTCATCATTCGCCCCCTATGATTAGCCTTCTGGCACGGACAGGCGCTTCCCCAACTATAAAGTGCCGCGTCAGGGATGCTTCCCATGAAACTCTTACACCTCCAAACCCGTCTGGGATTGATTTGTAAGACGTTGGTTAGCTTCACCAGAAAACCTAATATACGAGACGTAGTCGCCACCAATGGTCGTCCATTCAGTTGAAGCCGGCGACTGTGGTGTGATGGCCCGGAAACGGCCCCGGGTCGGACTGCGCCGTGATCAACGCGGTTATCCCGCTGCCGTGAAAGCTGCCCGGGCCCGGACCTACTGGATGCGAGAACATACAACACCCGATGGCGATGCGATAAAAGGGGAGATTAACGTCGCCGCATAAGCCCGCGGCCAGTTGACGGCCGCCGTATGCTCCCTTTGAGAAGCCGGCTAAACCTGGCTTGGAACGGAGGCACGCAAATGGCTTCCCCTTTAGGCAAAACACGGCGTTGCCCAATGGGGAACCGGCGACGTAACGTATCCTGTCATTTCTTTCGCCTCCAAGTGCTATCCCTATTTGCATCGTGGAAGTTTGTGATCACAACTCTTGCGAAGTCGCACATAAATCGCACCCAGAAGTCCTTCCGAGTACATCATATGCGCCTGCGCAATGAGCCCAAGCAAGCAAGAACATGACGAGGAAGAGCAGGCCTTCCTCTCGCCAGGTCCGGCTCCCAACGATGCCGTGTGGTCCCGGAAAAGCACAACTTCGCGCAAGGCGACGCGATACTTGCGGCTAGCACTGGAGATTGCGATGGCAATAGTCATCGGTCTTTTCGTGGCCAATACGGTGCGCGAAAAGAGCCAAGTCAAACCGTCTCCGGTTCCGAAGTGTATGTACATTTACTCCGTTGATAGCGAGAAATATGGAAGGATCCTGATCGCTCATATGTATCGCTCGCAGTGCCGCGAAAGACGTACACATTCCTCCCGGATCCGCAATATGTAAGCGAAGACATGCTCTTCGACGAGCAGGACACGCTTCACACGCTGCATAGCTGGATACCGCTGAGTGCAGGTATGTATAGCAACCTCCCCCTGTGATCGTGTACCAGTACCACTGAGGAGACCTCTCATTGACGTCGTTGCCCCCAATAGACGCCAGGGGCTACGTCCAGATCCCCGATCACGACTCCTACGACATCCTCAACGAGCCCTACACGGTCCCCATCAACCGGACGACCGACGGCCCCGCCTACATGATGGCCGTCTTCCACCAGCTACATTGCCTCTCGTACATCGTGAACCACTACCAGCAAGGGTACGCCGGCACCGAGCTGACCGAGGAGGTGGCCCATCACTCGTCGCACTGCTTCGACTACCTGCGCCAGTCGATCATGTGCGCCGGCGACACCAACCTGGAGGGCGAAACGGAGGCGGGACCCGGCTGGGGTTCGGAACACGAGTGTGTTAATTACGATGCGCTACTCAATTGGGCGAACGAGCGGTCGGCCATGAAGTGGAGGAACGCGCTGTTGCCGGGTGAAGCTATACTTTGAAAATCACATAGTATTACCAGAAATCGACTATTCAATGTGTATTGCGAGATGACAGGATGATGTACGAATACACCTTCCGGACCCATCTCCGTGCTCGCCTCTCTAAGTCTTGCGACCCTCGCTTCCCCATAGCCACTGGCTGCTTTTCACCAAATTCAAGTTAAAGAATCATAATTCAATCAATTCAATTCGGACCTTGACGAAGAATCTTTGACGAAGAATCTTTGACGAATAATTGTAATTCAGTTCAAGTCTCCCGAATTGAATTGAAGTGAATCAATTGAGATCCGGGGTCACTTAGATGTCGAGTTTTCGGGATTTTTCCGACGTCCTCTTGTAGCCCTCGGTGAGTTGAAGCGATTGAGCATGGTCGGGACACCAGAGATGGGGGTCTTGGGGATGACAGGTTGTTCGAGAAGTCTAAGGGTGGTACGTTGGATGTTGGATATCGTGGTGGGCGGATGTGTGTGGCTGGTGCTATGGCTGCTGGTGTGGCTGGTCGTGCTGGTGTGGGTCTAACCGTCTAAGAGAAAGCGCCGGCTTTTGTTTGATCCGGAGGCCGGGGCCAGGGCTCCGGCAAGAGGTAATTGCGGGCAATTCCAAGGCCCGAATTGAAATTGAGTGAAACCCGAAGCAGATAGCCAGTCACCTGCACTGTAATGCCGCCGATAATCAGCTTCTTAACTCGATATTACCGTGGCATCCCTCCCACACTTCAACTTGTCTGATCCCCATAGAAGAAGAAGAAAACAGGCCATCTGGCCAGAAGCAGACCGCCTGAAGGCTGAAGGCTGAAGGCTGAAGGTGGAATGCGAGGTTCGCCTCGATGTTCACAGAAGCCTGAAGGCATGCCCAGTAACTGGGTGTTTGATATCAGCCGGGCGCGGACTATCCGGTAGGCCTGATTGAGAAGGCGACCACACTGCAGGTGTGCTGGAGCCTACAGCTGAAGTTAGACGCTGTTTTTGATGCAGCCCAGGTACCTTCTAACGTTCCCCCTTCTCTTGGGGTCTTGGGGTCTTGGGGTCTTTGGGGCGCAGCTGTAGGTGTGTGTGTGCTATCAGCGCCACTGAACCGCCATCTCTCGCCCAGGCTGGAATCCTTTGCAAGGCCTCACTCCAGCCGCCCGAAAATTGCGCGATCTACCGATTCAATGATAGGTTTGACTTGCCACAATTGAATGCGATGGGACCCAACTCACACTTTCACTCCATTTTATGCAATTTCTACTTGCGCCTGAACAGCAGGATCCGGGTGGCAACCCCCTGAACGGTCGCCAAACTCGGTCTGATGGCCGCGGACCCGTTCGACGACGTGCTCAACGACTTGTCCGGCCAGATTCACGCTAAGCTGGAGAGGAGGGAAATTGCTGAGCTGCGCTTCGCCAGGGTCGGCACCGCTCAAGCCATCTTGCAGGCGTTCAATCTGCGACGCTTCTTCCAGAGTCTCGTGCCACCTGGCGATTCAGTCGAGGCATTCTTCGGATCCGGTGTTACCGACGACATTCTCATCGCCAGGACGACAGACAGAGACCTTTGCAACTTTCTGGCTATTCTGATCTACGCGCCTTGTGGCATCGCATCAGCTAGAGCCTTTACCAAGACGCTTCTTGCCAGCCCCTCGGAGTCTTGGCCCATTGTTCATGGGAATGGTCGCAGGATTGACCAACTACCGGCAAATCGTCATCAGCTGGAACAGCTGTTTGGACGCCATAGTTTGCTTGATATCAAAAACTTCCTAGACACGCAGCCATGTTTTTGTCCGATCATCCTCCTGAAGGGAGAGGATGTCCGAGTGACCGATCGCAAGAAGCACCGCCTCCCTTACTCGTCTGACGAAGTGCACATAGGCACGGGGTCATACGGCGAGGTTTACCGCGTTGAAATTGCCGAAGGTCATACGCTGAACAAGCGCACGTCGACGGCAAACACGACGCCTACGCTCTTGGCGCGTAAGGACTTCAAGAAAAGTCGTGAGTTCCAGGATGAGTATGAGATCATCAAGCAGATTCTGTACGCGCCCGACCGGTCTGACAACATCCTCACAACATATGGGAGTCTCCAGCTCGACGACGACACCTTCAGTCTCTTTATGCCACTGGCACATTGCGATCTCAGGACATGGATGATCGAAACCCCGCGGCCAGCGTCCAGGTCCCAGCGGGCAGACATCATCAGGTGCGCTTCGGAGCTTGCGAGCGGGTTGGAGTTCCTGCACTCAAAGATAAAGAACCGCGACGGCAACCGATTGGTCTGCTTCCACATGGATCTGAAGCCAGCGAATATTCTGGTCTTTGATAGCAGACATCCAGGGCAACTGATATGGAAGATCAGCGACTTCGGCATGTCCCGCGTGAAGGTCACGGCTCACAATAGTGAGTATGATGGCAGGGACAAGGACATGAGCAGTCTATTCCAGAGAAAGCAGACAGATGCTGCTGCTTCTGGGACGATGAATCTTCGTCTGGACGGTACGTACTTGGCACCCGAATCGAGCACTGCCATGCGGAAGATGAACAAGGAGAGCGACAATTGGTCTTTGGGCTGTGTCGTCAGTGTCATCTTCACCTTTCTCGAAGAGGGACAAAGGGGCATCAACGAGTATTCGGATGCTCGTGAGGAGGAATCCAGGCGGCAAGGTTGCGGAAGCGCCGATCGCTTCTTCCTCCTGTCTAAGAGTCTTAAGAAAGCAAAGAACCACCCAGGAGTGAAGGACCAACATAGATACCTCATCCGTAAAGCGGGAGGGCGAAGTATAGCAGAGCGCGAGGTGGTGAGGCGCACTTTGAAGTATGTTGAGGATTCGGTACTTCTTCTCGACTCTTCCGGCAGGGCGTCTGCACAGGAAATAAGTGATCTTATGTCGGAAGCATCTGCAGATTACCGCAATCTGGATCATCCTCATAGGGGCCAGACCACATCAGCTGCAACTGTTCGCCGATGGGCTCGACTTAAATGGATCATTCCTTTCGCCAGGCAGGTGTAAGCTTGCAATTCTCTTGACGCGCCCACACATCCCTTTATACCGCTTACTATTACTGACTGACCTTACTGTGAAGAGACAATGGGACTGAGGCCCGAGTTCACCGCTGGCCGCTGCCGGGGATCGACATCCTGAAGGGTTCCGACGTATCCCCCAACGGCAGACTCATAGCATGCTGGACTGATAGGCATATTGTCCTCTATGGTCCGCAGTCCTTCGTACCGCACGAGGGAAAAGCTTTGCATCCAGTTGCTGAGCACCAGCTCGAAGGATCCGTAGCTTGGAAGAGTATAAAACTTACCGAAAAGTATCTGATTGCTTCTACAAAAGGGAGTAGACCATCCGTACGAATAGCTTCCGTGGGAAACTCGAAAGAACTGTAGCTGATCTTTTTCTAGATATATCTCTTTGACCTTGAAGGCGGCAATTTATCTGGCCCGAACTTTCAGGTCAGCTATGAAATTACCCTTCCAGTTGGCAGCTTCGAAGGACTCCACGAGGTTGCCATATCGCCAGGAGGAGGGACCCTGGCTTGTATGGTCCCACGCGATACGCATAGCTCATGGGTTTTCTACGCGCCCATCATGGACCTCGTCCACCACAGAATCGATGGGTAACAATCCTCGTCGAACTAGACTCAAGCCCACACTGCTAACATGCGGGTAGGAACGACTCAGCAGCTGGATCGCTCTCCAGTAATAAGTTTAAGTACAACATTGGCGCGAAGGAACCGTGGCAACACTTTTTAGTGAAGAGTTCCGCTGGTGATGTGACCCATTTGCTGTTTCCCTCCGATGGAACTCTCTGCGCAGTTGCACAGCCAGCGACCAGTGCTAGTAGTCAGGAGCACTGCATCCGGATCTCGTCTATGTCCCTCGGCACCAAGAAGGTCACGACCCTACCGATTGAGAATCCGCTCAACACCGGATCCAGGGTAAGTCTCCATGAACCCCTTGGTAAGAGATGCAACGACTAAGGGCGTGCGAAGGATCTGGACAGCAGCAACTCAGGAAACTTGTTCACAGCTCTGGCGGCTTTGAACCACGAACGAGCATACGCCATCATGCTTTACGAGAAAGAGCTTCTTGTGCGCAACTTTGAGCAGTCCAGCGAAGTATTTGACGGCCAAACGTCCTTCAAGAACTATCAGATCGTCGAGCTCCTGGCGGGCGGGCATGATCCACGAGTCTTTGCCCTGGGGTCGAAATCTGGGAACAACATGATGCTGCTATTGGAGCTGCCGCTTCCACATCTGCTGAGGAACGGAAGCGTGCGTGAGATAGCAAAACTGCCCGACTTTCGCTACAAGGGCAAGTTCTCCGCAAAACTTTCCGCCACACGAAGTACGGCCCAGCAGAGAGCTGGCAGAATCAGCGGAGTTAGCCGCGACGAGGAAGGTTACGATGCGAGCGCAGATGGTGAAGGTGTGCTGACTTTTACGATATCCGTATTCGCTCTTAGTCAGCCAGCGATATACACAATCCAGCTTCCCACGTCATGATAGAACCAACTAATCGATAGATACCCCCAAAACGGCTCATCCGCAGATTTCACACAGGTGCACTTTCGAACTTCATGCGATTACCCCCTTTCATCGTGAGACGACGGGTCAGTCCTCTCCAGTCCACGATGTGTACCTTGGGTGACATCCGACGGACAACCGAGTCGTCGTGGTGTAGCACCCAGTAATACACGGAAAATGTCATTGCCGTCAGCGCGATTGATGTAACGATGTAGATCCAGATCGTGGGAGTGCTGACAATGCGTCCGACCTGCTGGTCGAGGTCAAAGAAGTTCATACCGAAGAAGGTCTGCAGGTTCTTAGCTCAATAACTGGCCCACAAGTTAAGAGACATCCAGCTGCGTACTCACGGCGACGAAGGATGCAGGCAGGTAGAAGAGGGTCAGTGTAGTCAAGAACACGGCCGACTTGTTGAGTTGCAGCATGCTACCGTTCTGCTCCTTGGCGACGATCTGGTCCCCGAACGAGAGAGTGTCGGACAGGAGCTGTGCGGTGGTCTGCGACCGTCGATGCAGGGACGTCGCGGTGCGCGAGCACGCCTGGGCACGGCGGCGGTAGTTCTCGAGCTGGAGGACGACTGCGGCCGTGGGTAACGGCCCTACTCCCGCTGCTGCCCGGTCTTGACCAAAGACGGACACCAGCTCGCGCAGGACATCCTCTCCGTGCGACAGGAACTGCGGAATCTGCAGGAAGCGGTTCTCGAGACTGACCAGGGCGCTCAGGTTGTCGTAGCCCACGCGCAGGGGCTCCTCGATGAAGGTGGCGAACGTGGTGTTGGCCCGAGGGGGTTTCAGCATACGAAGACCCAGAAACATTGCATCGAATCGGTACTCACGATGGGGAGAAGCTTGAGTTCCAGTGAGGCGATGTAAGGCCTCCACGCGGGATAGTACGCCGCGAACAGGACCTCGTGAATCCATGAAGGGTTTCGCAACTTCGCGGGAGCATCATCGCCGCCGGCCAACAGGAGCTCCTTTGCTTTCTGGTGTGCCGCCGAGTTTGGCGTGCAGCTGAACAGGACCGACACGCTCTTGGCCGTGGCGGTATCGAAGCTGTGGTAGAGACCGCTTTGGCGGAGAGCCCATTCACGGCCACCGGACTTGAGTTCCGGATACCGAATCGTATAGCTGATCTCTATGATCCGTGAGTACTGCGCACATGGCCTTTGCCCCCGGGATACAGATCTAAGGATGATATTTACCAGTAGTTGTGCCCGTCCTGTTTATGGTGACTGGCTGGCAGTAGTTTTCTTCGACGTCGTCGTTGCGATAGTAGAAGCACGATGTGATGTCCCGGAATGAATCGTGTGCATCGTGTTTGGACACGAGCAGCTCGAGCAGCGGCTGCGTGATTTGCAGGGGGCTCCACGATGTACGCTGACAGATTGACCTTTGAATTCCATTAGCGAAACAAGCCGCAGTTAACAGTGTCAAGCACACGTACGCGAACCGATGCGAGTACTTATCGCAATCGGCGCTGTTGAGGTGCACCTCTATCTCGTCGGCGGTGGACCATTGCCGACGACTTGTCGCTCCATCACGATGCAATATGTCTATGAGCTTGATAGGTCCAGCGACCTCTTCGACGAAGCATCGCCTTGGCTGGGACATTGCCATTGAAAGATAGAACGTAGTTAACGAGACAGTTACATCAGACGCCGTACATTAGATAGATAGGTAGCGTGAGGCGGCGGCCTCTTTGATTAAATCCCTTGAGCCCACTGTTACTTTCTGAGCTGAACCCGAACCCTCAGCTTTGAGCCCCAAGCTGCCAAGGCGTTATTCTCCTTCTTCTGCATTGCCACCGAGAATGCGCCACGCTCGGTAAGGAAAGAAGCGGTAGTCGGTATGCACGCATGCATGCAAAGCGTTCGCATCTCACTGATTGTTGTCCCTTATCCCACTAAATACGCGTGTCAGCCGATGCGAGAGAAATGCCTGCAAGTCTGCCAGGTAGGCTTTATATAAGGCTCAACGGCTTCTTTACCTGATTTCGTCCTGTCGCTAATGTCAGCCTCGAGCTATAGGTACCCAGCAAATATAGGGGCACACTCACCTCTGTCACCTCTCTTGGGACGGTGAAACACCACTGATCATCCCTCAACTACAGCGCCTGTGTCAGCCCGCAGCCTCTAAAGCGACTAGCTGGGAGTGTCAGTTACGGCTTACCCGGATGTTGAAATCTGCCTGGCCCGGGAATAGCCGGGCGAGGAGCCTCGAGAGATTTTCCTCCTTGAGATAGCGCGACTTGGCGCTCTGCGTGACTGACATTGCGCTCTGGTGTGGTTGGTGTCTGTCTTTTGAAGAGATGACTATCGCCTATCTTCCTCTGTACAGAGTGTTACAGCTAGCGCCGCGCTGGGTCTTGTATCGACACAGAACCGAGGCTTCTGGGCAATAAGTATTGTTGCGCGGTGGGATGTGGTGACTGTCCCCGGCCAGCAATGTGACTCTGACACGTCCTAACGGAGACTCGAGGCGCATAAGATTCCGTGGAGGCGTTTCTAGGCTGACAGCAGCAGGTCAGCTGAATCAGACGGCGTCACTTTACCGAGATGTGTGTGACACAAGTGACAAGTCGCCCAAGCAGTCGTTCTGGTGGCAACCTTGGTCTATTGGCGGCCTCACGGCTCACGCTGCCGCCGCAGCATGATGGGGGCGGGCTGGCGGGCTGGGCGATGTGCGCAGCCACCTTGCCACCACGAGTGACAAGTGAGCTCACTGTTTCAATCAGCTGAACGAAGCAGAGCCTCGCGAACAACGACAAAAGGCTCTGGGGCGACTCAGCATGTATCCTGCAGTATCTCACCTTCATCCACTAATTCGAGTCTTGCAGCGACTGAGTAATTGATCTGATGTCGCCAAAGATGGCACGTTTCAATCTGGCCCCGAGCCAACAGGAGGGTTTTGACCACAGACCGAGGTCTGCGCCCGAGTGGACGGAACATAGCTCCTCAATCCAACTGCAACAGGTGTCTACAGACGCGACTCCATCTCCCACGTCCCGATCTACGAATCAAGTCGAACCACAGCCCCCGTCGATGAAGGATGAAGGACACAGCGGAAACGACGATGTGCACATCTACGAGGACTTGGCGCCGGCTAAGGCGAAGACGAAGAAGGGAAGGACGACTCACAGGAAACTGCTCCCAGTCCAAGTGGTTGTGAGTACGATTGGGTCGGGCAGCGGACATGATGAATAAGTACTGACCAAGCAGATGATCACCGTCAATGCGACGTTGGGAACAGGCTTGTGGTATGTAAACAAACATCACCTGCACTTCTCTTAGCTGATGTTTCAACAGTGAGTAACATCGTCAGGCCTTGCCGGCGTCTTTCAAGATCGCGTGTCACGGGAATTAATACGGGACATCCATACACCAGACTGGCGCGGAGGACAGATTCTGGAGCTAGGTGGCCCGTTGGCTGTCATCCTATCCTTCCTCTTGCTCGGGATACTGGCATGGGCCGTGATGCAATGCATCACCGAGTTGCTCTGCATCTGGCCTATTCCCAGCGCGCTGGCAGTGTTCGTCCGTGAATTCGTAGACGTCGAATTGGGAATGACTGTCGGAATAGCATACTGGTGAGACGAGCTCTGGTTCGAAGACGATGGAGCCCCTCTGAGTCCTGACTTGCAAAAGGTTCACCTACTCTGTCTCGTTTGCTGCGTTGGTCGCCGCCTCTGCGGCAGAGATACACTACTGGTCAAACTCAGCAGGTCTTGACGCAGGCGTGCTTTACTTGCTCGTGCCGCTCATATTGGTTGTTATCAACTCGTTCGGCATAGAGGTACGGGCTTCCAGCAGCTATATCTTTGGGTCCCGAGCAGGCCACCGACTAACAATACCAACAGCTTTACGGGTGGTTCGAGGTCGCTACTGGGGCTGTAAAACTGCTCTTCTTCGTCGTGATCATCTTCTCGATGATCGCTTTTGGTATGGGCTTTTCTTCTGCTTAAGCTATGCCACATCGAATACCCTACTGATGAAGCCTTATAGCGGACCAGGGTCCTCGACCGTCGAATGGCAAAAGCAGTAGGTTGCTGCTCCGTCCCCCAAGAATGTCCTCTGACGCTTGATACCAGACTGGGACAATGCTACGGCGTTTGATGATGCAGCCGCAGATAACTGGGTGACCGCCTTATTGTTAGTCACGCCAAGGCTTTCCCTACAGAAGCTCAAGGCTGACCCTCATGTCTAGTATCTGTCTGTCCACTGCTACCTTTGCTTATGTCGGAGTTGAGGTACCGGCAGCGTGTGCCCTCGAGGCCAGAGCAACACAAACCAGACGCAGCCCGTCGGACACTTCGCAGACGATAAGCAACGCCTTCAGCATTGGAGAAACCGTTCGGTTCGCGTCGAAATACGTTTCATTCCTCGCTTGCATCGCGTATACCCTTAGTGGTATTCTGGTATCTCTTAGCATCCCTAGGGATGACTGCAAGCTGCCCCGACCGGGCTGGCTGGGCAGGCCCGTAGGCTGCCTTGTCTCGGGCAGCAAGGACGAGTCGACCTCGGCCTTCGTCCTGGTTGCGCTCGAACACGGCATGGCAGATCTGGCTTCTGCATTCAACGTGTTCCTGGTCATGACTGCGCTCTCATGCGCAAACACGAATCTGTATGTCGCGTCGAGGACTCTGTTCGGCTTGACGAATCAGATCGACGGGGGCCGTGGTCAGCCGTGGTACCTGCGAGCTCTGGCTTGGGTTGGAAGGACCAACAGCCACAGGGTGCCGATCCGGGCTATGGCATTGTCCGCGATCGCTTTCTGCTGGGTCCCTTTCTTGCAACTTCGTGGAGAGAGCCAGGGGGCGGACGAGCCACCTCAAACTGTGATGGACGACGAAAGTTCGGTAGATACTGTGGCGGGGATCAACGTGGTGTGTATTACATGAATATGGAGCCGAATTCTAGCTAGGTGCTAACATTCGAACAGTTCGTCGGGGTCCTGGCCGAAATGGGCTCTGTAGGCGTGTTGATTGTCTGGGCTTGCGAGTGCTGGGCTTTTATTCGTTACTACCACTGGCAAGTAAACGATCTCCAGAGGACTGGGAAGCAGGCTGCTAACGTTGAGCAGCATCAACAAGCACAAGGACGAGCTCAAGGAGCACAATGTGCCCCATGTGCGCCGTTGGGACGACGAGCACGAGCATGACTACCCCTATCGAAGCAACGGGCAGCCTGTTCTTGCCTACTTGGCACTAGCCAGCTGCCTGTTTATCCTCTTTGTGGCCAACGGGGCTTCGTTATGGAACGGGTTCCATGTCCAACCGTTCCTCTCGTCATATCTCATTGTGAGTTGGCCGTACTCTCGTCATTGGACTAGGGGCTTCTAACAAAGTGTCTAGGTCATTGTTTTCCTACTGCTATGGGCTACACTCAAAGTCTTGAGACAGGCGAGGTGGTCGCTCGTCGATCTCTCCGACCCGGACACAGCTATCAGGACCATACGCGGCTTGCACCAGTACAGTTTTGCTGGGTTACAGACCGAGCCTACATCGTCGGGGCCCGGATTACGGTCATCGTTTTGGCCACTTCCTTCTTCAATAATCAATCGATTCGATAGGAAGGGCCGAGAGCCTGTATGAATATGTTTTCTTCGTTGACGGATCTTTGAGGGACCGTTGGATCAAAGCCGATTTACAGTCTGTTATATTGCAGGTTCTATTGGGAAAGATCCTACACTCCAACGACGGCGCTTATAAGTTATAATAAAGATGTGACGGATAGATCGGGCGCTAGCTCCTACTTACTCGCATGCATGCGCATCCATCTACTGACTGCATGTACGCACCCGGGCTGCTTACGGCAGCCCCCAAGTGTATTACGCGACGATCACTGGCCGACTGGGTGGGAAATAGGATTTGACGAACATCACATCTGAGTCTTACGCAGTAGTTCGTTCTCTGCTCACCCACATTGCCACCCCCTTGCCGACACCGCGGTTCGACCATCTAACGCATCACCATTCCGCGGAACAATTGATTGGCTTGATCATATTAGAGCGCGCAATCATGAAGGCTGTGTCGGGACTCACATAGTTGTTACTTATCATTTAGGCAGGGACAATAGGTTCTAGGCAACTTGATCTCATAAAACATTAAATGCTGTCAATGCTTAGGGAATCCAACATTCGTATCACATTATTGCAACCGAGAGGGAGGCAGTCATTGTTATCGACCAGGCATCTCTACAGCGACGTCATATGCCGAAAACTCAATCTTCTCATCAACTCCTGATTGGGAGAAACGCTTCAGATTCAAGGCATGGCTCTCCGATCCGAATACTACAAAACTCATCTGGTGACCGTGGCTCTGTATATTTTCCACGAGCAGCCATGTACCAAGAAGGGAGAGAACTTGTTGCAAGCGACAAGGGAAATGCTTTCTACATAACCTGATGCAAACTTCAAGCAACAGAATCTCGGGGTTGATGGTCGTTTATATACCAGGCGTCTTACAAAGGCGCATTACCTCAAGCTGAATATACCGGCCAAGATGGGATTTGGCATCACGGTGGAGTCACCTACGGGCCACGAGGAGGTCCCCCATTACGTTGAGTCGCCACCAGCACTCTCCGACTGGATTGTGCCGAATCTGGGAGTTCCGCCGGAGCGGACTATAGCCAGGAATTAATTCGACAATATTTCCATGCAAGATGGGCGATGTGCTCGGGACTGCTACTTGGGAGAATTGCTACCGATGCAAGTGACGCGGTGGAGGCAAACAATTGCTCGAAGAATGCTCCGGAAATGAGATTTCGCGATGCGATCGAAGGCGGATAGATCCAGGAAAGGGCACTTGGTGGAGCCTTGACGATAGGTACAGGTACGTACCGGCACAGGCTGCGTGCAATGCTGGTCGCCAACGATGGATGGACTCAATTGAATATGTTGGGAGAAGAAGGAATGACGTATATGTGCTCAAATATTTACAGACCAGGTCGGAGAGAGCCCCAGGGGGCAGCTGCAGCCGTGCGTGACCCCTATTAGCCCCTGAATGTGGCTACGCTGTCAGGGGGCACGTCGGCGCTTGGGGCCCTATTCTCCCATGCCTCAGTCGATGCCAAGAGCACGGAATAGAGGCTTGATCAGCTGCCTCCAAGGTCCCAGAAGGACACTGTTATATACAAAAAGACCGTGTCCCTGTCCAGATTGATATCCCTCCTCCCCTAACAACAAAAGGAAAGCCGGGATGGCGAGCGGTCGAACAACTCGGACATTGGCGGGCTAGTAGCGTACGTGATCACTCACCACCCCCAAATGCCCCAATTCCGTGCAGGATGCCCTCGAGCACTCCGTCACCGGCAGAAGCCGCACCCTCACCAGGGTCGGGGCCCTCCTTTCCGGTAAACGCACACGCAATGTTGATGCCAGGCTCGGAGCCGGACCGGAGGGCGTGGCTGACGCGCGCCGCGGTGCAGGCCTCGCTCGTGTGGAAGGTCAGGGCGCAGCCGTTGATGTCGGACTCCACGTGGTACTTGTTCTCGGTTGGGGCGCAGCCGTTCAGGTTCAGGTGGTTCCAGACGCGGTCCGCCTTGATCTGGTTGCCGGCGTCTTTTACCACAACGTACCAGTACTGGACTACGGGCTAGAGAGCTGAGAGTTAGTAACGAGGTACGTCTTGGGCTTGGCAGGGGTCGGTCGTTCGCCTAACTTACATCGTTGGTGACCGTCTCCCAGGTGTTGTAGCAGGAGACCCCCGGGGGGTTGGATGCGGGATATCCACCACCACGAGCGACGACTTTCTCGGGGGCGTTGGGGACGGCAGCGCCGAGGGACTGGGAGATGAAGATGTTTGCCAGGGCGGCGAGGACTGTGGTAGAGGCGAACATGATGATGGGTTGAAGAGGGCGTTGAAGTGTCGGAAAGATAGGCAGTAATGACTATCGTGCTGGAATCGGCGGTTGCAGTGCTGTGCAATGCTGGTAGACTGTAGAGGCTGATGTTTGATCTGTGTCTGACTGAACTGCTGAGAGAGAGGGAGGGAGGAGGCTGCTGCTTTGTATCCCGTCTTGGCGTCCCTGAGGACTCTCGTAGGGTGCTGTTTTGACATCACGTCATGGCACGCTTTCTTTCGCTCTCGCGGCCTCAGCAGGCTACAGGCTTGACAGACAAAGGTCACAAAGTACAGACCGTATATTCCTCCGAGGATCTCAGAGGCTGTATTGGTATGGCGGAGGTATCTTCAAACTTTGTACAGCCGTACGTAACTATACGAGGACTATACGTATCTAGAAGTACCAACGGTACTATGAAGACCTATCAAGTACATACCTCAAGAAGATCGACTAGAACCACCTGCTATGTTTGATTAGAGGGTTAAATTTGGATCTTACTTGGTGTGTGAGAACATAGAAGCTGACGGTGAAGCTGAAACGCAATGTATCTCTAGGCAAGCTGCAGCCAGTGTCCTGATTGAAAACCCAATGAAAGAGGCGGCACGGCGTTTGTGACGACGGGGCTTGGCGCGGAGTGTGTGGCACTGACGACGGGGCTTGGCACGGCTGACGATCATCGGCTGACGGCCGGAGCGTTCATCTCCACATCCGGAATGGCGCTCCAGCCCTGGAGACCCTGGAGGGTGTGGACTATAGGACTCAGCCGCGTCCATAAGCGGCTTGACTATCTATACGAGAACGGCCGATATATTTATCCCAGCAGACCCAGACGGCAATTTACAGCCCGCGGGGGTGGCTTGATGAACTGTCGATGAATCGACGCAGGGTCGTGGAAGCGGCTGTTTGGCCAATCAAACAAAGCCGGAACTGCCACCCGCGCAGTAAGCACCAGTTCTATTTTTATAGCGACCACGTTACCATAAACTCAAGCTTGTTTTAAGTGCGGCGGCTGAAGACCATGCATGAGATCAGTCAAGGGTCCCTCCCCATCAGGGGCTGAAGCCTCGACGGGCTGGAGGCACGACCGTGTGTGTATCATTTAGTTACAACATCTTGACTATGCTGGATCTTGAGTTCTATTGTCTACACCATGAGTGAGATTAAGAAGGGAATCTAAGCTACTCTTGGCGATGGAAGGATGCGGGCATCATCGAAGGATTATCTTGACCTCGGGAGATAACGTTACCTTAATGCTAATACAGTGGACTGCGATGGGAACGCCCCCTAGCCAGGCATGGGACTTTTACGACTTATTGCAGGGATTGAAGCGGCATGGCGTCAGGTATGTAAGCGCAGGATCGACCGCTTATCGTCATGTCAAGGCCGATTGAAGCAACAACCGAGTGGAAGGGATGACAAGCAGTGAACTCTCGTGTTGCGGAAATGGGTGTCTACCGAGTTATCCATCTGCGCTAAATACTTGTGTCGTCACGGCGGGGAAGCAGCCTGGTGGAATAGTACAATAAACAATACATGATGCGAGGACGAGACAGAGTAGGTGGGCATTGATTGCCCATTTGCCCATTCTAGGTCAGACATCCGGTCTCGTCCTAGTCGCACAGATTCGGCAATTCCTCAATGTAAAAGCTGTACAGTATTACCACCCGCGTATATTGACATAGCATGAGACCATATCCCTGACTACGCCACCCGCCTCCTCGAGGATGGGGCTGTGTGTCATAGATATCTTTACTGGATCTGTCGTCGGCATCTCTACTAATTCGGGTCCGTGGTGAACGGATCATCATCGCTCATGCTATCGACCCGCCCAAGGAGGAATTCCAGGTGTCGATAGGACCCCGAAGGCGAGTACCGCGGCACCTCGTGGCCCGCCCCATACACCTCCACGAACGTGAGGCCGCGTTCCGTGATCATCCTGCCCGAGATGCCCCTGGGCGCGACGGAGCCGACGGATCGCTCGGAGAAGGCCGGCACGTAGAAGGTCTCGTTGGGCGGCGACGAGAAGCCCCGGGCCCCGCCCCAGTGCATCCCTTGGAGCGCCATGAGCGTCCCGTTCACCGTGACCTTCATGTCCAAGGACCCGTGCACGATGATGGTGCGCCGGCTGCGCTCGATGAGCCTCGGCAGCTTCTCCCTGACGGGCTGCCGGCCCGTGATGGTGTTGCCGTATAGCGACACGCCCGTCTGGTCGCACTCGACCCAGACCTTGTGCGGCGGGGCGTGTAGGGCGGCCTTGACGTCGTCGCGGTTGAGGTAGGGGCCTGAGTACGCAGCGGCTCGCCTGCCGAGGCCCTCGCTCTCGTCTACGAGCGACTCGATGAAGGTTGGGACCCCGATGGGGCTGTACAGGAACGGGCAGTAGTTGGATATGTGCGTGATGTCGAAGCACGGGTTCAGCGCCGTGAGCGCCGTGATGATGTCGTGGGTCAGACCGCCGCAGGCCCGCTCCACGCCGTGGTACTCGTAGGTCCCCACCGAGGGCAGATCTCTGCTCGCCGTCTTGTTGCCGGGGAACACGAGGTGGGTGTTCTGGTAATCATCGGAACCGCAGGCTCTTGAGGCGTAGCGGATAGTGTCCATGAAGGTGTCGTTAAGGCCGAGAAAGATATTCCAGTAGTCCACGTACGGCACGATGCCGATGTGCTGCTGCACCGTATGGTCGGCAATGAGGGCGTTGATGAACATGGTTCCCTGCAGGTTGTAATAGGTGGTGTCTTTCCGGTCGAGCATGGCGCAGCCGATGTACGAGAGGTAGCGCCCGGCGTAGCTCTGGCCCGCTAGGTACACATCCGCGCCGTGGAAGCCGAATGTGTCGACGAAGTTCTTCCAGAACCCCAAAAACTGGTCGGCCAGTTCCTCGTGGGTGGAGATTGTTGGGATGCCGGTGGAATATCCGGTTTGGACGGGCTGGTCGATCCACATGACGTTGGTGAGGTTGGTCCATGCCCACGGGTTCTGAACGGGGGCCAAGGTTCCATCCTGCCACAGGAAAGGGCCATTCTCATAGAACATTCCTATGCAACTTGAGCATCCTACAAACAGACGGTCAGTTAGTCTAGCTGAAGCACGATACAGATACCCGCAGATTCGGAGAGATCGGCGTACCCGGACCGCCGTCGAAGAAGACCAAAATCTCATCCGTGGCTGCTGGGTTGGTTGATGGTACGAACCAGAACCACAGCCTATTGATATCGGACGTATTGGACGATATTGGTAGCAAACCGGCGTATGACTCTCCAAAATCGAATGTAAACTCTGGCAGTGCGGAGCTATCTACCAGGAACTCTGTATAATTGAATCAGGGTGAGTTTTGTAAGATGAGGGGGATTCTCTGTGGTTTACGTTTTGTCAAATCGTTCAGAAGCAACGGAGGCGATTCATGTTCGTCGGCTCTCTTGTTAACCCTCTCGTTCGCGTCTTGGGCGTGGGGTGCACCGAACCCCCGGAAAGCCCCGGGACCAAGAGCAGCAACCACCGCTGTTGTTACTGCAGCTAGCTGGATAAGAGCTCTTGTGGTCCGCATGGTGTCAATGGGGTGAACAGGGACGCGTGGTCGGACAGGCAGCAGGAGGTTCCTGTCGATAATTTGGGGACGCAGAGTAATCCCTTGGAGAAGACAGCACTCCCTGATTATATACCCATTTTCAACCAGATTGGTTTGAAACTTTGAGTTTCACAGACCGAGGTGCACGTTCTTGATTGGGCCGGCCTTCGCGAAGTCGGAACACAAGTATACCTTCCACGCGGGAATCCGAGGTCGATGTCTCAGAACGACGAGCCACGTAGAACGAGACCCTCGGATACTAATCTCTAATGTCGAGGCTTATCCCAGGGCCGATGCACAAATACAGCAGCCACCGACTACATGTACGCAGTCAACGTGGCTCAAATTAATGGTCTCATTACCTTAGACTGGCAGTCATCACTCAGCATTATGGCTGAAGAATGCAACCCATAATCTCCATGTGAGGCTGGGCTCATAGGAGGGCTTTCCTGCTTATCAAACTAGCTTAACCGGTGCACTTCCATCATCATGGTCTCCCGAAGTCTATAACACACTGTGTCATAGAGTAGGTAGGTAATCCAAGTGCTTATTGTCTCCCTCACCGAGACACGACATGTTTTACTCAGCCGACAGCCGCGAGAACCACGCCGTGGCTAGAGCCCTTTGCTTAGTACACATCATAGGTCAACATCCCCTTTTCTGCTCCCCGATTTCTGCCCGCCGGGCAAAAAACAGGGTCCGGTGTATGTCGGGCTGCATTCGGGTCTGCTTACAGATATCGGAGATGGTAACCAGTAGTCGCTCCATGCCCCCCCGACTATCCATAAGTGCAGGTACTAACATGGCGAAATCACAGTGAAATATACATTCTTCTGGAAGTGGCGACAGCAGCCATCAATAACACAGAATCATCATGACGGGTATATCTCACGGCAATTTAGGTATATTGATACCTGCGGGGAGAACTGAGGCGGTGGAGGGCGCGACTGGTAATCAGCCCTAGCAACTATCTATACAGCTCCTAACCACGCACTGAGTTACTTCGCGCGGACGAACAAGGTAGACTCCGAAAGGGGCGCAAAGGCCTCCTCAGCATCACGTACGCTCAAGGGGGGGCAGTCCACCACCTCGTATTCCTCCCGCAGGACCTTACGTACGACGGATAAGTCTTCACCGTTACGAGGTATGCTGGCATTGAACCAAGTCCATATCATGGCAGCAGGCTGAGTAGTCTCGCATATGACCTGGTAAATCCCGCCTCCAGTCCCGATAGACATCACGAGGGTGTCCTTGTCTATCCTCACGTAGCTCTCATAGTTTCCGTGCTCGTGGGGCAACACTTCAATGCCCATGTCGTTCAGTATCTCCTTGTCATCCAGGTTGTATGCGTAGTCCACTGCGTAGACTCGGACTGGTCCGTTCGGGGACTGTTCTCTCAGTACGGCGGCGAGAAAGTTGGCCGCCACGTGCTGGAGGCAGCACCTAACGTCGACTCGGAATCCCAGCTCGAATTCCTCAAGATCATCGTCGTCGATGTCATGGACTAGGGTGCCGATGCCGATGCAGACGATCTTGTTAATCCCGTGGACTCTCTTCTCGTGAACAAGGGTTCGAAACGTTCGGCGCAGCACGTCGGCATCCTCACTGCCCTCCCAATCCGGAATGAGTTCAGAGAGGTACTCCTTGACTTCCTCTTTGTCGGCGAAATGATAGTTGAGGTAACTTGAAAAGATAATTGGTCAGCCAAATGTGAGGCCTGATGCTGGGTCTGATGATGGATTAGCCTTACCAAAATCTGCGAGGCATCTGGGGCTTTGTTTCGCCGGTCTCCAGGTATCTCTTGCGCATATCCTCTGTCTTGTCGGCCGAAGTAGCCCGCTTGATGATTATCTCTCGTCGCTTAGGGTCGTCGGGCTGCATAGTGAGCAGTGAAGCTCGGTCCGGCGCTGTCGAAAGCCAATCCATGATGGGTTCACGATGACCTAAAGTCAACCTTGATTAGCCAGAGCTCTGCGAGATCATCGCATATGATCGGGTGCGTTGCTCACCTGGGCTACCGGGGCCGGCATCAAGCGGGGGGTCATTCATTGCTGTGTAGAGGATTGGGATCGCGCTTCCTGCTCCGAGGTGTTCTAGAGAAGAAAGTAACAAGTATGGAACGTGCAAATGCAGATGGGATTGTTGCTGTGCGGAGGGTGGTGAATTGCTCAAGTACCGAGGTATCTGCGAGGGTGGTCGAGAAGTCCAACCGGCCCAAGCGTTTTCGTCGTTGCCGGACAACAATGAGAAAAATAATGAATACAACCAAGTCCACCAAGCGAAAAGCGTATTATAGCGCGCTTGATGTTGATCTCGCGTCTCCTGGGATCATCAGATCGCATGTCGAGTAGTGCAGTACAATCGGGTGCCTCCGGAAGCCAGTCCATGATCTTGTTATCATGACCTAGAATCAACCTTGGTTAGCCAGAATGTTGCGAGAGCATGGTAAGTCGAGATGCATGTTACCTACTTGCACCATTAGGGCTGACGGCGGGGTCGACGCCGGTGGCAGGGCCGGTGGTGTGCTGCATTGCGCCTGTGTAGATTTCTCGACGACATAGATATGGTTGTTATGGGGGGGGGGGACGGTGGTGAACGGGTCCTGGTGCTCCAAGTAAATGGTTTCCTGAGGCGCCTGCGAAGGTAGTCACGAAACACGACTGACCCAAGCGTTTTCATAATTGCCCGACAACGCAACGAATGGTGAACAGAACAAACTGTGGACCCAGTTACGAGCCTTCACCCCTGTTTTAGATGAGGCCATTGGTCAAGAAGGAAGTGGCCCAAGCGGAGGGCATCTCGTCGTGTATATCAGAGCTTCGAGGTGTGTAGAATGGCCTACTTTACCTAGGGTACCTAGATAACCATACAATGAAAGTGCTGAGGTATAAACTATACTTCATGTTACTACACGTGCCTACCATACCTTGTAGGGGGTGCGCCCCCTTATATATATATGTATTTGACGGTCATCTTATGGCGACAATGTTTGGGCTGGCAAGCGTGTACCAAACTGACGCCCCCTTTCGTCTCAGTAAGTCATGTCGCTTTTGTTCTACAAGTAGCAACTCGCAAGTTCCGCTGCTACCACAGGGAATGACTCATAAATACTGAATTACCAAGTCCAGCCTTTATTTCCAACGGCACTTCAAATAAGGTGATAATGATTGTAGCCGGGTTTTTGCTGTGGAATAATCTTCCCTTTACGTAAGAGGCCAACCGAAAGTTTGGCTATTACAACAACTCCAAATTCCAAACCAGCCCTTCCGAACAAACAGGTGAGTCCACTTCTATGCTGAATGACCAGGTTGGTGCCTCATGTGATCTTACTTTGAAGTGTGAGGTCTCGCATTTGTATCAAGCTTCTCTTGCAAGTCAACAAAACTGCGTGAAGACAGCCTCCGCTATGACTTCGGGAAGACGTGATGAGCCGGTACAAGATCTTCTCCGGGACCACGTTAATCGAGTATGGCAGCTGGAGCCACGCGATCAGCAGCACTGAAATGGTTTCTCATAATCATATCCAGAAATGGAAGTCCCGTCAGTCATTATCAAACATCCGAAAGAAAACAGTCGTTCGTCGCTTGCTGCAAATAAAATCCGACATAAAACCACTACCAACCCCCCGCACCCAGATAACGACCCACCCTATACAGCCTCAGGCTTTCTCCCGTAAACGTACTGGACCATGAAATAGGGCCTAATATTCATGTCCTTCAACTCCCTCCGTACGCGCGCCAGGTACACCATGACCTGCTCGCGGGACCAGCCGAGGGCGTTCGTGAAGAGGTAGATGGCGTAGCCTATATCATCATCGTCGTCGTCAGCGTCATTGTCAACCTCACCAACCTGACTCGCCGCTTGTTATTGGAGGAGAAGAGAACGGCCGCCCGGATGGATGTGGAAATTTTGATTGGTAAAGTAGGTAGGTATGTAACATACCTTCCAGGTCCTCCTCCATGGCCAGTCGCGAATACGCCCCCACCTGCTTGAGGCGCTCGTCTCTGGCCCAGGGGGTGGCGGGTAGCTTTTCCGTCTTCTCCGTCACGTCGACGAATCCGGCATTCTTGATCCCGCTGACTACCGTCCCGTCCTCCACCACGGTCATGCTTCGGTTGAATTTGGCTGATGCCTGCGGCGCGGTGGTGGGTTAGCGGGGGGCACCGCGTGGTCAGTCGCCCTTGAGCGAGCTTGTTTGGTCATAATGGGGAAGTGGACGGAGAGGTGAAGAGCCGCGATCCCATGAAGACGTTCGTCCCCCAAGACACGCAACGACTTAAGCAAAGAGAGAGAGAAAGAAAAAGGAAAAAACCCTATTGGGAAACTGACCTGGTGAAACAATGGGCCCCAATCAGCGAGCGCCGACCCCGGAACCACACTCCCATCATCGCTCCGCAGATCCACCGACGCCTCGACGGCCTCGACCCAGCCGCCAGGCCTGGTGGCGCGGAAGGCCTCGAGGTAGAGCGCGTCCCAGTCCTCGATGGACCCGAACAGGTAGCGCATATGCACAAAATCGAACGTTTCGCGGCGAAACGTCCACGGCTGCGTGCAGTCCTCGATCTCGAACTTGAGGTTGGGCGGCACCCACTCGGGCTGCGACGGCGATAGGTCCGTCCCGATGACCTCGGCGTTGGGGTAGGCGTCGGCGAAGTCGCTGGATTTTGGATGCGATTGGTTAGTCCGGCGTGTGAGTCTGGGAAGAAAGAGATCTCTAGGCCCCGGCCGGAATGGAGAAGGCTCACTCACATTGCCCAGATGCCTGTTTGTTGGTTGCGTTAGTAGCTAGGTATATGCAGCATGGCAGACACGTTGCACCATGGCGACCCTACCTGTTCCAGTCCCTACGTCGAGGACCTTCTTTGGATCGTCGCTGATGGGCGCGGTGAATATCTTGCCATCCATCAGAAGCGTGAGTGTATGATGGCTGCGTCAGTGTCAGTGTCCGTTCCTCTCAAGCAATTGGGACGCTGCTAATAGGACTTACACAACGTCCATGGCCTCCTGATGCGCCTCATCATTCGGCGCCCTACAAACCTGTCAGCAAAAACTCACAGTATTGCCGGCGTGGTCGACGAGAGCGAGCGTCCTACCAGTGGTCGGCGTTGCCTTGCTTCGAGTGGTAGGTCCGGCCGTGCAGTGTGCGGTACTCCAGGATACTAGCCGAGAGCGAAGCAGTCGTGCTCGCACTGTCGCACGTCAGCGCCAAAATCAGACTCGACCCAAACAAGACCTGGGTCCGGGTCCTACTCACGCGTCGCTCCCGAGCGCCGAGTCGGCGTCGAATCCTTCGTCATCCTCGTCTTCGCCGTCGCCGTAACCCTGTGTGTTGAGACTCGCGCGTCAGCGTCCAGCTCCCGGCGTTCGATCTGCCGAGCCACTAAGTCAAGCGGGGAAGCGGATGAGGGATCCATGGCTCCATACCGACTGTGTCCAGTGAGACGCGGGCGCCCCCGGGCCCGGGGCAGAGGGTCCGGCATTACTAGCGCCCGGTGCTTCGGCCGGCTCGGGTGACGCCGTCTTCTCGGCCATGTCTCAATTTACCGGGTTCCAAGTGTGCCTTCGTGGCAGCAATATTATTTGTTTGTCGTTTGTTGTGCGATGATCGTCAGTGTACGGTGAGCTTGCCAATAACGGGAAGAAGAAGCGCACAGGGAGGGGTAAAGCCATGTTGTCTCGAGGTGAATAGTCCAGAACCTAATCCATCAACTGTGCATGCAGCAAAGACCAACGGGACCTCCAAACTCCAACATGCAACCTCCAAACCCCAACGTCCAATCCAATCAATCCACTTCAGCCGGCCCGTGTCGGATGTGATGTGGAAATGCAGGCAATCGAGGCGGGAGTTTCGGGTCGGTTTACTTTACGTCATGAGTTGACGACCGGGCCTCGTTAGGCCCTCGGGGTCAACGGTTCTGCGTCCATCCCACATCCCTGCTGTATTCACTTCGCTTACAACGTTGAACTAGGTAGCGAGTGAGAGGTTATATAATAACGTATTATTGATTGGCTGTTCAACCAATGTGTTGGATTAAAGGTATGCTCTAGAAGGCACCTTGACAGGCAGACAACGGAACTTAGTTGTTCCGTCCCGATCCAGCCCCCTCTGGCACAAAACTGCCACGGGTCGCACAGAGACACTCCAGACAGACAGAACACAGACACACACACTTCACTCTGACGATTGGATCAAATCTGACACCATGCGTCAGGGGCTGGAACCGACTACAGATACTGCCGTTCTTAAGCCGAGTGTCCAGCCCCACATCACTTTTACACACATACACACACAATTCTAAGCTAGTGCTAAACAACTAGAAAGTACGGTTTTCCGACGATAACGCTCCCTAATTACCGTTGCCTAATTACCGTTGTATATATTATTCCGTATATTTTAAGATAGCCTTAAGTTGCTAGTTGTGATGGTTCCACCATCCATCAGGTCTAGCGATGGTCCCCATGGTCCCCGGGTCACGTGACTAAGTACGTGACTGATCGGACGATAGGTTGATCCATGCCCTGGTGGGTCTGGTGGGGGACAACTGCCCACATCTAGCTGCCAACCAATTCGGGTGCATCTCCAGATCTTTCATTTCCTTCAACCAGAGTTTGTTATACATCAATAGTTAATAAGGGTCCCTGTATCCTTGCAATACATTTACGGAATTGTGACACTAGTACTTAAAAATATACGGAACAATACGTGCAACGGTAGTTATAAGCGTGGTTGTATTATTACGTAGTTGCGTAATAATTAATAGCGACGATAAAAATACGGTACTTAAAGTTATTATTATTATTAAAACGTCGTATATTTATATATTAATAGCTTTAATCTATATGTATCAATATATAATTACAATAGTATTTACGATATTAATTTAAAAGTATATGTGACGGCCTGCACAGACCTTCCCACATGACAAGCCGATACTTCCCAATAAGGGAAGGATCTGACCAGAGGATCCCCTTAAAGGGGCAACCCCCCGCTGTACCTATCTCTCTCTCTCTCTTCCTTTCCTTTCTAGTCTTGATATTTCCGTTAATAGAGTAATAGCTGCTTGCTGCAGGCCGTGTCCCGGCTCCCCAGTATGCTCGCCGTGACAGTATAAGGGTTATAAAACATATTTTCATCGTAATTATTATTAAGTCGATATCTTAAACCTCGTGTTACGAACCAACAAATACTATGGCCTGTTGGAGGGCCAAGGGGAGTGCACCAAGAACCAATGGAATCAGAAGCTAGGAACAGAACAATGGGTATTATGGATTACATAACAAAGGTCACGTGACGCCGGGGCCGACATCGTGTCTGGGCGCGGAGTGTGCCTGAATCGGGAGAAGATAAGAAAAGAAAAGGCAAAGAAGGAAAAGAGTCCTGGTGACTGATGATTGTTGGTTGGATGATGAACGAGGGGAAGAGGAGAAGTTCAGAGACGGGGACCACGGTCTAATATATAGACAATCCAGACCCTCCTTTCCTGGTAGCCGGGCTCTCCCAACTCGTCCACACCGTTTCCGGAATCGACTGCGCTACCCCTCAGCAGACAACTACCAACAGACAGATGACTTTGACGTAATTCCTTGCATACACACAAGCAGCTTGCCCAAGTTCCGCCTGCTGCCCAACCTGCCTGCTGCCTCATCCCAAGGTCCAGCCTACAGCCGGAGATCGAAAGACGACTCCCCAAATCACATCATCTCAATCCCTGCACGTTTGCTCTGCTCTGCTCCGCTCTGAGACTGCCTCTGCCAGCCAGCGATGATTCAGTCGACAGCTGTCATCGACACGCCTCCTCGCATACACGAGTGTTTCAAAACGCATGCAGCATCGCTATTCCGATCCAGCAAGCAGCCGTTGGAAGTGTCTGGATCAAACTCAGGAGAACCAACCATGCTTCCACGCCATGACTCCTCACTCACACCGCCTAGGAGCCCGTTTGCTCTGTTTCCACCTCTCCAACGGCCCCCATGCAACTACCTAGGCAGCAGTTGCCATTACATCAGGCCTTCTCGGATATATGTAGGTATGGAGGCATCGCGCAGCTCAGCTTGTCGTCTGAAGTCGGGAAGCGACCGACCGCAGATGGAGTCCCAGTATTGCTCCGCACTCAGCCTCACCAGCGATTACAACCAGACCAACCACCGCATTCCGCGTACGGTAGCTTGCCGGCCAGCCGAAGCCAGCTGGCCAGCAAGCACCCGGAGAGGAGAATCCAACCTTCAAGCCCAGTCCAGAGAGACCCGCTCACTGTCCAGCCCACGCTCCCCTCTGCCAACTCACTCACCGCATGCAGAGCGCCGCGCTGGCCTGTACTGTTTGAATAACCATTTGCTCTACTCCGCACCCCGTGGCTAGGCAGGCGGCAGCAGCCGACCCGAGACTCAATGGCCGGCCGGCTGGATACTCCTGTCATGGGTTGCCTCGTTGGGCCATCGCGCCGGCGACGTGGCGGAGGAAGGTCTCTGACCGTTTGCCCTGCCCCCTCCCTCATCCGGTAAGTCGAGCAGGCAGCAGTCAACCCGAGACCCAGAGACAGACAGACAGACAGACCGGCTGGCTGGATGCCCTCACCCGTCATGATTGCCTCGTTGGGCCATCCCGCCGGCGACGTGGCGGAGGAAGGTCTCTGACCGTTGCTCGCTCTGCGGGGGCCTCCTGGCCTGCCTTCCGTCATCCCTTTGCCAACTGCAGAGCGCCGGCCTGTACCATTTGAATGACCGTTTGCCCGGCTGCCCCCCATCTGGTAGTTAGTCAAGCAAGCAGCAACCGACCCGAGACTCATACATGGCCGACCGGACGGCTGGATGCTCTTGGGTATCATGGCATGTCTCATTGGGATATCCCGTCGCCGCCGACGTGGTGGATTCAGATGAGATTCCGATTAGGTCTCTAACCGTTTGCTCTGCGGGGGTCTCCTTTTCCTTCCCCTCCCGTCATCATGTGCATTGCCGCTGGCCCGGAAGTCAGATAGACAGAATCCAGACCAGTCTTCCAAGAAATGAGCAAACAGCCGGAACACAAGCCGACGCAGAACACATGTCACAGGATAATGGCGGTGGGTAGGTATGAGCAACAGAGCATGCTGTGAATTGGTATCAGGCACATCAGGGAAGTCCCGGGACACCGCCGGTGAGCCTGCAGGCAACCACCCCTTTCATGCGGCATACGACATACGGCGTAAGGCATACGGCAAAGCAAGACCAGAAACATCACAAACGACAGCGACATCTCAACCCAGAAAGAAAAACGCCGAAACACCGAGCTGTCTGTCTTACACTGTAGTCTTTCGTTGTCCAAGAACTGTCCCCTCGTCATTGAAATTCCTCATCATCAGAGGTCCGCGTGGCAAAATAGAGAATGTGGCCCGCTTCAGGGGCCGGATATCCATGAGAAAAGATGCGTGTTTGAACACGATACAATTGCCGCCACCGACCATGCCCGTCCCTTCCATCCGTGTATACCCGCCGTCCTGCTTTGATCTGCTGTCGCTGGTGTCTTGATGACGCCATTCCCGACAGTTGTTGTCATGTACTTGGTCCGTAGTCCCGGTCGTAGCCCATCATTTCTCTGCGTGTCCATTATTGAGCAACATCTCCAGGACGATTTGCTGGCCTGCGACTTCAGGGTGAGCCATGCAGATCTTGACCGTGCCTTTCGAGTCAAGGCCATCTTCAACGGCATTGGCTTGCAAGCCATACCCGTTCGTGTTGTAAAGCCCGCCCGTAGGTCCCTTCACACCATAATCAAGGACCCTCACGTCTCGGCCAGCAATGATCTGTCGCAGCCGACCATTCTCGGCATTTCGGACCTCCACGTAATCCTCGTTGAACAGAAGCAGATACTGCCCGTACATCGTCGCACCTTTTGCTCGCTTTTGCTTGCCTGAGTATTCCATGATGACACTGCGGCTCACGTCACCATGCTTGTCTATATATACAGCGCAATCCTCGTAGGCCAGCAGGAATTCTTGATCGTTGAGGCGAAACATGCCGAGGGGCCGTTGATCCCTGACACGACTTGCGATGTTGGCGATCGCAGGTTGCCTAGTATCCGGTATCGACATCGGAACTTTCTTGTCGAGGGTCAATAGCTCGAAACCCTTGGCTGTCGAAATGGCAATGTAGGACTGGAAGATGTTGAGCGAGTAGCATTCCACGGGCAGGTAGAAGTCGTCATAGTCGCGGAAGCTTTCTGTTGCGCCCCCTCCGCCTCTTCGAGAGCCTCCAAACAAACGCGACTTCTTCTCGGTGGCCTTCTGGAAGACTGGTTCAAGTACCTTGAAGGCGCTGTGCATGGCTTCCTTCTTCTTGTAGAACACCAGCATCCGGTCCTTCATACGGGCGGTTGCGAAGAATGCTACATCTTTTGCCAATCTTTGCGGGGTGCGCTTTGGGTTGTCATGTGCGGGAGCTGGGAAATTTGACGGTGGTGAGACAACATCGAGAGGGAAGGAAATGAGGTTCTTGTCCGAGAGGACGAGCACCACGGAGAACTCTTCTAGAACCGCAATCTGTGTGACACGCGCCGACGGGACAGTCTGTAAAGCACATCAGCATTGGATCCAAGTATCAGCCACGACGTTCTCACCTTTGTCCAGCCTCTCTGGTCGCTAGCCTCCGCCACGCAGACGCCGACATCTGTGCCCACTGCCACCATGTTCTTGCCAAAAGCAGAAAAACCAGTAGCACAATGGACACCCGCCCGCGAGATCGCAGGAGGACCACGACCAGGGCCAAATGTCTTTTCCAGATCCCGAATGGCTCTGTCCAGGGGGGTTCCACGGATGTGCACACCCCCGACGTACTTCCCGATTGCGGATATTGAGTCGTACGCGAATGCGCTGTCCGCCATGACGCGCAGGCGAAATGGTTCCGCGTTTTGAGCATGCAGAGCTTTGGCATGCCGTGTCTTTGCCTCGATGATCTTGTTACACCAATCTTGTCGTATTGATGCTGACGACGCGAACAGGGTGTAGACTTCATGTCCCAGATGTTTGACGCGGAACGGATAGAGGATTCGCGAATCACTATCCGCTGAATTTACAGGGTTCAATCTGGTGACGGCAACGGACTGGACGGAAGAGCCTCCAGGGGCATGCTCCAATCCGGGGCGCTCGCCATTTGATACCACTTTGTTAAGTCTAGTATCGGAAGCCGAATTCGCCGTCCGCGTCAACGGAGTGGCGAGGCCTTTTTGCTTCGATATAGGGTCATCCTGGCTACTCTCGAGGAATAACAGAGGCATGGGGATAGGCTAATCGATCATTAGCTCGGAACATATTCACCTCACAGGGAAACTCACTTCTTTCGAGACGTCATATTTCTTGTCTTGCCTGCCATCGCGCGAGACAATGAGCTTCGCAAGGATGAGATAGTGATCGAAAAGCAAAGCGTGCGTGTCTACCCATCGCACGCCCTTGGAACCCATCCGCGAGAGGTCACCCTGAAGGATTAGCTCTCGACCCAGATGGTCAAGGTTGAGGTCAGCGTGGAATCCGGGCCGCAGTACCAGCATCTGGTCTAGCTCAATCATGGTCACCTTCTTTGTCATCTCATCCACCTTTGAATCACATTCCATTACAACCGATTTGATCTCATCGATAGCTTTGAGCAGATTCGTTTTCTCCTCGCTATCTTGTAGCATTACCTTCAAAACAGCGCTCAGAAGGAGGGGATATCGCTGCAGGCGTGTGATAGGGGCTTTCAGGAAGGTGGTCCAGTCGAGACGGTTTGATTTCTCCTCTTTCTGGACAGTGCCCAGAAACTGCTTGAACAGAAAATTGCGCTCTGCTTCCCTCTTGACCAGGAATTGCGCATAGGGAAATGCTGAAGCGTATTCGATATATGCAGATCTGGCTTTGCGAATCCACTCCCGAAAGATGTCGCTGAAGCCAATGACCCATGGCCCTTGCTCAATTTGGCGATACTTCAGCTGCGCAAGCAGATGATCCTTATTGACATGTTCAACGGCATCCACCTTGCCGAAAACGGCGCTGAGGAATTTCTCCATCCTGGCTTCAGCAACAACCCTTGGGGTAGAGCTGGCAAGTTGATCTCGGTAGAGAACTCGCACGACTTCGACCTGGTCCATGTATAGCTCTTCACTAGTGACGATCTCGTGAAGGACATTCTGCCGCTCGATTTCTTTCTTTGGCTTGCCCTCTATGCCTTCCTTGGTAATGTGGTAGAAAGAAGCCCAGTCAACTGGCTTGACACCCTCTGCCATAAGCTCATTCAGATTGGCTTTCTTCAGGGTTCTTGTGCAATGGTATGAGTAACACCTGCCTGTCGTCTCCCGGTCGTGCTCATGGAGCTTCGGTCCGTAACAGCCGGTTCCAGTAAGTTGCCATAGCACGCCGGAGATGGAACCTTGCCCAAACTTCAGCCATTCCTCTTCGGGCACCAGTATGCCCGCTTGTAGCATGGAATCGACAAGCTGAGTACTGAGTGTTTCGGCATCTGCGACGTTCATCGTCGGGACCTTCAAGCAACAAAGCCTGACCAATCCGTCTTCGACAGTTTTCCTCTTCAGGTCGGGCTCGCCATCCGTCATATCTCGAATCCACTGGGCAATGCCACCCAGTGCCCAGGGTTCCGAACAAGATTGGACATCGATCACGGTGAGTTTTTCGGGCTGGAACTTCCTTCGCCGCCCACTTGGCAGGGTGATTAGGTCGTAGTTCACGGAGGACGGCGTCCCGGCCTCGTAGCCTTCGTACGGCAGTCCTTGCTGAGCCGCTAGATGCTGCTGTTGTCGCATATGCCTCAGTCGAGCATTGCGCTCTTCGGCAGCATCGGTCTTGGACCGGCCGGGTGGTTGGACGTGGGGCGAAGTGCTGTGACTGGATAGTGAGATAGACCTTTCTACCTGCAGTTGCTGTGCGTTTTGACCATAGTAGGCATCCGGACCAGTGTACGGACGGGCATCCACACTAAGAGAATACCCATGTTGCGGACCGTTCCGGTTTGGCGATTGAACAGACAGCATGGAGCTGCTGTCTGACCCAGCGGGCGGGACGGCCGGGAGTGGTCTATTCGACAAACCAGGGTGATAAAACATATCCGGGTAGTCGTCTTTATGGGGTGATTCACTTCCACTCTGTCTCGAGTGAAGGGCGACAGGCTCATCGCCTTCATCAAAGCTGAGACGATGAGCTCTCGGTGACTGCAATCCTCCGGTGCCACTATAATCCACATCGGCCTGTTCGAATGCGGGATACATGTTGCTCTCATGGCTTCTCTGAGAGGCGTGGTTGATGCGAGGAGTGGGCATAGCTTGGCCATCCATTGTCTCGGTACTTAGGGGCGAGCCAAGGTTATTGTCATACGCCAGATTTCCCGCATACCCGCCACCCATGAGACCAAGATCCATGGCACCGATGTAGTCGCTGTCACTGCCTGGTTCCTCTTTATGGGTCGATAAGGGCGTCTGTGCGGCTACTTCTGGCTGTCCGAAGTATGGCAGCGAACTAAACCGGCGGTCATCATCTTCAGCCTGTTGCATAGCCCAGGCACCAGCTGCCCCCTCGGGATCACTCTCATCACCGTCGTCCTCTTTGATGGGGTAGGTATTCACGGAGTGGTTCCTGTTCAGCGTCGATGCGTTGGACGAGTAACGATCAACGCCGGACGAATCTTCTTGGCTGTTCAGCGTCGTGGCATTGGAGCGATAGCTCGCATTTGAAGTCAAGCGGCGCAGATTCTGTAGGTCGTCCTCTGGCAGCGCTCCGTTACGTTGATCAAACGCCGTGGGCCGGCCACTACTCCTCCGAAGTTCAGCCTCGATATCCTGCATGATGTCGTCTTGGGTAACACGCTCATGACCAACATCCGGGACGATGGTACCGTTAGAAACATATAGTCCCCCACCGGGTTCCTCAAACGGTCTACTCGGAAGGGGCGCATTGGTTGGGTGTCGTGCTAGGCCGGATGATGCTTGTGACTGAAATTGCGGAGAGGGTTCAGGCGAAGTCGAGTTCGAGTCGGATGCGAGATTCAGGAAGGAGTGAGGGTCGTTTGCGGAGTAGTTGGGGCCGACCGGTATCTGCGAGTACGTTGGATAGGGCGCTTGAGAGGTCGCAGACGAGTAAGCAGTTGGCGGTGGACTTCTACCGTTGTCCGAGTAAGTTGAGGGGTACTGGGTTTGAGAAGGCTCGTAGGTATTCGTGTGTGATGGAGCCGCTGTGCTGCCACCTGACGGGTAAGTGGGACCTGGAGAGATCTGATCGTAGCCTGTGTATGCAGTTGGCGGAGTAGGCGCTTGTGCCGACTGGACTGGTGAAGGAGCATATTGAGGTTGAGGCTGCCAGTAGGGTGAAGGGTTTGTCGGCGAGCCGTAATTCTGATTGTTGTAGTTACCTTGTCCGGAATAGGTCGGTTGTCGCTGGGGGCTCGTAGTATTAGTGTAGGCGGCCGGATTGTACGGTGCGGGTGTGAAGGTTGCCGTCGACACAGCCGGACTGTAAGGGGCAGCTGTCGTGTTCGACTGTCCCCATCGATTTGCCGGGCTTGGGTGGGATGGTAAAGACGTAGACTGGGAACGAGCGAATGCCTGTGGATTGTACGTCGAAGGAGTGGGCGGCGTCTGAGGCTGGTACGAGTGTTGATAGCCGGACATGGCAGGGTTCGGACTACCATAGCTGGGTCTGTTGGCCTCCGTCGGGCTCGCCAGGAACAGTTCGTCATCGGTACCCAGTCCCCGAGCACTCGTGTTCAAGGTCGGGTGGTGGACTGGGCGAGCGGCGGGCGGGAAGCCAGCAGAGTCGTCGCCATTGTTGAAGCTTGGCCTCCGGGCAGGATAGGCCGGCTGGTCCTGGGAAGGCTGGTTGCTGTTCGCGACTGGGTATTGTACGGGAGGGATATGGCCATATCGGCGCTGATCGTCGCCTCTAAAGGACATGTTGAGAATCGGAGCGACAGCACGGCAGCGTCAGCGCGCGACGGCAGGCCGTGGGTGTACGAACGACAGACAAAGGAAGCTGCTCGCGCGGTGCTCAAGTGCCAGCGGTAGGATGACGGAGCGATCGCATTGATAGGTGTCGAACGACAAGCACTCTGTTGGGTCGCGGTTCAATTGCATCCCCATGCGCCCCGCTCCGAAATGGTGATTCGGTATATACTGCGGAGAAAACCAACTCGACGCGCCTTTCAGGTCCTAGGTCCTTGATCTCACTGGAGATGCCCGGTTTCATAGACTCGTGCGAAGGGCGGGATTCGGAGGACGAGGTGGTCGCGGGTCGCTGGTCGCTGATCGCTGGTCGCTGGTAGACGTCGGTCGGGTGTGGTCGAGGACTAGCAGTGGTAGCAGGCCAGGATTTGGGTAGCCCCAGAAGTGTGTACGCCCAACAACAATAACAATGGGCCTTGGAACGGAAAGAAGCCGGTGGGTGGTCGCAATTGGCATGCAGTAGTCGTGATACAGGCTGTCGTCGACCTTCGTAATTCGTAACCGCAGACGGGACTTAGGAGGCGGGTTCATATATTAAACAACATGTAAAAGCGATCGTGGACGTCCGTTCTGTGGACATTCCTATGAGGTATGCAGGGTGATGACCACCTGTAGTGGCTGAAGTGGGCACTGGGAATGGTTCTTTCGGGTGGATGGGACCCCCAACCCTCAAGCTGGGCTGGGCTGGGCTGGGCTGGAACTGGAACTGGGAATGGGATCTGAGAGTCTGGGGCTCTGTGCTTCTGTGAGCACGGATCACCTCTCAAATTCCCCGTATTGAACGCTGGAGTTCAGAGGGGCACTTGGTCCGAGCATCCTCTAGTACATCAGTCTTCATAGGTATCACTCCAACATTGAACCAAATCTATCAGAGGCCTTGGATTCGATGTCACTGAACGAGAGTTGGCTTGCTGCTTGTGAGCATTCCTATAGCAGTGTTGATAAGTTCAGCCGCTGTCATTATTACCTAACTGTCAGAGTACAGGGACAATGTTCATCAGCGTTCCGTTACAGTGCCTGTACACGTAGGGCTGACGGCAACTTGGCTTCTTGCCGGCATTCTGATCTTCCCCGGAGCCTCCCAAACTCCTCCGATCTGGTCCCAGATGTACCAATCATCTCATAGGTACTTTATCTTGATTGTATCTTCATTTCTTCCATTCCATCTCATCTCATCTCATCTCATCTCATCTCATTCATCTTCTTCACAAGTGCCATACCCGAGTATTACATCCGGGCCGTCTCATTCACCTCTGAACTCTTCCGACCCAGTACGGGCACGTTGGATGACATGACTGATGGAGGCTAAGTGGCCACTCAGATTTCCTACAAGTAGTGCTGACAGCTGCAGTATCCGGGAAGAATACCAACAAACCTGTCGGCTTCGGATAGGATCGTCGTCGTGCAGTTCTCTAATTGGCACGTTCGCGGCCGACTCCAGCTCGCAGGAGCCTCCTTGGTGGCGTATCAGCATATTTGACAGCAAACAGTCTTGGCGCATCACAGCTGCAATCCTCCCGTCTTCCACGTCACACCTCCGTGTCCTGCGAACGGACCCTGACAATTCCAAAAAACAAAACAAAAAAGATTGTTCACTGGCTTGTCCAGTCGTATTCAAAATCCCTTCGAAACACCATTGACTACCCCATATGAGGTCTGTAAGGGCGGTGATAGGCCAACAATACAACAGGAATGTGGCTGGCTCCGCCAGGACCTCGCACAACAGGTCATGCTCAAGCCATATCTATGTTTCAGAACATACAGGGGAGAGGTTTTCTCGTTTTAACTTCCTTGTGCTACCATTTCGTACCTACATATGCGGCTCCTGGGCTTGACTTGGTCCATGTGGCTACCCGCAATGGCCTCGCCTCGAGGACGTCTCGAAGGTCATGGATAAGTAACTCTACATCCCAGCATCCTGCGTCTCTACCACCGCTAGTAGGCATATTCGCGATGGCACCGATTCCTTCCTGAAAGCTTGTCCATCCGCTGCGATGTCAGCCCATATGAGGCACAACGAGGCCTGGTCACCGGTGCACGCCTCAAGGTACGTTTCTATCCCCTCTGCCGACAACAATACATTCGATCTGATGAAGTAGAAGCTAAATGCCATGCAAGAGCGTTTCGGAATGACCAGACGAGCATGAGTCCAGATCCTCTGGCGCTTGGAAACTGCATGAGACTGGCCGTGCGACCTCTAAGCAGATCAGGAGTGTTGAAAGAGCCTCAACCCGTCGTGCCACATACTCTACCTATCACGACCGTGTCTCGCGAGACTCCCTATCTTCAGGAGGCATGTACCTTTAGGACCTTGCGGTAGATACTTCGTCCGTCCAGAGCTACTAGTGGCAACGCCTCCCGCAAAGTGGCCAGAGTGCTGCGCGTGAAGACGGTATCATACTGTTCCCACTCATTCGCCGGTGTGTACGCTTTACGATGGACGCCGTAGACGACGGCTGCCCATCCTGACGTAATGGAGGTTTACAACGACAAAGAAGATCCCGCGTCAGGCATCACAAAGAAGCTCTCGCTACCTGATCTGCCCAAGAACAATAGTCCGCACAGCGGAACCAGCAAGCTTGCACGCCGTCTTCGAAACTCTGCCTATGAGTCGTTCATACATCTTGGGACCCGGCATCTCCTTGACCAACATCACTACATAGCACCAGTCCTCCTTCGTGTCTTTTCAACGGACAATGAAGTGAAACGACTGGGATTCTGCAACGAGGATCAAGATGCCTCATTGTAGCTCTTGGGGAAATTCCTCGTGCGCGTCCAAGACTAGGTTGCCAACAATATTGCTGTGTGTCTCAGGAGAGTCCAGCCCTGATCGATCTTGAAGGAAGCAACACAGCTAAGTCGGAATATCAAGCAGTGTCTTTGCAGTCCGACTTCGTACATGTCCACGAGGACGTCGCCTTCCAACGTTGTTCCGTTGGATTGTGAGATCCCATCAGGGCTCGTCTCCCATTTCCGGGGAAGCTCGGATGGGGACAGAGGAATGCCACGGCCGTAGCCGTCAAGGCTTCGCAGCCCACGTCCGGATTCGTTACACACTACCAATGGATGAGTGGTCGTATTCCTTCTTCGCCTAGTTTACCAACGACCGTTCCGCTTGCTGCTCCGTATCTGTCTCGGATCACTCGCATACCACTTTCGCACCTCACGAGCCCTGCCCACCCGGCCCACGAACAATTCGGGAATTCTGAGCTTTCGGCCTCTGGGCGAACGCATGGGCGTCCATAACGGCGCCACGTAAAAAATGATGTCGGGTAGCCCGTAGAAGAACTCGATGGATCGACAAGGCGATGGGTCATCAGGCACCGTGAGACTCTCTGGTCGACGTCGAATACCCGGATGAAGCCAAGGTTCCGTATCGTGGTGCCCCAGTTCGGGTAGCTACGCGCTTCTCCAGGTCCCTGCTCCTGAATCTACTGCTTTCCGGTCAACACACCAATACAGTTTTCGTTCAGGACCTTGGCGTACCAGAATTCAGGAGTCGTTGCCTCTCCGATCTGTATGTCAGAGTGAGCAGCCCGCTGGTGTACCCGACTTGAGTCCTCCAACTAGCCTTGAGGTCGATCTAAAGCCACCCTGCAATCTTGGCGGAACCCATGCGTTACCCTCACTGAATTGGGTTTCAGTCGCCCAATCTTTTCTTGAACATTCTGGGTTGCGTTCTCGAGCAAGCCGTTGAGGTTTCTTTTTCTTTTTCACAGAACTTCCGCCTTTTGATGCGCTCAAGGCGTTGCGTTTTGAGTGGTGTCAGGACCAGTTGGTGCCCCTATACGCTCTTGGTATTCCACTAACCCTTGCGGCAGGTTGTGCTGAGCCATAACAGGGACGACTAGGCGTTAGTCAGACATGAATGTATTGCTGCGTACTCGTGAAGATAGATTAAAGTGTCGGCCTCGGCGGCATTACGGTGAGTGGTGCCAATGTTAGCACATCACCCGGCGACTTGACCACATAATTCTGTGATATCAATCTCCTCTCTCTACGCACTTGCCTTACTTTGCCACATATCACCTCCGTCCCAAGCGTGGGTTTGGGAGACATACCGTAGATTTAACACCATTATACCAGCACTGCAACTTGAACATGAAGCCCGTTCAACATGGAGTCCGTTGAACATGGAGCTCGAGATGGATGATGGTCATTTCAATCGGATTTCGCCGGTATCGTGTGAAGCCGCCGGCCCCCAAGGAACTCGCTGCTGTCCCGGAAACAGGTCTTGCGTGATGATGATGAGGGCTCTGCATCTAGAAAGCCGAGACTCGGGTTTGTGGCATGGCTATGTCCAGAAAGACGACGAATGTGCTCCAGTCTGTGGAATGAGCGTCCCTTGCTCCGTACTGTGAAGCTCTCGAGGGATATGTGAGTTTCAGTGACATGGTTCAGCGCAGGTCTCAGGTTCCAGGTCTCGAGGCGACAGTGGCCCGAGTTCTTGATACTAGAGTGCCGGTTAGCCGAGTATCGGCGCCGGACGGTGGTGGACCCAAGCCGACGCGAGGGGCGGCTTAGCTCCGACGCTTCCGTAGCAGAGTGATATCATTTGTGAGCACCACCTGCATATGTGCTTGCAGGCGCCATTGATGACCTCACGCAGACATGAAGAGAGCCCGTGCGGGGCAGTATCTCGGACGAAGACCCCACCTCCAGCTGTAGGTGCTTGAGGGGGGTGGTGGTGTGGTGGTGATGACGACAAGCCGATCCCTGTACTGCCAGACTGCTGGAGCTCCTGTACCTCCGAGGCCAATGGCTCGGGGGTGTGTGGTGGTGACAACCCCGACACCTCCGAGCGGAAACCCCCCTCTCCCAGAGCGGGCTACACGTACAAATTTCTGGAAACCTCTCGGCTTCCCCTCTCTTCCAGTTTATCAATCATCGTATTCATACACCACCACAACAATACCTCACAATCCTACCAAACATCTAAAGTTGAAACCAACAAAAGCAGCCAAAATGGTCAAAGCCGGTAAGTTGGCCTTCTGCAGCGTCTAATCTATCTTGCGATTTCACCACTCCCAAATCCAACTGTGGAGGGGCTGCGCGGGCGTGGTTGCGCATTTTCCTACGCTATACTGGGGCTGCACACCAAGCCGGCTGGCCACGAGGGACAAGCACCTTGTTGGACACCTTGTTGGACACCTTGTTGGACACACGGCAGCAAGCCTATCCAGACCTGACCGGCCGGGTACCAGTCCATTGGTATCTAACCCATCGACGTGGTTCTTTGACCTGTCTATTGTCATGTGGAACCCCTACTCTCAATATATCCAGCATACACTACAGTATATAGCGAAGTCATACTGATCAGAGTGTGCCTCTCCAGTCGCAGTCGTCCGTGGTGACTCCAAGGTCACCGGCACCATCACCTTTGAGCAAGCCTCCGAGTCGGCCCCTACTACCGTCTCATGGGACATCTCCGGCCACGACGCGAACGCCAAGCGAGGCATGCACATCCACACCTTTGGTGACAACACCAACGGCTGCACATCCGCAGGCCCTCACTGTACGTCAGACACCTGCGTAGCTACTATACATCCAAGGAGGGCAGGAGACAACAGATGGCGAAGAGCGAATTGGCTGACAAGCGCTTAGTCAACCCCCACGGCACGACTCACGGTGACCAAAAGGACGAGACTCGCCACGTTGGTGACCTGGGAAACGTCGAGACTGATGGCCAGGGCAACGCCAAGGGCTCTGTTCAAGACAAGTTCATCAAGCTGATTGGACCCGAGAGTGTCATCGGCGTAAGTTGACCTAGATGCTTCATCTGCTGTCCATACTGCCTTCATCATGCTAACCCCGGGTGTTAAGCGAACCGTTGTCTGCCACGCCGGCACTGACGACCTCGGCAAGGGTGGTAACGAGGAGTCGGCCAAGACTGGCAACGCTGGTGCACGACCTGCTTGTGGTAAGTCTCACTCCTGAATATGAAGCTTGATTGGAAACCTGGCTGATTAACTCGCTCTCACCAGGTGTCATCGGCATCTCCAACTAAACTGTCCCAACAGCGGGATAGTTGTGGAGGCTTGGGCTCACAGGAGAAGGACGACGTACTTAAAGTATAGTTTGCCAATCATTATAGAGTGCCATCAATGACATGACCAATACCAAACTCACTTGTCATGGAGTGCCTTGCCGTGCTATCCCGGACGGCAGGAAAGCAGTTATGATCAGCAGATGGTTATCTAATGATTAAGCCACATCATGAAAGTCAGAACTTCTGATCAGTGATGGCAGAGTCTACAGCACCGGAAACTTGCTCACGCCGTGAATGATCTTGTTTGATAGTCTGCCCACCTTCCCAGTCTTCTTCTTCCTTCTCTTGATCTTCTTTATTATCCTTGTCCACCTTCATTGCCTTCTTATCTTCACCCCAACCACCCCTCGGCTTGTTTTCACCAAGAAATCTGTCAGCGCGCAACGATCCGTTATAGACTGAGACTGTCCGCAGAACGCGTAAGTGAGAACAAACCGATTTAAACGTCACAGCAGTCTCCATCACCTGGATGGCGCTGGCACTATGGTGTGACTGCAGGCCTTCTGCCACACGGCATGCTCTTCAATCAACAAACCCGTGCCTGGGACTAGGTTCTACATGTGCCGGTCATACTTATAGGACGGCGGTGGTTGTAAGGTACTGAATACCTATCTGGTGATTTGCAGATACTACCCCGCAACACAGGGTCTGCCCTCGAGAGCTCCCCCCTGGTGCTGGTGGCGCCCCGCAGTTACCAACGATGGGGTCTTGAGCCTTGAGGGGCCGAGCCCCTCGCTTAAACCCTGGCCGCTCTGGTTGCAGGTGGCATGGAGTGCTGGCTGCCCGCACGGCTGGCTCCTGCCAGTGGCCACCTGCACTGTGTTGTCGCCGGGCATCCACTGGCCTTTCTCCACAAAATGGCTGAACTGAAAGCTGTCAAATTGAAAAAAAGGGTGCACACGACCACAAGACTTGTGTCTCTCCGACTTGTTGCTTGACTCGACCAATTCCTAAGATACGCATCCGAGAGAGAATTACTACCTATCGCACACATCTGCTTAGCTTCTGTTTGCTTTCTCAGCATCCTCATCAGCATTCTTGGGTAAGACGGTCTCTCCATCCTTCCATTCACGATCTATGATCCAGCTCGCTCCTTCAAAGCTCCCATCCTGACCCTTGCACCACCAACAACAAAAGCCCATGCCCACCACCACGTGACAGGAGATACAGCTTGCGACCATGGCTTCAGTCTGCAAGAGAAGTTAAGTGGCCTGGCAGACAATCTTCTTAGATATCAAGGCCTTTGTCATCGCCTCAATACACCCCAAGCTTGGCCTGAGTGTGATATACCGCAGCGACGGCGGATAGTCTGCAATCCCCCCTTTCCCCCCTTTCCAGGGGTGTGATATTCCTCAGCTTCACCATTATACTACTAGTAAACGAAGTCACTCTTGGTCCGACTCCAAAAGAAATTGGGCCGTTCAAGGACAACCTCTTGGTTTCCATGAGATCCCAGGCATTGCACGTGGCTCCTCAGGTCCTACCGACCATTGCACAGCTTTGTCCGTTGTGTCACATACCCACTCATTGACAACCGCCCTCCATCTCCTTGTCCCCATTGTTATGCGATCCCAGGCCCAATGCGAACTGCGATGTCTACCCATTAGTCACAACCTACCTACCGTTATTCACTCTGAATTCACCCCAGATCTATCTGAGGTACACTCCGCTTCGCTTGGTGGTCTCACACTTAATCACTCAGCACCTTCCTTCCGCACATATTATCAATCCTCCATCTTTTTCGTACCTCAGTCTTGAACGCTGACCATCTATATAGGTTTCTGTGAAATCCTTGACATTCACTGCTTTCACTCATCTCCGATATCATCCGCAACCATCTCGCCTCCAGCAATATGGCGAAACAATTCTTTGCAAATGTCAAGTCGGTCCTGAGTGGCGACACCCTCGTGTTGACCAGCCAGAACAACCCGAATTCCGAGCGAACCTTCTCGCTAGCCTTCGTCACCGGACCTCATCTAAGAAGAGAAGGCGACGAACCCTTCGCTTTTCAGTCGCGCGAGTACCTTCGCGGTCTGATTGTCGGCAAACCCGTCCAATGCACCATCCAATACACCATCCCAAACTCTGGACGCGAGTACGGCTTTGCGCAACTGAAAGATGGCACCCAATTGCCGGATGAACTTGTCAAGGCTGGCTGGATCAAGGTCAGGGAGGATGCAGGCCGAAAGGAAGAATCCGAAGAGGTACTGCAACGTCTTGAGACACTGAGATCCCTGGAGGCGCAGGCAAAGAGCGAAGCGAAGGGACTATGGGCTGGCGTGGGCGGCGTCATTGACGTTCAGAACGACCTTTCTTCCCTGGACATTAACGAATGGAAGGGCAAGACCGTTGACGGTGTTGTCGAACGCGTGCTTAGCGGCGATCGATGCCTGGTGCGCCTTAAGCTCTCAGAGAAGAAGCAGCTCCAAGTCATGTCTTTGGTTGCCGGCATCCGTACACCTGCCACCGAACGAGTCAACCAGTTCGGTCAGACTCAACCTGCCGAGGAGTTTGGTGTTGATGCGCGGCAATATGTTGAGCAGAGACTGCTGCAGCGAGATGTCAAGGTCGAAATAGTTGGTGTCAGCCCGCAAGGACAACTCATCGCCTCCCTCCTACATCCCCGAGGAAGCATCGCCGAGTTTCTTCTTGCCGATGGTTTGGCCAGATGTAACGACTTTCACTCGACTATGCTTGGCAGCAAGATGGCTCCCCTCAGAGCTGCCGAGAAGAAGGCACAAATTGGCAAACTTCGTCTTCACAAAGACCACGTTGCTAAAGCTGAAGGTGGTAGCGCTTCTGACATGATCGTCTCGAAGATCATGGGCGCAGATGCTATATTCGTACGCACCAAGAACGGAGATGAGAAGCGAATCAACCTCAGCAGCGTTCGCGGCCCTCGAGCGGGCGAGCCATCAGAAGCTCCCTTCAGAGATGAGGCCAAGGAATACTTGCGAAAGAAGCTTATCGGAAAGCACGTCAAGGTTTCTGTCGACGGCGAGAAGCCAGCATCCGAGGGATTTGAAGCGCGCGATGTTGCCACCGTTACCGAAAAGGGCAAGAATATCAACCTTCAGCTGGTCCAGGATGGTTGGTGCTCTGTAGTTCGCCACAGAAAAGACGACACAGACAGAGCACCCAACTACGATGAGCTTTTAGCTGCCCAGGAGGAAGCCCAGGAGAAGAAGAAGGGAATGTGGTCTGGCAAGGCGTCCAAGGCAAGAACATATGTGGATGTCTCCGCGTCGGTGCAAAAAGCCAAGATTCAGGCCTCCACGCTCTCGCGACAGAAGAAGGTTCCTGCAATCGTCGACTTTTGCAAGGCCGGCTCGCGATTCACCATTTTGGTACCGCGTGAGAACATCAAGTTTACCATGGTTCTTGCTGGTGTTCGTGCCCCGCGAGCACCAGGGCCGCGACAGGAGAAGGGTGAGCCTTTCGGGCAAGAAGCCCTGGACCTGGCCAACCGCCGATGCAACCAGCGCGACTGTGAGATCGATGTCCACGACATTGACAAGGTGGGCGGATTCATTGGTGATCTTTACATCAACCGCGAAAACTTTGCCAAGGTGCTCGTCGAGGAAGGTCTGGCCGAGGTTCACCGATACTCGGCAGAGAAGGCCGGCAATGCCAACGAGCTTATTGCGGCTGAGCAGCGGGCGAAGGAAGGACGAAAGGGCAAGTGGCACGACTGGGACCCGTCGCAGGATGTCGAAGACGGTGAAGACGAATCCGCTGCAGTCGAAAACTCCGCTGATAGCGGGCCTATGGACAAGAAGCCTGCTGATTATCGCGAAGTCGTGGTCAGTAACATTGATTCGAATGGCAAGCTGAAGATCCAGGAAATCGGAAAAGGCACATCTGCGCTGGAAATAATGATGAACGAATTCAGGAGGTTCCATCTGGACTCGAAGAACAGCAAACCTCTTGCCAACCCCCCTAAGGCAGGAGAGTATGTGTCAGCCAAGTTCTCTGCGGACGACCAATGGTACCGAGCGCGCGTCCGATCCAACGACCGTGCTAACAAGGTCGCCGAAGTTGTCTACGTTGATTACGGCAACACCGAGATGATTCCTTGGGCCAAGCTTCGACCTCTTGACCAGCCTCAATTCACCACCCAGAAACTCAAGGCGCAAGCCATCGATGCCGCACTCTCGTTCATCCAGCTTCCCACCGCGACCGATTACTTCCGCGAAGCTATTGACTTCATCACCGAATCCACTGATGGTCGCTCGTTGGTTGCTAGCTTCGACTTTGTGGACACGAAGGAAGGTTTGAGCTACATCACGTTGTTCGACGAGAAAGCCAGCGGTTCCTTCGCGGACTCGATCAATAAGGAAGTCGTGGCCAACGGGTACGCCATGGTACCGAAGAAGCTGAAGGCTTGGGAACGAGGTCGCGCATCTGAGGAGGTCCTCAAGAAGCTGCGCGAGGTTGAGAGTCAGGCCAAGGCTGACCGCAACGGCATGTGGCAGTACGGCGATATTACCGAGGACTAAATGCCCGGTTGAACGTCGCTGTGTGTCCCCGACTACGTAGCAGCCTCAACGCAGAAGCTTACAACGCATCAGTCTCTGCTATATGCATGCCACAGCATCTAAGATGGATACACCACGGCCTACTAAAACAGACCCGTACATAGCCATCACGATAGGGAATGAAGCATGTGAAGCAAATCTTTGATGTTGAATATGAGTGACCTGTTTCGTGTACCTCACGCTCCGCCATGTCCATGTACATGCCCCGTGCACCCCTATAGCAGCTGTCTGCGCTCGGGCACGCTCCTCTCGTACTCGAAAGTGATCCCGCCAGTATCGTTGACGCCATTGCTGATTGACAGGGCGCCTCCGCCATCCCCGTCTCGAACTCCTATAGGTTTATGTACAATCGTTATTGTGATCATTATAGCTAGGTAATTATACGCTCGAGACCCCTTTTTATACTCCTCGGCAAACGTAGCGGCCGAGCTACTAGTACTTAATATAACCTGCTACCTAAGGGTAAATATTTAGGACTAAACTAATTAATTTCTTATCAAATCAGTAGTAATATTATTATCAACGGTGTTCCTTTCATACTTAATAACGACAGAGGTTTTAGTAAAAAGGCGTTTTATGTTCATTTACCGACGCCTCGCGAGAGCGTGCTGTCGCTGAGTGGGGACATCGTCATGATCTCGGAGTTATATTGTCGCCCTCAACGGCCCTGCTTGTTGCACGTCAAACAAAGTAAGCCCGGTCGCCTGACGGGGCAGGATCCGCCCTTAGTACGTCGCACCGGACTGCTGTTCCGCCGATGATGCATGCATATGGAGGAGATGTTGGTCTACACCAACTCAAACCTCTCAAGAGGCTTGCCAGCGGCCATGTGCTCTCGCACCGCTTCTCCGTCCATGATCCCGTGGACATAGCAGTGCTCGACCAGCTCATACTTTCCTTTCAGCACCTTTTTCTCGTCTTCACCCGCAGATGTGAGTAGTGTCGGTTCTCCAACGGGCAGCGATCTCCGCGTCGTCGTCGTCGTTGTGCTTGTTGAGCCCGTGGAGGACATTGTAGTTCCGTTGTTGTCTTCTGCTACTTCGATCCGAGGCTCTTCCGGTGGCGGCAGGAGGGCGGATTCAGCAGCTTGCGCTTGCGGACGAAGGACGTAGGGCAAACATTCCCCAAAGAGCACCGCAATCCGGTCGCCCTCTTGCGTGCTCTTCGGTCCGATTCCCATGCGCCTGGAGGCAGTGACGAACAGGCGACGGTGGGAGCACGTACCGGCGCCGTCCGTGGTGACGAGTTTGACTGCGTCGCTCGCCGTAAGAAGCTCAGCCAATTGGCCCCCGAGAAAGAGTCGGACAACTTGGGCGCGTGTCGCAGTGTCGACAACGACGTTTGCAGCACGGTACTTGATGCAGGCGACGCTAGTCAAGAGGTCATCGGCGAGCTTCGTGTCCTCACACGGCCGTACATGTCGCTTGAGGAACGGCAACAGCTGTGGAAACACTTGGCACAGCTCCAGAGAAGAACCAGAGAAGGCAGTCTCGTACGTTGCCACCACACTGTCCACCTCAATACCGTCATATTCAGAGTATACCAGTCTGAATCACCGTCCGACTCAACTCGGACATCGGCGCTCGGAGGAGAATTCGAGTCGGCAGCATAGCGCCACCTCTGGAGACGTGTTGCATCTCCCAAGTGGAAGTCTATCCGGATATCTGGCCTGAGCGCCCAAGAGGGAAATCTGTCGTCTGCGGCCGACCGGCCGGAGGCCCCGTCTCTGACAAGTCTCAGTGGTGCGAGCCTTTGCTCTTGCCGTATGGCCTCGCAGGTGGCTTGAGAGTATGTCTCGGGTAAGCTCCTCTCATAATCGACTTCCAGCTCGCTAGGCAGGTCGGCAGGCTCAGCAACTTGGAGCTGCTCCCGGCGCTGAAGGCCCAGGACTCCATATACCTTGTCTTTCAAGTCCGTCGTTTCCATATACGTCGCAAAATCAAGGAGGTCCATGAGCCTCTGGGTGCGCGGAACGAAGTTGCCGCGAAGGGCTGTATTTAAACCGTCTTCGCAGTGTTCTGAGCGGTCCCAATCCGTCGTGGAGGACTTATGAGACAACCACAGTGTAATCTGACCGACGCGATACCAGGAGACTTCCCAGGCACCACATCGGCACAGTGTAGCTGGTGCAAAAGCGACTTCTTGCACCACCCATAGACGTCCGAACCACGGCCGTGAGAAGGCGGCATCGAGCGCTGCTAGATCGCAACCTATTGGCAAAGGCTTATCGGTTTCCCTTAGTATATCATGGCGCCGGACGTAGGCGTCTTCCACCCTCGCATATTGTTCTTGGTTCTGATGGATATCGCTCGCCAGTTTGTCAAAAGTCGCAAAGGCGGCTTCGGTGCTTTCGTCCGCATCGCCCATCCATACCAACGTCCGCTCCGTGCAGCTGTAGATGTCGCGCATGAGAGCCACCTGGCTACTCCACTCACGCACATCAGCTTGGTTGATGCAGATGGCATCTATCCAGAGCATGCGACCACCATCCGACCGACGGAACTGCCTCAGAACGTTCGCGGCGCTCGCTGGGACTACTGTGGGCACACCATCGACGACTATACGCTCTGTTCCCGCCTTCTCCGCCCAGCGGTAGGAGACTGCTTCGTAGCTGGGACGCACTTGGCTGTCGAGGGACACGGTGAGTAGACCGCATCGGGGAACGTCGTCGTCGAACAAGCCGGACGAGTGCAAGCGCAAAAGCCGAATCTGCCGACGTGCCGTATCCAGAGGGCTGTAGATACTGGTGGGTGCTGTCATTTGGTGGTGACTCGGTGGATTGCGGCCGTTGCGATCTTCAGACTGTAATGCGGATGGAATGGAGCTTTGTTGAAAGCTCTGTGTGCTGCTGTCTTCAAAAGTCCAGGTGATTATGTTACTCGGAGATGAAGTCCGAGAACTCCACATGGAGACGGGAGATGGGTATTGCCATGAAGAGTCGCACTGGCGAGGGTACCGTATTCACTACTAGCGCTGACAGGGAGCATCAGCCTCATCGCCATCCAGGCCTGAGAACCTCGACGAAGGTGGTGAGTGAGGCAGACAAGCCCATCTCCCATCTCGGTGGAAGCAGGAAGTGAGGGCGCCACTTGGCTGTACTGCACCCAGCGCCTATGTCTGTCAATATTAACGCGACCTGTAAGTTAAGGAAATCTTGGCCTGGACATCAAGCAAGATTCGAATACAGGTACGCCGGTGCTTGAATGGATGTCTTTCCCATGAAGTGCTTCAAGGGGAACTCGACGGGGCATAGAAATGGGAGGTGAACTGGTCCCAAACCCGCTGGCAACAAGCTGCGTGAAGGTTGGGGTGGTTCATCGACCTATTACTGTCTGGAAGAAGCGACGAGGATTTTCCTTGAATGCGACCATGGACTCCTGGGGGATGAGTCGAGACACATTGGGCCTACATGTCGTCAATCCATCTCTTCCCGGATGAAAATAAGCATGTCACGACACGAGGTTCCGAGGTTCGCGGAAATCGTAAGCCGTTGATGGCGAAGGTCCGAGGCGCGGGTTGTCCTCTACCGGACGACTGTGGTCCGAAGAGCCTCCACTGAGCTGTACAGTCAGATGGGACCGACGTCGCGGGCGCCGAGGCGAGATTATTACTGCACGTCGGGTATCCCGGCGCATGACTAAGAACCCGACGTCAAGTACGCCTTACATAATGTTAAATAAGAGCAGGTATGAGGCAGTCGTGGGCTAGGCGGATCAAACACAGTCGGTGAAACGAGATGTCGATGAAAGTCAAAGACCGAGCGAGTCTGAGCACGGGTTAGGTTGAGACGCGCCAGTGACTTGGTGCTAACAGACCCACGTGAATATTGCTGAGTAATAAAGTACTTGCCAATGAAGGGACCTTTGAGGTCGAGTTTTGATGCTCCCAGTGAGGTGCTCAGGGTGAGTGATACGCCAGTTTCAACGTTCCAATCGCTACGACGGAGTTAAGGCGAGAAGTGCATACCTCAAGACCTCAAGCTATTGGTGGCGATATGAATAAGGAAAGTGATGACAGACTGTTGTAATCGTTAAAGCCATGCTCGAAACGACATCGGACAGACCGGCCACGAACATGGCAAAGCAAGCCCGAGTCCGGCCTCTTGAACGCAAATTCGGGCTCGTGATTGATGGACAGCTGTGGACCGCGACGTCCTGGGAGCGGCGAAAAATTTGGAATGGCCCGGCGCTGTTTGTGACATGCAGGCGAATGTCAATAGTGGGATTAGTACAGTAGAGAGGTATGACGCCGGGCCTCTCGGTCAACCTGAGACCATCCAATGTGCCCCGCCAGACGACCACCCCACCCATTCCGTCACTGGTAGTAGCTGTGCTGGCAGGAATAAAACAACTCGACATCTCCCCCTCCATGACTGGACTACCACTGACAACCTAACTTTCACGATTTTACAACCAACCCAACATACCACGAACAAACCACGACCTGACCCAGACTTTAATTGACCATCCGCGACCACACACAGCCATCATGTCTAACTCTCTCGACCAGCTGAAGGCCACTGGCACTGTAAGTTGACCCCTACACTTTACCCCTCATCAACTACTGGCCACATATTGCCCCTCCATCATCGTGAAAGCTTTCGCGTTCTTCCAATGGCCTCCTAATACCCATGCGAATACCTGCTGCTTCATGCACTCCAATGCCCTATTGGGATTATCTGCTAACCTACAATTCGATGTTTAGGTCGTCGTCTGCGACTCCGGTATGCTCTATTCTTCTCGATACCTCCTCCACTGACTAGCTTAATGAATCGTGGCGCTGACTGAGACATTTTCTAGGTGACTTCGCCAGTTAGTCTCCCCCTATTCTCACAAACTTCGAACCACCGCTGTCGACCGAGCCTCCTCTGATCGCACCCCTAATCCCGAAATGTCGCTGACGACTCTATAGCCATCGGAAAATACAAGCCGCAAGATGCCACCACCAACCCCTCCCTCATCCTCGCCGCCTCCAAGAAGACCGAGTACGCTAAGCTGATCGACGAGGCCTGCTCATATGCCAAGGGCAAGGGTGGTGATCTCGACCACCAAGTTGATGCTGCGCTGGACCGACTCCTGGTTGAGTTCGGCAGGCAGATTCTGCAGATCATCCCCGGCAAGGTCTCAACTGAGGTTGACGCTCGCTTCTCTTTCGACACCAAGGCCTCAGTCGACAAGGCCCTACACATCATCGAGGTACGTCCCAGCAGTGCCCCAGCCAACCCATATCGACGTGGAAATATGTTCAAAGCGTGCTAACGTAGCCTGTGCTGTAGCTGTACAAGGAGCTGGGTATCGGAAAGGAACGCATCTTGATTAAGATCGCCTCGACATGGGAGGGCATCAAGGCTGCCGAGATCCTGCAGCGGGACCACGGTATTAACTGTAACCTGACCCTCATGTTCTCGACCGTCCAGGCCATCGCCGCTGCCGAGGCCAACGCTTTCCTCATCTCCCCCTTCGTCGGACGTATCCTTGACTGGTTCAAGGCCTCAACCAAGAAGGAGTACAAGAAGGAGGAGGACCCTGGTGTCAAGTCGGTCCAGACCATCTTCAATTACTACAAGAAGTTCGGCTACAAGACCATCGTTATGGGTGCCTCCTTCCGAAGCGTTGGCGAGATCACTGAGCTGGCTGGCTGTGACTACTTGACCATCTCGCCCAACCTGCTTGAGGACTTGATGAACTCCAAGGATGATGTCCCCAAGAAGCTCGACGCCTCTGACGCCAACTCGCTTGACCTCAAGAAGCAGTCGTTCATCAACGACGAGCCCCTCTACCGCTTTGAGTTCAACGAGGACCAAATGGCCACCGAGAAGCTGCGTGAGGGTATCAGCAAGTTCGCTGCCGACGCTATCACCCTGAAGGATATCCTCAAGAAGAAGATCAGCGCATAGGTTATGCAAATAGTTGAAAGTGGCTGACGGGAGACTGCATGGGAGCTCATAGATTGTGAACAGGCGTTCAATTTAATTTATGAATCTTGTTGCCAACCAGAACACGCACGCAAATAGGTGCTACTAACGGATGTGTCGTTCCACTGGGACAATCAGTGATGACCTCCATCTATTCTCAATCATGTGATTATACAGGGGTTCTATGTGTAGATACACGGCTGCCTTGCCATCTACGTTGGGGGAAGGGAGTTCGCTGTGACTGTATGCATCCATGGCGCGTTTGTGGTCGATGTGTAAGTGCTTAAGAAACATATAGTGGGACTTCCATTGTGGACTAATAAGTTACTGATAACCGCAACAAAACGAAACCCTATATATGAAGTGACGCGTGCTTGCCAGTTCGCATTTCACTCAATTAATGTTGCCTTGAGTACCTATAGGAAGTCCAACGCTACCTTGAATAGAATACATCCATATCTCCACGGTCATACGTTACATGTACGTATACAAGTATGAGCAGATAAGCCGTCAGCCGTCAGCCAGGCCGGTTTGGGTATGGGTAATAACATCATTTGCTTCATTCATGACAGCTTTCGTTCGAGGTTCCTCTATCTCATAACACATAAGGTACATACGCTCCTGGCACTTTGGGCCTTAGTCCCCTTCCTGAAGTATCTGTACAGTACGACCGACACCAGGCTACGCATCGCGTATGTCGGTATAGGGGTAGTCATGTCTACGTAGCAGCGTGCCCGGGGCCAGCCCTGCTGTGCTCTGCTCTGCTCTGGTCAGTTCCCATGCCGGCATCATATCTATTCCCAGCCTCATCGATTGACGATGTAAGAACCACCGTGCTATTCAGGCGTCAAACCGCCGCCCTGATATCTCTCATCCCCTCATCTTCTCGTTCTCCTTGTCCTTCTCCTTATCTTTACTCTTCTTCTTCTCACCACCCCCCTTCTCACCACCCCCTTTCTTCCTCACGCCCTCGCTCCCAGTAGCAGCAGGACGTTCCTCACAAGCGACGCTAACGAGCCGATGTCTAATCCCGCCCTTTCCATTTCCACTCCCTTCGCCATCCTCTGCAACAAACTCAAACACCACCGCCGTCAGCTCGCCGCCCCGCACACACCCGCTATCGAGCCCGATCGCGTACTCGCGCACATTGAGCCCGGCCTTGGCGTCGTGGCCGTAAACGACAGTCATGCGTTTTTCTGGGTTCGCCAGCGACAGCTGCGCCTCATTCCACGTCTCGGCCCAGGGGCGGCCGCCCTCGTCGCGGTGCGCCGCGCTCGGCACCGCCGTCGTGAGGTCGCGGTAGTCGGTGCCGCGGAACAAATCCGGGTGCTTATTATCCTGATATGTCGAAAACAGCATCTCGCGGAAGCGGGCCTCGATGTCGGCGTTCGAAATAGAGATTTCGGGTCTGCCCTCGGGTAGTGAGTGTTGGTGGTGGTCTGCTGCTTTCTGGTAGGCCTCGTCGACTAGCTCCGCCTTGGCTTTTGCTCGTACTAGTTGTTGGGCTGGGTACACCAGCGTGCGCATGGTCATTACGGCGTGCAGGTCCTGGCTTTGCAGTGGTATGTTGGGCGCGAGACCTGCGTGTACGACTACCACGTCGCCGTAGCGGGCTCCGAAGTGGCCCAGCTGCAGTATGACGGGCCGTTGCGCCAGCCAGGCGCGTTGTTCTGGTGTTAGGCTCGCGGCGGTGGCTAGGTCGGCGCGCAGCGTCTTGTTGGACACGGCCTTCTCTTCCTCTTTCTGTTCCTCTTCCTGCTCCTGCACCTGCTTCTCCCCGTCTACTGTTGGTTTTGGTTTCGAGCCCGCCCGCTGTGGACTGCTATTGCTATTGCTATTGCTCTGTTTGAGGTCGCGACCCGAGTTCTCCCACGCGAGCAGAACCCGGTCCTCGTGGTTGCCGCGCACGGCCGAGGCGCCCATGGCCATGGCGCGCGCGACGACGCCGGCGCTGTCAGCGCCCTTGTTGATCATGTCGCCCGTGAAAACGACGTGGTCGCCGCGCGCGGCCGAGTAGGCCGTCTTGGAGAGCAGGGCTTCGAGGGCCGAGAGCTGGCCGTGGACGTCGCCGATGATGATTAGTTGCTTGCCCTTGCCCGGGCCGGAGGAGGGTATGTGGGTGGACGGGAGCGTGCCGAGCGGAATGAGGCCCGTGAGGCCCGGCGGGCGCGCCGAGGTCTCGTAGGCCATTGGGCCGGGAGGGGTTTCGTCGGTCTGGGCTTCGTCTTGGTCGTACTCGTGTGACTCTAGATCTGAGGGAGGCTGGAAGGTATCTTCAGATGTCGTCGTAGAGGAGGGTCACACAAGGGCTTGGAGCGGATCTTAGGCCGTGGTGAGAGACAGAGGTGTAGAGCGTTTAGCATAGGAAGACCGTCGCAAGGATGAAGAGATGGCACCGGAAGTGAGTACACGTCGTCGCTTCCGTCTTGACTTGGGTTTGGTGGTGGGATGGGCCATTGGAGGAAGCTGCCCCTGTTCAGATACATGTGCCTAATGCCTCGGTTTGCTGTCGGGTCTCAGATGATCGGACCTCGTTCCGGACTATGACGTCGAGTTGCAACCACGCTGTATTCCATTGGATGTACCATATGTCAGATGCAAACCTGCCCCTACCTCACCGAGAAGAGCTTTGATTGATGGCAGCGATACAGACAACCATTTAGGAAAATTGTATGCAGTAGAGGTATATAACCAGAGATATTCCAAGCGCTCGGGGCGGCTGGAACGCGGCGGATAATGCCATGGTCGTTGTACACCCACCAGGTCGTCGCTCTTCGCACAGGCCTCGACGGTTGATGCTGATGCCATCAACACGTCAAACAGAAGCTAAAGTGGGGGATGTGCGTTACCCCTTAAGCTGTGTTTTCTGCATATACCACTAAATGTGATATAGGAATATGGTATAATGTACCAACAAGTTTAGAACTTGACAACTAGAGCGCTACTCCAGAGTGTTGGATTCTTCAGTCTCTTGCTTGTTTGCCTGCGGTTGAACTGTGTCTCGTCTTTCTCCTTAGCAGCCGTAAACTTGTGTGTGCAATGTTATCGTTGCTCAGACAATTCCCTTGCGAGTGCTTGAACCTGCTCTCTACCAATAAGGTGGTGAGGGAGCTACGGAAGTCCTCTTGGTGGGTACTCGACTCGCATTTGGCGTCTGTACCTGATGAAGCCTTTGAAGCATAATAATCATACAGCTTAAGAGCAGACCGTCCTCAGTCCAAGTCAGGAACCAGAATCGATGCTGTAGGATGAGGGAAGAACCTCAACCTATGTATTATTCCAACCCCGAAACGCCGCCCAATGCCGTGTCTAGTATCTTTCGCTCTCCCCACCATGATCATACAAGCCAAACCCAGCCCTGGTGTCCCTCCTCCTCGTCACTTTTTCTTCTGCTCCTGCTCGGTGCGGTACTTCTCGTTTTCCAGCTCCCGCCAGTCGCGGGGCTCGGGCTCGTTGCCGTCGGTCTTCTTGACGCCGCCGCCGAACGCGGAGGCTCCGGCGTACAGCTGGTATCCCTCGCCCGTGGACTCGCTGGACTCGAGGCTCTTGAAGGTGATGGGCTGGTTGCCGCGGAAGCGCTTGCGCATGTCGATCATGCCGCGCCTGCACTCGCCGAAGCCCTTCTTGAGCTGCTGGCACTTGGTCGGGAGCGTCTCGGAAAGGGGCTCGCGCAGGCAGTCGGCGGCCGAGTTGCGGTGCACCATGACGCATTCGGACTCTTGCAGGCACTGCGCCAGTGCGGCTCCTGGGGAAATGCGGTGTTAGAGAGGGACAGTGTCCTACATTGATGGGGGGGAGGTCGACGTACTTATTTCTTTACATGAGCTCGGCATGGTGGCTGCTGATGGAGAGAAGGAGCTCGAAGTGGAGCTTGTCGGTCAATCCAGCTGCTCGCTGGTCTGGTGCTCCGGTCAATATGCTACCTCGCAGCATTGGATGGGACTGCTGCGATCATCAGATGCTGTTGTCGCGCCATCGTTCGTCAAAAAGTAGCGGATGGGTCATGGCTCGTGCTCATCGCATGTAGAAGTCCAACATGATTGGCTACATAATAGCGGAGTACATTGGCGGCTGCGAACCGTTAGGACGCTGCAGCCTGGACCCTGCAGGGGTACCTAGCTGTACCTATCTGCCCGCGCCGGCGCTTCGTTATCATACCTTGGGATTGTGGAGAGCTCTCCGAACCTTCCTCGGCCTCCTGATATTCGGTCATGTACTGTGAAAGTGTATCGATTCTTGTATTACAAACCCCTTCTTCTCCTCATTCATAGACTCAAGGTAACGCCCATTTCGGCAGCTTTTTCTCGTCCCTCTATCATTAGACTCGTGCCGCTGAGGTGAGCCACCGACCGTTACGAGGCTGCAATATACCTACTGCACAAGGGACCTGCGCGACCGCATTCCCATTCACATGTGACATCACCGAGACTACATATCTTAAAAGAGCCGGTCACCACAAACCCGCCAGTGTCATCCCAACTTCCTACCTCCCTAGAGAGCTCCTATCACTCTAGCCGAACGCCAATCGTTAAAAGATGAACCAGTCGGCGCGATAGCGCAGCGTCCGGCTTCCATAGAGCTCTCACACTCTGCGTTCGGGCTATAGCCGCGACAACAACACTGCATCATGCCTTTGCCTTTCCTTGGTCGGTTGAACATGTATGTCCCTACATACCTACTTGCGCAAGCGCCAGCCTCGCGCTGAGGGTCTACTTGACCCTTGCCCTTGGCTGCTGTGCGTTATCAATGCTGACTGCTGCATAGAACCGAGTATGTCGCCTTGGTAGGCTCCTTTGTGCTTGTTGGCCTCGAAGCCTTCATCCGGGTAATGACACTGGCGTTACGTGAGCTACCCGAGACAGCTGCTAGATACCAAATACTGACACTTGGGCCTAGCCTCGTCACTGTTGAACCTCTTCTACCGAGCTTCGCGACGACTGTTCAACAGGTTGACTTCCCCTGCACAGAAGGAGGCCGAACAACGAAGAAAGTGTAAGTCTAACCAACGGGCCCCTTGCACACCTTTCCGACTGCCACTGACCGACCTCATTGTTAGCCATATCATCCTCGATTCGAAATGCGTCCGACTTCGTCGATCTCTGTGCTATGTTCGGTTACACGGCGGAGGAGCATGTGGTGCAGACTAAGGATGGCTATCTACTTGGCATCCACCGTCTCGCATGGCGGAAGGGCGAGGAGGACATGAAGGTCAACAGTGGCCCCGCCAGCATCAAGAAACGCGTTGTATACCTCCATCATGGACTCTTGATGAACAGCGAAGTCTGGATCAGCCTCACGGATGCCCGAAGATGTTTGCCGTTCGTGTTGGTAGAACAGGGCTTTGATGTTTGGGTACGTACACTTTGGCCCCCCTATAGTGTTTAGCACTAACAGACGTTTCAGCTGGGCAACAACCGTGGAAACAAGTACTCCAAGAAGTCGATCCATTGCTCACCAACATCTACTCAATTCTGGAACTTCTCCATCGACCAGTTCGCCTTTCACGACATCCCTGATTCTATCAATTACATACTTGATTTCACGAGGCAGCCGTCATTGTCCTACATTGGGTTCTCTCAAGGCACAGCACAGGCTTTTGCTAGTTTGTCAGTTCATCCAAAGCTCAACGACCAAGTCAACGTCTTCATCGCGCTCGCCCCTGCTATGTCAGTCCCTGGCTTGAACAATGGTATCGTCGATGCTCTGATCAAAGCCTCCCCTCAGGTCCTCTTCCTCCTCTTTGGCCGGCGATCTATCCTCAGTTCTGCAACCATGTGGCAGTCCATTCTCTACCCGCCCCTCTTCATCAAGGTGATTGATATGGGCAATAACTTCCTCTTCGGCTGGAAGTCCAAGAACATCTCTGTCAGCCAGAAGCTTGCTGCCTATCCTCATCTGTACTCGTTCACAAGTACCAAGTCTGTTGTCCATTGGTTTCAGATCATTCGCAACAAGTCGTTTCAGATGTACGACGATGATGTGCAGACGCCTTTGTTGGGTGGTTCAAACAAGTATACAAAGGTCGCCAAGTACCCGACTCGGAACATCAGAACGCCAATCGTCGTGGTCTACGGAGGAAGCGACTCGCTCGTTGACATAAAGGTCATGTTAAAGGAGCTTCCCAGCCGGACTGTCGCAACTGAAATTCCTCACTATGAGCATCTCGACTTCCTATGGGCTCGAGATGTAGACACGCAAGTTTTCCGCCACATCTTTGATGCTTTGGAGAACTTCACGAATGCGGATAACCCCTTGGAGGAGTATGAGAGCTATCAACGCGCAAGGTCTGCCAGCCTGTCGGCATCGGCGTTGTTCAAGCGGTAAGCGTTGCACGTCTTGCCGCGGGAAACCGTCGCTCTAGACACTAATTGTAGCAGCGCCCTTCCGAACAATGATGCTGTCGAGTCGGATGCAGCGTCAGTCTTGTCTAACGGGCAAGAAAGGAAACATCAAGCGCGTGAGAAATTATTTCAATCACAAGCTTCGGAGGATAAGCCTGAGGGCGGAAGGCCTCATCTCCATCTTCATCCGATAACTACGATAGACGAGAGCAGACCTCCGACACCGGATAGACCAAATTATAGAGGGGTAGACTCACCTGCCCACAGCACTCCGTCACCGTCCGCAGCAAGCAGACTGCATCGCCGGCGTGGTAGTGCCACCAGCATTGTCAGTATTGACTCGATGAAAGAGGGACGCGGCATCAGGATAGGTGCTGCGAGGCCAGCTGGAAGTGTGGTCACCACCGGAAGTAGTGATGAAGGCAGGTCACCTCACCGAAACGGACTCTGATGTAATAGTTGTACAATACACGAAGCGGGTGGCGCAATCACTGAGAGTGGCGTTCAAGTACTGGAAGCCTGTGGTATACAGCCCCTGTACATATTTCCAAAATGTATAATATGTATATTTCCACTGTAAATGACGCCTTCGTGCTGGTCGCCAACTACGCGATCGTCATGACACTAGAAAGCACACCTCCCGCGGGCAAGAGCCACTGGTAGTACTCACTCACGAGGTCACCATTTGTGATTAACCGGTACATACATTTTCACATTACATATACCATGCCGACCTGTCGGCACCATGCAAGCCTCTACATACCTAAACGACGACGAGAAGCAGCATAATGCAATATCAGTCGGTCGGTCTATTCCTATGCTACTTCGAACCTGTACCCCGCTGGACCGGGTTGAGTGAGGCTCTTCCCCCTAAGTTACCTCCCCGGCTCTCTACCTCTGTATGTGGGATGAGGCAAGCGTACCGAAGTCACGCCATGCTATTCATTAACTCCCTGGCAGACTCGTTGTCCTGAAGTATTAGGTAGTCAAGAGGTAACCGATCGATTAGTCTTCGACCATTTTTCGACTTCGCTGTAGTTGAAGCCGTTGTGGAGAATCGGTGTGGAGGAGAAGGAGCGGTGCCTTGGTGTGTGATGCTGGGAATTCCTACTTTGTTGTATGCGAGTACTATGATTGACAGTGGCTGACATGGTCTTTGACTTACCAGAGGCTCGTCTTGGCTCTTGAGAGACGATGTGGTGGCTTTTGAGGGGGCATGTATTGATAAAAGATTTGACGAGTTTGGGTCGTCACTGTATACAAGTTATCCTTGATCGCAATTGGAGCCATCTTTAGCGTCGCTTTTCTTCGACTTGCCGTCACGGGCCACGTCTAGCGGTTGGAATCTGGCGTTTCCTACGTGTCTGGGGCTTATTAGCGTCAGGCGTTGCGAACTCCACGTTAGAAGAAAGGACGTAATCGAGTGAAGTATTTATCCATGAGATCTCCTGGTTTTACATGGGTGACGTCGAAGTCTGTCCGCGCAGGTTGGGGTTGTTACCAACCGAGTCCCGACTTCTTCCCACTGTGGCCTGAACCCTGGGTCGTTCGACAAGTAGACATCGCGCCTCGTTATCTGATGTTGAAAGACTATGACGAGGGCGTATTGAAACCTCGCTATGGTGGTCCGCGAGAGGAATGAATGGACTGCGAAAGACGGAAGGAGAGCAGAAACGAAGCTGGCAAGTAGCTTCTCACTGTGGGAGATGGAGGAGGGAGAAGGGAGGAGCATTCCTTCTTCACGTCCCCAGACAAGCTGCAGAGCGCAATGAAAAACAAAGTTGGTTTTAGAACAAGAGTTCGGATAATGTACCATATAGTACAGAAATGCCCGTCAGGCGCGGAGGGGGAGACTTCGGATGCCCGAGGGCGAGGGTTTGAGGAATGCCCGGAGGCGAACGATTGCGAGGGTGTAGAGAAAAGAGGAGGGAGGGAGAGGTGGGTGGAAGGATGGATTAGAGGACGGGATGGGTAAATGAATGGGACTTTGGGTTGGGGAGTAGACCAGTAAGAGAATAGGTAGGTGGAGAGTAGTTGAGAGAGAGCGTAGAAGGGCGGGATCAAGGGCTGCGAGAGTGAGAATGGCGTGGGATTGAAGATGGCGTGGGAGAAGAGGAAATAGAGAAGGAGGAAGTTGGTGAGCACCTCCGTTCAAACGTCTACCTGCTCAGGACGTGGTGCACTTTACCGTCATGCCCGGGAAAGCCTCATTCATCCCAAGGTTTAGACCCTGAGGGAAAAGGAAGGCGAGAGAAAGGGGGGTTAGTTGAGTGAGAGGAGATGAGCAAGAAGAAGGTAATACGGTAGTGGGGAAAGTTTTTCGAGAGGATTACATGAGCAGAGGGGCTGGGAGATAGCCTTGGTGGTCGGGGCAGGTTGCAATGTTTGAAGGAAATTGAAGTGGGTAAGGGCTGGGGAAACTGACGATGGCGACCGTAGAGGTGAGCTGGAGTATATGAGAAGAGATGATGATAGGGGAGGCGCCAGCAATGTGACGAGGGAGAAAAGATGATGATAATAGTTAGGAGATGGAGGATGGCGGAGAGAGAGGAGATAGCAGAGAGGGAGACGATAAAGTGATATATAGAGGAGAAGAAAGGAAGGAAGGAATCTAGAACGCGAGGACAAAAAAGCGTCTTAAATATGTGGGAGGAGAGCACCTCAATCAGCCGTGACTCACCTGCAGAATGAACATAAACTCGCTCGACAGAAAGTTAACAGAGTTCGAAAATCGAAAGCCAATTCCGAATACGGAACACCCGATAGGTCATGGTGCATTGATTTGCAGACGAGTGGCTCGAATGATCTAGTCTGGATGGTTGAGCTGTGTTGCAGAGTTTGGGGGACCCATAGGGATACGACATTGAGCATGTTTCTGACTCTTGAAGATCGACCTGGGTAAGTACCTACCTACTTAGGTAGTTGTCATGTCGGCCCTGAGCGTCGGGGTCTTGGTGACTGTACTGCTGCTTGATGTGACGGTCGAAGCACCCGAGAGAGCACGCCTCGATGACTTGAAGTCGAGTATCTTCACCGTTCACCCTTTAGCCACCTAGAGGGACGCTGTCAAACGGCGGCAACGGGATCAACCGTTCGTAGGGCTGAGATCGTACTTCCATCGCCTACGACCCACAACAGAAAGTGGGAAGACTCGGGTACATGTAGTCGGCGCGTGATAATGTACAGAAGGTGGTTACTACTAGGTAAGCGACAGCTGCCGTATCAAGGGCACTAACTCAAGGCAGGACACAAGCGCCGATGGGAAACATGAGCAGCGACCTTGTATACACTCTGACTGCCAGTTATCAGATAAACCGGCCATTGATGATCAAGGACGGACATAATGGACATGGCAGGTTGGTTCCAAATTGAATTTCTCATATGCAGCTATCGCTGCTTGTGCTACTTATACAGCTTGTAATCAGCGCGATGTAGTGCCTGTGGCGAGCAATCTCAACAAATCCATAGACACCGGACTACTAACACCCTACCACTGGAACGACTCCGAAGGAAACCTGACCGAAACGCCAACGACTTTTCCCGATTATCAGGGTACAACCGAACAGCTTCGAAGAGACTTCTCAAGTCATAGCTCGCACATGCGTTTCGAACACCTCGTTTTTCCATCCTCCAACTTCTCTCTCCTCGATGCGCAACTCAGCCCTGGCAGCCTCATCGTTCCAGACCTTGACGATGCTGCCCGGGGCGTAAACATTCTTGAACACACCCTCGCCAGGCTGCGTGAGACCGACTCTGGTATACAGGTCTGGATCCTCCTCCGGCACCAGCCGCGCTGCAACCGCCTTGAGGAATGTCCACAGATCATCGGGGTTGGCAATCCTCGTCGCACGCAGACGTTCTCTCGCATATAGCAACTCGCGGTTCGCCGCGTGAAGGAGGTCGCCGATGGCTGCAGCCATTTGTACTTCCATGGTCGCTTTGAGCATCGGGCGAAGGAGAGGCTTGATGAGCCAGCTTAGCCACGAAAACTTGCTCTTCCGAAGTGTGTAGTTGAGCTTGTGTACACGCACTCGCACAGCACGCAATGTCAAGATCTGCTCTAGGCGTTCACGACAGACCTCGACCTCCAAGTGTATGTCGATACCGCGCTCGTCAAGAGCCCAGCTCGCGATGCCCTCGTCTGCCAGTCGGAACAGACCGCTATGAGCACGAAGCCAGAAACCCATCTCGTCTGCACGCGCTGACAGTCCGTCGATCTTGATGAGCATAAGGTTCTTCATGCCAGTGCTTGTTCGGAATCGAGCCTTGCGGATTTCCACTTCGTTGTAGTTCTCAATCTTGAGTCGGTAGGGCAAGAACGATGTTTGGTTCACCGTCACGCCGGGTTCAATGATGAGGTTTTCCAGCAAAAGGTCGATGGCTGGTGTGCTGACCTCGAGACGTGGAATGGGCAGGTACTGAACGGCTGAGATGACGGCGGGAATGAAGACGTTGAGCGCGTCTTGAAGGAGATCAGTGTTGATGGTTGCATCCTGTGGACCTAGAACGCCAAAGAGGCGAGTAGTTGTTGTAATCAGGTTATGAATGTCCTCATCTCTGATAACACTCTGGAAGGTGACAGATAATTGTTGCAAGAGTTCGTCGACGTCTTGTCTGAGATTGCCTTCAGATCCGACTCGTTTGCCCTTCTCCCGCAACTCTTGGAGTTTCTGCTCGGCGTTGGTGAAGAAGTCGGGATCGGTCAGTAGCTTTTGTAGGCTGTTGCCAACCTCCCGCATAAGGTCCTCAAACTCGGGGTCGTTGTCCTTGTGGCTTACGACCTTCTTCATGAGTGCTTCGCATCGTTCCCATGCCTTCGTGTCGCCAAAGCTTTTAACGAACCCCCAGAGGTTTGTGATGGCACGATCCATCTCCTCATTCTCGTGAACATCACTTTGGGCAGTCTCTGCAACCTCCTCCGCAGCTCGTGAGTAGACCATAGCGTATCGCTTAATCAGCAGCGAGAGTGTGGACACAGAGTCCGAATAGTCCCTGCGTTTTCGAAGGTTGAGAACCGCTTGTTGGAGGCGCTTCAGAAGTGTCTGGCCTTCATCGCCGGAGAGTTTATCCTTGGCACTCTCGAAAGCGGTGCCGGCCACATCGGCACCACGCCCAGCTACCACCGTGGCGACATCCTGGAACTCATCCTCCAGGTTTTGTGCGGACGGCGGCTGGCCGTTGCTGGCCGCCTTTGGCTCGGCCACGCGCTGTTGCTCTTCTGGCGACGGCTCGATTTGCTTGCCAACCTGCTCCGCAGCCTCGCTCAAGGCAAAGGCCGAATCCTTGAAGACTTCCCGACCAACAACATTGAGATCGCCGAGGAATTTACGGAAGTCGGCATTGGTGAACAGTAAGGAGCCGACAGTTTGGAGGCTCTTGTATGCGGCGACGGTGTCCGCTTTGGCTTTGGTCTTCTTGGCTCGCGAACGGATATCGTCGACATCGACGGAGATTCTGCTCTTGGTCAAGAACCAGATGAGGTCCTGAAGCTGATCCTTGCCGTTCTTGTGCTTGAGCAGGATAATGAACTGCTCCAGCCACTGCTTGGTGAGGCGCACCAATCTCACACCGCTGTCCGACAGGTCTGGGTTGTCTGGGTTCAGGATGTCGCTGGCAAGAAGCGTGCGGAGGTTGACAATAGCCTGCTCGGTGGTGGGCATGTAGCCTCTGGTCAAGGCTCGCAGCATCTGGTAGCTGTGAAGCTTGCGGTACAGCTCCCGCTGCAGGTGGGTGTCCTGCTCATACTGGGGCAGCAGGGGCTCTCGCTCGGGGTCAGGATCACTCTTCCGTAGGCCAAAGCACGACGACAACATGTTGGCTATTGGGGATGCAGACCAGAGCCGTGGTGCATTGTTGATTCTTGCCTATCTTGCGGTTGTTGATGCAGCGTGGAAGTTTACCACCTCCAACTGGAATCCATGTTGCTCGAATGAGGTTGCCCGTCATGACGACGATGTACTACGGAGCTTGGGCCACCTCGCGCTCACAATGACGTCTGGACCCGGAGCTCCAGCTCCAGCTCCAGCTTCGTCCTCAGCAGATTTGCCGAAGTTCAGGCGGTTATTCTCTAAGGTACGTACCTAGGACTGCTTTCACCGATCACGTTGCCAAGCCAAGCCAATTGGCCCTTCAATTCCACGATTCATCCGTACCTTCCTTACCTGTAGGGTTGCTCTCGATTGCGCGGACAGTCACGAAGCCATGTCAGATCCTCGACTTATGTGTTGGCTGAGTCTGGCTGAATGAGAACAATGCCTAGGGTATCGATCTTTCGTCATCCGGCCGACAGGCCTGATGAGGCTGACACCTGTCAGTCAGCCAGTCTATCGCTTGTCACAGCGAACACCAACGACGACACGTGCCGGTGCAGTCCTGGCATTTATCAATTGTCTTCAATTCTTCCGGATCGCTCGTCCATACAGCAGTGACCACTTGGTGTTGCCTTGATCTCATCTACTGCACTGTCAGCAAGTGTCCTTTCCACTCTCAAGTAGGAGCCTGCGTTCTCCCTCAGAAGCTTGAGGTGCTGCTGTTTCGGTTGCATAATGAGTACCACGGGCGAGGCTCTATATTTATATGGCGTAGGTCGCCTAGGCGAAGCTGAACCCACGAGGCTGCAGGTGATCCTGCAGATGGTAGATCTCTGTCGTCACAGTTGAGTCTCCGCCGCATCAGCCAGTGTCAGCCAATCTCGTCCCTGGAATGACCGCCTGTGGGAAGGCACAGCAACGCCATGAATCCCAACGTCATGACAAACTTGCCCTCTGTCTCGGCTGACGATGAAAATACGGTAGGCTTATGGTCTTTTATGGTGGCCCGACCTAGCATGGCGTCACGACCTGGGGTTCGGTCCCCTATTCCTTCCCGGACGGACCCTGACTGCGGGCAAGCTCCACTGGGATGAGGCCGAGACCCAGCCAATGTCACCGTCAATCCCATGGGTAAAAGGTGATCTTCAAGATGGCTATGTGCGATGTAAGCGACTGCTTTGGGGGTCTGTTTTGGGGATCTGCTTGCTTCCGGTGTGCTTCCTGCATGCTTCCTCCGTGATGTCATGTTGTCTATCAAGTCTTATTATAACCACTTGGCTCCTACCGTGGTTACTAGTCTGTTCCTACCGCTCCTCAAACTTCATCTCCTCAACAACGTCCCAGATTGCTCGCGACTGTCGAAAAGAGGTATCTCACTGATTCTTCAACAACGTCTTATCGGGTCGCCTGAGGATCAACAACTTCACGAACTCCCAGATCCACCAAACTAGTCGAGCAGACGCTTGGTAGTAACAAGTCACCATCACAATGAGCTACGCCAATGGTACCTCGATACGCTTCAAGGACTGCACGCCAGAGATTTGTCCCTATGAGCATTCATACTACGACTACCGGATCTGGCTTGTTCCCAACGTCATCTTCGCGGCTATATTCGGGGTGTCGCTCGTTGCGTACATCAGCACCTACATTCGCACGCGTCGTAGCGGCGTCTTCACCATCGCCATAGTTCTGGGTCTTGTCGTAGAGATCGACGGCTACGTAGGCCGTATACTGAGCTGGAACAACCAATGGAGCAGCACGGCGTTTATCATGCAGGTCACGAGTCTGACCTTCGCGCCGGCGTTTTTGGCTGCTGGCATCTACGTCTGTCTCAGAAAGATCGTGAGCGCAGTAGGGCCCGAGAACTCTCGAATCCGTCCGGAACTATACACTCGTATTGTGAGTCAACGTCATCCACGACGTACCAATGTTGTGAACAAGGAAAAGCTAATCCAACTGCAGTTTATCCCGTGTGATATCATCTGTCTCTTTACTCAAAGCATAGGGGGCACATTCTCCGCCATTGCTGCCTCCAAGCACAAGGACACCAACGTGGCCGACAAGGTGATCATCGTGGGCCTGGCACTGCAAGTCGTGACGCTCTTCGCATTTATAGCGGTAGCAACGGACTTCGGAATCCGCACGATGCTGCGGCGCCAGCACCTCGGCTCCGCAGCGCTCGACCAGAACCCCGCCATGGTCGCCGTGCGCGGCTCGTGGCTCTTCAAAGGCTTCATTGCCGCTCTCACCGTCAGCACCATCGCCATCTTCATCCGTTGTGTTTTTCGCCTGGTCGAGCTTTCCGGTGGCTACCACGGACCGATCACGGCGCGCCAGGACCTGTTCGTCGCCTTCGAGGGCGTCATGCTCTCCGTCGCCGTCCTCGTCCTGAACGTCTTCCACCCCAGCCTGTGCTTCGGCCCGGCCCTGGACGCAGACCTCCACCTGGCCAGGAAGGCGTCCATCAACAGCGACAAGAACGTCCTCATGGGCACGAGTCTGGGTCCTGACTTTTACGATGCCCCTCCTAAGCTCAGCTCATCGACGAGCTTTGATGAGGGCACGCGGGTAGGCCAGAATCCGTATGCGCGATATGGGGGGTACCGCGGGGCCGACCGCATGGGACGTGCCGTGTAGACCGGCTCTGAAATGAAAAGGTAGAGAGAGGCTTCAGGGGAACCATGAATAAAGGGATCTAAGCGCCAAGGATTGTGGACTGGATGGAGGTGTACAAACACTGTAATAAAAAGCGACGATTTGCCCAGGTTTTTCCCGCCTGGAAGTACCGGGACGTGCCACGGATGGGAAACTCGGATTGGGAATATTGGTTGGGTTTGGGACATGACTGGATGGATGGCCCTAGTGTTAGCAGGCCGGATCCCGCTGTTGGAACCACCACAGCTGTGCTTTACGACACGACGAGACGGAAGTTCCTTGACGTCGGTAATATAGAACTTCGACTTTATCTACAGTTGCTCTTGCATGCTTTGGGGTGATAAAACAGTGGAAGCCACCCACCCTCTACTCGGGGCCTTTCCCACGCGATGCTTCTAAGCAGCACTGGACATACATCTCTAACCAACCTATTCCCAAGGTCAATCCAACCTTCGATGGATGTCCATAAAGTAGCTGAGGTATAAAGTTGATACAGCCATCTACTTGGAAGTAACCGCGGACCCACCCATCCCATTGTTCTCACCTACCTACTTACCTCCCTAGTGGACCCTGCTGCTTCGAAACCCGACTTACAAGCTCCTTTGCAACAGTCCCCTTCTCCCCTCCTCCCCATCATGCCCCACCTTCCTTCCCCCTTCCCAAGCAAGGCCTTTATCCGCTTCCATCGAGGGGCGGACGTTCAAATTTTCATACATGTGAATACTCATTGGGTACGTGGAATCCAGGTGAAAGTCTGGCTGACAGGTCCGGCCAGCGCTATCCTTTGAAGCCACTGGCTTGGTTTGGCTGACGGAAGGAAAGGAAGGGATGGGTGTTGCGGTGGATGACACGAGCGATGTGTTGGCTCAATGGATGTGCCGTGTCAGACACAATTCACGAAGTCAGCCAGGAAGACATGTTTCTCAGTTTGTAACCATGTCACAACCTCCCCTCATCGTCGTGGAGTCTCCCGCGCATTGATGTGAAAGCAGACTCAGGCAGTGTTGGGCAACAAAGAAGACAAATACACGACACAGATGATACAGAGCTTCGAGAGAAATGGATAATACTGTATGTATTGAATCAACCGACACACTAGTCAAGACCTGCAAGATCATCTCAGTACCTGGCGCGGACTGTGCCGCCGGCATTGCGAAGACTTGAGCCCTTTTGGCGGCAGTAGCATCGCCAGACTACCTAGCAAGATCTCACCCAGGGCAAGAGCCCATCGAAACCAGTGAATACGTCCATCAAGGGACCTCAGCTCTGTACTTCCTCTTTCTTTTCGCCGCGTACTTCATCTCTTTCTGGCTCTTTCTCCTTCCAGTGTAGCTCGTTGACGGCCTCTGGTACCTGCTATCATGGCTCTACCGATGTTGCCGTCCGAAGCCATATTGCAGGCTTCGCAGGCGGGGCAAGGCCCTTCAAGTAATAGTGACAATGGGTATCGTACAATCCAGTGAACACAGACGCCGGGTCCATCAGATCCTGCCGGACTCCTGTATTGACGTGCTGAAAGACGACGCAGGTGGTGGCACAAAAAGAAGGCAGTTTGGCGAGCAGGTCGCATCTATGCTGTGAATGCATTTTGCGTACGGCAGGTGCAGTGAAAACTGCCGCGCAGTCGCTTGCGGGGAAAGGGGTATACTACTACAAGGGCTGATTCCGGTTGCGTGACCACCGGTTGTTGCGTGCGAAGATACTACGAGGCCGCCTAGCTAGCGCCAGCATCCAAGTGCAACAGCTTGGTCTTGTCATCGAGGAAACCCTGTCGGTGCTTGACAATGGCCTTCGTAATGCGATCGAAGTCTTTGACCTTGTTGCGTTTCAGCTCGTTCAGCACTTGTTTTAGACCCTCGATGAATCTGGTTCTCGTATCTCCGGTGAACATGTCGGCGGACCCGAGCTGGGTAATGATTTCGGCGTCTATAACCAAACACGTAGCAAGTCAGCTATCCAAATGGGGGGTGATCTTCAAGCAACGGCGAGACTTGTGACTGAACGCGTCAGGGACTCACCCGGCAGAACCATATTTTCGAAGTGCTGGTATTGGCATTGATGGCCCCTGGGACACTGGTCTCCGGCTAGTATATCCGGGCACACTGGCCGCATCGGATCAATCCTGGAGCTATAAGTCATAGACTTGAGACCCCCCGGCACCTCCTCAAAGAATTGAGGGTGGAACCTGTAAGCCCGAAAATACCCAAGAGGGCTCTGATAGTTCATTAGATCCCCTGATGACAAAACAGAGTGTTGTTCATCCTGCGATGTAGTTAGTAAGAGGTGCTCCCGAGACGAGCAGCCTTGTACTTCTCCGCTCGCTTTCTCCGGTTCGGGTTGAACAGGTTCTTCGGGTAAGGATGTCGGGTTGGGCTCATCGGGAATTTGATCAACGACCTGGCTGCTGGTAAGTGGACTGCACCCGTGCTGGGGCAGGACATGTTTTACTTCTGTATTCTCGATATCAGTCACTTGAGCGTCGTGGACGTTGGAAATCTGCGCCGGGAGCGGCTCATAAGAATCCTCATCGCTTTGGGACAGCTCTGCTGCAGATGTCTGCATCGGGATGTCGGCCTCGTCCGAGTCTACGTCTGGCCTCTGAGGTTGTGGTTCCGAGGGTTCCGCTGCTGCATCTGGCATAGATCCACCATGCTCAGGCTGTGGTTCCAACGCTTCCGCTGCTGCGTCTGGCATAGATTCATCATGCTCAGGCTGTTGTTCGGAGGCTTCCGCTGGCGCGTTTCGCAAAGATCCATCTTTCTCGGCAGGCGGGTGTGTCAGATCACCTTGCGCAAAGTCGTTCACCTCATTAGACAGTCGCAGCGGCTCATCTGTCTGGGGCGAACTTGGCGATGGAGGATGAAAATCAGCATCATTGGTCTTCGCTGGGGCCGTTGGAGGGTTTTGAAGGCCCGAGATTGGCTCCTTGTCGGCCGATGCTTGTCTCGAGACAGTCGTGCCGTCGACGGGGGGTTGAGAATTGATGAGAGAAGCGCGCCAAGCCTGACTTGAGACTATTTCTTGTTCGTCCAGAAGCTGGCGTTGAATAGGCTCCAACGACTGGGCTGCACCGTTCGTAACTTTAATATCATCAGTAAATAGAAAGGGTACACCTTGACTGCGCAGACAAAGAACTCACTAGTAGTGATAGGCGGCGATTGACTATCTGAGTCGGGCACTTCGCCGAGCGGGGTCAACACGAAATCTTCCATCTCGGCGGCGAGCTTTTGTCGTTTGTTGAAGCCAGCTTGGAGCTCCAATTCGAGTTGAGCTGCTTCAGCAACGATTTGCTTCAGCTTCACCTGCTTCTCTTGAAGAGTGGCATCGACAAGGCGGAGTTCGTAGCTCGCGATCCTATCGCGTCTCTCGGCTGTCATTGTCAACGTTTGTGCCTTGACCTCAGCGACCTTGGGCAACCTCATCACTTGCAGTGCCTCTGTATCTGCCTCTGCCGCTACCACCCTTGGGCTCTGAGCTTGAGATGGAGGCAGGGTGCTCGATCTCCGAGCATTGCCTTGAACAGCTCTCTGGGCAGCTTTCTTTGCCTCGGCTTTGGCAATCATGAGCTTCGCTTCTTCGATGCGTTTATGCAACATGCCGAGCTTGCTTCCACCTTGTGGCGGTGTAGGTGCCGCACTCAACGCGGGGCTCGAGCGCTGTGGTCGAGAGGTAGGATCAGACAGTGGTGGATATGCGCCCAGTGAAGTCTTCCGGTTGGATGAGTCGTCCACTTCCGTCGGCGTGGCAGGCTCATCTGCTGGGGAACCAATCTCCATCTCGACGTCTTCATCGTCACTAACGTCAATGATCAAAGTCTCTTGGGTGCGAGTTCGTTTGGGTTCGCCCCGGGTCGAATAATTGTCGAAATCCGACGCAACTGGACGCTTCAAGTTGCGATTCGGGGTTTGCAGTGGTTGAGGAGTTGGCAATGAAGATAAAAACAGGCCGGGGATGTTGCCGTCTTTTGACGGGCCACGTAACTCTGTAGATGCCGAGCGACGATTGATAGCCTGCGGGGCCAATGGGGTAGGAGTTGGTTTAGCAGGCGAACCTATACCGCGCTCGTTTCCAGACGTGTTAGGTGCAGTGATAGCGGAAGAGATATCATCAGTGACTTCATTCAGACTCGCCAGCACTTTGTCAGCTGCTGCTTGAGCTTGAGCTTTCTTGATCCTTGCGAGCTTCTGCTGTAGAAGAGCATTTGTTTCAGCCCTGGTCTTGGGCTTTGCAGATGATCCATTGACTGGCGGAGATGCAGCCACTGCAGCGACAACGGGCGGCGTGGGTGCAACAGGCGTAGTAGGGGCGGCAGGTACGGCAGGAACCGCAGTGACCGCAGGGGCAGCAGTAGCGGGAACCGCATTGATTGCAGGGGCAGCAGGAGCAGGAGGTGGCACGGTGGACGTGGGTTTCTGAGCTTTTGCCGCAAGTTTTCGAGCTATTTTGTCCTTGCGTTCTTCAGCAGCGGTCTTGGCTGCCGTCTTGACTTCGATGGCCTTGCTAGCAGTGGGCGATCCATTCGTCCCGTCGACGGGTGGTTGTATTGCGTTAGTGGGTGGTAACCTTTCAGCCGTTTGGTCCCGAGGTGAATCCTTGAGGGCACTCTCCGCGGCACCAGGCACAACTTGTGAATCCCTGACAGTTTTCGAGATTGAAGCCGATGTAGGTTTAGGTACTGACGTATCCAAGCCTAGATCTGTGAATAGACTCTTGACCGTGCTCTCATCAATTCCTTCCTCGATATAATCTTGGTATCGAACCTTCAGGGGCCACAAGCCGAGGATTGCTTCTTGGGCTTTCTTCTTTGCTTCGGAGGGGGATTGGAAAGACAATGGGGCAGCAATAGCTGACCCATTGGCTGTATCAGAAGGTGTGTTCATATTGTTATTGATGACCGGGCCAGTGCGTGAGAGACCATTTGAGAAGGAGGCTATGCTGGTTTGTTGCGTTGATGAAGAGTTGGTCTCGAAAGATGTCGGAAGAGGATGTTGGGAAGATGCAACTGAAGATGGTTAGACGGTATCCAATCAGGCAGATTCTGCCTTCACTTACTTCTGGCGTCACGGGGAGCGCCCTTTGCGACGGGCAACTTCCGTTGAATTTCCCTGGGCGACAGGTAGGGAGAGTACGAGCCAGACCGGTCACGTTCTCGGTTGGCCGGTGCCCACTGCTCAATTGGCGTAACATCCCGCTCGGCTTCTGGAATTGACGTTGACGTGCTGTTGATAGCTGGTTTCGCGCGGGGTGACTCGGCGTTGTATATAGACGAGCCATCAGTACCACCTGCACGACCAGAATGATTTTCAAGAATACGCGGCGGTATGATCTGTTTTGCGGCCGGCACGGACACATTTGCCGGGGCTTGAGGTTCGTACAAATCCTCGAACTCGCCCTCGCTCAATTCACCCTCCTCGAGAGCGCTGGAAATCGGTTGTCGAATAGGCTGGGAAGCCACCTGGTTTCTCCCTAATGTGTGGTCTTGTTGCGTAGGTTGCTTGGGATCAACTCCCAGAGTTCGTTCCTGACTCGGGGGAGGAAATGTATTTGGATCAGGAACTTGCGCTAGTGCGTGCCACGATATGTTTTCGAATCGATTGGGGGTAGAAGATACCGATGGGCCACCGAGCCCCAAGCCAGGAATTCGGTTGGCGTTGTACTGGAACGAGCTATTGATAGCCGCATAGTTGTTGGGTGCAACGCCACCTGTGTTGGGGTTTCCGAGGTAGGGTATCGGGGCATTCGGCAAGACGGGTTGATGTGTAGAGGACGGCGGAGGCTGTTGACTCGGGGCGAACTGGCCCCGCGGATATGGATGGTCGGACATTTTGAGAGATGTCGGTGATGCGCACGAGGCAGTGGTGTGATTAGTTTGGTGCGAGGGTGAGGCTTAGATCCGCGGTCGAAACAAAGTACGTCGCCAACGCTACCCACATGACGGAGAGTCAAGGTCTGCTCAGGAGATAGCCTTTCAAATGCTGGCCAGCGGACTGGAGGCGAGCAAAAAAAGTGCGCTTCTCTCTTGTCGGTAGATTTGCGAGAATGGCCTGTGGCAAGGGGCAGCGTCAAGCGCACGGTGCAATCCTTGGTCTGTCTATGGTAGGCGAAGGGGAGAAGGACTATCGCGTGTCCAATGATAGGTGCATAGGATCCAGATCGAAGTGACGGTAAATTGAGAGAGCGAGCGAGCGAGCGATCAAAACACCCGCGATGCGTAGATACCTAGGTTAGATGACGAAGTGTAGAATCACGGCGCGTTTGTTGGGTATCGTGGTTGTGCGAATGTCTGAACTCGTAGAATTTCCAGAGCTCGAAGATGGAACTTTGTGTCGATCAATCATAAAAGTGGTGGATCAAGGATGTGGCACCCGACTGGTTGAGGTAGCCTGGGCCCTGGGGTCGGGTGGCCGGGGTGGAATGCTCGCCGTTTCTTTACTCCGTCCATCAGCTGGCATGATCACTGATCAGACAGACATCTGAGGGCTGTGTCAGCTGGCAGCAGCAATGCTAACCCACCTAAGCATATGCTTAAAGGCGCCTAGTGCTGGGTCCTGGTAGGTAGCGTGGCAATGAGGTCTGCCAAGCCGGGCAGGCTGGCAGGGCAGGTCTGAACTGTTGTTTACATGCACATGCCCCGTTGCCATGGATTGGCGCCCCCTGCTGTCAACATTAGTTGCGTGAGAGCCTCTCTTTGCTACTACCTATCGTCACCACCACTCGCATTGCTCAACAACCACGAACCAGACACTTCGAGGACGCGCATGAGTTCCAGCTAGTGGATGTGTCCTCCTTCCGTCCAAGAACAATACGACCCGATATCTATGATTTGATCCCGCTGCTCGTTTCCTGTATTTGTCCAGTCGGCAGGGCACGCATGTTTATTTTCCATGGCATTGCCCGCGTCCCACGATACCGACTCCCACCGCCAAATTACCACCCTCCACGGCCTGGTCGCTGTCCTAGAACTACATCATTCGAAGTCAATGAATTCCACGCACGGTCATTGAGATTGCCCACAACGAGATTCCTCGAGTGCGCCCAGCATGTCGCAGCGGCGCAACAATCCCTTCTCGCGAATGGGCTCGCAGTCACCCTCGCCGGCCCCAAGTGGCTCTGGCAGTAGTGGCGGGCGGCCCAAGTCCGCCATGTTCTCGTCCCAGTCATCCTTATCGAACATCACGACAGCGCCCCCGACGCACACTCGCACACAGTCCCACACATCGATAGCGGCGAACCTAGCATCCGTCACCGGCGATGGCCCTCGACATCAACGAGCCAGAAGCAACACGCCAAATTCTTCCACGTTTGCCCCCTCGTTCATCAAGACAGAAGATATGAGAAGGAGTATAGATGTTGTCAGGGGAATAGAAGGCGAGAATGACTTCTCCGGGAAGAGGTATGTGTGGCTTAAGGATCCACAGGCCGCCTTCGTGAAAGGCTGGGTGGTCGAGGAGCTCGAGGGAAGCAGGCTATTGGTGCAGTGTGACGATGGCAGCGTAGGTACTATTGCGTCCGCAGGCTGCAAAGTGTGCTAATCTTGACGTATAGCAACGGGAAGTCGATAGCGAAAGCGTGGATAAAGTCAACCCTGCCAAGTTCGACAAGGCAAACGACATGGCTGAGCTGACGCATCTCAACGAAGCGTCCGTTGTTCACAACCTCCATATGCGATACCAAGCCGACTTAATCTACACCTACTCGGGGCTGTTCTTGGTTACTGTGAATCCTTACTGCCCTCTGCCGATATACACCAATGAGTACGTCAACATGTACAAGGGTCGAAACCGAGAAGACACGAAGCCACACATATTTGCCGTGGCCGATGAAGCATTCAGAAACCTCGTCGACGAAGGGGAGAACCAGAGCATCTTGGTTACTGGTGAATCGGGTGCCGGCAAAACCGAGAACACGAAAAAGGTCATACAGTACCTCGCTGCGGTCGCCTACTCCGAGTCCCCAGTGAAGAACAGAGGGCAGCATTCGAATCTCTCAGCGCAGATACTGCGAGCGAATCCCATTCTGGAAGCGTTTGGTAACGCGCAGACTCTGCGAAACAACAACTCCTCTCGTTTTGGAAAATTCATCCGTATCGAGTTCTCTCGGACAGGGTCAATAGCAGGCGCTTTCATCGATTGGTACCTGTTGGAGAAGTCTAGAGTCGTGCGCATCAACTCACAGGAGCGCAACTACCACATTTTCTATCAACTCTTGGCCGGCGCTGATCGTCGTATGCGACAAGAATTTCTGCTCGAGGGACTCGCGGTTGACGACTTTGCTTATACGCGCGACGGTCATAATACTATTGCTGGCGTCTCCGATCAGGATGAGTGGAACTTGTTATTGGAGGCATTCAACGTCATGGGGTTTTCCGACAACGAGCAGACCGCCATTCTGCGCACCGTTGCTGCAGTCCTTCATCTAGGTAATCTGAACGTCGTCAAAGAGAGCCGGATGGCCGACCAGGCGCGTCTAAGCCCCGATGCGAAAGAGGTAGCTGCTCGAGTCTGCAAGCTCATGGGCATCCCCTTGGAGCCTTTTCTGCAAGGCTTGCTACATCCCAAAGTCAAAGCCGGCCGCGAGTGGGTGGAGAAGGTCCAAACTCCAGAACAGGTGCGCCTGGGCATGGACGCCCTTGCGAAGGGTATCTACGAACGCGGCTTTGGAGACCTCGTGACCAGGATCAATCGCCAGCTCGATCGGACCGGGATGGGCATGGATGACTCGCACTTCATCGGAGTGCTCGATATCGCTGGTTTCGAGATCTTTGAGGAGAATAGCTTCGAACAGCTCTGCATCAACTATACAAATGAGAAGCTCCAGCAATTCTTCAACCATCACATGTTCGTCTTGGAGCAGGAAGAATACGCCAGAGAGCAGATTGAGTGGCAATTCATCGACTTCGGCCGGGATCTCCAACCCACGATTGATCTGATTGAGTTGCCGAATCCCATCGGAATTTTCTCTTGCTTGGATGAGGACAGTGTCATGCCGAAGGCGACGGACAAGTCTTTCACCGAGAAGCTCAACTCGCTTTGGGACAAGAAGTCGACCAAGTACCGGCGGTCACGCCCGGGCCCGCGTCATGGCTTCATCCTTACCCACTATGCAGCTGAAGTGGAATATGCGACTGAAGGCTGGTTAGAGAAGAACAAAGATCCTCTGAATGACAACATCACCCGACTGTTGGCCGCCTCCACCGATAAACACATAGCGAACTTGTTCGCCGATTGTGCTGATAACGACGACAGTAGTGGAGGTTCCAGAAGTCGAGTGAAGAAGGGACTCTTCCGCACGGTTGCGCAAAGGCACAAGGAACAGCTCTCCAGCCTCATGTCTCAGCTTCACTCAACCCATCCACATTTCGTCCGCTGCATTCTTCCGAACCACAAGAAGCGACCGAAACAGTTCAACGCGCTGCTGGTTCTTGATCAGTTGAGGTGCAACGGTGTCCTCGAGGGTATAAGAATCGCTCGGACCGGTTTCCCCAATCGACTTCCATTCGCTGAGTTTCGTCAGAGATATGAGGTTCTCTGTCGGGACATGCCGAAAGGCTACCTTGAAGGACAAGCAGCTGCGGCCTACATGCTTGACAGACTTCATATCGACAAGGCCCTATTCCGAGTCGGACTCACCAAGGTCTTCTTCCGAGCTGGTGTTCTGGCTGAGTTAGAAGAGCAACGAGATGCCTTGATTACCGAGATAATGTCTCGATTTCAGTCCGTCGCCCGCGGCTACGTCCAACGACGCATTGCCTTCAAGAGGCTTTATCGAACTGAAGCCACACGAGTCGTTCAACGGAACTTCAATGTCTACCTCGACCTCTGCGAGAACCCTTGGTGGCAGCTTCTTATTAAGATGAAGCCACTGCTGGGCTCTACCCGCACAGCTATTGAGGTGAAGAGGCGCGACGAAAGGATACGTGAACTAAGTGAAAAGATGCGGCTGGAATCGGAGAATCGTGATCGGCTAGAGGAAGAGCGGCGCAATTGCCACACGGAGCTCATGCGCACACAACAAATCCTTGAAAGCGAGCGAGCATTGGCGTTGGACAAGGAGGAGATTTTCAAGCGGCTGCAATCCCGAGAAGCTGAACTCGAGGATGAACTCAAAGGCGCGATGGAAGATCAAGAGAAACTCGAAGACCAACTCGATGACCTTCTTGACGCGAAGAAGAGAGCCGAGCAGGAAGTCGACAAGTATCGATCACAGCTGGAACAAGCTGCTGCACTCATCGCTCGGCTTGAGGAGGAGAAATCGGCACTTGGCGCTCGAACATCCGATCTTGAGGCAGAGCTTCAGCAGATCGCACAGAAGCAGGCTGACCGGAGTGCCCAGGAAGCTGTCCTGGAAGATGAGGTCAAGATGCTACAAAGCCAGCTTTCTTTGAAGGATCGCAAAGTACGAGACCTTGAAGGAAGGCTGGTTAAGATTGACCAAGACGCCGATGTCAAGCTTGCTACTGCCCACAGAGAGCTACAGTCGCTCAGGTCTCGAGAACAGCAACTTTCCCGCGAGAACCGCGAGGTTCAACAACACTTATCACAGTTGTCGAAGACTTCTACAGACTATGAGGATCTCGTGAGGAAGAAGGAGAGCGAGCTCGTCATCCTCCGTGGAGACAATAAGAACTTCGAGATAGAGCAGCGACAATTCGAGGATCAGAGGAAGCTATTAACGTCTGAGAAGGAGAAGACAGCCGCCCGGTTGCGAGAGGTTCAAGCGGAGATGGTTGCTATGAAATCCCAGGAATCGCAGCTTCAGCGAGAGGCCGAGGACGCCAAACAACTGCTCCTGGCTCGTCTTTCGGAAGATGCTCAAGCAAATCAAAATCGCGAGGTACTAGACTCGCAAATCAAGGATCTGAAAGATCAGCTCTACAAGATTCAGATGGATCTGAGTCGCGAACGTCAATCGCGAGATGATGTTGCCCTGCTGGCAGAACACCAATATCAAGAACTGCAGCAGGAACACGAGAAACTGAAGGAGTCGAAGATCACGATCGAGAAAGAGCTCTACCTGCAACAGGACACTCTGAGGCGCACCATGGAAGCACGAGCAACTGCAGAAAAGGAACGAGACGAGGCACGCGACGAGATCCGACGACTGCGAATCGCCAAGAGTCAAGCTGAAGAAGCCAGGATCAATGCCGAGGAAGCCGCCGACCGCAAGGCTACGCGTGCAGCTCGTGAGCGGGAAGACAGCCTGCAGAACGACCTCGATGCCACTCAAGAGCGGCTGAGGTGGTTTGAGGCAGAATGCGCCAAGCTGAACCACCAAGTTGAAGATCTCAATAAGTTCATGATCGAGTCCGGCGACTTTGGCCTGAAGAACGACCAGGCCAAAGAGCGGCTCGAGCGAGAGTTGGTGACTGTCAAGGGCCGCCTGACTGCTTCTGAAAACGACAACCGTGCTCTTCTCAACAAGATACAGCAAAAGGGGCTGGAGATAGCCCGATCAAGCTCGAGGGCCAGTGAAGCTTCGAGGGGACAAGTCATCAGTCTGCAACGCGAGAAAGCGAGAATCGAGGAGCAAAATACGAAGCTCAACAAGCAGCTTGGGGACGCCTCGTTGACTATCGCGGGCTTGGAGAAGAAGGTTGAAAAACTGCAACTCAACGTTGAAGACCTGAATCATGAGGTCGCACGGGAGGTCCAGTCCAGCCGAACAGCCGAGAAGAGTTCCTCCAACTTCACTGTTCAGCTGGCAGAGGCGAACCGCACCATCGAGTCCGAACGTCAGCTACGGACGCAGGCTCAAACTACAGTACGCACCATGCAGTCAACGCTCGACTCACGCACCAAGGAGACTGAGGAGCTGCGGGCCCAATTGCTGCGAGTTCTCAAGGCTGTAGATCCGGAAGTGTCTATCCCGGCCCAGGCTGATGGGACTCATGATAAGATCATGAGCAAGAACTTCGATATGATTAGAAAGATCGAAGAGCTCCAGCAGGACCTCCGGGTCCAGACAGCTGGACGGACCAACGCGGAAGCACAGTTGGCGGAAGTACGTGGGAATCGTGGCGACTCCCCGGTCAGAGCCAGGCTGGAGGAGATGCACCCTAACGAGGCTCCCTTCAACGGCTCCCCAACACGGCGGGGGAAGCTTAATGGGCGACACTACTCGAATACATCTACCCCGACTCGGCGGTTTGGCAACGAGAACGATGTAGTTCAGGACTCTGCTAGATCCGACCGAACCGCCGACCTCCTCAGCTTCAACAACCGCCAGGACCTGAAGACGGAGGTCGAAGAGCTACAGAACCAGCTTCAACTAGCCGAGATGCAGAACCGTCATCTACAGAGCCAGATTGAACGTTCGACTCCGACACGAGACTCCGCTTTTGAAGATGGCAGCCCATCGGTCCGACGAATGCAAAAACTAGAGAAGGCCAACAACCGCTTGCACGATATGCTGGATGATTCTGCAAAGAAAGTATCCTATCTGGAGAAGTCAATGCGAACGGGCGAGCTGTCATTACGGGACATCCAAACGAAGTCCCACGAAGAAATCCTGGATCTGCTTAACAGCCAAGAGGACTCTCGTCGCGCACTTCTCCACAGCCATAACGATGCTATTGCCGAGCTTACCGACGTCAAACAAAACTTCGAGAAGACCCGCCACGATCGCGCGAACCTTGAGGTTGAGCTTCGAGATGCAAGATCGGATCTTCAGGAGATGGATCTGGCCAGAGAGCAGGAAGCCTCGAGTCGTAGCCAACTGCTGCAGGAATTTGCCGATTTGCAGATACGCCTTGATGCCGAGACCTCTAACCTGGCGGATGTTACTGCAAGCCTCGAAATGTACAAGGCTCGCGCAGATGAATACTTCGGCAAGCTTGAACAAGCCGAGATTGCTGTTCTGAAAGCTACGCGCGCTGAGCAATTCGCCAAAGCCCAGGCGAAAGAGGCTGAGGAGACGTGTGCAGAAATAATGTCTCAGCGGAACAGATCAGACGGCAGCATGGAGGATGTTCAACGCCAGAACCAACGGCTCGAAGAGAAACTCGAGGATGTTTCCACCGACCTTGAAGCTGCACTGCAAGCGAAGAAGCGTCTGCAGCACGAACTCGAAGACTATAGAAACCAGCGAGCTATTGATCTCGAAGACAAGGAGTCCAGCATGGAGCAGACACGCAAGAAGTATCAGGCCGAATTCGCCACGCTCTCTAATGAGCTCGACCTGGCACGAGAAGAGAAGCTGTACAAGCAGTCCGAGATCAATCGCCTACGGGAAGAGCTTGATGAACTCCGCTCCAAGTGGGACGATGAGGTGCTCAACAGCTCGACGTGGTCGAAGGAGAAGTCACGCCTCGAGGCAACTCTTTCCGATGTCGTCGCGTCTCGTGACGAGGCGGTCGGCGCCCACAACGAAGCTCAGGGCAAGGTGGTCTCACTTCTTTCGCAAGTCCGGACACTACGAACGTCTGTCGACGACATCACTGCTGAGCGTGATGCCCTTGTCAGGGAAAAGCGTGGTGTTGAGGCAAGGCTAGAAGAAGCCAAAGCTGGTCTGGAGGATCTGGCGAACAGCGACAGCCCTGCTCTGCGAAATGCCGCCAACACCGACAGACAGATACTAGAGCTGAAGTCTGGCCTCGCCCAACAGGAGGACCTTGCTGCAGCTGCGGTAGAAAAGATGCGGCGAGCCGAGTCGCTCTCCACTGAAGTGCAGAAGGAGATCGCAGCCGAGCGTGAGATCAACGCCGGATTATCCAAGCAGAAGGCAGCGCTGGAGAAGAGCCTTAGTGAAGTGCAAGTTCGACTCGTGGACCTGGAGACCAAGGGATACTCGAGCGGCAGTCAAGACATCAAATTCCTACACAAGCGCATCCAGGAGGTTAGTACACCACGACACGTTGATCCACCACCTCAGACGGGCCTTCCAGCGGCGCAACCCCCTCCAACCAGACCTATTTCCTCTCTCTTCCGCAAGCTCACCAGACGTGGCACTAATTTTTCGCAACGATAGCTGGAGACCGAACTCGAAGCCCAAGAGAATGAGCGATCCAAATCACAAAGGTCGGTGCGCAACGTGGACCGGACGGTGAAAGACTTGCAATCCCAAATCGAGCGCAAAGACAAACAGACAGTTCAGCTGAACGATGACGTTTCACGACTGCGCGACAAGGTCGACAAACTACTTGCAGCGATCGACGAGCTCCAGGCCAGCGAGAGCTCGAACCAGCTCACTGCGCGTCGGGCCGAACGGGAACTCAAGGGGGAAAGAGAGAAGACGCTTCGGCTGGAGCGCGAGCTAGACGGCTGGAAACATCTCAGGATGGAAAAGGGGAGCGTGAACGGCGGCAGCGTGCGCTTTGGCACGCCCGGCCTGGAGGGCGCGAGGCGGCTGAGCTCGTGGAGGACCGGCCCCGGCACCAGCGACGGGGACGACGCAAGCATCCTCAGCGGGACGGGCATCGAGGTGCCCAAGCGGAAAAGCAGTATTAACCGGGTGCCGAGCCTAACCAAGGGATTTTTGTGAGGCGCGCGCGCGGCTATCGACTGGGAGCACTGGGAGCAAGCATCATATCCATTCGCCAAGCATCGCATCGCATCGCCGGCCGGACTGGGGCGTGGGCGTTTGTATTCATTTTTCTGGGCTACGTGTAACAAAACATGATAATGGGATCGAAACGCTACGAGACTCGGACGGAGTTTTGTTAATAGTAAGAAGACTCGGGGGGGTTACTTACGGGACCTCGGGATTTTGTTCTGATTGCAAGGCAAGCCTTTTTCTCGTCCTTGCCTGCCCTCTGTGTGCCGAAGGCTTGACTGTTGTCGCTATTCGTCTTTTGCCTCGTGGGCTGGGTACGTACCTTGTGTCTATCATCTCTCTGTCGTACCGGATGCTCGCATTCTATCGGTGATGTCTCGCTTGACCCGCACCTAGGAACACCCACTTCATCCAATAGTATAGTATTTTGGACGGACATAATTCACTCACTCGCATCCTGGACGTTAGACTACCCTAGGTACCTGCCTCTACCACCACCCCCCAACGACACGTCAAACCCGATCTCAAATCATGTACTGTTGAATGGCGCACAAGCCACCGTGGCGTTCAGGGAGGTGGCAGTGCACCAACAAGGCCAATAGGGCATTTTTTAGGCCACCTAGCCCACAGAAGGTTCTTCACAAAAAACAACACGAAAATCAGAATCACCAGATTACACGTTATTTACCAGATCAACCATAATACACGCTGTTTGACATGTACCCCCACTTTGCGAGGCAGATAAATAGGGTTCAGCCATGAGCCTTCAAAGAAAGAAAGAAACATCTTCAATTTACTCAAGGTTGCGGCAGAGCCTGACTAGTTTCAAGATTGATACCAATCTCTCAATCTGCTGGGTTGGGAACATAACACATGAAGTCTAGAGCCCCAGTCTACGCACTCTGTGCCCCTTTCGCCCGGTTATGTCGCCTCGGTTGGGTGACTGGACGGACGGTGACACGACACGACAGCCCCAAAGCGGTGCCTGCCGGAGGATCGCGGGCGTCGACGTCTGACGTTTGACGTCTAAAGAGGGTTTGTTTGCGTTGCACGAGGGCTGACGGGACTCTGTCCTGTACATTTATGTGGATGGGGTATGGCTAAGTTAAAGTACGAGGAGGTGAATTTAAGGCTGTGTTTGAGGGCACGTTTGTTACATAGGTGTTGTGACTCTTGTGGTTACTGTTGTGTGATGGGGCGCGGCGATAGATATATCGGCCTTGGGCTTTTGCTGATGGCTCTCTGCGTTGTTAGTCAACGCCAGCTGAATGAAGTGGGTGGGTATAAGGAGATCGTCCATTGGAATGAATGGTGGCTCGATATAATGTTCTGGCTGGTTCAGCCCAGGTAGGAAGGAGTTCGTCGGTTCTAGATTGTGGCCGTGAATTGCATAGCCATGGAGATAGATACAGGTCCCGGCATGTTGGAACAGGTGGGTACTACCTTAACTTGTTGGTGTTCACCAGGAAAACATGAAGACGATACTACTGGCTGACACCATCATTGCACAAGCAGATGGGTTGATCGGACACGAGTCACCTGGTACCATGGCTCGCTCGCCTGTCCAGCCTACCACTTCAACCGTCATCTTGTGCTGCGAAGTCTTGCCTCAAACCCGACGCCGCGCACTCGGCACTACAAACAAGGTCTTGCGGGAAGTCAGGTGTGTACCAAATATTGCCTGTCTGTCCTCTCGTCGTACTCGCGGCCGAAGGCGTGTGCGAGTAGCCAGCATCAAGGTAGGTAGGTGAGCAATGGGCAGGCAGCAAACAAAGAAACCAGCCAGCTAGCTGGCTGTGAGTACTCGTTGATTGACGTCCACACAACCAGGCAGGCAAAGCAAGCCGGCCTCACTTGGCTCGATTCCACTCGAGTGCTGATTGATGGGAGGAGCAACCTGTCCTCGGTGGACTGGTACCGAGGCGTGCGTGGTCTGACAAGGCAACCAAGATTGTTTGCATCGCCTAAGCCTGGTGTGGACAGGAGTCCTCGGGTGGCTTTTAAGAGCACCATCTCCTCCCTCGGTGGTTCGATCTTGTTCACTCATGCTTACCGCCTCTGTCTGCCTTCATTACTTGCCAACATCAGGGTACCCCGACACCAAATCTACCCTATGTTTCCAGAGAACGATAATACATTATCGAGTCTTCGTCCAACCAACCAACCAACCTTTTTTCAATATTATCTATTTGACGCCGTGGCAAAATGCCTTACAGAATCCACACCGACCCATACCGATCCGGCAGCATGAGACCTGTTGTCGGCAGCACGGGGCACCTGACGACGGATTCGTACCGATCCAGCAGCATAAGAACCGTCGACGGCACGGGCACAGGGGGCCTGACGTACGACTACGATACTGCCTGCGGTGCGTGCCACAAGCCGAGCGGTCTACGCTGTTTCCTACAGGATGTGCTCGGTGGGCCGGCGACGCGATGCCACCACCATGGTTGTGGTTGTAGTCGTGGTCACGGTAACAGGCACTGCTATGTGAGCTCCAGCTCGAGTAGCTGGGATGGGGCGGTCAGGGGGTGGATGCGGCGACGGGGTGGCGTACGTTCTCTCTTCTTCCTACCTGAGATCCTGATAGCGAGAAGATGAAAAACTGACGCTAAATGCATATTGGTGGAGGTACAGAAGAGCCCAGAGCACTACGACCTCGGCTTCCGGCCGTCGGTCGACGTGGAGGCGCTTCCCGAGCGGCTGGACGGGCGACTGACACGGCTGCCGGAGAACCATGCAAGAGGACGCAGTCGCGACCAAACCCACGTCCTGGACTTAGACCAGGGGTATGGTCATTGGTACGAGTATGGTTCTGGCAATGTTTATAGTAGCGGTGACAGTCGCGGTAACGGCCACAGAGCCAGAGATTATAATCATGGAGATTCCTGGCAGCAGAAAGGGGGCGGAGATCCGTGGAGTAGGGGAGGAAGCACTGGGTATTGAGTTTGTCAAAGCGGTAGGCGCTATACCTCAGCTGCACTGATGCTTAAGACCGTTAACTTGGGCAGACAGCAGGAAAGCTACCTTAGTCTTGGAATAACAGGTGTACAAGAGGGAGGGGTGGTGACCAGCGAGGCTACCTTGGTATGCTGATGTTTCGTCAAATATGTATGGTCCTGCAAGGCGTTGTTCGTTGCCCCTGACGTGCGGGTAAAGCAGGCGGTAGGCATGGCAGTTGTTTTTGGACTCGGGAAGGTTAAGGCTGGGTTAATAGGAACGAACATATGTATTACCTTGCAAAGGGGCAATGCACCTGACGTTTGGCTGACTTTGTTTTTAAGGAAACTTTCATGAATTTAGAAGAGGAGGATGATTCAAGGTTTTCACCTACCCTCTTATCTTATATCTACATGTGTACCTAGGTACTTAGTGCCGTGGGCTTTAACGCCTTGGTTGTACCTCCCGCTTGGTTCATGTTGTACCTGCCTTGTTATGTGGCAACCTAGAGAACTAGAACGCGCGAGGGCATATGTTAAGTTAGCCCAGGCATCAGGCAGGAAATTACTACATGAGGCACATGTCCATATGGGTACGCCCTTAATAAACAAAGATCTTGAATATACTAATTGCGGCAGATACCGAAAATCGAGGATATTATCGTTGTGGACTAAGCATGTGAACCATTGCTTAGGACAGAGCTGCTTATGTTAGGCTGTTTACGCCACAAAAAATGCATTTCGCTGAAGGTGCACAAATGAACGACTTGTGGAGGTGATTCACAATTTGGACTACAATCGCCTCAGGCAACGACAGCCACATGCAGCCATCTCTGCCAGCACTTGAAATATATAAAGGCTCCTACTTGGCGCATTTCCAAATTTCAACTTGGACCTGTTCCTACCCCTTCACCACCTTCTACAGACACCACTCGTAAGTCTCCGTCCGTCATGCTCCAGTCAACTCACCAATATGAGTGCTACGTTTGTATCAACGGCATAAGCGCCCGGGAAGAAGCAGGTCTAATGCGATGAGCCTTAGTTGATGCGTATTCCAGAGTGCGTACCCCGTTTATGATGGTTGTGCTCATCGCTGACAATCTCAAGCTGCATCATGGCGCCCAACGACCACGAGCCAGTCGACAACCACCCAAACGCAAGCATCACGCAACGCAACCTGAACATGTCAGGCTTCTTAAAGAATATCCCGCAGGAGGTAAGTGAAAGTCCTTCTCGCACCGCGCCTTCCGGACTCGTCGGTCTCATCTCACCCCTATAACAGATACGATTCGACATCTACGAATACGCCGTCTACGTCGACAAGCCGATCGTGCCGAAACAGGTCGTGGCCCGCTCGAACAAGTTCGTATGGCGTAGTCACACCACAGAGCGCAAGCACGGTAACGACACCGCCCTTGAAGATAAAGACAACCATAGGATCTTGAAGAGCACCGAAGACCCTTTGGTTGTGACCCAGCTTGCCCGCACCTGTCGCACAATCTACTTCGAGGTTGAGGCTGTTCCGGTGTTTTACCGTATCAACCACTTCCGCCTCAATGGACACCGGTGGCAGAATGAGGCACTCCGGTTCCTCACGGCCATCACCCCCGCGCGTCGGAGCTTAATCCGTTATGCGACGGTGTTCTGCGCACCGGAACCATTCTTTTGGAGTGATACTTGGCGCAAGAGTTTTCTCGCTTTTCCGCTTACTCGAAACTGGGGCCATATCTTCACGTTGATTTGCCAGTGTGACAACCTGCAGAGACTGGTCATATCAGTAAACCTGACAAAGGCTGGCACATACTACCCTCAGGCATTTGCCCGGGAGATGAATAGGAGCTTGGAATTGTGCTTGGAATCTGCTCGCTCCGCCGATGAAACTCGGAGCTGCTGGAGCCTACCATCCTTTGAGCTCACGCTGACCATCGGTGATCTCACTATCAACCTGATGAACACAGAGCCAATCGATCCGGTTCTTGCACCGAACTCCTGCGTCCATAAAGATCCTCTTGCGAAATTGATCACAGAGGTCAAGCACCTTGCTGCTTCGCGCAAGCTACGTCTGACACAGAAGGATGGGCAAGCCAAGATCATGGCAGCTCAAGTCACCGGAATCCAACTGCAGGATGCCGTTTCCGCTTCTCAGGTTGACTTCCCTGGCGAGGACCGCATCGCCCAAGACAGGTTCCGCAGTTACATCTCCCACCCCCCTGCGGACCACCCCCCCGCGGACCAGCGCGTTCTGACCCACAAACGCGTAATTCACCAACCACCAGGATTATGGTGATCCACCATCTATACCATCACTTTTGCATCTTTTTTTCCACAAAGCACACTATTTGAATCCTTATCCACTGCTGAATCTCATGATGTCATTTTACGACCGTCAAATAAAAGCTGAAGCCGCCATTTTGGCCATCCAACGCGGAGCTCCAGTCTGCTCGTCAGCCCTCAAATGGCAAATCAGTCGCTCGTACGTCAACCGACGAATCTCTGGCACCCTAACGCGGAATGAGACCAGCGCTCTCCAACAGGCTCTCTCACCGTATCTCGAACATAAGCTGGCAAGCTGGGCCCTGGGGCAAGCACGGCTAGGATATTCTCCGGCGGTCTCTAAGTTCCGTCTCATGGCCTAACGGATACTCCATGCCACCGGGGATGCTCGAGAATTAGGGAAAAATTGGGCATCCAAGTTCCTGTCTCGAAACCCAGAAGTCAAGATAATGAAGTCTCGTGTTATCGACTACAACCGAATGAATGGTGCTATAGCGGCAAATATCAATATTTTTTTCGATCGATGTGACGCCCCTGACGTGGTTAACCTCATGCCAGCACACTGGTACAACGTCGACGAAATGGGAATCGCCCAGGGGGTTGGGGACTCCCATTGGGTGGTCTCCGAGGCCTCCGGCAACATGGCTATGAAGAAAGGGGTCGAGAAGGGTGAATGGATAACTGCCCTAAAGTGTGTGAGCGGATCTGGTGAGACTTTGCCGCCGCTGGTGATTCTCAAGGGGGTTAACATACAAGCCCAGTGATTTAGCAACCAAAATGAGGACAAATTCACCGACTAGAGGTTTATTACGTCGCCTAATGGATGGACCTCGAATCCCATTGTGTTAGAATGGCTTCAATGTATCTTTATTCCTCACATTCGGGAGGTCCATGGCAACACATGGGTGGTTTTGGTGTGTGATGGCCATGACTCCCACATGAATAACGAGTTCCTAGCCACCTGCTTGAGAAACAAAGTATGGTTGATCTTTTATGAACCTCACTGCTCCCATGTAGTCCAGGTGTTAGATGTGGGAGTCTTCAATTTAGTAAAGAAAAGGTTGAAGACCTTACTCCAGGAGACGCCCAGCGGCTGTCTGGGACTCAGGCCATCTAAGGAGGAGGTTTTGGAGTGCTACGAGCAGGCCTGGAAGGACACAATGACGCTCCTCAACATCAGAATTGCCTGGAAAAAGACTGGGATTATTCCTTACAACAGAGCGGAGGCATTGAAGTCGAAATATGTGATTCTGGAGGACAAGGGGGTGGCCAGGGCACGCCAGAGGGACCCTAAGGCTTCCGAGCGAGCCACAACACCAGATTTTCTCGAGATGGTAGCTAAAACCATTGTCACAACACCCTCTGGAAGCTGGGCTTTGCAGGAGAATGCTCGAAAGCTCGAAAGAAAGGACCCTTCCTTTGGGGGGCCCTCTGAGCGCTTGTTGGTGCAGAAGGCTGGCAAGGCCATGGATGTTCAGGCTGCTACCATTACAAATCTACGGGCCAAATGTGAGCTGCTTGAGGCTCAAGTGGCTAAAAAGGCTAATACCACTCGAAAAGCAGTCAAACCAACACCAGGGGAACGATTCGTCACAATGACTAACATAAGGGAGGCCAAAATGGAACTGAGGAACAGGAGGGCCTATAGGGACTCCGCTGCAGGCGAAGAGGTCCCATAAGAGGTCCCTGGTGAAGATTTAGGGTCGGAATCGGATTCTGGGAGCTGTATTATGGTTAGAACACCACGACCTTAGTGTATTTAGCAACTGTGGTGGTTGTAGATGGCTTCATCTGAATGAGAGTGGTGTGGTGTGGAGTGGTCCGTGGGGGGGTGGTCCGCAGGGGGGGGTGAGATGTTTCTGTCACTACCGTCTCCTCTCGCACTCGAAGCAAGTGTGAGAAGGAGACCACCACCCTTGCCACCATCCCACAACATCAGGTGGGAAATTACGACTCGGAGGACCTTCTGACCCGAGAAATTAAGGAAATCACCGCTATTAGATAGCAAGACTCCAACATCGGGTGCGAGGTGGGTTCATCTTGGGAGACACTAGATTCCATCATGACAAAGATTGGATTGTGTCGTCTAGAGGGTTTCTACCGCTTTCTCGTCAATTTGCCCCTCTGCGCGCTCGCTTCCTCGTATAAACTGGAAGACCTCCAAGCCATTCCTGAACCGAAGGAAATCCCCAAGCTTGCCGACGCCATCATGCTCCATCTCAAGTACGAGAAACCACGGTCTTGGAAGTTTTATGTCAAGACCTGGGCTACCCTACAGTCAAGATTCGAGGCACGTGTGGCCAGACTTGCCCAATACGAGGAGAGGGAAGCCCGAAAAGCAGCTGCAGCGGCCAAACTGCGAAGTCTAAGGGAGGAAAGGCAACGGCAACGGCTAAGGCGGCTAAGGCGGCCGAGGGTGCTCAGCGACACGGAATGACAAGGATATGAGACGAGCATTGACTGCGGGCGACTTCAGCAACCGCCGTGGGTATACATGGCCCCTTTTCCGGCTTGCTGGAAAAAGTTGAGGGAATGTATTTTCAGCGTTGATACCCAGATCAGAGCATCGTCCGGCGGATGTCCGTCTGTGCGGGTAATAAGCGGCCTTTAGCACCCATTGTGTGTTTGTAATCAACGTGAAGCGACAGTGACACATACACTGAGCCCTTGTAAGTCTCTGTACTTCCCCCGTCTAGCAAACAACGGTAAATTTACCAAATCGGAATAACCACCATAGAATAAGCATCGAAAGTGGCGTATTAAACTAGAGCTGTTTATTCTTATATGCTTATTTTAATATGATTTATTTTTATTTTTAAGCTTTACGACCAGAAGAAAAAGTTAAAGTTAAATACTTTAAAAGATAATAAAAAGCAAAGCCTTTATATTATACATTAAATTTATTAAAATAAAACCCCATTCAATTTTTTATAAGTGATTTAAAGTCTTATTAAGAGAATTGTTATTCTTAAAGTACCTTACTTTTTAGCTGGTGAATTATCTAGCAGGTGCAGCCGCACTATCAGCCAACACTTGTCAGCTGCTGTAACAACTCTCGTAGAGATATTTCTTGCAGCAGTAGCATCTCGCTAGCGGTAGCTATATCTTTCTCGTGGCAGCACCTTTTTCGCGGCAGTATCTTTTATGGTGGCAGCACCTCTACCATGGTGGCAGCACCTCTCTCGTAGTCGCAGTACCTCTCTTATGGTCGCAGCACCTTTCTCGTAGTGGCAGCATTTTTCTCGCGGTGGCAGGTTATTTTGCGGCGGCAGTATCTTTTTCGCTGCGGCCGTACGTCTTGCGGTAGCATTTTTCGTAGTAGCAGCATCTCTTATACAGCGCGCTCCTAGTACGTAATACATATATTATGTTTTTAACTATTTACTATGCCTTACGTATAGCTTAAACTACCTTATTATATTTTTATTTTTTATTTTTATTAGGTGTATTACAAGGTTTACAACGGTTATTAATCGATTATTAATGAAGCGAGCAAGTATGAGGGTTAAATATGTTGTAGTGCGTGGGTTAGATATCTAGCTAAGTGGGAGGACTGGACCCATTATATGGTGGCCGCTCATTTATCTTATCTACCTAGCCGTACTCTGATTGGCCTGGGCACCCACTTACAGTGGGTTTCTTTGGTGACGTGTGTCAATTAATTAAATTAAATTAAAGTTAAATATCTTCTTATTTTAACAGTTACAACGTTAATGTTAACACTGATAATGATCGCTAGCCGTTTTATTTAATATACCGCCTCGTATTAACGACGAATCTTTTTCTAATTTCGACGTTAAATTGTCCCTATAAATTTAAATTACTGACTTAAAAATTTTTATAATCCGTATTGTGACGGTCCTGACGCCCATCAGAGTGGTTAGTGGGTCAGAAAGAAAGGTCTTCTTAGCCACCAGATTAGCTGGTGCCCTCGACCTTTTTCTTTTTCTTTCCCACCAAAAGATTATTCTGCGTAGATAGTACAAGCAGGGCTATTACGTCCTTGCCTTACTTTGCGTATTGTGACACGTTTTATAAAAGTGCGTTAATGCTGTATTTAACTCTTAATAACTAGTAACTTTGATAACTTATATAGTTTAATTATTTACTTTTTAATACCGTTATATAACTTATCGGCTTAGATGTTTTTATATCTTTATATCGTCCGTTTAATATATTCATTTTTAATTGTTAATAGAATAAATTGTTGGATCCATGCGATTCCAGCCTGCAAACCATCTATACCAGGACCCACATATTGTACGGCGAGCAGACATGGCCTGTAGCAAGCAGCTATTACTCTATTGACGAGAATATCAAGACTAGAGAGGAAAGGAAGAGAGAGAGAGATAGGTACAGCGGGAGGTTGCCCCTTTAAGGGGATCCTCTGGTCAGATCCTTCCCTTATTGGGAAGTATCGGCTTGTCATGTGGGAAGGTCTGTGCAGGCCGTCACACATATATGATTAGATAAGGGATTAGATACCGGGTTGCGAGGTCACTTAGCCAGACCTTCAGGTCCAGCTAAACCTCACAATCTAACCTATCAGCAACATCATGATTTTGACCCATACTCGAGTATTATGATTGATCGGTCAAGCCTGTTCCAACATAAATACAATTTATCGTTTTAAAATATTTAATAAACTTCCTTTTATCAATATTTTCTTACTTATTATTTTTAATACAATTAACGGATAAAGAATATGGGTCAATGTATTAAGTATTAAAACGTCTTAGCGATGTATAGTTCGATTAAATATAAGTTAATAAACTTAAGTTAAGATTCTAATTATTACTTAATCGTTTTATAAAATATAATAATAAAAGATATAGTTATAATAATAGTTTAAATAATAGTTTAAAAAAACGGCCGTTTTATACGCGTTAAATAGCCTTTTAAATTACGATTGGCTAACCTTGAAGTTTAAAAACTTTCTCAACGTAACGTTAATAAGTCTTATAACGGCTTTGAAGTTTATAAATTTTTAACGTAACATGACTTTAATAATCTTTTTAATTACTTATTATTTCGTACCTTTTCCCCGTTATCGGTAATAGTTATTATAAACTATTGTTGGAACAGGCTTGAACGATCAATCATAATACTCGAGTATGGGGTCAAGGTCATGATGTTGCTGATGGTTGGATTGAGAGGAATCTAGCTGGACTCGAAAGTCTGGCCAAGTGCCCTCTCAATCCACTATCTTATCTTATCTAATCATACATGTAGGTCCTGGTATAGATGGTTTACAGTCTGGAATCGCATGGATCCAACAACTATAAATATATTTAAAGTTATTTTATACGTTTATTTAGGTTTTAAAGTATTTCGTATTGAATAAAGTAGCAAAAAGACTTTTTAAATTTTCTATAAAGGCTTCAACGGTATATATGAGCATATAATAGCTTTAATAATAATATATAAGCATATAACGAAAAAGGATTTATTTATTATTTATTTAATTGTTTGACTCATATATAATACTTGATTATTGATAGTTAATTATATACTCTTAATATAAGGTATTAAGTTATATTAAATAAATAACCTAGTTATTATAAAACAAAATACTTAAAAAATAAAACATCTTAAATTTTCATTATTATTAATATGCCGCATACAAAGATTTATAAAGGCTATGTATATAAATATTTCTAAAAGTGCGCGGCATTCCCTTACCTTTTTGTTAAGTCAATTTTAATATGACTTGAATTTTTCTCAATATTTTAACAAATTAAGATTATCTTTTTTGCGGTACTTGTTACGTAACGTTTACGTAACAAATATAATTTTAAAAATCGGCGACGTTATTTAAAATTGTCTTTAAATATTATTATAAACTATTTACTTAATAACTATTACTTTTTTTAATTTTCTTTTAATTATATCATACCCGTTCTAAATCCTCGCTTTTATAATCTTTTAATGCATTAAATCCGCTTTTATCAAGATCAACCAAATAGTTGGTAATAAAAAGGAAACTAAACTAACTTAGCCTTTTTTAAACAACGGAAAAAAAGTATGTTAACTATTAAAAGATGTTCAAGCTCAGTGCACTTTTTAAGCGTTAACATTTAAAAAGCTTAAAACTTTAATTTATTTAATATTATAATTTATCTTTATATACATAAACATATATTAGATTTATAATGAAATAACTTTATTAACTCGTAATTTGAAATTTAAATGAAAATTATATTATGAATAAGTTTTAATAAAATATTAAGAATATTTCTTTCCGGATTTTTAAAACGAAAACTCGTAAAGTCATTTTTTTTTAAGGTTAGTACGCTCGTTACTACTAAAAATATATGGGAATTAACTAAGTTAAAGTTTTAACGAATTCAGAGTTTTTAAGCCCTTTAAACCCTGGCGTTTAAAGGGTGCACATGGTCCGAGCATCCTCTAATAGTTCACTTTAAAACAGGTGCAGAACCACTCCTTCAACCGAGTATTACACGTACATGCCGCCTGCTACGACAGGAAGGGCTGCCGTTGTTTTACGGCAACGCATTGAACGTAAGTAATTCTACTTTGACCAAAACCGGCAGGCACCACTTCCGCGCCGTCCGCCCGTCCGTCGGGCGTTGGCTTCCAAGTCAACCCTACCATCGGCCCGTTAGTTAGCGTCGGCGTCGAACAGCCAGCATAATAATTCCGACGTCGCTAGCTTTTCATGAGGTAAGCATTCACTACGGACAGAGGGAGTGTCCTGTTGGTGTTTCCTGCTCAGCAACGGCTGCTGCTTTGAGGGGGAGGAGAAGATGATGCAGAAGAAAAAGAAAAGCGCACCTCACTCAGCCTCTTGACTCGGATCTACCACTACAAGGTTAAGGAAGAGAACCTGCCACGCTTCTCTGCCCTTGTACAGACGGGAATGGCTTCTATGCCTGGCCGGATGGACATCAAGTCTAAGCGGCACTTAGATAACTACGTAGATAAGCTCACAGAAGTGCTACGATCGGCCCTCATTGCTATCGGCATACCCGCCACAGGCAACGATAAGGGAGCCCCCTGGTGGACCGAGGACTGCAAGGAGGCCTACCGTATCTACAGATCCTCGGAAGCTACCAGGCCCAGCGACCAGATAGGGTTCACAGAGGAGCATCGCACCTTCTTTTCTGTGGTCTGCAAAGCCAAACAAGAGTACTGGCAGAAGATCATCGACTCTGCATATACTGACAAGGACCTGTACAAGATCATCAGCTGGCATAAGCTAGGTACCCGACTCAAGTCCCTACCGATTAAGGTAGACAACAGGATAGTTGAGTCCACCCAAAAGAAGGCTGAAATGCTGGCAGAAGAGGTGCTAGCACGCTTCTCAGATGATGACGACCTGGACTATGATCCATTGTAAGGGTAGGAGCCCTCTGAAGCCAAGTTCTACTGGGACACCATGGTGTCTTTGGAAGAGGTCAAACAGTACACTGTTGAGGTCACCAGCACCTCCCCCGGCGTAGACGGGGTCACAGTGAGGCTGCTCAAGGCCTGTTGGGAACATATCAAGGACGCCATGCGAGATGTTTTCGAGCTCTGCTTACAACTACGGCACTTCCCCACAGCCTGGAGGGATACAGAGATGTCAATGATCCCTAAGTCAGGAAAAAAGACCGCTTTTCGGTCCAATCTTGGCGGCTAATTACATTACTCTCTTGCCTCAGCAAGGGGCTAGAACGGCTGTTAACAAAGCAAATAACCTGGATGGCGCTCTCTCAGGGTATCCTCAGTGCCCAACACGGGGACGCACTGCCTAAACGGTCATGCATGGACCTCGTTCTGTTCTTTACCCACAAGGTTGAAGCGGCACTTACTAAGGGGCTCAAGGTCTCTCTTGCTACAATTAATGTACAGGGTGCCTTTGATGCGCTTTAGTGCACTGACTGCTGGAATACATGCGGAAGCAAGGCTGGCCCCTAGCCTGCCTTGAGCTGGTTAAGTCCTTTCTTGAAAAGCGGAGGGCCAAAGTCCGGCTTGAACGTGTCTCCACCGACTTCAAGGACATCAAGCGCAGCACCCCCCAGGGCTCTCCGTGGTCCCTAGTCCTCTATATGCTATACCTGGCAAAGCTCCTGTTACAAGACCAGGAGCTCTGTTTCAGATACGCCGACGATCTCTCCCTCTACAGGATATTAAAGTCACTGTAGTGGAACGCTGAGATGCTAACAGATGACCTCAAGCAGGTCATGCAATAAGAAGACAAGAACAAGGTCTTCTTTGCCCCTGAGAAATACGAGCTGGTACATATTACCAGAAGCCGAGATACCTCCAACCCCTCTGTGGTGATAAGTGACCGTCTTACCATCGACCCTGTTCAGGAACCCGAGGGTAGTGGGAAAGAGCCAGCACTACGCTGGCTGGGGGTCTGGATTGATCAGAAATTCACCCTCAAGCGACATGTTCAAGAACGTGCTGGCAAAACCATGCAACTATCCCGGCATATACAAAACCTAGTCAACACTAAGTACAGACCCCCGGCGTCCGGACTATAAAAGGTTGTAATCACCTGTGTCCTTCCCATGGCGCTATACAGCTCAGAAGTCTATTACAACGGACGGAAGAAGCCATTAAACAACCAGTCATAGGCAGGTAAGCCTGAAGTCAGCACTGGTGTAGGGTGGCATATTAATACTCTACAGAAATCCATCGCGATGGCGGCACGGGCGGCACTGCCGTGCTGGCGGACCACACCGAATAACGTCATCTTTAGAGACGCTGGCCTCCCTATGGCGGAGGCGGCGCTTAATATAGCGCTATAGCGGTTTGTTTTCAGGCTATGTATTAGATAAGAAGTATCTCTTTGTCAAGTGAATCAAATTCCAGGCGATTATACGGGACCGCAATACAGGTAGCTTTTAATGTCTTAAAACCAAATTATAGCTAGCAGCTCGCTTGCTACTCCCTATATAGCGGCCCTTACTGGTGCCACTGTGCTTTATGCCTGGCTGCAAAATCGATCCAACCAGAGGTATCGACAAGGAGCAGGCTGCTAAGAATTTCAAGACCTGGTTTGAGGCTCTGCCACTACATGACGTGGTCTTCTCAAACGGCTCGAAGGAACGGATGCACGTTGGATACGGCTATGCGATCTACCAGGACAGGCGCCTGCTCGCCACTGGCAAGGGCCATCTAGACCCGTGTTATATCGTGTTTAATGAAGAAGTGCTCAGAGCCTGGAAAGGGCTTCAGCACATGGTTAAGTCACCCCGGAGCTTAGTCAATGCCGGACCTGGGTGTGCGTGGACAACACAGGAATGATCTGGGGGCTCCGCGGCAATGCCGCGGTGTCCTGCCAGTGGGCCTACCTAAAGTTCCTTAATGTCAAGTGGTGCCCGGGGAATTGTGCCATTAAAGGCAATAAACTGGCAGACAAACTGGCTAAAACCGGCTCTAAGCTCTCCAATATCGACTCTGACTACACGCCAACAGCATACAGCATTAAAACAGAGGTAAGACTCAAGCTCAAAGTCTCGCACGACATGTGGTGGACCAAGGCCCAGACTAAGCTATTAGTCCACTATAAGTACTGAGACCTAAAATATAAACTGCACTGTCATGAAGAGCTGTAGATACTTAATAGGCCATCACTATACCGCTTCTTCGCTGTCTGCTCAAAACACGGCGACTTCTTTTGGTATTATGTCAAGTTCAAATATCAGGACGCTGTCCTTGACTGCTCGTACGGTTGGAGCAAGACTCTGACGCACTTTATCCACTGCCAGAAGACTCTAGCACGGTACATAGTTTGGCCGAGGGCCCTAGCATCTCGGCCGGAGCTCGGAGCCAGGCCGAGTATCTAGACGAACTCATGGCTTCCCCATGGGAGTACATGGACCTATTCGTGGATACCGACTTCTATGGCAGTATCTGTCTTCCTTACTGAGGGCATATTTACTCTTTCTTTCTATTATGGTATCTGGGGGCTTTATTTTTTTATCTTTTTTTCAATGTCTAATGGGGCACGTGAGAACCATTGTGGCATGCTGCGGTACCTATTATAGCTCTAAAAGTACTGAACCTGGCGGTGCGCCCTGAAACTAACATTTGGGACCTCAGCCGATACTTCCCCTCACCCGGAGGAGGGGGGACATAGTGTGATCCGCCGCTTAAGTGTGGTGGCTGTTTACGGACTTGACCTGCTAGATGGGCAGTGTATGTACATAGAAGACCTAGCCTAGCACGCCTGAGCGGCCTCTTGGAGCCCCTGGTTGACGCCGCTTCGCGGCAGTCCCCCCGGCGTTAAATGCTACAACAAGAACAAATCTTGACTCGGATCCTGATTGATGATAATGCCTTTGAGCGTGCGGTTGATAATGAGAGACGGGAAGATGGTAATGGAGGATGTTGTGTTGGGAAGTAGATGGCGGCGTTTCAGGTGGGGCTTGGGGTGCGGTAAGGGGGGGCGAAAGAGCTGGCGGCCGGTGAGGTTCGGGCTGCGTATGCGGAAATTAGGAGGTAGTGTTATGGTGGGCATGACTGGATCATGAGAGGATGATGTCCCTGCGTGATTTGAAAGTGATAGACATACATGAGTTGATGCTTGTACATTTACATGCGAGCGATTGACATCAACCAAATCTGGGTGATGCCGAACTGCTACCAGAGTAGGCCAGAGAGAACAATAACCATATCGGACATACTGGAATCAAAGTCACTCACTCAAACGGAAAAAAGCGACAGTTTGTTTCAAAGCTCAGCAGGGTTCTCAATCGGGGTATTAACTATTACTACAGTGATGCCCGCTTTTCATCTTTCACCCTCTCATCCTCTCTCATCCATCCCCAGGGCATGTATAGCAGGCCTTTTCAACTCAAGCAGAACCACCCCTCTATGGACCATTCATTGCCCTTCGGTCCCCTTCGTCTAAGGACCATGACCTGACCTGACGCGAGGTATAGATAAAAAGAGAAAAACTGAACCGCCTTTTTGATGGTTCCCCGGGTATGCAAAGTAGTTTCGTAAGGATCGTAAGAATTAGATTTGTAGTTGTAGATGTTGTTTGTGTGACTGGTAGAGGCTCCGTTGGTCTACCGACATGTTGTACAGGGAAGTAGGTTGGTATGGTATGAAAAAGGACAAGCGTGGTGCTTGGTGCTTATAGAGCGGCGACGGCCATGGCGACCATGCCCAGGAATCCCAGGCCGGAGCCGAGGTGGGCTGCACCGGCGGTGGCGAAGGCCGAGGTCGAGCTGGCGGTCGGGTAGACGCCGCCGGTGGCTGTGGTAAAGGTGGTCACGGCAGCGCTGGTGGGGTAGGGCGGGTTAGCTACAGCGCTGGTTCCGGCGGTTGTGGCGGCAGTGGCGGTGGCGGTGGCAGTGGCGGTCGCAATAGGAGCAGTGGCAGGGTAGGTGCCTGGCACGACGACGACATCAGAGGTAGTGCCGGCACCTGTGGCGGGGACAGTGGTGAAGATCACCTGAGGTGCGGTCATCGAGGTGCTGATGGTCACGGTGCTGCTGGAGCTGGGGATGGTCTCGCCGGCAGAGTTGGTGCAAGGGACAACGGTCGTGGCCGTGACCAGGACGGTGGTGACTTGAGACGGCATGGCGGTAGGAGAAGCGGTCAGGTAGGTGGTGACGGTGGCAGCACCGGTGGCGATGCCGGGGTTGGTGGGCACGAACGGAGCGCAGATGCCCTGGAAGTAACTGATAGCATCAGCAGTGGCCTGGTCGCTCTCGCCGTGGGAGTAAATGCAGTTGAAGACTTTCTGGGTGAAGTTGCTGTTAGGGCAGTAGCAAGCAGCGTCGGTGTTGTCCGTGCAGCCGACGGTGAACATCCAGGTGTTCAGGCAAGATGGGACAACGCCAGGGATGGTAACAGTCTCGCCGGGACCGGCAGGGACGCTGGAGGTGGAGCCAACCGGGAGGGTAGCGGAGGAGGCAACAGCGGTAGTACCAGTCTCACCGGGGACGGTAGTAGTGTCGGTCTCACCGGGGACGGTGGTAGGGTACGCGGTAGCAGGTGAAGTGGGAGCGGTCTCAGTGGCGACAATGGCAGAGGTCTCAGTAGCAGGCGAAGTGGCAGAGGTCTCAACCGGTACGGAAGGCGACGTGGCCGGGCCAGTAGGACTGTTGCTTAGAGTCTGAGTCTCGGTCACGGGGCAGACGGTGGTAGAGATAGCGACGGTGACAGTGGTCAAGGCGGTGGAACCGGCAGGGCAGTTGGTCACCTCAGGACCGCAGCTGGTAATGGTCTGGATGGACGTGCTGTAGATAGTGGAGGTGGTGATGTAGCTGGTGACGGACAAGACAGTGGAGTCGGTGGTGAGAATAGTGGTGCCGCTAGACACAGCTTCGGTGCTGCTCGACGCGACAACGGTGGTTCCCGGGTAGGTGCTGGTGGCGGGTACGGTGCTGGTGGCAGGGGCAGAGACGGAAGTGGTCTCGGCGGTGCTGGTAGTCTCGGCAGTGCTGGTCGTTTCAGCGGTGCTCGTGGCGGGAGTAGTGCTGGTTGTCTCGGCGGTGCTGGTCGTCGTCAGAACAGCAGTGCTCGAAGACTCGACGGGAGTGCTGGAAGACGCAGCCTCGGTGCTGCTTGTAGCGACAACGGTGGTGCCCGGGTAGGTGCTGGTGGCGGGCACGCTGCTGGTGGCAGGGACGGAGACGGAAGTGGTCTCGGCGGTGCTGGTCGTCTCGGCGGTGCTTGTGGCAGGAGTGCTGGTCGTCTCGGCAGTGCTGGAGGTCTCGGCGGTGGTTGTGGCGGGAGTGCTGACAGCGTAGCTGCTAGTAGCGGTAGTAGGGTAGACGTGCGTGGTGGTTGAGGCACTTCCGCAGTCGAAGGCGATGGAGTGGATGCCAAGGCTGCAAGAACTCTTGCCCGTGTCGGGCTGGGAGGGGTAGACGACGGTGACATCGGTGGCACCACCGCACTGGGAGTTGTCGACAGTGGTACCGGAAGACTTGCAAGACGATCGGTGCTTGCAGGTAGATCCGTCGGGCATGGAGTAGTGGAACTCGAGATCGCAGTCGTGATCGGGAGTGACCTGGAAACTCGTGATGGAGGTCTTGCCGACGTCCTTGCCACAGCTAATCTTGGGACAGCTGCTCTTGTCCGTCTGGGCTGTACCGGTAATGCACTTGGACTGGAAGGTTCTGCCGCTGATCACGTCCCGCTTGCCGAACTTGTTGGAGCAAGTGAAGCCAGAAAAATCGAAGCCCTTGTACGAGGAGACAGAGCCAACGTTGAGGTCGGACCAGTCGAAACCGCCGGTCATGTCGGGGGTACAGGTGTTGTTTGTGTTGTCCGGGCAGCTGAATGAAGGAGCATTGTGGAAGCCCTGTTGGGGTCAGTCAATGTGCCAGTGAAGGGACGAGGACGTGCGGTCTTACAGTGGCAGTGACCTGGCTGAGGCCAGCAGCCAAGGCGATGAGCGAGAAGCTGTTCTTCATTGTGTTTATGAAAAGACGATGTTGTTTGGGCTGTTGGTATAAGAGCGACTGGAAGTCTTCTATATCAACGAGAACGACCGTGTATATCAAGGAAAGGAATATTAATTTAATTGGAAGCAAGTTAAGCGAATGGGGCTTGACTTCCGAGAGAGAAAGAAAACCAACCGCGGTTACAACCGTGCAGGAACGAAGGTGAGGATGGAAGGGGAATCTTGGGGAGGATAGGAAAATAGAAGTTGATATCCAGATGCGGGAGACAAGACATATATAGGTTCTCATGTTGGGCCGCTCTGAGCCAGTCGTCCGGTGAGGATACCTGTGTACGTAGCAGAAGTGCAGAGGTACTCCGGTCGAGGGTCCAGCACTTGCAGGCATGGCCACGGGGTCAAGGCTTGGCCGTTAGCCTGTTCCCTCGTTATACCCATGGCCCCTGTCGACTCCGTTGGCTCTCGTTCCCTGTCCCAGGATCGAGCAGCGGTAGGGGGGTCCAACCAGGTACTAGTCTGTACCTGTAGAGGTGATCCAAAGCGGCATGGCTGCTGCAGAATAGGCAAAAGGAAAAGGTCCAGGATGCCGACAATGGCGTCGGGTTATGTACCTAGTGTGGAATACTGTATACACTGTACCGGGGGGGCTGGAATGGCACAGAGCGCGCGGCTGTTGGCTGGGGGTTCTTGGACGTCGAGGTGGTATTTTCAGGGGCAAGTGCACAGGTGGCCAGCCATTGGGCTTGACTTGAGCCCACCGTAAAGAGTGGACCTCCGGTGGCCTCCAGCCAGTCAAGGCGGCCCCTAAGCCATCGCTTCAGCCAATCACAGCTCTTGCGCATCATGAATTGGGCTATACCTTTGTACCTCTTGTGCTGCCTGTGTGAGGTATCTGCTGCAGCCTTTCTGCCTTTCTGTGCCCGATGGATCAGACGAGGGCACTCCTACCATTCCTGCTGACGATAGTTGCCTGAAGGGGAGACTCGTCATGTTTGGTGCTGCCAGAAATAAACCAGCAACGTGAGGCTTCAAAGGACAGGTAGGATTGAAACGGCACCTCCCGCGAGTGCAGCACACGGGGCCAACTCAACGCGAAACAGAGGAGACCGCGGCGCCAGCAACTGACAGCCTCATATGGATGATTGATTGGCCCTCTTCGTATTGGCTCGGGGCTTTTTCGTTGCCTGCATGACTCCAGACTGACGAAAAGAAAGGAGACTCCCACAGCCCGTGTAGCTAGCTACCAGATCTCCTGCCCCTTCGGCCCCTCCATACTCTCCCTCAAAAAGAGAGAGAGTTCTGAAGTTTCGGCGTTGAGGTGGTGGAACATGAAACGAGCATAGCCACCTGCGGGTGGCAGCTCTAATGCAGGTACAACGCCTGAGCTGCAGCATTGTCAGGTCGGGGGGAGGTCGGGGCTGTCGGGGCCGCAACCTTCCTGGTAATCTGCAGCCAGGGGGTGCGGCCTGGGCCAATGGATCGTCTATCATATTGACAGAGACAGACTGCACGGCAACGATGCGTAGACGGGAAAAGTGGCAGCATATGATCCGATCAACAAGATGTCTGGGTCTATTTCTGAAAAGGTCCAGGTCGTTGCTGCACTGTTCAGTCAGCAGTCAGCATTCAGCATCCTGGACGTCCACAAACCTACTCATTCCCATCGACACCTTGGAGGAATACACATGGACGGAAGTTGCGGAACTAGTGACGTCGATGTCAGCATCTTAATCGACGGTCACCGACGCCGCTCCCCCGGATGGCGACTGAGACTGTGGTTCACTTATCGCAACGGCGTTAAGACATGTCAACTCTGGTTGAACGTGTCTCATCGACGAGCACTGATGCAGTAGGTACCAATTGGCAGTATCGGGATGCTCCGAGACCCCGAGTAGAGTGCACGATGCGGATGAACCCCATGCCTGGAGCCATGTGGCCCTCGCCAAGGCGCTGGGTGCTTGCTAACACTTTTAGCTGGGATCCATCGTGAGTCTGACGATGTTACGTCGCTTCGAAATGGCTTCTCGTTCGGGATAGTGGTGCCGCCGAAGCTACTATTATGCTGCTGGGTGTCAATATCAAAGTCATAGACGCTCATAGGAGCTCGGCCGGTGCAGCTGATACAGATGCTTTTCATGATGATTAGAGGATTCGGCTTATGGTGTTGTCAATAGTAACGCGCGCATACACATTCGCATCTTGTTTGCATCTGATGTATTTCCAGGACGGCGATTGGGTGAACGGGGCACGGCTTCAGGTGGATTAGCGCATAGTGATCTGGCGCAGGGGTGCTGACAGGGCCCCTTGCCGCCCATTGTCGACGCTAGAGCTGTTCCGTCATTCGCGGGCGCCCAGTGAGCCCGCCCCGGTATTTTGTTCAGCGGGAAGGAGGAGCGATAGCGAAAGACTGTCCCTGTTTCACCTTTTTGCCAATGGGAGCTAGCAGTTTCACAGTTTCACTACCACTTTTTGTTCGGCGAGTTGTCCGACTTTGAAGTCCAATTTAGCAGATACCTGCTAGTAGCAGCAGTTGAGCTGCTGACTGCTGACTGCTGTCTAGGAGGTCACGCCGATCGAATCCGCCAGATGTGATCCTCAAGATCCTTGGTGTTGAACCTCCCAAACCTCGCAAGACTCCAGAGAGTCAAGTGGGACTGGGATACGCTCGTCACTCCGATGAGCCAGGTTGCAAGGAGCTTCCATGTGGCATGACCTGATATCTCCCGAGTCCTCGCCCACATGCAGTTGACTGATCCGGCACAGTCCGCATACCCACAGCCTGGGGCTAACTCTTCTTCTGTCCGTCTGCGAAAGGGGCGAATACGAACGAGCCGCATTACCTGAGACCTACCCATGGAAATGCTACGCTGTGGCACTGTGCTACTGCTACCTGGCGACCAGTCATCTTCAGATTGGGCGCGTGCTCGAGCCTCGAAGCGACTGTGGGCTGATGGTGCAATGCCCCACGATTGGCTAGGTATGTCAACAACTCAATTCACTGTTCGGGACACTGGTCTCTGCTACCTGGGTGAACCTCAAAGCTAGACTGAAGCCAGTCCAAAGCATTATTACTGTAGTCATCTCATCTTAGAGCTGTCAACTAACCTAGCTGTCGGCCCCGGACGCCTCTCAAGTCCGTCGACGACTGTGGCGGCACAGAGAGAACGCCAGCTCATGATAGCTGTCGAGGACAATTCGACGCCGTCGTGCTTGAATGACGAGTCGAAGCTCTCCGGCTGCCTCATCTGCCAAGCGAGCACCATGACGGCCCTGGGCCAACTGATCACAGAACGGACTCGAGTCCGTAGACCGGGATAGCCCGAGTTCCCATCTGCATCAGGCCACATTGGCAACTGTGCGTCTTCCAAAGGCGATCAAGCGTCGGTCTAGCAGTCTAGATGGGGAGATCAACAGGCACGGATACCCAAACCGGATTGAGGTGAGCCGACCGTCCAAGAGTCTAGGTGAGTAATCGGCAGCTAGCATCGTCTCCAGAGTCCAATCTCAGATCAACGATAGTGTCGTTCATAATCGGACATCAGCTCGCGGCCGAGATTTGCACAGAAATTGGGCGTCTCCTCGACTTGAGAAAAAGGATGCCGTCCCGCACACTGTCGCACCGCACAGACATCCGGGCAGCCACAGAGGTGCAGTTCGCCGAGGCGACGATTCCGCAGTGCAACCTCCAGTCTCCTTTGAAGTTTGGCCGTGTCGCCCGCGAACCCTGCTCCTAGATACCCTGTCCCGGTACAGCTTTCTTCAAGCAAGCTCTCTCGAATCCACGTATTCCGCCATGCTCTAATGCGCGCACCTCATGAGATCGGAAATCCGTCTTTCGAATTGTCCCTTTCGAGCCCGTGATTCGAGCACTACTGCACAAAGGAATCCTCCATGTTTGGGCACTTTCAAGAGTCCCTCTTTTAAGAGTCCCTGCCTCTTGCCAAGCGGCCCAAGAGCATGGGTTGTGCGGGTATGGATTGAGATCCAGGTCCAAATAACCACGTGGAGGGCACGTCGACTCTGCATGGTTCTCATCGAAGGATGGATGTCCTAATAAACCCATCGTGCTTGTATGCTGGCATTCATGATCCGTTGATCATCGTCTTCGCAAGGCACCAACTGGCGCACTGACTAGCTGTCAAGACGTCCATAATAAAAAGTGAGTGCAGACGTGAAACGCGCAATCCGTTCATTTGGTTCTGATGTCTGTTGATCCTACAGGAACATCACGGAACTTAATCCACATGCGCGCCGAGAGCGGGCACAGGCCTGAGGCAGGCAGCCTTGCCCCCGTTGCCGTCGTGACGTGATCGCCGCCGCTGCCAGATCCTGTAGGATACGGTAGGAGCGCGATGGTTCCCAAAAAGCATTCCTCGTGGTCCCCTCGGTCGCGAGAATGGGAAGAAGATCAGAGATTCGAACTTTCTAATTGCTAATTATATCGCCAGCTCCGTCATCCTCGCCCACGATCGCGATCGCGGCGGACCATAGGATGGACGATAGTGAACCGGAGGCGATGGGAAAGATACATTGCCGGCGAAGGCTTCTACGAGATGCCGGGTTGGTGCAGAGTCGGCAACGTCTGCCTGTCTGCCGTCGATGTGGATGAAACAGATCCCATTCGCGAATGCTGGCATCCAAACAATCAAATGGCTACAGCCTACAGACTACAGCTGATGGGATGATCGCGAAACATCATAACACGCTCCTATATGCCGGCTTGTTAAGCTTACCGTAGGTTTTCTCTACTTTTTCTCCGACGCGCATCCAAGGCACCGGCCGCGTCCCGTCCTGTGGATTGAGGATTACTCAGGCCTCCGCGCATCAATTCATGCGTTCCACCTCTTCGGAATGTCTGTCAGACAGCTCCATTTCCGTGTGATGAATGGGATACTTCAGTGCATGTATTCCTACTTCTTTGACTTGGCTGCCTCTTCGCCGAGCTGAGCATTGAAGTCTTCAACGTCTCGCTCTCAAGGAGATGAGAGGAGGTGGCTAAGGTATGAACAGCCCCCAAGAGCTTCGCAGTATCACATTCGTTTGCATGTCGTATCAGCTGAGGCCACATACTTCTACCCAGACCGTCCCGCAAAGGATCCGTCTGGACGTGACACTGCTTTGCTTCTCGTCGTTACGACAGGTGATGTATGTATGTATTTACGTTACGTTACGTGCATCCCCGTTCCTCAGCCGTACATAGACACACATACCAAACACATACACATACACGTATATAGGTTGGCAGGCGCAGTGATGCACCACACAATCAATGCCCGGCAGCCAAACAGGAGATGGCTGACCGGCTTCATTTCCAGGTACGAGGTACAAGGTCGACGCATACAGACTGACGGCGGGCAGAAGAGACGAAAGGATTCGCCGGCTTCGATCAGATCATGACTACATACCTTCCTTTCACATATTCCGATGCGCACTTCGTACCTAGGTACCGCAGCAGTCCAGTCCATCGGACGCCTCACATCCTAATAAGTCAAAATAAGCATGTGAGCTGTGACGCAGAGGCAAAACGCCCGCTCTATTCTAAGCACAAAGCGGATGGATGGATGGTACGGCGAATTGAAATTGAAAGCTTGCGATGGACAGGTCACAACGGGCAGAAGCGCCGCCCCCAAATAACCGCCGTGGCCCAGCAGCTGTGTCGTCGGCGGCTATGGATGCGAGGTGTGGGCGGTACGGTACGACCCCAACTCGCAATTGCAATTCCGATCTGCAGCGGGATGTCTATTTTCTGCACTGCACTTCGGCGGCACGGGGACATGTCATATCGTACCTAGATGCATGTATGCACGTCACGTCTAGGGCACACAACTAACCAAGTAGTAAGTAAGTATTCAGTGAGCATTGCCTCATCTCAAAATACCCTCCCTCCTTGCTACCTGCATCCAAGTCCAATCACGTCTGCCACTCTGCGACTCCGCGACTCTAGCTAGACGCCGCTACCTCCCTGCATCCGCTTGAACCGCTCCTCAGCAGCGCGCGCCCTGCGCTCGCGATCCAGCTTCATGCGCTGCTCGGGCGTCAGGCCGCGCGCCTCGTCCTCGCGCCGCTCCTGCGCAGTCTTCAGCACGCCGCCGTCGAGGAGCCGGCGGCCCGGGCGCGCCCCCTTACTGCTGCTGCCACTACTGCTGTCCGGGACCTTCGGGCCCTCGCGCTGCAGACGCTCCTCCTCGGCCTTGCGGCGCTCTGCCTCCTTCCTGTCGCTCTCGGCGCGCTCGCGCTCCTCGCGCTTCTCGGCTTCTTCGCGTTTCAGGGGCGTCGGCACCTTTGCGGCATCCCAGTCCCACAGCGCCTCGCCGAGCTCGTGTCGCGCTACGCGGAAGGCGTCGCGGGTCGCGCGGTCGCCCGCGAGGTCGAAGGCCGTCTTGCCCTCGCCGTTGGCGATTGTTGGGTCCGCGCCGCCCTTCCCCAGTAGCCCGGCCACGAGCGGTGCCGAGTTCTGGCTCGCGGCTAGGTGTAGCGGCGTGGGCGCGTGGTGGTTCTGCTGCGATTCCGCGGGTTGAAAGCGGAAGTCGGACGGCAGATCGTTGCTCTTGAGGTAGGAGAGCAGGGCTGGCAGCTTGGAACGCCGGATGAAAGCTTGTAGCTGTGAAGTGTGCAGCTGTGCCGTCTCTTCCGCCTCGCTCAACTTTGGTATCGCGGGCTTAGCGGGCTTCGAGGATGTCGTCCTGGTGGATGTCTCGTGCTGCGCCTTTGTCGCTGCTTGGGCGGCAGCTGGGTCGAACTCCCGGACTTTCAGCCGCGTGAGCTCGATGAAGGACCGCATCAGTTCGTTCTGGGTCGCTCTCCGAGTGCTGAACGGGAAGCCTCGTATCCGCGGGTCGTTCGCCCGCAGGACCTGCTCATCGTAGGGACCGTAAAGGGTCCGCCGATTCGTAGCGCCTGTTGCTCGGATGAAGAGCAGCTCCGACGTGTCGAGCAGAGTCTTCCAGTCGTGTAGGAGTAGCCGTACCTCATCTACCAAAGCCTGCTCATTGTACCGACGTATGCTCGAACCGGCTGAGTGCGCATTGCCCTTTGCGTTGTCATTTGCCGATTGCGAACCACCCTGCTTCCTCCGCGTAGTGTACCGGTGGAAGGTCTTGTGCGCGAGAACGGTCGCCTCTCTGTTTAACGGCCCAGCATTTCCGTGTTTCGTCTGTCGCGGCGCGAGCGACACGACCATCGCTGCGAAATGGCCACCTCCAATCATGCATAAAAATATATGTGGCCCCTTGTAGACAGCAGGCGCGAAATTCCCATCCGGCCCTGGCTTCGGTACAGGTATCGACTCCAGTTGCTTCTTTTTCACCATCTGTACGGCGTCACTCTCGTTCTTGGTCTCTTCCGGTGCGAATATGGTGCGGTAGATACCGAAATAGTTATTCGCGGGTAACAGTGGCGAGCTGAACCATATTAAAGGCGGTTTGCCGCTGCCGCGTTGCTTCTTCCTCGTAAAACCGTCGTCGTCCTCCTCGGCTGGCGCATCTCCGTTGCTCCTAGCGCTCCTATCAGCCAGCGTAGCCTGTTTCTTCAAGAGCGCTGTCAGCGTGCTGTCCTTGCGCCCCGTCGCATCCTCGTCCTCGTCCTCGTCCTCCGTGTCTGAATAGTCGGACCCGGAAAGGCTCTCGTCTAGGGTCCCGATCAGTTTCTCGAACTCGGCCTCCGACACCGCCGCGCGCCCCCGCAGCTTCTGCTTCAGGTTGTAGTGATGCCAGTCCGACTTCAGGTGGCCCCGCTGGTCTTGCACGCTGGCAAACGACTGGCCGCACAGCGAGCATGCTTGAGAGCCGACGGAGGCGCGGAGGCTGTCGGAGGAGGAGCTTCGTGATGGGTGGTCGTTGGAGGATGGTATCGGGGAGGGTGCGGGCGTATCGACCTCTTGCCTCTCGGATTCGGCGGCGTCTTCTTGGAGCGTGAGGGTGGAGAGGACTTCGGGTGGGAGGTCGTACACTATCGTGTGTGGTGGGGTTAGGGGTTTGGCCTGCGACAGGGTGCGAACGGGAGACAATACCGTAAAGTGGCCTTTTCAGCAGCTCCTGTGTCTTCTTATCCATGGCTGGCAATGCGACTGGATTTATGACTGTCTTGGAAGGGTCAATATGCAGTGGCTGGAAAACTACACGGTCTGGAAAGAAGTAGAGAGGCAGAGAGACGATGACGAAGTTGGCGCTGTGGTGGGGCAGCCCCCTCTTTACCGTTAACCATTTATTCGATGTAGGCCCCGCTATAGTAATAATTCCATCCGCGTTCTGACTCAACCGGCCAAGGGGAGAGACAAATCAATCAGATTTCTACTCTGTCTGTAACGATTCCACGAATCCCAGGAGACTGTTTTGCACTGCCTCCAATATGGATCTATGGTAATCGAAAGCGGTATTGACTTCACACGTGGAGTTCGTTGGTAGTCGTGGGTTGTCCACTTACCCCTTTTAAAGAAGACGTTTAATATAATTTAAGGTGGTTGTTATTTGTCCGCTATCTGTTTATAAGACGCATTTTAATCTTTATTTTAATAGTATAAACTAATTTTAATAGCCTTACTTTTCGGATTGGGTTTTTTTTTTTTTTTTGGGACGGGGGGGGTTTATTAATAAAAGGTCGCTTTTAACCTTTTTAAACTTATAATTTATAATAAGAGCTTACTTTACCGTAGTAGTTTTTTGATAGTTTTTTTATAAGCCGTAGTTTTTAAATAAAGATTACAACAGTTTAATATTAGTTTTTTTTTAATAAGGTTATAAGTAAGTTCTTGGATTGTTTTTTTAAAGTTTTTATTCATTTATACGAATTGAATATTATTAAAGGTTCTTTTAAAAGGAAGATACCGTCCGATTGTTTTAAAGATAGTAATAGCTGTTTAATATTAAACCTTAAAGCTAGTGTTGGAACAGGCTTGAACGATCAATCATAATACTCGAGTATTGGGTCAAGGTCATGATGTTGCTGATGGTTGGATTGGGAAGTCTAGCTGGACCTGCAGGTCTGGCTAAGTGACCTCACAATCTGGTATCTAATCTCTTATCTAATCATACATGTGGGTTCTGTATGGACGGTTTGACTGTGGAATCACATGGATCCAACAATAACCCCATTTTTCGGACCGCTCCTTCTATTTCCAGCTTGACTGGGCCAGTTCACTGCTAGCCTAAGATATTAATATTAAGCCACCATGCTAATTTGTCTCCTCTTTCTAGCTATGAGTTTCTTAATAACGCGCTCATCGGGGAAAAAGAGAAAGGCTGGAACCAAGCTACTCGATAGGGGAGCTACTTTGCTGCTTTAAGGATAAACATCATCCATACCTTCATTGGCTTGACTTCCACATACAGTTCAACACCGTGGGGGGTAGATACCCCCTTTCCCCATCTTCATCGCAAGTTGAACAGACCGAGACCAGCTAGCCGGACCTAAGTCAGACCGATACTCACATGTACAGTGATCTAATGTATCTCACACCGGTATGCAAGGTCCCGAACAACTTAACGGATATCCACGGTGGATTGATATGGACGTGGATATCCACGTCAACTTAATCTACCGATACCCCTGCAGCTTGGGCAACTCACCAACGAGGCTATCGTGGGTTGATATTGACGTGGATATCGTGGATATTATTTTTCCTTTTTTAACTATATTAAAATATCCAAGTCATAGTGGGTCATGCCAAGGGTCATGGTGGGTCATGCCAAAGTACTTCTTATACTTTACAAAACCTTACTATTTTTAGGTATTTTTTCATATCAACGAATGTTGATCAATATCAACGGGACCCTTCTGTTGACTAACGTCAATCAACTTGATTGGGAAATTTTCAAAAAGCTTGGCAACCTACTTAACGAGACCCCTATATTTGTTAGATTTCAAAGTGTTCTATTAAGGAGAGGAATTCCAGCTACTCTGGAGCGGCCAGAATGGCCCTATATATATCCAAGATACTAAAGGAAAGGATACGTGGCCTTATATTGGCCACGTATGTGACAGAGTCACAAATGGGGATGGTGATCCTGAAGGATGACTATGGATGGGCTAACGTAGCCCAGAATCCAACAATATTGACGTGGATTGAGTTGGTCGGGACCTTGCCGGTATGAGAGGCCGAAGCAGGAGTAGTTCCTTCCACTGTAGATATGGACTGCGCGCGGCAAAGACAGGGCGTCGCGGAGAGTGGCAAGATATGTGCGTAACTTGGCTGATGCTTACTCAATGCATCCGTGTAAGGGAGTATGATGGTATCGACTAAGACGTCAACGATTTCAGTTAGCCCGCGGTAGTGGGAGCGCAGCTCCTCCGTCCACGTGCTGGATGCGAGATCTGACTGGCGTGGTGGAGTCTGGGTTCGAGAGGGTCGATCGTAAGGTATATGTTAGGCAGGGTTTCTCAAACTTCCAGCCTCGACTCAGGGGGGGAAGTGCTGACTCCCTCGGGGAGATTGTGGTGTGGAATCCTGGTCCAGTCTGCTGTTTCTTTGTTCCCATGCCCTGGTGATTGACTCTTTGTTGAAGCGACGTTCTACATTAATCATGTGTGGAGGACATGGCGGATAACATGGCCAGTGTTGGGTATCACTCTATGGTCTGTTGGTCTGTTGGTCACTCGAAGTTCCCAAAGCGGAGATATCTGGGAAGAGGACGATGTGCATAAAGGAAGCACTCTGTGGTTTGTTGGTTTGTTGGTTACTCGAAGTTCCCAAAGCATAGATATCTGGGAGGAAGACGATGTGTATAAAGGAAGCACTCAATCTCCCGTGTCCAGGAGAGAGGTCATAGGAACCCATCCAAGGTCTTCTGACACTCGCATCATAACTTCGAAATCCACATATCAACACGTCGGTCAGTATTGACCTACCTAACCCAACCGAATTCTTCGAGGCTCGGGCACCAACCTGTCGGTCCCACCTAAAGACACATCGTATCCCATCGAGACATCCATACTCTTCCAGAGCCAACGCAAAATGGCCGACGCACTAGCTCCAGTAGGACATAAGAAGAGTATAGAGCAGCAGATTAAGGAGAAAGAAGATGAGATCGACCGTATGGAGAAGGAGATGATAAAGGATATAAAGGCAAACATCGAGCGTATGAAGAGGATGTGACGCAAGTCTCGAAAATTTACGGTGTTTGAAGCCCTGGCGGGCACACAACGAAGACAAGGTGGAATGCTTTTCCGGCGTGTAAGCAAGCAGTGCGTAAAGAGAGAAAAAAGGTGGGGACCGGGCTGGATTGACTTTTCATTTCTTTTGCCGCTGCGCCGTAGCCTACGGCGCAGCGCGGATGTTGGCGTTGGCGTTGGCGTTGGTGGCGTTGGTGTTCGTTTGCGTTTCTCGACATTCTTTCGAACTTGGGGGCCACAGGCCAAGGACAACCGTGCCTTGACAGGTGTACCCTTTACTGTTCCCCTTAAATTATAACCCTGGGTTTTGCCAGAGAGCTTGTGTTCTACTCGGTTAGGGACTAGCCATTACACTCATTTTTATTCATTACCTTCACTCTGGAGATTAGCTTCAATATACGTTCGTTTACATGTGGCAAACTTGAGGAAGTTCGCTTTGAGCTCCTCGTCACTTCCGGCTCTGGACGTCACCTAATTATCATGAGCTGCATTCCTCGGATACTTTTGCGAGCTTCGCTACCCTGACGTATCTAGAGTCCTACAACTTCCTCGGGAACAGGTTGGTACAAATTCAAGAGCTGGGCCGTACCGTAGTCAGGGCACGAAGGCCCTCGCCTTTGTATGGCGGCCTACCAGCCCAGTGTCCCTATTCAGCTGCGCGCCACCTGTGACATGGTCCTCCAGCTGCTGCCACTCGTGCCCCTTTTCTTAATCAACATCGCGACCGTGCTTATGTCATACGTACCTCATATATGCCAACACACCACAGCCACCATAGAGGAATACACAGTCATATAAATACGGAATACATGGCTCTTCTGCTCTTTATATCCTTCTCCAGTAACGCTCAAGGCATGCCATGTGGCTGGATTCGGAATTTCAAAAGAGTGAGTAATACACCGCTCCGTCACTGCTGAGATCTGCCAAGTCATGTCAATGACACCCAGATGAGTCACAGCATGACCAGATCGAGCACATCGCACGTTCTAACTCAACGCTTATCAAGTAACCTGTCCTCAAGCGCGCGTTGGCGTGTTCGGATTCGAATCAACGCCGAATGAACAAGAACCCCGGGACCGGCGGCCTGTGTTTGCTTTCTGCGGCAAAAAAGGAAGAAGAGGCTTTGCGGTAGATTGCAAGGAGACCTGTGAGTTTATGCCCTCTGCTGCAATTTAACATTGTATGCCTTGCGTGTGGCTAATCGCGCATTCGCGGGCAAGTTTGCCTCTTGATGGCCCGTATCAACGAATGAGCGATCAGTGAATGAGCGATCAGTGAATGAGCACGTGGTGGACGGGATGAGAGGGTTCATGCTCTGATTTCAAGCCCCCCCCTTTGATTAAGTCTCTCAAGCTTGTGCTAGTCAGCGCTCACCGACAATATGCTTCTCGTGACACGCAAGAGATCACATCAACGGTCTGCATGTGAGGTGAATGCAAGGAGCAAACTTGGCAAACAGATACCGGCACCGAGCCCGAGTTGCACGGAGCCCAGATTGAGCTCTTCTCAGTGATTATTCGCCTGTTCGATACTTTCTGACTGAGTATAAATGTCAGTCTTTCCCACCTGGTTGCAGCTTTCAAAACCCCAACAACCACTACACACTCAACTCGCACAAACTACCGTACCCGTCACCGCTCGACCCCCTGCACGAGCTTCAGCAAAACGACCCAATATCACCAGTCAGAAAAGCTCGAACTCGACCGCAAATCCACCACCATCAAGATGCTTTTCTCAATCCTCGCCTCCGCCTTGGTGGCCCTGGGAACCCAGGTCATCGCCATCCCCTTGACGCCCCCGGAAGGCCTCCACCACGTCGACTGCCCCGACTACGACACGTACCAGACGTTCTTGACGTGCTACAGCCAAGCCGTAGTCCATAACTGCGGAGGACTGATCGGTAACCCGGTCATCGCGTGCAAGCTCAAGTGGGGCACGTCGTGCGGTACGTATCTGCTCCAGGCCGCCGTCCATGATGAACTGTTGGAGACCTTTTTTGCTAATACTTACGTCTATATAGGAAATTATACTGTTGCATGATCGATTAGGCCTTGGTCTGGGACAAGGAGTGGCTCGGAACGGGAGGCTGGGATGTACTGCTGGCGGTCATGGTTTTTTTGGTGACGGATGGTGTGCGCCTGTCGACAAGGGCCTGTGGCTTTTCGAGAGACATACTTGAGGGCTGGGTTAGTCAGCAGGTAGTTCTTCCAATGCAAGACTGCACTGCGTGATCACCACTGAGCTGCCATACCGATATCATCTCCAAGTCCCTTTCCGAAACGCTTAAACTACTGACATGTCGACATCATCAGTGCAGAGTAGAGCACTGCCTGATTGTAGGTATCCTGATGCTCTGCCTTTCATACCGATCTCCCAGGGTTCTGCCTATGTGTTCAACAGCTACCTGCACACTGGTACTGGTTGGCGCGGATACATAGACCCCATAGCTCAAGGCGCCTTTCGATAAGAAGTCCAGTTTCCGCAAATGATGATCTACGAGCGTTCAACCCGCCAGTGTGGTTCAGAATGCTCTGGAACGCTCGCCGGGTACCGTGCCTGAAGCAATTCCCAGACGGCTGGTAAAACAGAGTTGTATCGCTTTCCCAAACTTGATGTCCGGGAACCTTGAATGGTCCTGATTGGCTTTGGGCCTTGTGATAATTTGGCTCACATTGCTGCAATGCTGCATCGTCATATAAGCAAGGACTTCACAGCACCATTACGTCAAAGCGGGCATGGCGCAGGAACGGTATGGTAATCTCCGATTGTCAACGTGAACTAAGCTCATGAGTCTTGCGACTCGAGCTGCAGTACGCCGGTTGGCTACATAAGAAGTCCAAGTATCCCAAGCCTAGAGTCCTTCCCATCATGCACATTCACCTTCGATCACTACCTCCGCGAACTACAGATCACAGTCGTTCCTTTCCATCCCCATCCTACCTTCTGGCCATACTGTCCAACATCCACCAGGCTATCCAACCTCCCCTAAGCTAGCCACCATACAGCTACTTGCCCCCGTCATCCTCGCCCTCACCGCTCTAGCTGTGGCCGGCCCTTCCCAGCCACTAGGAAGAAGAGCCACTTGTGGAAGCAATTCAGCGGCATACGCAGACTGGAAAGACTGCTATACCAGTATGGCTAGCCGCTGCGATCAGTACGAGGTAAAAACCGGCTGCTTAGAAGTAAACGATCGAGTCTGCGGTATGTATCCACCCACCTCTCCTGCTCAACGAGCCAACGATCTCGATATCATACACGTAAGCACTTACTGACAGCCCGCAAGCCGAATCCATTACGCCCCCCGGAACCTGCACCTCATCATACTAAGGGTGAGAAGAGTGCCTGCTTTGCGGGAAGTCGGGAGTTTCAATGGCTACCGGACGACCCACGAGGCTATTCGGGGCGAGGAATGTGCTTGACCTTTTTCACATGGGGACACAGGGTCACATGAGGTTGGACGTTGGAGGCATTGGTTGCTGGAGGCAGTGGTCGTTGGAGGCAGTGGTTCTTGGTTTCTTGATAGAGCTTACACATACCTAATGCAATGCGCACGCGGAAGCGCCTTTCTCTTCTACGACTTTCGATACGTTTGTTGCGTAAACTAAGATTAGCTGCTTCTGTTTACGTAGTTATTTACTACTCCCCTGCCACGAACCCGGTTCGGCCAGGTCTCATTGTTCATCGACTCATCGCCGCAATATTACCCTAAGAAACCGCCTACCAGAACCCGAGGACCGTCAAGACGCATCCCAAAACCCCTATCCATAAGGACAGCTACATTCACATGTTCTGTGGCTGCGAGATTATGTCGACCAATACGGCGAGTAACTACTATCAGGTGCTTCACCATTGTGGCTCTTCGCGCGGGTGATGAGCCTGCAACGTCGCTATGTGTAGTGGGGCCGAACAATAAAGGGGTGCACGCCAAGCTCTACAAATTGGCTAAGAACTGCTTCTAGCCTATCGAACGAGGCCTTACCCTTCAATCCTTTGATTTACTAGAGTATCGAGGCTCAAAATGCATTATCTATTTGTTAAGATCGCTTTCATCTTAGATATAATGCGGCTTTATCTTTTCATTACTAGTCAATGACTAACATGAAGGGCGTTGGACACAGACATTGTTTGGTCATGGACAAAGACATCGCCGGATCTGACATACAAATACCCAGTGGTGCAGCGTCTATCCCGGCCCAGTCAATATTGTCCAACCCAAGAAACAAACGCAAGCTATCGTTGACCGAACCAACTCCTAGGCAAAGATTTCTGCCAAGTTACCTTTGCCATCATCTTTCCTAGGCTCAGCTTGTCGTTTACCCCTACTTTCCGTCATATCCCACACCTGTACCCTATTTTCTTTCAAGCCCACTAACAGCCACCCAACCAAGCGCTCAAGATGCCGTGCGATTGCCGAAAGATTACGAAGGTAGGTCTATGCCGGCACAAGGAGAGAATCGTAGAAAAGTGCGGCGTCGCCGAATTCAAGAGGAACCACTCCTGCCTGGGCGCTCTATTCCCCAAATGCCGACCTCTCAAGCGAGCGCTGCACATGAAGCGCGTCTGCAAGGTATGCCACCAGTACTTCGCCGACCGCTTCGACGAGGAGGCCCCTCGTATCGTCAAGCAGTTCCTCGCTTACAAGGAGCTGAAAGGCTGGACCAAGGCGGCCATGGACCCCGAGAGCATCCCCGCCGAGTGCTACCTCGACCCTAAGGAAAAGGCGCTGTGGCGCCTCAAGGGGACCCAGCCGTTCCGCGCGAAGAGCCCGATGGCGTACAGCGGTCCGCTGGGCCCGCTGCCTCCTGTTCCGTCGTACCTTGCACCGACCCCTGATGAGGCTCAGGAGAGGTTTAAAATGCTCATGAACACCAGTGAGGACAATCTCAACAACCCCAGTGTCGAGAGCTTCGATCTTGCGGCGAGGGGAGAGTTGCCCAGCGACTACGATTACAGCCCTGAGACCAGTCATCGTAAGAAGGCCAGGACGCACAACTACCCCCCAGTTGTCGAGCATGGAACTGGTGAGATAATCGATCTGGACGACCTGGTTGATGCTGAGCCCGAGTATGTGCCGGCTCCCCAGGCCAAGGTGTCGAAGCCCGCACCGGTAGTGTACCATCAGCAGCCGCACCAAGCCCTGACGACCGAGAACCTGGCCGGCAACACCGTCCTCTACCATCCCAAGCCCAAGATTAGGGCCCTCAGACACGTCGGCCCGAAGATCGAGCAACCCGACTCAAAGGAGGAAGAGCTGTCGGAAGTCTCTCTCGTCAAGAGACTCACCCAGAACGCGGCCACGATGCGCATTGAGGGCTACGCGACCCCCGAGCCCGCCAAGGCTTTCAACCTGGAATCCGCGCCGCGCGGTCGCCGTGGCCGAACTCCCCCCCCCGGCCCCCGTAGACCGTCGCACTCCTCGCGCCCGCAGCCCCCTCGTTCCTGCCCTCCTGCGCACAGCGCCCTCAACATACTTCGTGCACGCCTCGCACGACCGGACCTCCCCAACAGGGTCTTCAGTGCGGGGCGTCTCAGTGCCGCCCCCGCAGCGCCTCGACGGCGTCTTAGTGCCCGTGCCCGTCTGCGAAATCCACGGCGACCGCCACGATTTCGACTGCCGCGACTGTCGGGGCCACTACTTCAAGGAGGTGGGCGTGCCGTCCGACCTGCACCGGCTTGGGTGCCGCTCGACCCCGCCCCAGGTCGGGCTGGTGAGTGTCAGTACCCCCGTGAGTAAGTACTCGTGCGCCGTACAGGCCTGCTACTGCGATGGTAGTGATGACGACGACGACAAGTGTCTTTCGTGCCACGAGCGCGAGCGGCTTGGGGCCGAGATGGAGAGTGACTGGATTTGAAAGACCCTGGAGGCCGGTGAGTGAGTGAGTATCTTGGCGACCATGTCCATGTCGGCTGGTTGGTGGGTAACGGTAAGTCTTTTCGTTGAGTCTTTCTTTTTCAAATTTTCATGGTGGAGCTCGGACGAGCTATCTCTGCGTAGTTGCTTTCTCTTGTACTTGTATTGCTAGCGAGGTGCGCTGGATAGCATCCCACAATATCATAGTTGATTGATACCTTTCGAATAAGACAATATGAAATCCAACAAGTGACGGTATCTCGTAGTGGCGGTGAAGGCAAGAGATGAAGGGGGAACTACCTTCTCCTTGGCGGACAATCATGGTCACAGATGATGAAGAGGCAAGGCGGTCTCCTGATAAGGAAACCTTGACATCATGTCCGTTCAGTTGGGGTCGCATCTCCCTGATCGGTGGCAGAAATAGGGTATATTTTATGTCCAAAAATGAAAGTCCAATAGATAGAAACAAGATCACTACCTCTCCTTGACCGGGTGCAGCAGCATAGGTGGCAACGGTCGACCCTCCTTGTACGCTTGCCATGTCTGCCCGGCAGCAGACTCCTCCCTGAACCAATAGCTCGCATCCCACCAAGGCGTTTCCACAAATCCGATCTTTGAGTAGAGCAGCGTGGAATACTCGCCTCCGGCCCTACTATGTGGCGGACCCTTGTGGATGTTGGCATCCAGTTCCTCCGCTCCGAACTGCTCGGTGAAGATGATGGGCTGCGGGACCGCCACGGCCTTCAGCCCGTGCAGGAGGGCAAATGTTTCCAGTATGGATTCGCTGACGACCCACTGGCCTCGTTCTCGTTGGGCATCGCTCACGAGCTGTAGCAGACGTCGCGATGAGCGGGTGACGCTCACTACGGCAGCGCGTCGCGGTGTTGACAGTCCTTCCGCGAAGCCGTTGACATTGCCCTCATATATCCACTCCGTGCCCACAGGGTCGAATATGGGCATGAAGGTGATCAAGTCGGCATCTTCACCGATACCCCAATCACGTTCCGTGCGGGACGGTGGTTGAGGGCCTTTGGGAGTGAAGCCCGGACTGAGTGCTGGCCCCCAGACACCCGCGTCGCCTATCTCGGTGTCGACGGCGTCGACGAAGTTCTCGTACGAGTTGTTATGGAGAGCAGGGATGAAGAAACGTCCATTGCGCTCCCAGAGGTTACGCCGAGGTTGGGCGCGGGTAAACGTTGAGGCTGATTCCAGTGTGTCGTGGACGTGGCCTGTAAAACGCAGGTCCATCTCCAACTGCCAGACGTAGTCGTACTGTTGGAACTTCTGTGAGAATATCTGAAGTGCCTGGTACATCTGGTCTTGCGCTCTAGTAGCCCAGGAAAAGTCAGCTGATGTACTTCTGAGGGGGTACTGTTCACATATACGGACCCGTGCTCTTCGACTAGGGGATACCAAGCCTTCAATGTTCTTTCATTGAACAGAAAGGCCATCTCACGGAACTCCTCCGGGACGTAGTCCCTCATCGCTTGCTCGTAGGCAGCATCGTCTTCCTCCAGGTTGATGTCAGGGTTTTTGACGTGGACAAGGAGAAAGATCTGGTATCTTCCAACGCGCTGCAGAGAGACCTCGGCAATGAGCGCACGCAACCAGGCAAGTCTGTTGTCGGTGTACTCGTAAGTGTCCCACGACCGGAGCACAACTGCCGTTCTGCCTGTGTTCTCCGGTTGTGAGGCTTCGACTTCGGAGCCGGGCGCATCGGCAGGTTTGCGCCATGTCATGTCCATCTGGCTGTCAAGGGGTGACAACTTGTATTCCGCTGCAGCGCATCGGGTCTGTACATGGCCTACGAGGGTGTGTCAGCGAAGGGTGTGCGTTTGAACGGCAGGGTCAGAGGCTTACCCCATCTCACTTCGAACCAGTTGCGGCCGGGGATATAGTAGTATTGGTCCAGCCGGGAACCGGGCTCAAGACATCGCCGTGGGTTCCCGAGCGCGCTGACGTCTCCCAAAAGAGGTGACAGGATGGTGTCGTCGCAATCGGTGTGATTAAGGTGGTCTTGACTGTAGTCATGGCCAGGCCAAATCTGACACGCAGCGGGTAGGGCAACATGAAGCACGGGCGACTGAACCGAAATGTCATCCGAGAGGAAGAGAAATGGGCGTGACAGCAAAAGAACCATCAATACGACAGCGGTGACTACCGTGAAACGTCGCGCAGTGATGGCTGACATGACACGACGCGGGGCATGCATAGGTATCAATGAATCGTAGTATTTGGGCATATCAAATGGACGGAGGTCTGGACGGCAGGCATCTCTCCCTCTTAAAAGCTGTTCGGGCGCTGATGCGGTATTAGGGAGGCATCCTCTGGCCTTTTCTACTCGGACGGACTGACGGGGTGGAATGAAAGGTGCGTCAGCGATCAGCTGAACCGGCACAGCCTTCCTTCAGCGACCCATCCTTACCAGAATGATAGAATCCTATCATTCCTATGGATGGTACACACATGCAGTTAAGGCAGAAGCGTACAGGCAACAAGGATTGTAACCGCTAGCATCTTTATGGGCCCATGGCCCCCACAACATCCCCTGTGTCGTATCGATGCACCTAGATGAAGCCCAAATGTACATGCTCTGAGATCTTCCATCATTGCTATTTTAACAAGTCATAGATAATGCTATGTGTAAGCACCCTAGAAGCATGTGTATTTGCGCTTCCTCCAGCTGTGTCAGTACACGTCGATAGAACTGGGGCCGTGGAGACCATAGAACCGTGCCAGCTAACCGCCAACCATGTGTTTCCCCTAAGCATGTTGGTTGTAGATATGCAGGACTGTTTGTGTAGCAGTCAGTCCTGTCGGCTCCCGATAAAGACGGCATGGACGCTGGTGCCGGGACGCACCAGCGCCTTTCGGCTACAGCTCTCATTGGACCGGCCGGGAGCTCCACAACCCATCACCGTTGCATCGGAGAGCCACCAGCATGGTCCCGCCTTGGCCCGGGCCATGCAGAGCGCATGGACAGACGCTAAGCGGGGCCGGCCAGCGGCCGGGGTGACCCTGTAGCGCTAGTTTCACAGTCTGGATGTCCCGTCGCACCTGTAGGGCCCTTGTATGCTTATTTCCACAGTTGCGGTGAGTTCAACCAACATCACCAGCATCACAATTCGGTCAACGGTCGACGGTCGAGGGGACGGGAAAAAGCGCGGTGAGGCGCTTTATATTGCAGATATCTGCTCTGCTCTGCCCCGCGACTTGCCCGTGGACACGGGGCACGGCACCATTCATTCGTCGACTCCTGACACCGTACGACGAACGCCGCCATGACGAACCTGGGCCCGCTCACCACCGTCTTCACGCCCAGTGGCACGGATTGCTCCTGAACCTTCATCGGTGCCAATGGGAACAACGAGTGGGCACAGTATGGTGTAGGTGGGCCCGCATCATCTGCCTGCCTGCCCAGTAGTTTTCAACCTTTCGACAATTACTTCTATTCGCCTGGGCTCTGTCCATCGGGCTATACTACTGCCTGCCAATCCCAAATTTTCATAACAACAGGCTCGACAACGCAAACGAAGGCCACTTGTTGCCCCATGTACGCACAGTCCACCATATTATCACGCGTCCTCTCCGACTCATGACAGCGAGTTGTCTTCGAAAGTTGAGGGTTGCTTTCCTACACAGTACAGTCTGCTAACCGTTGGCAAACAGCTCCTTCTCATGCCGCGATGATCGCGGCGATGATTCTTTTGCCTGCTTGTCGTGCTTTGACGGTCCCTTGACGCTGACAGTCAGCACCTATTTCTTCTCGACCAACTCGGCGGGGGCGACGACTGCGTTCCATGCGGGGACGACGACACAAGTTTGGGGGAGCCAATGCATCAGAGCCTATGGCCCAGTCATACATGCACAGGACGGAGACGTATTCGCCACCGCTTCGACTACTGTTTCGTCGTGGTCCACCCAAAGTGACTCCAGCACGACCGCGCCCACTACGTCCGCTCCCACTACGTCGACTACGCCAACTTCAGCGGCTGACAACGAAGGGTCCAGCTCGAAGGGATTGAGCAGCGGCGTTGCAGCCGGGATTGGAGTTGGAGTGGGGTTGGGAGCAATTCTGTTGATTGGGACCATTGCATTCCTATTGATGAGGCGGCGAAAGCAAGTACCGCAGTCAGAACCCACTGCTCAAGACAAACCACCCTTCCAACCTGAGCCCAAGCCTCAACTGCATCCATGTCAGCCGCATCCATACGAGCTGTACTCGGACAGAGATCACGACAGGTCGTCACAACCCTCAGAGCTCGGGTGACAGGTACATAGTGTTTGGCCATGAGATCTTTGTCGAGCGAGTTTGTTTCTTGGGTTCATTTAGAAGCATCGGCGGTTGTCTTTCTTCCAATTCCCAACCCTGAAGGCGGTCTGATTTTTAGGTGTTAATTATGGTAACTTTTGTTCATGTTGGGTTAGTAAGACTCATTAAGTGAGTAAATCTTGTACTTGTCATTTCCATTATGTCTATTGTATTCAATTCAGCTTAAATCAACCCGTTTCAGCCACGGAGCTCTCCTTCTTGACAAAATGATGATTATGACGTCTTTCCCTCTCCTCGAGGAGCGATTGCCTAGGCAGGTAGTAAAGCAAACGGACATCTGCTTATTTAGTCCCGGTGAAGGAACCACTGAATGCGACACACCCCCTAGACTTCGTCGTTGCTCGAACGAAGGATATAGGTTGGTTGTTGGTAGGAAATGTGGAACAGGCAGATGTGTGCCTAATAATAATACTGGGGCCGTGGCTGATCCCGACTCCTGCAGTCCTGTTCCTAGCAGCTCCTGGTTCCTGATACTGTGCATGATGGCTGTGCCTTCATATAGCACTGACAAAGAGACTGTTTGATAAGGCTGTAAGCACCAAGTCACCAACATATCAATTACGTGATTGAGAGAGTCAGAGCTCTGTTCTTTGGACTTGGACTTGGACCTCGGATGGCTTGCCTTATCGACACTGTAAGGGTATCGGGTATCTTGAGTATCCGAACTTGACAGCTTGAGTCTCTCGATGGAGCGAAGGAAGGGGCACAGCTCCAGCTGGATTGATGTAGGATTCGAGTGACGCGCGCTTGAGCGGAGCCGCAATGTTGGAACTTAGGTACCTATTGAAGGGACCCACGGGTCACGGCCGGTCGACTAAGGTACCTACAGCTCTCATTGGTTCAGCCGGGAGCACACAACCAATCACCGTCGCAGCGGACGCCGGAGACCCAGCGCATGGGCGGGCTGCACCGGGCGGCTGGCAGTCTAATTATAGTAGAAAAAAACGGATATCGGCTTATCTAGTCTCGATGAAGGAATCGCTTATTGCGACCATACCCCCAAGATTTCGTCATCTTTCGAACCAAGTAAATAAGGTTATATTTAGGCTTGGGTTTCGAGTGGCTTGCCCTTTTGACGGACGACACATCGACACCCTTGAGGGTCTTTGGAGTATTGAACCTTTGGGGTCTTTTGGTTAAGGACTTACTAGAGACGCTGTCTATTGTATATTTGTATTTAACCTGGCCAGGATGACCCCGCTCCAGCATGGGCTACTCATCGCCGGTTCGCTGGCATGAGCCGCTTACTGGCCATAGGGGCATTGTTCTTTCATAATGCATTTGTGGTACCTGTTCACTCAAAGACAGGACCCCTTTCGGGGCTCTGGAACGGCGGGACAGGCTCTTTGATGTGAAGGGGTGCTTTGAGAGACCATCGCACAATGCTTGAACAATGGAATAACACTAGAGGTGATGGATTTAGGGGAAAGTGAGTGGGAGAAGTGTTTCTGGATGATGGGACTGCCATGATGAACGTGCTGTATATGTCGATCCATATTGGCACTATTCCCAGCTACAAACCCAAGGGACGATACTGATGGAAGCTCATGGCGCTGCTTGAGCAGCTCAGCAGAGCAGGCCTCACGAACGTTGGAGCTATACATCTAGGCAGGGCGCCACGCAAGCTTAGCTGTCATCACTCAAGGAGAGGACAAACTATTTCAATGTTATGCGTTTCCGGATCACTTAAATGCGTCCCTCCTATCATTGCAGCAGGGCTATGATGTGTCTGGGCCAAGCCTCCGTCTCAACGCCCGAGCGTTGGGAGGCATAACCATCCTAGTACTTAGTGTTGTCCGTTATCAGTCAGACAGCAGCTCCCAAGACCCCAAGCACCTGGAAAGTCTGGATCAAGGGCGTCGCGTCCGCCTGCGTGATTCGGAAACGGACCCGGCTCGTCTCGACAGTCGCGCTCAGCCTGTCGATGCGCTTATAGCCGAGAGACGTGCCTGTGATGAGTGTCTCGAATGTGCCATTTGTGATGGCGTCAATTGCATTACCCACCAATGCGCTGACCGAGAGCGATGTGTTCCTGGAGGATGAAAGCGTTGACGGTATACACGCCGCCCAGATCGACTTCCAGCCAGCCGCTCGTCTCCGAGTCGTCCATCGCCTAGTACGTATCGCCGTCGCCGTCAAGCACATTGGATGGTCCGTAAAGCGCGGAATTGCCGCCGCGAATGCTGCTCGCATTGACGGCAATGGACGACGTGAGCAGCTCGCGGTTGAGAAATGCATCACGCTGAGCCCTGAAATCCAAAAATATGTCCACGTCAGCGGCCGGGATCTGCCCCGTCGTGTCAGGAGGGACGTCGAGCAAGAGGTTCACGCTCCGTCCCACCCAGCTCAGGTACATCTCCAACAGGGCATCGGCCGTCTTTGATGTCTCGTTGGCGTGGTAGAACCAGCCATCCCGCAGGCGCGCGTCAGCTTCGGCAGGCGTCCAGTACGTTCCGCCTCGCACCCCAGTCTGCAGCTCGCCCTCACTGTAGCGCTCATCGTCCTGGGTCCGGTTGATGGAGTGCCAGTTCGTAGCCACCGTCCACCCGTCCTCGTTGCCGACCCAGCGGGCATCGACGCCCTGGTGGCCCCACATGACCGCGTTGGGCTGGTATTCGCGGATGATATCGCGAAACAACGTCCAGTTGAACGTCTGCACCGTGTCGGACCCGCTCGCGCCGTCGAGCCACAGCTACGACAGCTCGACGGCCGAGCCGTCGTCCAGCCGCATCGAGACCAGCTCCGTAAGCTGCTGCGCGTAGAACGCGTTGTAGTCGCCCGGGCTGTCGTCACCGAAGATCTGCGGCTCGTCGTTGGGCGTGCCGGCCAGGTGCGCCTTTGGCAACGCCGCGTCGCGGTGGATGTCCCACGGCGACAGGTAGATGCCGAAGCGAAGGCCGTGCTTCTTCGCAGAGGCGGCCGCCATGCGCGCCAAGTCGGCATCGAGGCCCTGCTCGACTCGGTCTCGTGCCCACGCCCCGCTGCCGATCTGGTATGTGGTCGTGTTCGTCTCCCATAGCGCCATGCCGTCGTGGTGTTTCGCCGTCAGGATCATGCCTGCCATGCCGGCGTCGGCGAAGGTTTTCGCCCACTGGTCTGTATCCAGCGCCGTCGGACTGAAAACATCAGGCGTGCTCTGGCTGCGCCCCCACTCTTCGTCAGTGAATGTGTTGTGCCCAAAGTGTATGAAGGCGTAGAGTTCTAGCCGCTGCCAGTCGAGTTGTCGCCAGGACGGCGTCCGCAAGTACGTGGAGGGCGGAGCTTGAGCAAGCACCGCAGCCGCCAACCAGCTTAGGGTGCCGATGAGCAGTATTGCCCATTGGCGGCCTGGAGAATCCCGTGCTCTTGACGGCATCGCCGACTAACAACGGGATAGGCTGAGGCACCTGAGAGTTGAGTATTCTGTGGTTTTAGTTTGGACTTCTCTATACCTTTACCATTTTGCAGGAGACGTGTAATAAGACTGCGAGTACAGCAACATGTCATCAGCTCAAAGCGATGTGCCTATATGCCGTCGGAAGTATGCCCCCCTCATCTCTTTGATGCCGAGCCGGGTGGCAAACTCCTTCAGGAAGGTTGGTGGCCGAGGAGGGGCAACGAATTGTGGAGATGATTGTGGCATTTACCGTGATTCGCTTGATATACTTGCAGGTCTGCTGAGTGAAGTCCAGCAGATACAACAGCAGTGCCACGATCTCAGCTTGATGTACCTAAACTTGTACAAATGGAGGATCCAGAGTTCAGTCGGGGACTCGGGCTGTGTTCTTTGTCCGAGGTGCTGCTTTCCTTGATCAATTGCCAGGACTGGGTGGAATTTCTTCTCACCGCACATTAAGGCGCCCTTTTCAAGAGTTGTGCCCTCTGCATGTCGAGTTGAAGGTAGAGACTTATCTTCGATGCAGACTTGGAGTGAGAATTCGGAATGCGCCAGCCACCTCCAAGTCCCTGGAACATTGAAGTATGTCAAGTTTGTGGCTGAGGCTGAGGCTGAGGCTGAGGCTTACTAAGCCACAGGCTGTCCAGATCAATGTCAGCTTCTGTTTCAGATGGACTTCCGTTTCTTTGACCCCGAACCAGCAATTCAGCAAGACCTCCAACCGCGTCGTACCAAGTGATCAGACTGGACTATCGTGATTCAATTACCTACTCATATCTGGGTAACTTCTCGATCATGACCCGCCTTCTTGATCTTCCTCCGGAGACCTTGATTAACACCCTGAAGTTCCTGGCTGAGGTCGACTTCTCGTGCTTGATCCGGGCGCAGTTGACCTGTCAAGCTTTCCAAAGCATCATTCGAAATATCGTGTTTGGCAGAGGGGCGGCATCTGGGAGTCCTTCAGTCCACAGTCTACTGCGGAGCAAGTTTCGCGGACTGTTCGACTCGAAAGACTGGAAAGGCTTGACCTCCCCCTATGATGGTGATCCCCGCACGCGTTTCCGCCAGTTGCCGTGGGCTGCGACAGACTCTACACGCGCTCCGTGGCTTCGGCCTGACGCGAGCTGGCGACAACTGAGCGTCACGGCTCTTCGGCTACCAATCACCCACCTCGACCTACTGAAAGCATCCTCCTCCTGGGGTCGCACATCGTTGCACTATGCTCAAGTTGAACTTCCACCTCAAGGTCTGACAATGGGGCTGTTCTACGACCTTTTGCTCTCGGGGGCGTCGTGCGGTGGCGATATATCGTCTTGGCAGCTCGTGCTCGGCAAGAAGCTGGAGAGCTACGATGAATGGCAGCGGATGAATAATCGCGGTCTCTACGGTCCTTCAGACAACCAATTACGATCGCTTTTCGTCGAGGACGGTAGTTCGAAGCAGTCTGCTATATTCTTTACGTCGAGTTCTTCTGGATGTGTTCTCCCGAGCTGGTCTCTCGAAGAGCTTGAGGCTCAGGCCCAGCTGTGGCAACCTCGAATCATTGGTGACCACCCACCGAAGTGTCTGCCCTGGCAGGGGACGTCGCTGAAGCCAGACACTACCTACGCTGATCAGGTATATGTGGCTGCGATGAATCCTCTTCCAGATGAGGAGGATGACCTCTAGAGTCTGGTTGCAACAGAAGCAAAAGCCTGGGTGTCGTGTGGCTTGTCTCACATTCGGGATCAACCTTTGCTGTCTTTTCGAAAGCGGTGGTGAAGTAGATTTACCGCAGGGGCCCCAACCGCATCCCCAACGATTCCAGGATCCTCAACCCGAACTACCTAGTCAACCACCTCACAGGCTAACACGCCAACATTTGGGACCCACGAATTGTCTGCCCCGGGCCGTATCGAACGAAGGCTAGCGAGCACGCGCTCCATTGCTTGTGACACATCCAAACCGAAGGCGTTTGCTGGGAACAGCGGGATACCCGCGGAGTTGTGGGGGCAAGCATTTGTGCATTGGTCGTTGCACACATGGCCAAACCGAGGATGCGTAAACGGTCTCACCTCAACGAATCGCATACGCCCATCAGGGGCATAGAATGTGAGCGGCGGCACATATTCGCCGTCCTCTGCGCCTTTAGCGTCTGTATCGCCTCCATCGCCGTTCGAAATGACAGCAGAGGAGGCGGACAACGGCAAGGAATCGGATTCGTTCGCAGTAACACAACGTCTTATTGCTTCCGAACGAGCATAGAGATGCTTCATCATGTCCTCGCGCAGGGTGCAGCGTGCATCTGGAACCCAGTCCAGACGGTGCATACTATAATCGATGAACCAGACCTTATCCACGCCACGAGCCCCTAACTTCCAGATTTGTTTCGCATAGTCTCGTGCGGCAAGTGAGGGGTCGTATACTATCGCCACGTGTGAGATCTTCTTCCGGTCGCAGTGTTGGGAGAGCGGCAGATAATCTTTCAGTTCTAGGATCAGGAAAAACGAATGCCCAACTTCATACTCTGCGGCTGAATGATAACGAGGTCTCGCTCGGCCTGGATACCAAAGTAGCGTGGTGCAGCCTCGGGTTCGTCCCGCATGATGAACGAGGATCCAGCGTGCCCTAGACGCCTCCGAATCCGCGCTCGAGACTCTTGACACGCGGTCCAGAGGCCTGCATCGCGGGCGTATGTCGAGGGGTTGGAGGACCTCATCCAGAGAGAACTGCATGAGGGTTCTTTGCCCATGGAACTTCTGAAAAGTTTTCCCGCCACTGAGCCAAGTTCGAGAGGGTGAAGTTGCCTGCCCGGAAGGAATTGCCCAGAGACAATCTGCTCCACCACCGGCGACCTGTCCTCGTTACAGCATCCGCGCTCTTCATCGCGAACCGAGGCGCTGTGATATAGCGTCTCCGGGGTGTAGTATTGCCCCTCCAGATCTCCAGGAACAGGCAGACGAGGGCGTTGTTGATCCGGAAATAGTGCACGCGGCACGCCGGGGACGTCGGGGCGGATGGCAATGTCCCAGATCATGTCCCGAATCCCCTTGGGGAGCTCGCTGAAGCGAGGAAAGGTGGTAGCCATGTTGGTAGATGGGCACTTGTGAGTAGTATTTATCATATATGATGCTGCAAGGGAACGCTACGTCGCGTGGAGAAGTGAAGAATATATCTTCTGTGTTTTCGAATGAGACCTAGCTGAATATCAATGTTTGATGAGTCTTTTATTCCGAGGTAGGATGAACCTGGTGTAAAGAGGCTTGCTCGAATCTGGGTGGATCCGGGGGTGAGTCAAATGTTGAATTTATTAGTAGGATAGCAAGCCAAGTTTTTCGTGCTCAGTCAAACTTTGAGTTTGGTCTCATCTGACCTGTTACCTTTTGAATCACTTGTCTCCTCCGTCCAGCCCACCTTTTTCCTTTCCAGGACGTAAAGAAACAGCTCATGGTGAGCTTGAACTAAGGAGCCAGGCACGTACACAAGACCTTTGAAAGTCCCCACCTTACACTCGATGGCCAAGATTCTATGTATCAAGATAGTGCTAATTAATTACGGAGTGAAGGCTCTGTGATCAGCATCAAGTATAATATATTTGCACGTGAAAGCTACTTGTAGACTGCATTAACTCCCACTATATTTATGAAAAAGAGGTGCGTGGACGGAGACTTGTGAGGTGCTATCTTAAAGAGTATGTACCTACACACAGTAGCTTCACAGTCCAAACGTGGGACGTTGACGTACTCAATACTTACTCATACTCCAGTCGAACGCAGAAGGTATTCCGACATGTGACTATGCGTAACGTCGTAACAGGCCCCCGTTCCCCAGTAGCCTGATTCTCAACGCACACGAAGACATCATAGTTGCTAAGTCCCCATCGTATGGCATCATCCAGTGCGGGCAGTGCAGTAGGTGCTTGTGATAAAAGGCTTTATTGAAGGGTTGTGCTGTATTATATTGAAAAAGAGAAGACTGAGATACTGGAAAAGAGGAGACTGAGATATTGAAAAGAAAAAAACTGAGATATCTGCCTGACATCGAAACCGGCTTTCAACACGAACGCACTGCGCTTACTTCGTACCCCAGCACGTCAAGCTCGCCGTATCGCCGATCATGCCCGGCAGGCAGAGAGCGTTGATGGACTGCGAATTGTCAGCCGCGGCTGCCTCGTCCCCGCGTGCAACCCCGTCGTATAATATCTCGAAACCGGTGTACTGGTCCTGGGCCGCCACGTCGGGCCGGCACGCGTTGCCGTTCGCGACGTCCATCAATGCCTCGGTCAGCCCCGCCTCGACTTCACCCTGCGTCGGTGAGGAACTCCGAGGCATCAGTGCTGCAATCAAGCCGCAGCCCGTTGACGACGAAGTCGTTGCTCTGCACCGTCATGGCGTCGCGCAAGAGGTGCACCACCCATATATCGCAGGTGAGCACACCCAAGACAGGGTCGGTCCAGGTGCAGGCCGTGTCGTCTCGTGCGGCTAGGGGGGAGCCGGTGGTGGTGGAAGGGATGAGGGCGGCTTGGACGCTGGTGAGGGCCAAGACGGCCGGTGCTAGGCCGGTGGAGAGATGCATGGTGGGTGGCTTGCCGTGATGTTCAGCAGCGGGTTGTTATTGTGCCGTTGAAGTGAATGTTGTTGAAGCGAATGCCGTTGAAGTGAATAGAGGCTGGAGGTGAGGTGGTGAAGGGCCTGTGTCGTCCATCCGTTCGAGACCAAGATACCGTACATCACGAGGCTTATAAACTCCGAGCGCGTGAGATGACAGCTTGATGTTTGAATCCTCGTGTGATTAAGGGGCAGCGAGCCCCTGCCATATTCGTTATGGCGTGGGAGGTTGGAGGATTCAGCTGAAGGAACTCATGGGCTGTTCCTGGTCAATCAATGGGAGCTCCCCTGTGTTTAGGGTTGGGCGTCTTGCTAGATGGGTGAGTAAACACATGTTTCCGCTGTATAGATAAATGAATCCTATAGAGTCTAGACGCATTCACCTACTCAAGGTGGGATCGATTCCATGCAGCGCTGAGGATCGTGGGCTGCTTTTGGGTGAAGGCTCAACAGTGCCACATGCTGACCGTGGCGTAAAGATTCGGTGCCCTACGCTACCCGCGGCACAGCTATACCCCCTTGATGTGAAAGTACGGCACGAACAGTCGACCCCTTGTCACCTTTCCACTGCTACATGGCACCACCGTGAAGTTGGGCGAGTCTGGAGGTATCTCGCTAGTTGGGGGGAGTTATTTTCATCGTATTGTTGGCTGTTGCCCCTGTGTCGATGTCCGTGGCGTACTCTCGCATTAAGCGGACCGCATGCTATGTGGCCACCTACGTAGGTCATACATCTACACTTTATACCACAGTTCAACAGTTCAAGTGATTTTAGTGAAGTGCACTCACTGAGATAACGTTAAACCTCATGGTGTTTGGGCGCTGCTCAAACCGAGCTTGGTGCCTGATGGAGATAGCTTCATCTCTCCAGTTGCCTCGATGGATCTCTCATAGATCAGTTTGAAATTCTAGGAGTCGAGAGGAGCCTGGAGCCTGTCGTTTCTTCTTATGTGCTGTGCCACTGGCTCTATTTTGCCCCAGCTCACAGAGGACCAAGAAAATCAGGAACGGCGGAGTGGGACAGGCATCGTTCCTTCTTGGCAGGGCATTCCCTATCATATGCATAGAATAGAGATGGGTTAGGAACAAGCCGAACGCTGAAGCAGCACGGTCAGAATCTGGGACTTTTGGATATGATCAGTGGACGCTTTAGTGGCATCTCGTCGTCGTTACCAGCACGCCAACAAAAAACGCCTCGCGATTCCAGCAGGACGCAAGTGACTGCAACAGACTGGGAACCTCACCTTGGCCATATCTCGTCAGGAAATCCTTCTAGTTCTTGATGCCCACTCGGCTCGAGTGGCACAGTTGCCTGCATAGCGAAGACTTTGTGTATTCCTGAATATTGGCAGAACCACATCACTCCGGGGTTTCTCTCGTATAATTAACTCCCCCAGGTTTTTGATCGGACGATCAACATGCGACCTGGCTTCCCCGGATTCACAGCCAATGAACCACACAACGTCCCACAGAACCACATCACCATACAACGTTCCTCGCGTTTCCGTTCGTGGAATCTCCTACTCGAAAGCGGCATGCGCGCCTTGCTGGCCCTGAAGCTTGATATCGGGGTGCGAATACGTTATGCCACTGGGAAGCAACACGCTTCCGAGGCCCTGATGGTTTCGATACCAAAGACGAGGGAGAGTCGTACCGCTAGGTGATCCTCCTGGCGCAAGCAACCCACGAAAGAGCCAAGTCGTCAGCACAGCGAGTGCGCCGCCATTTGCGGTGAATCTGAACACGGCAACCTCGCGTGTACAGTGCTCAGGCGAACAGTCTGCTGGTTAAGTTGATGGTTGAGAAGGTGAAGTATGATGGACATATGGTGAACCGTTGCACACATCCCCCGAGGCAGTTTGGAGTTCTTGACGGCTGCTAGAGTGTTGGTCTCTTCGTAGCTTACGCAAAGTGATATCAGCCTGGGTTCTAGGTTGTGAACCTGCGCCTGAGCAGAACGAATCTGGGTGAGGTGTATGAGGGACGATACCGCACTATGCTTTTTCATGTTGGGAGTCATAAAAAAGGGTACCGTATCAAGCAGGGACCCGAGACTGCCGAGTCATGAGATGATGCATCTGGGCGACATATGTACTTAAATAGTTTATGTACTTAAGCGGGGTATGTGTGATGACCGTCTTTCAGATGACGTAGTGTCGAACTCCTTCTTTGCGGCCCCACCAGATTCGGGTGCGGCATACATCTCACAACGTCAGTCTTTCTGAAAGTCATCCATCTCTCTGAAAGTCCGCGGGCAGTCTCACTGCATGGTAGGAAAGAAAAGGAAAACACAACGGCTCAGCAAACATGAAGCAGAGATTCTCCTCTCTAGATGTCAAGGCCAGTATAACCAGTTCTGCGCCCCGTGCCTGTGTTCCTCGCGCATAGCGTTGCTGACTCGAGTCTCTCCTACAGGTCATCGCTCATGAGCTTTCCAAAAGTGTGGTATCCCTTCGACTCTCCAATATCTACGACCTCTCCTCCAAGATCCTCCTCCTAAAGTTCGCCAAGCCCGAGGTCAAGAAGCAACTCCTGATCGATTCCGGCTTCCGATGCCATCTTACCGACTTCGTGCGTACCACGGCCGCTGCCCCCTCCGTGTTTGTCCAGAAGCTGCGCAAGGCTCTCAAAACCCGTCGCGTCACCGCCATCTCGCAGATAGGAACCGACCGCATCATAGAGTTGAAGTTTAGCGATGGCCAATACAGATTATACCTGGAGTTTTTCGCTGGCGGAAACGTCATCCTGACCGACAGCGAGCTCAAGATCTTGACCCTGTTGCGCCATGTGCCCGAGGGGGAGGGCCAAGAGCCGCAGCGCCCTGGCCTAACATATTCGCTTGACAACCGCCAGAACTACGGTGGTGTCCCCGACTTGACAAAGGACCGCTTGCGAGCTGCGCTACAGACCACCGTCGACAGGAATGCTACTTCAGTCGTGGCCGGCAAGAAAATCAAGAAGAAGCCTGGCGACGAATTAAGAAGGGGGCTTGCCACCACCATCACCGAGTTGCCTCCCATACTAGTCGACCATGCGATGAGGGTTACCGGTTTCGACTCCAAAGTACAGCCCGCAGCTGTACTAGAAAATGAGGCTCTCCTGGATCAGCTCCTACGGTCCCTCGAAGAAGCTCGGAAGATCGTCGAGGACGTGACTAGCTCTGACACGTGCAAGGGATACATATTAGCGAAAACAAGACCAGGTTCAGAGAATGTGCAAGCCGAACCCTCCGAGGGCGAGCAGCAACCGAGGAAGGGCTTACTCTACGAGGATTTCCATCCGTTCCTACCTCGGCAGTTCGAAGAGGATTCAGCTTACACTGTCCTCACATTCGATAATTTTGATAAGATGGTGGACGAGTTCTTTTCTTCTCTCGAGGGCCAGAAGTTGGAATCACGCCTGACTGAGAGAGAAGCTGCTGCGAAGCGAAAGTTGGATGCCGCGAAGGCCGATCAAGCAAAGAGGATCGAGGGTCTGCAAGCAGCTCAGCAACTCAATATCCGGAAAGCCAATGCTATTGAAGCAAATATCGAGAGGGTCGAGGAAGCTATGGATGCCGTCAACGGGTTGATACACCAAGGCATGGACTGGGAAGATATCGGCAAACTGATTGACAGAGAGAGGCGGCGGAACAACCCAGTGGCTTCCATTATCATCCCTCCACTGAAACTTCACGAGAATACGATAACCGTACTGCTGGGTGAAGCTGAAGCCGACGAGGATGAAGACGATGAAGATGCCTACGAGACCGATTCATCCATGTCCACGGACAGTGGTTTCGCTAGCAGTGAGGCTTCTAGAGGAAAGAGCCGAGAGACCCGGCTCGCAGTCGACATCAACCTCGGCATCTCTCCCTACAGCAACGCGGAAGAGTATTACGATGAGCGAAAGACGGCTCTCGTCAAAGAGCAAAAGACTTTGCAGCAATCAGAGACTGCGCTGAAGAGCGCGGAGCAAAAGATCACGGCCGAGTTGAAGAAGGGATTGAAGCAGGAGAAACCGGTTCTTCACCCGGTTCGACGACAACTATGGTTTGAAAAGTTTATCTGGTTCATCTCGTCCGATGGCTACCTTGTTCTTGGCGGCAAAGATGCTCATCAGAACGAGATGCTGTACAGACGGTATCTGAAGAAGGGCGACATTTACGTGCACGCTGATCTCCACGGCGCGGCGAGCGTGGTTATCAAGAATAGCCCGAGTACGCCTGACGCCCCGATACCACCTTCAACCTTGTCCCAAGCTGGAAACCTCTCAGTCTGCTCGTCAAGTGCATGGGATTCCAAGGCAGCCATGTCGGCGTGGTGGGTCACCGCTGATCAAGTTTCCAAGTCGGCGCCTGCTGGAGAATTCCTACCTACTGGGTCCTTCATGATACGAGGAAAGAAGAACTTCTTACCTGCGGCACAGCTTGTTCTAGGGTTTGCCTTGATGTTCAAAATTAGCGAAGAGAGCAAGGCAAAGCACGTGAAGCATCGACTTTACGATGGTCCTTCAGGGACGGAACCTGCTCCAGAAGCCTCGACCTCGGCTGCCCATGCGCATCAGGAACCCGAAGACCAAGAGAGAAATGACATGGATGATGCCAGAAGTGATTCGGGAGACAGTGCGATAGATGTGCAAGAAGATGGAGAGCCGCGAGCGAACCCTCTTCAGTCGTCAGATCACGATGACGAAGAAGACGCTGAACGAGACGCACCGGACGAGCCCGCTCCAACGGAACAAATGCGGGACTTGGCCGTTTCGGAAGAGCCTCCCGCGTCGGACACTTCAAAGATGGAACATGATTCAGGCCTAGAGGATGATGAGGACGACGCGCAGGACACTGCAGGCAACGCAGACACGGCGCCCGCAACCACTTCCGATAACCAGGCATCCGCTGCGTCTGCCAAACAAGCGTCTCAACCGAAGAAACAACAGCCCAAGCGTGGTCAACGAGGCAAAGCCAAGAAAATCGCCGCCAAGTACAAGCACCAAGATGAGGAAGACCGCGCCGCCATCGAAGAACTCATCGGCGCTGCAGCAGGGAAGCAAAAGGCAGAAGCAGAAGCCAAAGCCAATGCAGAGCGCCAAGCACAGGTCGAAGCCACGCAGGCTCGCCGACGAGCACAGCACCAGCGGCAACAGCGGGAGATAGCGGAGCACGAAGAGGTGCGGAAGCTCATGCTTGACGAAGGCATGGAGACGCTCGACCCGGACGAGGTCGCCAGCCTCACACCTCTAGACTCCATCGTCGGCACGCCACTGCCCGGCGACGAGATCCTCGAGGTCATCGCCGTCTGCGCGCCCTACAGCGCCGTGGGACGGTGCAAGTACAAGGTCAAGCTGCAGCCGGGCGGGCAGAAGAAGGGCAAGGCCGTCAAGGAGATGCTCGAGTCCTGGAAGGCCGTCTCGGCCAAGAAGGGCGTCGTCGACGACCAGAGCCTCGACAAGGAGAAGATGTGGCCGAGGGAGGTCGAGCTCATCAAGGCCGTCAAGCCCGAGGATATTATTAATGTCGTCCCGGTCAAGAGTCTGAAGGTCATGGGGAGTCGTGTCGCCAGTGGAGGAGGCGCGGCTGGGAAGGGGAAGGGTGGTGCTAGGGGGAAGAAGAAGAAATAGATAGATAGTTAGGTGATGGTGATAGTGATATGCATGTAGCTTTGAATACTCACATTTATTGTTGCATGAAAACGCACGGACTACTTTCTTAACCTAGGGTTCTCCTTCCGTGGACAGACAGGCCCGAACGTTTTGGCCGGACCATCATCACTTTGTCACTGACACCTCGTCCCATTTCGCCTTGTTCGTCCCTCGGTGCATTCGAGACCTGACCTGCCCGGCTCGCAACTCGGCTTCAAGGTGTCACGATGTGGAGACTCGGCCTCTTGTCTAACTACTCCGCATGTACTCATCTGTCACTTACTCTTTACGTACTTACCGGTTCAGGCGTCGCGATCGATTGTACGACCTAGAGCTGTCTACTACTGCGCCAGAATGAAGTGCTTTGATTACGGGTTGCTGTAAATAGGAAGCACGTCGGATCACGACAAGATCGGTATTCTGCGTTCATGGGAGAACATATTCCCCATGTGATCGTGCTATACTGTAGTATGGCAGGCACCTCGTCTCCAGGCGCTTCATGTCATGTCATAGATGGACCGTTCTTGAACAATGGGGAGGCTGTTGGCGCGAACTTCGAGAACTATGGAGACTCTGGCTCTGTGGTCGAAGCAGTGCTGTCTGGCTCTGGTGAGTTGATCAGAGCATCAATTACTGAAGAATCCTTGAGAAGGCGTGTACCATCTTTGCCAGCGCTCAGCCGTCCCAACATGACCAGAAGCGCACCTTCTAGGCACTGACCCTATCTAGACTTTCCTGTTCGTGGGTTAGGTCAACGACGGAGGCCGAGGTCGAGAGATCGGGTATCTTGGACAGTAGCTTTCGTTTGGGGAGAATCTATGGGTCTGAAAAGACGTCGGCCTACACAGACTGGACGTGCAATGGTGATGACGGGTGAGATCCATCGTCAAGAAGGCATCGTACCCACATGATACATCAACGAAGCCCATCATGGTTGCCGACCGACCATTTCATTTTTCATGTGACAGAAGCGAAATCTCCGTCGGCCAAATTGATTCTTTTCCAGATTACGAGTCCAAGACGCGTTTGAACGACGCAACCCCTTGTCTACGCCTTCCCCGCTTTTGATCGGATGGTAAGCTGCATAGCGCGTCTCGGCTCCGCTTGTTGTCGTAGCAACGAATTGGGGGTTTGATGGTCAGGGGCTACTAGCCGGGATCCGTCCGGGGGTCGCGCACATCACATCGAGATGCTGCAATTGTCAATCCAGAAATGCCGAGGCGGTGGAAGGGCAGAAGGGACGAGATGGTTGTTGAGTCGAAGACGGGACCAAGGTCAATTTGAACAAATGACACTCGCCACGATCCAAGAATCAATAGGACTCAGGAGTACAGTACTGTGTGAAGGTGCAAGAGAGCCAGCGGCAGCGCGGGTCAAAAAGCGCGGTCAGGCTAGGGGGAGATCGGGGGTGGACACACAGTGCCAGAGTGCTTGCTGCAGCAGGGAAAGCTCAGCTTACACGTCCTCGGCTCTGCATGCGGGCTTGCATGAGTCGCGACGCACAGCCCAATGAACAACAACCACGCCGTTGCGCGTCCATGGAAGATGCTGCTATGGTGCGTCAGCAAGGAGGCGAGGAGGTTGGAATGCGATTGATGCCCAGCCATCTACCTTGTCAGAGTTGCGGTATGGTGTGCGATGGACCATGGTGTTGTATCCCCAGCCACGCCTCGAGAAGCTCCAACCTCTTCAACTGCAACTTTCTGTACATTGGGAACTGATGTCGGTGTTGCAAGTGCAACATGAGGAGAACAACCAATGTCCATTTGCAACTTGGAAGTCACTTTTCCTATGCATATTTGACAGATGCGACACGGCACCAAAGGAAATGATTGAATGTGACAGTTCAATACCTGGTGGCGCCAAGCTGGGGTCCTCGATAGGTCAGATTTCCTACTGTCGTACCTGCTGGACGTGACGGGACAAGCTGTCCCAAACTGCAGGGGAGGTTGGACAGCCGACGATGGAGTGAATCGAGTGAAGGTACGGTGCTATACCTATCCAGCAAACCCGCCCGGATGGACATCCCCGGGCAAAGCAAAGGCTCTTGAAAAGACGACCTCAGGGTTGACCGTTTGGAGTCTGGAAGGGCTCCCAATCGGTTGCCATGGCCCATGAGTTACAGATTATTAGTGGTGGTTAGAGTGGCTCTAGCCTCTGGGGCGGCGGCGGTGGGAACTTGGAAGGGGCGGGGAGCTACGGGCACAGTGCACCGTGCACCCCCGACCCTGGAGCCGCCAAGCAGCCCAAGGACCAAGGTACTACGGAAGAGTCCGAATAGGGGTACGATAAACAGACCGCCCACCCCCTGGATCCACCCGAGTAAACAACACGGCACCACTTGAGCCCTGTACTTCAGCTGCCCACGCCCAGCCACGCCATCTTCCGAACAACACTCCCCCCCAGCCCGGCTCCAGTTCATCTGCAGAACCATCTCTCTCCTATTTCTTGCTCGCCAATCGTCTGTGCTGCCAGCTCACCTCTTCTTCCTCCTCCTCTTCTGATCATCAACCCACCAGTAGTCCTGCCCAACAGCTCACCGCAAGACCGCAAGACCCAACCCGTCTCCGCTCTTCTCTTCCTCTCTGCCCGTCTGCCAGAATAGAATCGAGTCAAGAAGCGCGCCCCGTCCGCCCTTCTCTCTCCCTTCTTTTCTTTCAGATCTAGAAAGAAGAGCAAGAGAAATCTTCTTGATCTTCCTTTCGCCCAGTTCGAAAGGTAGTCGAGAAGAGGACTCTCGCGCACTGCAAAGTCGCCAATCTGGACTTTGAGGCCCGCGTCCCCGTCCCCTTCAGCATCTTCCCTCGCACCTACAAAGACGCCGAGGTCGCGACAACCACAGAGACCCACGAAGAGCTAGAGATCAACCTGCCCGCCAGCCACGACAAGCCCGGACGGGAAGGTCAATACTCTTCTGTCGACGCCTCCGCTCAGCTTCCTCCGCTTCCCCCGCGTCGAGAGCACCGCTACAGCGAAGAAGAGGTCCGTTTCACACGTGAAGAAGAACGTCACCACCGTCCAGGTGTCCACCGCGAGGAGTACTCGTACGAAGAGCACAGGTCAGTTTGAAGATTTATATTTGTTTGGCAGCTTCCATCTGGGCTATGGGATACAGCCATGGACTTCAGATTTCGTGTCTCACTCGGAGCTCTCTGACGGGCTCCATGTGATGACGGATGGGTTGGGTAGCAAGCAGAGCGGAAGCAGGCGAGCTTTGTGACGCGTCCGAGTGGCCATGGCCTCGCACTGTTGTATTGACACAACTTGGTTCGACCAATCTGAAGCCCCTGCTACAATTTCCGTTTTGGATCCCACCCATGACAGAGCTTGGACACCAATGGCCGGGCGTCTGTTGACCAAGTGACAACACAACAAGAGAAGCAATTTTGACTGACCATTGCCCTCGCTCTCCTACAGACCCTCTGCTGTCTACCAAGAGTCTCACCAGTCTCACCACCACCACCATCAACACCAGCACCAGCGGCCACAGAGCAGCTACTCGGAGACTTCCATCGAGGTCGACACCAAGCACAAGCCCCATTACAGCCCAATTGACCGTATCGAGCACGAGTACCGCGCTCGAGTCCAGCCTTCCTACAAGGAGGACATCCGCATCACCGGAACTACCGTAGACGCTCCCGCCCCCCAGCGTCCCTACTACCGGGACCAAGTCCGCGTCACCGAGGAAACCGTTGACGCCGCACCTCGCTTTGCTCCTTCATCTTCCTACCACAAGGACGTGAAGATCACCGAGGAGACGGTTGAAGCTCCCCGCCACAGCTCGGCTTACCAAAAGTCTAGAATGGGATATTACGACGAAGACGGTAAGTTGGACAGTTCATTATATAACTTGCATACACGGTCCACTAACATATCTCGTCGCAGGACACTACCATTCATTCCGCCACGGCCTACACAAGATGGCCGACCGAGTCTTCCACCATGACGGCGAGAGCCACCACTCGCACCAATCCGCCCCCCGCCCGGCCTCTTCGGCCGCCATCCCCAACACCGTCACCATCCCCTGCCACCACATCCGCATGGGCGACATCCTGATGCTGCAGGGCCGCCCCTGCCAGGTGATCCGCATCTCGACCTCGGGCGCCACGGGCCAGCACCGCTACCTCGGCGTGGACCTGTTCACCAAGCAGCTGCACGAGGAGTCCTCCTTCGTCTCCAACCCGGCCCCCAGCGTCGTCGTCCAGACCATGCTCGGCCCCGTGTTCAAGCAGTACCGCGTCCTCGACATGCAGGAGGGCACCGTCGTCGCCATGACCGAGACCGGCGACGTCAAGACCGCCATCCCCGTTATCGACCAGTCGGGGTTGTACTCCCGCCTGTCGTCTGCTTTCCAGCAGGGCCACGGCAGCGTCCGCGTTCTCGTCCTCCATGACGGCAGCCAGGAGCTCGTTGTCGACATGAAGGTGGTCCACGGCTCTCGCCTGTAGACGAGTGCCTGCCACTTTCTTGTCGCTCGCCCCTTTAAGTAACGATGTACGCAATCAATCAACTAGAGTCATATAGCTTTGGCACAACACCCTGGCACGCTACGTTATCTTGCAGCATGTTTATACAGGCAATGGAGTCATGTTTGATCTCAAGTTTGGGCAACGGATCTTTCTTTGACTGGTTTATCGATATTGTAAGGAATGATATGGGTGCTGGCATATCCGCCGTAGATAGATAGCTCTGTATATGGTTGGTAATACAAAACGGTGTTATCGCAGTCGAACATACCTAGAGTTATCGTGAATCTCATGGCTTGACTTGAAGCTATAGAACTTGTGGTAGTATAGAGCGTGTGGCGCTCTGTAGACTGGAACCATTCCTTGACTGGCCTCCGTCAATGTGAGACAGCTCGTCTTTACCTCCTTTTAAGCTTTGTCGAGTCTCACATTGGATGCTCAGAGCTTGCGATTCCACTAATCACGTCGACGCCTCCGTCCCTGTTTAGGAAATAGGAACACCTCTCGGCCCAGTCATGTCTATGCTCGTGATTATTAGATTCATTACCCAACCCTTCAGCCAGCTACGTCATGGAAATTCTAGAAACTTCGGTTTGCGGGTTTTAGGGCCATCTCTCATTGATAAGAAACGTGGTTAGAAAGGAACAAACGTTTGATTACAGATTATTACGGTACATTGATTGGCGTGTACATCATGTGTGTCAGACCCCTCTACCATCCATCCATCCATCCATCCATCCATACGACTTAGCCAGCCATGTACAACCCAAGAGCCACGATGTGCGGGTTCAACATCGAGATATTGAACGGCGTGACAAAGAGGTCAAGATCCGTAATCAGCACCGCCATGGTCCCGTTGATGATGCCGTCATCCCCATAGACGTAGCCCAGCGGCTGGTACGTGTACCCGGAATTGTTGCCCGTGAGCGTGAGGGGACTGTACGTCAGGTTCAGCTGCTGGCTCCACGCGACCCAGGCCGGAGCCCCGGCGTTGGTGGCCGTGACGTAGGAGTTGTTGGGCCCGACGGCCTGGCCGGGCGGGTCCCACTCGAACAGCACCTTCTTGCCGGGGAACGAGAGCGGCTCGGACCTGTTGTGCGCGATGGCAGGCCCGCAGTTCTCGTCCGTCCCCGTGGCGTTAATGCAGTTACCACAAGTAATGTTGGACACGGACGGGTCGCCGATGCGGTCGCCGACCTGCTCGCTGCCGTCCTGCGCGGTGTTGTTGGGCGCGACGCGATTGATGTTGGCGTTGTTCAAAATGTGCAGCGTGGGGAAGTTCTGCCACGCGAGCCGCGTCTCGTTGGCCGGGCAGTAAGAAATGTACGGCGCCAGCATGGTCCAGGCCCACGACTGCGGCCAGCCGTTCTCGAACCACACGTCCATGGGCGTGAGGCCGGCCATCTGGCGGAAGATTTGCTGTTGGCGCGCCTCGGTCGCGATCGATTGGGCGAGGAGCTGCCCGACCTCGCGCGAGTCCAGGTGGTTGATGAAGCCCCAGACGCCCGACTCGCCCCACCGCGTCACGCGCTGGCAGAAGTCGAGCCACTCGCGCACCGTCGTGTACGGGTAGTTGTAGTAGCACTCGGCCGGCGCGCGCGGGCCGAGCATGTCGGTCAGGAGCGTGGCGTGGCCGCTCTCCTGGTTGGCCATGAACTCGATCAATGAGCGCGCCTCTGGGCCGAGCCCGGCGTCGAGGAATTCCTGGTCTGTGAAGCGAGCTAGCCCGTCGTCTGTAGAGGTCAGGAGTCAGTTACTACTATTTGCGAGCGGCTCAACAAGATGCGGGAAGGGGGCAAAATCTTATGAGACAGGACTGAGTAGGTGAAGCCCACTTCCAAAGTGCCCAAATAGAGGTTGATGTGACTCATGGAATTCACTTACGGAACAGGTCCAACTCAATCCATTCCTGGTACAGACCCAGCGCGATACTCTCAAAGTCAAAGTCGCTCTCGACCATGTACCGCGGCAGCGTGCCGTTCGTGCCCAAACCGCCAGCAGGCTCGTACGGCGCGGGAAAGGGGTGGAGCGGCACGCCCAGGGTGTTGTAGTATGTGGCCGTCGGGTTGGGCGGCAAAGCCGGGATCGACGCAGCGAGGGTCGTCGGCCCGTCCGCAGCCCCGATGGTCGTCGGGGTGCCGGTGTACGGGCCATGGTAGGTTGCGCTGGTGTAGCCGCTGACGTAGACCTGGACGCGGTAGCCGGTCGTCGACGGCTGCACGGACGCGGAGATCTGAGACGCGGAAGTGTCGCAAGTGCTGGACTCGTCGGAAGCCTGGGAGTAGGCCCCGGTGCCCTGAGACCCGGAGTCCTGAGACCCGGAACCCGGAGACCCAGAGCCCGGAGTGGCGGTGGTTTGGGGAAAGGGCCCGTTGAGCACGTTGGGCTGCCCGTCGGGCAATTGGGGAACGGCCTCGACGGGGTCGGACTGCTGGCCCGGCACGGGTGACCCGTGGGCGTGGGCGGCCAGGAGAAGGCCGGCGAGGAAGTGACGACTTGCCATGGTGCGTGCGTGCGTGCGTGCGTGTGAGTATGTGACGTGCTGGATGTGGTGCGGTGTGGTTTGGACAAGGGTGCGGAAGCTGGTTCTTATGTATAGATGAGGGAGCAAGTCTAGAGCATCATGATGATGATTGCCGCGTAACACATCTCCTGCAGCCCGCTCAAGTCCCATTGCCTTGTCCCATTGCCTTGTCCCATTGCCTTGTCCCATTGCCTTGTCCCCTACCTTCCGCACTCGTTGAATATAGAACATCAACGATGACCAGTAGATGACCGACCCTTTCGGCAACGCACGGCCATATAGTGACGACAAGACGTCGAGTTTTCGTAACATGAGAGTTCGACATGTCACCAAGTTACGCGGATTCGCGTCATGGTTCGTTGGTGGTCCTAACCTCTGGACGGCCCATTTTAAGTTGCGACCAAGCAACTTTGCCGGTCTCGTTTGACTTCCCGAACGCCGGATGAACCCGCAGTAGTGCGGGAATCTCGGCTTTCGTGATGATCGTCTGAAAATGCTTGCGTAAGATCACTTGGAAGAGAAGGCCAACGCGGGAGTACTCCTTGGTAGGCAAGGTACACCACGTCAGGGGGGGACTCAGATCTAAAAGACAAGCGGGATTGGATTAGGAGAGCGTACGTGCGTGCAGAAATGGTGAGGCTGTCATCCATATTAGTGCAGCTTCAATGGAGGTCTGATCGTCGCGCCAAGTGAAAGGAGAAGGGCTTACTTTGGCTACTCCGCAGATGTGAGTTTGTGTGATTGAGATGATCATAATGCGCAGGCAGCAGTGGGATTGTAAGTCGCGGGCAAGGGTGAAATTGTGTGTGATGAGGCTGCCACTAGGCCAGAGCATGTTTGGGAGGTATGAAAGGTGATGTCTTGCCTGGCGCAGGAACAAGTATGGTGAACGACGATCCTTAGTATCTAATCCGGGGCTCACTTGTGTGTATCAACCTGTCCTCTCAAGTTTGTGTCTTGATGCGAAGATGTCTATCCCGGAACATCTTACGAAGACCGGCATCCTCCAGGCCGAGTAGCTCAGCCACGTCCATGCTTGGGCTGCCGAATTAAACCCATCTATCGACCATGCAGGAAAGGTTGCTCCGAGACCCCTTCTCTATCACTGCCCCAGCGTCCGGCCCAGCTCTTCTCCCCGCGTCTGCGTGTGCTGTATGTTAGCATCTCCTCGCCTATTCTAGAAGAATAACGGAAAGGAACAACTAAGCCTGCTCGAAATGATAGGCTTGGGGTCTTGGGATGATAGGTTCGCGGTCTTGGGATGGCATGTTTCAAACGTACCGTCGCCGCATTAACAGCCTTGTCCACGATCCCCGCGAAACCAGAAGCCTCGAAGCTGTCCAGCGCAGCGGCCGTCGTGCCGTTAGGGCTGGTCACATTCTTGCGCAGCTGCGCCGGCTCCTCAGGAGACTCGACGAGCATCTTGCCAGCGCCGAGACATGTCTGCGTCGCCAGGCGGGTGGCCTGTTCGCGCGTGAGGCCTAGCTTTGTGGCACTTTCAACTATAAAGCTGGCGTTAGCGTTGGGGCTTGTCTGGCCTGTTGGGGAACTCCGGAGTGTGACTCGCGATGTAGTGCCGGGATAGACCATCAAGATACACACGATAACGGGCATGGAGTAAGCAGAGAGCTTTCTTGGTACCGGGATAAACCATCAAGATGCATATGATAAGGGGCATGGAGTAACCAGAAAGGTGTCTTACCCAGGTGTTCCACCATTGCGAAGAAATAAGCGGGTCCAGATCCTATGTATTCGAGTCAGCCTCAAGTTTCCCAATATGAGGCTTCGCTGCATTGCTCGCCTCCTAGTCGGGGAGGAGAGAGAACAGGGGCACACATCTATTTAGTTTCAATCTCATAAAATGCACGCAACGTACCTGACAGCCCCGTGACAACATCAATCAACTCCTCACGGTCCACCCACTCGACGGCCTTACTGACGCTGCGCACCAGCGCAGTCGCCAGCTCCCGTTCGGCTCCCGACACATCGTTCGCAGCAAACAGGCCCGACGCACCCTCTCCGACCAGCGCCGGCGTATTGGGCATGACGCGGACGATGTGCGGAGGCGCGGCAGCGCCCTCCTGACCGGTCGGTTTGAACCAGGCCTGCAGGCTCGCCAGCGTGATGCCGGCCGCGATGGAGATGACCAGCGGCGAAGAAGAAGAAGAAGACCACGCATCGGCCAGCTCCCGACACACGCCCTGCGCGACCTGGGGCTTGACGGCCAGGATGACGAGGTGGGCGTCGCGCGCGGCGTCGGCGTTGGACGTTGTGACCCGGAGACCCTGCGCCGCCATCTTGTCCCGGTTCACGGCCCACGGCTCCGAGACGACGATGTTTTGCTTGGCGATGCCTGTCACGGTCAGGCCGCCGATGATGGCGGCTGCCATGTTGCCGCCGCCGATGAAGGCGATCTTGCTTTCCTTGAGTTGGGACGACATGCTTGGATTGTGTTGGGTGATCGTAGGGGTGGAGGGCTTCAATGTTGTTGGTCTCGCTTGCACGTTGATCTTGGGTGGCCCTGAGACCGAGACCTGAGTCAGGAAGCGGGATTGATCGCAAGTGTGGCGCCTCTGGTGGCTGTGTTGTATGGCTGGTGAAAACACGCATACTCAACTCAGTGCAGCTCGTCCAGCACTACGCTTAACATACCTCACTCAAATATCTCGTGATATAAGCAGCGATAGCGAAGCTCATATATTCCGAGTGAATAAAATCCGGATGTCCATTGAAACGGCTCTGTCGACGCCATTTGCTTACATCTACGTATCGTATATCTATAGGCTACAGGCATGGCAAGACCTCTTTCGAGTCACTAGCCTTTCCGAAGCCTTTGCCCCCTATTTACAGACATAGGGAGGCTATGATGGCAAGGACGAAGTGGGACGCGTAGGCTCTTCGCCATGAGAATCTCAGTCGACTTGACCAAACAGATGTTCATACATGTGTCACTCGGCGAGTGCTAGCATCGTACTGACTGGAGCTTACCTCCTAGATCAAGTAGATACTGAACACTGGCTGTAGACATGGCGACTACACCCAAGCAGGCACGATACTAAAAGTCATACGGACATTGAGGATTATACTTCGTCGAAGGGGCAGATACCAGAGTACCCCGCTCGCTTCTGAAGAAGGTTCAACGATGGAAAGAAAATACCTCACACGATCTCCCCACGCGGGGAAGCCGCGAAAAGGCCCGCCCCATCCCGGCTAGATGGTACTCCAGGATGCAAGCACAGGTGTCGAGGGAAGAATGGTCGACAGTAGAGCACACATGACTGTTCCTCGTCAGTCTGGGAAGAACGCGAGTGCCATACTGTCATTCCTACGTGAGCCGGTAGACCGTGCCAAGTAACAGCATGAGCAACTAGGTAATTAAGCACGCAAGAGTCCACGGGGGCATGAAGAAGGGCCGACAGCGAGACAGATGAGGCTGCCGCGGCTATACTGCTTTTTCGCGGCAGCGGCGTGCATAACGACCGGCACCCCGGAGTTCGGTCTCGGAGAGCTCCCGTTCTTCCCCGCAGAGTGGATGACCGGCCGCATGACCCGTTTCTAAGAATCTCTGGGGCAGCGCGATCAGGTCCTGACGGTCTTGAGGGGACTGACTGCAGGCAAGATGCACGGTTGAGAGGTGGTGGTCCCCCTCTCTCCGCATGGCATATCCGCATGGGGGAAGACAGCGCACGCGGCGATGAGCTAGAGGTCTGAATCGGTGTTTCTGCGGGATTTGTGGTGTGACGTGTCACCCAGGGAAGCCCTGCTCTGGCGGTATGCTCACTCGTCGCGGCGGTAGACGCGGTCGGATTCGAAAAGCTGGCTGGACCGGCAGAGATGGGGCTCTCTGTCGCCGGCCGAGGCCTTGCATTAGCATTAGGACTGTATGCCACGGACGGAACGGGGTGGACGCGGGTGCCCGTTGAGGACGTTGGTTATTAGCCCGCCCGACTATTGAGGCCTCGGTCAAGGAACGACTGTGCGGCCCGCATAAGTGCCTTATGCATCGCTGGTTAGAGATGCACGAAGATAATCCGTCAGCGGCATGTCTCAAGAGACATTAAATGGTGTGTCGGTATGTTCTTGGAGCAGGACAAAGCGATCTAGCCGGCCGAAATCTTCCGTGCATATGTTCTGTATTGAGACGTGTCTTCTACTCCTTCCTCTAGCTTGATCTTCGTGGGATCAGTGGGGGAGGTATGGGGAGTATAGGGGTTTTACATATGGTGATTCAATACGTGGAAGTCCTGTAGCCTCAGTTAGTCGCGGAATGTTGCGTCTCGCAATGTTCGTCGGTGCTATTCATGGTGGAGTGGTTCGTCGTGCGACAAAGCTGCATCGCCAGGATTGCCGCAACAAGACGAATACAACCTAGGATCGACAAGAGTCGAAGATTTCCCGGATCGAAGAGTAGATAAACCTTCTGATATTGGTCAAAAGATATCTGTTAAGTGGACTGACGCTTCACGACGCCGCGAGGTTGTGAAGGTTAGGCGCTGCCAGCGTGTAACCATAGCTCTCAAACAACGGGATGTATCAGCGTCTACTTATTGGTAATAGTTAGTCTTCAATATATTCGCAATTATTCAGAAACTCACAACCTACCCAATGTGTTGTCGGGCCTGGTCTCGCCCGGCAGCCATGGGGCATCGATGTGACCAAGGTGACGCCGCTACACTGCCCTCGTGCCACTGTTCTAGTCCAGAGTCCAGGAGGCTGGGTACCAGCGGCATGGTCCCGCGGCTCTTCGGAGCCGAGACTAGAAACGTTCTGGAAGACTGTTCTGTTCGTGTCGTGTGGGAGAAGTGGAACAGGGTGACGTGCAAAGTGTAGTAAAGTGACCACGCTCGCCTCACCATCGTGGCCTCCTGGTGGGTTTCTCTGGAGCCTGTTGCCAGATCTGGACGTTGACGTCTCTGGCCTCGGGTACGGAAATCTTTTTATTGGAGACATCTGAGATGAGCCCCTCGCTATTCTCATCTTACATGAAGCTTATCGCGAACGGGACAAGGTCAGTCCGCTAATCCTTTCAGTCCGGGGCTACTTCTTGGATGGCGACTGGAGGCTTCGAATGACAGCTGTGCACGGCAGACAGGGCATCGAGGCCTAGCCGCGCTCTGCCTTGTGCACTGCGCCAAGGCTTGAGAGAGGTCTGCCTATGCCGCGTCCGGCTTGGAAGCCTCACTGTCAAGTTGCTGGCCGGGACAGCCCAGTCAGTTGTCAGCAAGCCGAACGACTTCATCATGGGAAAGCCGCTTTGCCGTGAGGACAGTCCGGCCTCAGGTCCTAAGACCTCTTGGGTCTAGAGGCCGTTAAAAGCCGCGATGGCATTCCAGCAGAACCGCCGAGGTTCTAATCCGAAGCATTGACCTGTCTGCGGCATGAGACCTCGCCAGCGCGCCTTGTTGATCTTCTCACAAATCCCGCGTGGGGTCGTCGCGCTGACTGCTGTCGCTCGACTGTGTGGCAGCCTGAGCGGTTGATAGTTCGCCACTTGGGCAGCTTTTTGACGCGGCTGTTGATCTCTCAGCAGACGTGGGAGGCGTCGGCAGTGCGACTGTTGCTGTTCTCTGACCTGTCAAAGCGACGGTGACACAGCAGCCAGGAGTAAGCATCTAGTGAGTTGATGTCGCGTGTCGTGTGTTGTCTTCACATGCAACAACGGACTCTCCCGCGGTTAAAATAAAAAGTCAAGTCTCTAACCCAGAGTAGACAGACGGTAATGAGGCTTGGTGCGAGATGGACCCATTGGGTTCCAACTAACAAGTAATGGCGTCAAGGCCCAAATAGTGAACACCCATACCTCTTTGGCATCGTTGGCGCGTTGTCCAGAGTTCATCCTTGATGGCAAACGGACCAAAACGGAGACACAAGATGAGAAGGATTTGAAAAACAAACAGCCTCGAGTTCGATAGGCTTCGGTGAGTTCGAGCGACAGACGCTTGCCCCTGTATCGTCAAACGGTGCATCGCAGAGCTGATCAATATTATTATTACTCCAAGTCTGAGCAGTGAGATGATGGTACAATCCTCAAGATCGAGAACGGGCGTGACGGGTTTCAAGTTGTGCTCTGATGAAAAGTGGGCCGTTCCAGACAATTTGGCCACTCAGGTCGCTGGAATTGATGGACTTGGCGGTTTACTTGGCAGCACTGCGGCATTGGGCCACAAGCATCTACGCCACAATTGTCAGCCGACAAGACGGGAACTTTGAAGTCCACAGGATAAGCCATTTGCCGGACAAGTACACCATCCATGGATGATTGTACCTAAAGAAGTACCGCGCAGAGCTACCAGCAGCCAGTGCTGCTTGCGTCGGTACTTGTGCACTCGCTGCAGTCGAAGGTACATATGCATCGATACCTATCCACAACAGCTTGCAACATAGCAACTGCAGACATGACTGACATACGATGGAACATTTCCATTAATAGCAGCGCGGAAGGTGTTCCTTCTGATTGGGACACATCTGCATCTCGTCCTCCTCTGTGAAGGATTTGGCTGACGACGTGGCACCGACGCAGGCCGGCGTCGAGCCAACATACACATCATGCACTGGCAGCTGGCAGCTGGCAGTAGTAGCACCGCATAGAAGAAATGCACAAGCTGACCCCTCCCCACTTATGTCGCACCCACGCCACCCCACACCTACAAGTATAAGTACTTCATACCTCTGCCACCTAATTTCAATACGCTAAGTATGCACGGACTATACTGCCGCTTAAAGTCCGATTATAAGCGGTTAAAATTAATGATTAAGATTAAAGTCGGTTAATGCCAGATTTTAAAAGGTTGACAAACCGGTGGTATTGAGCGGTAGCTGCAATCATTGTTATCATTTCTTAGCTATCCCAATTGGGTGGTATCTGCACCTATTTGTACAGCTCCGGAGATGCCGGAGACGATCCTCTGGTCCACCTTTTCCTGAGTCAACGTACGATTTAAGGTGCTAGTCATAGCAGCCTCTTTGACTAGCCACCTGACTAGCCAGCACTCCACAGGGCATACACCCCTAGAGATCCCTTGAATCTGACAGTTAATAATTAAAGTTAATTGTCAGATTACCAAAGGTTGATAAGCCGGTGGTGTTGAGCAGTAGCTGCAATCGTTATTGTCATATTCATGTCTACCACATTGGGTGGCAGCTACAGCTATTTGAACACGTTGTCATGATTCAGTAAATATATTGGAAGGATATAGGGACCCTTACTGACTATTAACGTATAACGAACTCTGGTTGAAGGAAAAGAAAGATCTGGAGATGCACCCAAATTGGTGGGCAGCTAGATGTGGGCAGTCGTCCCCCACCAGACCCAACAAGGTATAGATCAACCTGTCCTCCGATCAGTCACGTGCTCAATCACGTGACGCAGGGACCATGGAGACCATGGGGACCATCGCTAAACCCGATAGATGGTGGAACCATTACACACATCTGGTCATGCTAGAGTAGATGCTCCGGACCATCCTTTTACGAGCCAGCGTACGAGTCAAGGTACTAGTCATGGCAACCACCACGTGTCATGTAACTAGTCAGGTGACTAGTCAGCAGCACACCGCAGTACAGCCCCCTAAATCCGACATTAATAGATAAGGCTTAAGGTTAATAGTTCATACTTTAAATTACAGTGAAAGCTAAAAGTTTTTTTTAAAAATATAATAAAGTGTCAGATGTTAGATCCCAGATATAGTGCCCTTAAGAGCAGTACCCACTAGGGGCTGTCAAGAGAAGAGTGGATCCACCTTAGCATGGTGCAGTATGATATTTAGCTGTAGATTAGGCCTGCCAAGCATATTTGAAAATGACAACAATATTTGCAGCGACCGCTCACACCCCCAAGGCTTGTGGCCCTTCTAGAATCTCATATAAAGTATTATTAACAACTTATAAGCGGATTATAAGCGGTATATGCTTAACGCGTTAAAATTAAATAGCAAAGGTATGCTTAGCGCATATCTAGCGTATTGAAATGGCATAAAGTACTCATATCTTAAATGGATACGGGCAGGGATAAATTTAAAAGTGGAGAGAGGTCAGCCGGTGCATATACTCGCACCGCATACCCAACACCAGGGACGCCCTCGTACAAAGGTACAAAGTGCAAGGCAACTAGGAGGACGGCCGATGGCATCTCTACAGTCTGATCCATCTGGCATCTATCCCGTCTGTCCGAGCCGTGGCCAAGTTGCAACCTAACCGTACTGCAATTTCGGCGGTTGCTGACTGACACAATGGTTCAATCTGGTGGTTAATCTGGGAATCTGGTACGGCGTTTTATTACGTTACCAACAAAGTTGGCAAGTGCCCGTCCGGTGTCAATGGTCATCGTTAGCTGCCGTCCCAAGCCTCTTTGGGAAGTCCCCTGACACCCCTGACACCCCTGACACCTCACTTTGGACTGCACCGGACTGCCTTGGACGACCCTGAAGACGGAACCCCTGGCTGAGGTGGCAGCTGCCCCGGTGTCATCAGTGGACTGTGCCACCCATTCCTGCCCCTCCTGCCTCCTGAGTCCTGCCCTCCCACGGTCATCTATCCATGGTTTCTATTTTGCGCGGCGGAGGGGTGGACGTCATCGCTTGGGACATGTCATTGGATTCGTGGATTCCCGCCATTACACCTGTCCGAAAGTACCTGTTATTTCCATTTTCACCTGTCAACGGGACGACGGGACCTCCTCCAGGCTGCGCGTCCTCCCCTCCGTCGACCATCAGAATCAGCATCATCATCATCACCACCATCTTCGCCAGCGTCACCACCGCCACAACCAGGCTTCATCCTTCCCCCACCGATTCCCGATTCCCGATTCCCGATCCCTCCCGTCCCTTCAGTCTTCCCCGTGTCCACAGCTCGCATGTGAGGCTGCAGCTCCATTTGAACTTTTGTTGTCGGGAATCCATCAGGCCAACGACCACTTGGCCAGATAGATGTCTGGTGTCCTCCCTTTGGCACCCCACTTCCCTTCCTGCAATGCATGACACTTCTGCTGCTTGCCGCATCGACTATACAGAATAGCTGCATGCCATACCCACCCGCTATAATCTTTCTCGTGCACACTTGCTCGGCGATTCATTATTCATCCATTGACGTGTTCGCTGTAAAGTCCCGCGCAGTTTCGGTACACATATCTACATATCCCTTGCAGAGCCTCAACACTGGCCGAGTCGAGCAAGCAAGCAGGTTTCACCACCACGCTTCTCGAACCAACAGAAAACAGGTCCCCCCATTTCGAGTCGAAGTCAAAATCAAAGGCATTGTGCTTGTGCTGCCTGCTCCCGACACACAAGTCAGCGGGAAGCGACGCATGTAACCGAGGGGTTGTCGAGCTCACGAACGCCTCTCGTCTTGGTTGCGACACCATCAAAACGCCCGGCTACAGTGACAAAAGCTGCACATTGGCTGATCTACCGTCCATATGTAGCTGCATGTTCACATGATACAGTCCAGTCCTCATACGTCTTCGAGGAGCTTGACAACAATCAGATCGACAAGGCCATCGATACACCATCACTACACCATCACATCTGCCGGCACCAAGTTGACCGACAGATCTGGAGTTGTCCTACTGTTCGAATCGCTTGGTCGCCCTGCCAGCCTGCTGTGATCTGCTTCCGACGTGGACAACCAGACTCGGTCGGCCTATGGGCATTGGGACCAGGTCATCAGTCATCAGCGGCACTATAACGAACTCGCACCTCCAACTCCAGTCCCGCGGGTCCTCGTGGCTCAACAGTAGTCTGAGTGGCCCAGATCATTTCACCGCTGCTTCCCGCCTGCAGCCCAACCCGACGCGCACAGCCATCACGCATCCCTCTCTACCCCACGACGAGACCCTTATTATTACCCTTGGCGTCATTGGTATTGGCTTGCATGTGTTCTGACACGGTAGGTTCGCCATACTCTAATCATCTTGCCTGACTTCTGCCCAGCGGCACCTGTCGGCTGGTGATCTCTGCATATTTACCATGGGATATATGAGCTAAGATGCATGATTTTCTGCAGCAGAGCATAGCGAAGAGAGACCGACCCATATTTATGATTCGATCAGCCGGCGAGGAGCTGCTTCGTCCTTTCGCCCCCAAGCCCAAGTCCACCCGGCCGGAACCTTCTACGGAACTTGGCTGAATTATCAAGCTAAAGCGGACTGACTGCCCGCTGTCCCACTTCGCTCCTGTCGTATTCACCTCGTCATTTCATTTCTGCGGACGCAACGACCTTCGGAATCAATTGCCAGCAGTTGTCCTTGGCCGCTGAAAGTCAGCGAGACTCCGAATCTGATCGTTGATCTCCCGAAAACTACTCCCAAGTGCTTCACGATGGCCGACCCGCGATATCGCTACTCGGGCCACTCGGGCCGTCGGTCACCTACCTACAACCCCGCGCGGGCTTCTTTGCCTGCGAATGTTGGATACAACTCGCATTACACTGGAGACGTCCATGCCGTTCCAACTGCTCGCTACGATGCGACCGTCCCCCGGAGAGCCCATGAACACAAAGCTAACCCGCCGACTGCTACAATCACGACCTATAACATCACTAAAGACCCTGTTGCTCGAAGTACTAGCCGCACTGGTACTGGACGCCACCGCTCTTCGACGATCGACGCAGCGCCTCCTGTGAAGCCCATCATCGTGACGACGAACCATCACAGTCGTCCTCATGGTTCTTCATCTCACACATCATCCAGTGCCAGGGCCACCAGTCCGTCGCGCGACCCTTATCGCTCGAGCGAGGAGACTTACTATGCCCAGCCAGCATCCTCGATACGTGCACGAAGCCAACACCGTCATAGCCACAGCTACAGTCAGAGCGCGACCTTGGGTGATGAGTTCTATCGCCTGAGGGAACGGGTAGGTGGTGACGATAGGCTCCGGGCCCCAGTACGCGCGGGGACCGTACCTTTCGGTCATTCGCGCCCTCATTCAACAGTATACGCTAATACTGCAAATACTGGTACCACGGCGGTGGCCGATTACGAAGATGAAGGGTACGAGTACACAAAGCCCAGCGACCTGGCTAGGTACGACCTGGACCACGGGCGGGACCAGCGAAGAAGTCGGCGAGACAGTGTGGATCGGCCGTACTACCGGCCACATGTAAACGTGAGCAGTGACACAGCCCGGTATGACGCCCGTAGCCGCGCGAAGCCTCCGACATCCGCTGCTATTGACCGGTTCAACCGGGCTGCGGCATCGGGTATCTACGACCGTCCTTCGGTCACTATGCCCAGCTTACCAGTGGTTCCGGCTCCTCCTCCTGTAGAAGCTGTGCGTCGACCCGCCCCAGTAGAAGGGACCAGAAGCCCTTCAGTCGAACCCAGGGTATCACGGCCACGCCCAGTGTCGCTTTACCAAGAGACTCCTGCACGCATGTCACATGCCGACGATCTTTACAGGTCTCGCGACGATGAACGAATCCCCAGAGATCGTCGCGAGCGTGAAGAAGGATACCGTGATGACAACATCGCGGCGCGCGGCTTTGGCCTCCGCACAGACACTTTCGAACAGCCAATACGCCCGGCTAGCGCAATCACTCACAGAGACTTCGATGATCGTCGCGCGCGGCGCGATGTAGCAGACCGTGAGCCGAAACGTCGGTCTGATGAGTCATTGGATCGTACTCGTGCCCACGAAAGAAGACCTATCGACGAACCGCGACCCCGTGTAGAGGGGAGCCGGGACCGTAGGGAAAGTGTGAGCCGAAGAAACAGCATCAGTCGGGCCCGCGAGAAGGTAGCCACTGGGTTGAGCGTCGCTGCCGCCGCTATGGGCCTTGCAGCCACCAAGGCAGATGACGACAGAACCTCGCCTAAACGACGGGAATCTGATGATGAGAAGGAGGCAGCTGCCTCACACCCCGCTGACAAGTACAAACCTCGAGATAGTGTCCTAGAGCACAAACCGTCTCTCAGGGAAGATCCAATTGTTGTGGAGCAGCGACGAGAAGCCCGAAGAGAAGAGCCTCGAAGGGATGAGGTCCGAAGAGAAGAACCTAGAAGAGACGAGGCCCGGAGAGAACCTCGAAGAGAAGAGGCTCGGAGGGACGAGCCCCGGAAGGATGAGGCCCGGAGAGATGAGCCTCGAAGGGAGGAGCCTCGAAAAGAACGTCCAGAACCTAGGTCGGGCTCCAGAGAGCGGGACTTGGAAAGGGAACGGGAACGGGACAGTGAGCGTGAGCAGCGCGAACGCGAAAAAGAGACGGACCGGGAACGTGATCAACGTGACCGGGAACTGGAAAGAGAACGCGAACATGAGCGCCACCGACGAGAATCTGACGCCAGGCTTGGTGGAATGCCACCAGACCGAAGAGATGGCTCACCTACACCCGATGCCTCAGAGAATGCTGCTCGCAGACGCCATCGACCCGCGGCGGCCTTCAATCCTACAGATACCAAAGGCTTGATGGACCTTAAAGCCGAACTAGCAGCGATCGATGGCCAAGACCGACTAACAGAAAAGTCGGCCGCAAGGGCTACTCCGTCGGATAAGGATACTGGAGTGTCTGCGTCATCTCATAGAGCTGACGTACCCAGCGAGTCACGTGAGCCGTCTCCCCGTGGCCGCGATGCTGGCCCCTCCCGTGAGGACAAGCAAGTGCGAGTACTGTCCCCGCCGCGGGACAAGGGCGACCAGAAACCCATCAAAGGTATCTTGAAGCAACCCAAAGTCAAGTTCCCAGAAGACAACCACCCCATCCGAGAGGGCGTCGCGCCACATAAGGATGACAAGACCAAGAAGGATGTTCCACCTGGTGCACGTTGGACTCGGATTCACCGTAAGATGGTGAACCCTGAGGCGTTGACCATTGGAAAGGAGCGCTTCGAAGTCCGTGATAATTTTGTCATCGTGCTGCGTGTCTTGAGCAAGGACGAGGTCCAAGCTTATGCCGTTGCCACTCAACAGCTCCGAGGTAAGTTCATCAACCACAACCACAACCAGCAATCCGATTTTTCCCTGGTGGGAGCCCGCTAACAACGGTAACAGCGAGACGCAATCAAGAGGCTGAGAATGGGGTTGAGCATGAACGTCTCTCGGATGAGGAGCGTAATCGTTCTGACGAGGAGCGACAAAGACGTCACCGTCACCGCAGGGAACACGGGGACGACGAGTATCAGAGAGAACGAGATGCTGAGGGTCGGAACCGACGGCACAGACATGGGTCCGACTCGGATGAAACCGAAATCCGGCCAAAGGCGATCGAGTATGATGGCGGCAGCAGCAGTAGCCACCACCATGTTCGGCCTCAGCGAGACTACGAGTCAGTCGCAAGCTCGGATGACAGGCGATAAAGCTGTGGCGATCGACTTATGATATACGATTTGTTCCTTCCATTCTTTGCGATATCTGTTGGATCATGTGATATAGTAGAGAGATACCAAAGCATGTGTGAGGAGCATCTATGAGCTGCATTATCTAGGCAAGCGCCTCGCATTTATGTCTGAAGGGGGACTGTTGGGAGTTTGTACACTGTTCACGAGAGGTCAACGCTATCCAAAATTACCTTTTCCCTACGTGATGTATGCTCCTGTGTTGACTGACGGCATCTTTGAATGTCCGAGGACTGCTTGTGATACTCGATGCCCAAGTACGAGCTGAAGATCCTAATGTGGTATCACCCGATAAGTTACCGAACTCGGACGGCCTTGGGATCTGCTGCGTCTGTCTCACGGTGTCTCAACTCGGCCCGCACCCGCCGCAGTCTGTACCACACACGCCGTCACCCTCGAACTCGGATCTGTGTCGCATGCAGTCTGCCCGACAGGCAGCCTTGCTTTTCGACGACGTTACTCAGCATGACTTCGGACTTTTCTCATCCTCTTACCTTCTTGCTAGTCTTGCTTACACGCTGTCATACGCCACCACGCTTTACACATCACACATCACACTCCAACCACTCGGTAAAGGATGCGCACGCGAATATTTTCAAACACACGTCAAAAGAAGGGCGGCGGGAACCATTTATGTAGGTCTGTGTGTGTGTGTGTGTGTGTGTGTGTATGCGTACATGTAATGGTGTCACAGCACACGAATATGCTTAAGGTATATGCTCGTCATACGTAGCACTTGCCTTACATGGTCATATCGTGGCATACCTCCCTAGTATGTGTCTTAGACGCATCATCAGGGTCGTATAGGGCTTGGCGGGACCGGATTCCTGGGAGTTTTGCTCGTGTTGTGGTGGTATTAACAGGTGGATTGGTAACACTATATGTGGTGTGTGTTGGAACTGATGTTTGTAACTGGTGTGGCGCTATCTACAAGTACCTGCTTGGACCTCTGCGGAAAATAGTTGCGTGTCGTGTCGTGTCGTACGGTCTGCTGGTGTTGGTGCTGCTTCTGTCCCTGGTATGGTGTGGTGTTGTGGCATATGCTCTGTATCACTGGTCCCGGGTCGAGCACGGCCTGAATGCCTAAGATAGCTTGCGGCGGCAGTGATGGCGATGTTGGACATCTGATGGCGTTTGGTATTTGGGCGTTTGGTTGCTTGGGAGGTGTCGTCAAGCTTACAGCGGTGAATATCACGGTGGTTGACGTGGGACCGCGTGGTCAATGGAATGGGGCTTGTGTATGTGGTACTTGGACTTGTACTGCCTGAGAAAGGTGATCTTGAAGGGAGTCGAAGATGCGATGGGTCTTGAGGCGGCCAGCTCACGATATTGGAATTGTGGCGGACGATCCGTGCTATAGACACGATAGTGGGCACGTGTATTATCCCCTTCATCATAATGCATAAACTTGGTGTTGGCTTTGCCCGCCATGCCCTGATCACTACTTGCGGTCTTCGGTAGATTGACGTATTTCATGCCCTTGGTGTCATTACTTGGCTTGCGACCTACGTGAGGCACATGGCACATGGCACATACGATTGAGGACTTGGGGCTTCCTAGAAATCCACGGCTTGGGGTGCTTCGCGTATCTGTCGTGGTCGTAGATAGGGGCGGGGACGACGTCCCTAGAGGCCACGAAGATGGTCACGAAGATGGGCCGCCAGACCTCGATTCCCGGCTTCGAGGCAGACGAGCGACGACAAGCTGTCCACCAGGAGGTATGACTTCCTCCTCGATGGGACGACATAGGTGGACTTTTGCGGTTGGCAGTGCGATGTTTCTTCACTGTGTCGAGCGTGTCGTGAAGAGCATGTCGTGAAGAGCAGTCGCTGGTTATATCGAGGGAGCGGAAACACTTGTTCAGGGGCAATGGTCGATTATCGTTTTCCAGAGCCCCTCTGCTTCCTCTTTTGCGAGGTTATCTCAGGGCTTCGAATGAAGGCAACATGTCAAAATGTCGAAGCTGGTTGTTATTCGTACTGTACACCGCGCTATAATGAAACGTGGGTCTTCCTTGTAACCGCGATCTCACGCGTCAAATTTTACTCGTACATTTCGCTGGTCACCAACATTGCAATAAAGCTCTGGCACTCCTGAGTCCTGGAGTCAACTTTGCCGCGGATCCTGTCTGACGAAAAAGTAAATGAAGATGGATGCGCTCAATATGGAACGGATCGCCCGGGCGCCCGAGCCCGTCGTACGCGCAATTTTGAATGTCCTCTGCCGCGACACCAGGTTGCTGGACAAAGCCATAGTCGCTCTCGACATGATAGAGGTTTTGCAGAGGCAAGCGATCGAGCGCCGCCTTCAGACGGAACGAGCCACCGAGGGTAGCAGCGCCGCGACGGACACAGATTTGGACGAGGAGGCGGAGGACGAGGACACGGAGGACAAGGCCACGGAAAACGAGGTCACGGAGGAGTCAGTCAACGGGGGTAGCGGCCCGAAGAAAAAGGCAGATACGGGTATGGAGTACTGCGTGCAGTGTGATGAGCCCTTTTACGAGGATGAAAACCACAAGAAGGCATGCTGTTGGCATGATGGTAATGGGAGCCCCCTGCTTCAAAATGCCGGGAAGCTCATGCTCACTGTGATCTAGGCGAGATGGAACATGACTCCAATGCGGAGGAAGATGATGAGAACGAATACTATGACGACGGCATACCGCTTGAGAGAACGCCACAGCCTGAAACCTCAATTTGGACCTGCCGCAACGACAGAGGCGATTCTGCTGGATGTAACAAAGGCTACCATAAGACGGCGAGTAGCAAACACAACAGTCGCTATGCTCACCGGGAGGGGTTAGGGGACTGAGGGTTTGAGCTGAAGAGGTAGAAGCTGGCCTTGGGGCAAGTCACCCGCGATTGGGCAGACGAGAGATCTGGCAGTGGGTACCAGTACTTATTGCTTTACACGCAGGATCTAGTTCACGAAGAAAAAATGTGAGAAAAATGAGTTGGCAGGTCACTGGATGATGTACAGGTACGCCTGCCTGATAGCTCACTCACTCACGGTAAATCCCACCTGGAGCGTCCGAAGTGTGCAACCCCAAGATTCTCCAACCGGGAACTTCAGAGAGCATGGTTGCCAACAAAACACCAACAAGCTTGACACATCGGCATACACATACACACCAAGTGGCGATAGGGCAAACCCAGCAAGCTCTGGATTATGTCCGAGGAGTTAAGAGAGCTGAAAGAAGCCTTCGGTGTTTTGTTCACCACTGCCATTGCTTTCCGCGCACGGGAAACCAGTCATCCCTACTTGAGTATAATCAAGCCACTTTGCATAAATAGTTCCATCTTTTACAGCTCCGTTACTCCAGCAAGAACAATCTGCTGCGAATGATGGCGGTACCTATCGATATATACATGATCATGTGATCACCGACTGCGACTGCATGTACGGGTCTCGAGGGTATACTCCTAGATTTTTACATTTCCCGAACTGAACTAACTTCATGCCTCAGGTATAAAATGAAGGCATATGATACCATCAAGTCTGATCATTATCTGGTCATCAAGGGAGATAAGGTGCTCAAGGCTAGATGTTCGTCGGTACATCACTGAATAATGGACACCAGCTACAATGGGTGGGCATGCTTCGTTACTGAGGCTGTCATGGTTTCAATGGTTGATTGGGTTCCTCAGCAGCAGACTTGATGGTTGCTGTATCAGTCGAAGTAACCCGTTCAACAGTTGCCCACGCTGGGTAGCTGGCCAACGGCGAGGTTGCTGAGACTCCAGAACTGGTTGTCCCATAAGTCAATACTTCAGAACACTGCTCTACGATCATGATGCAGTCCAATCTCTCCGTCCCACACATCATTATAGTGGGTGCTGTTACAACTTGCTGCTATCAGTTCCCTGCGTTCTGCGCTTTCACTCGGTTTGCCAATCTGTAAGTCACATCTCGTGCTTCACTTGTCAGAGTATTTACTGACGAGAGCAGCATACTCATCTGCATACCCATCTGGCCAGAACCGGCGTCATGAACCGACCACCAAACGTCGAGATACTCGTACACATTGACGCTCCGTGTACTACGGCGAATGATGAGCGCTTACGCGCGATGGCATCAGCGTATATAGACTTCAGTCCACGCAACAGGTCATATGTCGTTCCGCCCAGTAGCAACGAAACTCTGGTAATCCCAGATAGCCAACCGCGAGAGGTGCAGCCATGACTGCCTGGGGGGCTCGCTGCACCATCACTCAACTACCACCTCGGTCCTGCCCCGTCACCCAGTTCTTCATTCGATGGCGTATGGGGTAATTCAGACAATCCTCTTGCTCTCAGAGCACCACGACATCTCATGACATCGTCCCTCACCGGTCATCTCGGTCCAATTCAATCGCCCAGTGCTTCCTTCAGCAGTGTATGGGGCAACGCGGACTCTCCTCTTCTTCCAATGAGGCCTCCACAACAACTGCTTGTATTCACGGAGCAACCGTTTCAGGTGATGGAATCAGGGACATCAGCCCAGTCATCTCCGAGCGTATATATATTTTAGAGTCTCTTATTGCCCCTTATGGCCATGTCTTTGGGCTACATTTCCTCTTATAGCTTGCAACAGGACCCCCTTTGCGCCCGAGACATGCATCTCCTCTCCTTATTCTCCTCACAATATCTGAAAGGAGTAATTGCTGACTCTAGTTTGCTACTAGATGGAGGTCCAAGACTCAAACCCCGAAAACAATATCACTTGTGCCCAGCGCTCGTCCCCCACACGGGTTTTGGAGCATTATCTCCAACAATTCGACTCAGACTCGCTACCGGATCCTTCATTTTCCCAGCTGGGACATGATCCTGTCACTTCTTCTCTACACTCCAATCCCTACATTGATCCGCCGTCATTCGACCAGAGCGATATTCGCGAGGTTCCATATACCCCTCTCAAGAGATCATTTTCATCGGCGTCGCTCAGTCCTCCCAACAGCATTCACCGTCACGCGAAGCACCAAGCTATCGGAGCCGAGCAAGACGAGTTTGAGGATGAGATCATTGAGGAGACACGGTTCATGTCATTCAGTGACCCGCTTCCAACGAGAAGAAGCGAGGCAGACTTCGTTGTACCCAACTTAGTACACTTGCCAGCCATTAGCAAGCCTCATACGTTTGACGATGAGGATGAGATCATTAAGGAGACACGGTTCACATCGTCCACCGACGTGCCGTCAGCCACCAGAAGCGAGCCAGAATTTGTCATTCCCCAATCAGACGACCTGCCGATCATTCCAAAGCCTGCCAGGTCTGACGATGACGAGGTCATTGAAGAGACAATATTCATATTATCCAACGACGTGCCGTCAGTCAACAGAAGCGACCCAGACTCCGCAGTGCCCAGCTTGGAGCAACTGCTGGCTATAATTGCGCTTGGCGGGCAACCATGGTACGTATTAAAACATCCCATCACAAGACCCTGGCCCCTGGTTTCATGAACAAGTTTTGTTGTTCCCCTTCCCTTTTCATCTGTAAGTTTGCCATACGGGTACGAAGACAGGATGCTAACGTGCACGCAGTTATCTCTCCACCACTGTCGCAGAGGACCATATCACATCTGAACAATTCATCACACCAACACTCGTCAAGCTCGCCGCCACGCTTGAGATCCCCAAGCGCTTCGAGTCACGGATTGAGAAACAAGCTCGCGTCATCAATGCCTTCGAGCGGCGCTTCTGGCAGATCGACTGCACCGGCTTAGGTTGGGACGAGCAGCTCAGGTACGAAGCGTGGGCGTTTCTGACGGACTACATCGCCAGCGGCGTGGCAGGCTAGGGTGTCTGGGCGTACGGGATAAGGAGTTTCATCGGATTCGCGTGTTCGGCTGGGGTAGCGTCGTGGCACATGTCTACTTGGTGCTCTACCTTGCGAGCCAGCGCGAGGTTTTGTTCACCGGTGCGTCTTGGTTTGACGCGGAGGGCATGGAAATCATTGCTATGCGAAAGCGATTCAGGGATTAGAACTGGGTTGGGAAAAGGGGGTTGGGAAAAGGGGGTTCACAGAGAAGGATAGGAGTTACATGCTATGCTTCATGATCATAGCCAGGGGTAAATAATTAGGTCATAAATTGACTGAATACCTGTGAGACAATACCCTGGTTGCCTTTACTTTCAGCTCTGTTTAATGAGTCACCGAGGTCATTTTCACGAGAAGGTTGGGTTTTTGTAGGGGAAGTCGGACGGTCATTGTGATGGGAACACGGCTCTGGTATAGGTGAAGAACAGGCCTTGATTTGGGTTTCCTTAGTTGGCGTGCTGTTTCTTGCTTGTCAGTCAGCGGTTCTAGGGCTTGTGATGGAGACCCCAGCCTAATTATGTCTACTATCCATCACATGTAGTTTATAAACCAATCTTTAATAATATATTTATTATACGTCCTTTTTTAAGTTAATAAAGTTCTTAAAAAAGCATTTATGTTATCATACTTTTAAAATTAATAAAAAAAAAAAAAATTTTCAAAGTTTTTTTAATAAGCGTAACGTAGATAACAAGCAAGCGGCAATTACAAGCGAATGGCAACTTCTTACCAACCTTCCAACCAACATGTCAAATAACTTGATCACAACGCATTCAATTCAATCTAATCAATGATTCTTTTTCTTCAGACGTTCCTATCTTTATTGTACAAGTTTGCGCATTATGGCCAGTGTTGCCGCAAATGCCACAACGTCGCTCACGCACTGCCGCCCTCCTTGGAAGACAACTATCTTTATCCATTTCCTGTCTTGCCAGCTTATTACCATCCTTTGTAGCCTAAAGACCTATTGTATTTTTAATAAAAAGTATTCCTTATTTTATTAGTTTTTTGTTTTATATTTTTTATTATTTACTTAGTAAATGATTGGCCTCCTCTAGCTCACAGACCCAGGAATTAACCAAAGTGATCTTATGTATAAGACCGTATATAGCCTTCAAAAACGAGCTCAATGTATCAATTATTGATGTAAGTGAGCTTCCTTAGTGGTTTCTGACTCGATTCCAGATATAAACCGATTGGTTTACCGCTTCATTAATGGTGGTAGGCGTCTTTGAAGTCTAAGTAGCGGGTGGCAGATTGGGGTCTGGCAACAGTGTTTGTATGACAGCGACAGCACCCAGCTTTAAAACGACACTTTCTGGGTCAAAAGGAACAAGCCCAGTGGCACTGAAACTTATTTGAATGTTTCTTAGTGTCATAACAGTATTATGTGCTTCACAAAATACTGTAAGGAAGTCCTCTTTCAAAATATGGATTATATGACACCAGATGAGATCCTTAATCATGCGACCGTAAGCTTGTTTGGGCGGGCTAAAATAGCTGACATCTAAAGGCTGGAGCCTATGTAATGAGTGGGCAGACATACAAAGGGTAATAATATTATTATTCTGACAATAATTTTCAAAGACCTGGGAATAATGGCTTTCGTGGCCATCTAAGATGAGGAGGCGTTTATTAGCTGTCATATGCGGTCTGATATACTTGTCAAAATGCTGAATCCATTTCAAACCGATCTCATTTGTAGTCCATCCTTTGTTAGACACAGCCACCTTCTAATTGCGTGGTAATGTTGTATCGCGATACCATGACGTGAGGTGGGTTTTGTCTTGTAGAATGATGAACGGCAGGACCACTCAACACTTAGCATTGATAGCAAAGATTGTTGTAGACTATTCTCTGTTATCTTGCTGAGCTTGTCTAGGCCTGCCACTTCTTTCAATGCTTGTGATGACCATGCCAGACCCAATAATGCCCATCATAAATCCAGTCTCGTCAAAGTTGTAAATGTCCGCGTCTTGGATACTATGTTTTGCGATTGCTGTCGCAACTTGGCAAAATCACGTGCAATACATGTCTGGATCTTTGTTCAAGACCCTCTGGTAGTCCATCCTCTAATAAAAACGCGTCTGGAGGCTTGGTATGCGTTTAATGAAGTTCCGCGTCCAGTTCTCTTTAATACGTCCAGCCCCAGATGCTGTTAACAATTGATTTGCTATATCTTTAATATAACTGTGCCGGGGTAGAAATGCTTGCGTATCCAGGTTCAGAATGAAGGAAAGAATGGCATTCTCTTCAGAAACCGTAAGTTTCAAAGTATTGGGCATGCTATCGCGTCTTGATGGTCGGCCGGCAATTCTAGCCTTTAAGGTATTATATGGGACATAGAAATTCTTAGAAAGCTTGCAAATAGTAATATGAGGGCCGCGTCATTTAGCTTGAACAGCAAGCTATAAGTCTGATTTGTTATAGCGTAATGCCATTATTGTTGGTTGATCAATCAGGAGCCTTAATAAAAAGGTTAGTTGGCTGGTGAAAAGTTGCCGTTCGCTTGTAATTGCCGCTCGCTTGTCATTTATATTAATCGTTTTTAATATTTCTATATTACCTTTAAAACATAATATATTGACTTTTATTAATATAATATAATCAAAGCGTTAACGTTTAAATAACATGAATCCCGATTTACAATTCTTTTATTTTTAATATTTTTAATATTAAATGTTCAATCCCGTATTAAAAGTAATTATCGTCGCTAATTACTACGCTTATAACGGCAATATTTAAATAATATATAATATGCTTTAATTAATTAATTCTTTTTCAAAAGCTTCAAAAAACCGAGGTTTAATTGATCTATTCGAGGATGAAATAATAAAAGCCCTTTTAATAAAAGATTAGTAAAATTACAACCTAAATAGTCGCTTGTACTTTTCTAACATTAAGGATTTTTAATCTGTAAACGATATATTTAATAAGCTTTATGCGTAGGTTTGAATGAAATGGGTTAACAAGCCGTTATCTTTTACTTATCTCGTTTTCGCCGTTTAAAGATCTTAAATTTCAAGGGCTGCGGCAGTACATACTTAAGGTGTATGAGGCGCTTGTCTAAATATATCAGCCCTTATTTACGCTATTTACCTGGATATAATAAGGAACTTATTTACACCCTTTAATAACTTATGTTATAAATAAAGCTAAGCGTATTTTATTTTTTTAAATTGACTTTTTCTAATATCTTTAAAACGGGGTATATATTTTTATTTAAATCGCATTCTTAATAAGGGTAACTTTTATTTTAATAAAATTTATATTAAAGTTTTTAAATATAATGTTAAGTTATAAAAACTCCGTTATTATAAAAAAGTTGTTTTATGATCTATTTAATTAAAAGCGGTTAAAAGTGTTCTTTTAAAGATATTAATAAAATAAAAAGCTATTTATTACTTTTGAAAATTATTAATATTTGAATTATATTAGTTTATAAGAAACAAGTATATTTTAGGTTTATTAAAGGCCTTTTTTATTTTCAAATTAAGTTTCAAATCTTGTTTTTTTTAAAAGCGCCAATGATTTATACCTAAAGTATAATTATCAATAATTACGTAAGATTTTAAGTTTTTTATATTACTTTTAATATACACGCAGTGAATTTATTTGAAAAAAGAATTTTTAATATCAAACTTAAAGGTTTATTAGTAAATAAATATTATTTTTTAAAAAGATCAAATGTAAATATGCTTTCTAAAACTTTAATTCTTTTTTTTCTTCGAATAAGGTTTAAAATTAAGATTAAAGTCAATATTAAGTTTTTAATAACGAAAAATTAGAGTTAAGGTAGTAAATTTGGATTGGTTTAAAGTTTAATTAAATGTAGAAATACTTATTTTAAAAAGCTTAACAAAAGAAATAACGATATTGTGGGAACAGGCTTGAACGATCAATCATAATACTCGAGTATGGGGTCAAGGTCATGATGTTGCTGATGGTTGGATTGGGAAGTCTAGCTGGACCTGCAGGTCTGGCTAAGTGACCTCACAATCCGGTATCTAATCTCTTATCTAATCATACATGTGGGTTCTGTATGGATGGTTTGACTGTGGAATCACATGGATCCAGCATTAGTAATTAATTATTAATATGTTTAATTTTTATATATAAAGTATCAGTCGATTATTTAATATTCAAATATAATTACCCGTACTAATTAAATATGATATCTGTTATATCCATATAATTCCACAGTCAAACCATCCATACAGAACCCACATGTATGATTAGATAAGAGATTAGATACCGGATTGTGAGGTCACTTAGCCAGACCTGCAGGTCCAGCTAGACTTCCTAATCCAACCATCAGCAACATCATGACTTTGACCCTATACTCGAGTATTATGATTGATCGTTCAAGCCTGTTCCCACAACTAATATATTTTTATAACATTTTTATAATGCATCAATCTCGTTTGAATTGAAAAGGCCGTTTAATATATTAAAAGTCATAATCCAATTAAAATAAATTAAATTAAATTAATTAAATAACAACATTAGAAAACCGAATAATAATCAAGTTATTAATCTTAAAAAGATTATACTATTAGTTATAAAAGTATGTTAAGTTTATAATTACTAGATTTAAAGAAATTAGAATATCGCGAATTTTAAAACTTTTAATTATTAAACAAATTTGTTTTATTAAAAATATTTAATTAATATAAACGAAATATATTATAAGAAGTTATTTATATTTAAATATACAATAATTTAACTTAGAAGTTATCACATATTATAAAACTATCGTAATTATACCTGTAAATAAATTTAGAGCCATATTTATATGCTAACTAAATTCTTATTTTAATTAAAACAATTAAAACATTTTAAAATTTATGTAATATTATTTTTTAAGTTTTAACTTTAAAGATAATTAAGTTATTAACAAATTACTATCTACTTTAAAGTAACATTATTTATTAAATATACTAACTTTATAATTATAATAATATTATTATTATATAATTATATAATTATTAATATCAAGGTAATAATTTATTATAAGTTCACGATATTTACGTTAATATTAATTTGTGATAACTTTATCGTTAAGTAAGTTATTAAGGTTGTAAGGGTATTTATAAATTAAGTTAGTATAGATATTTACGTTTATATTAATCTATCGTAGATATTTATTAAGTTGTTCCGGACCTTGCGTATATATATACCTTTTAAGGTCTTAAAGTGCGCGGGCTAGAACTACTTATTGTAAATACCTTTATAATGTTAAAAGATTTTACTACTCTGGTATTAGCAAAGCTAAGGGCTGACCTAGATATCGCTAAGCGGTTCGACAAGCGGGTCGACAAGCGGACCAAAGACATCCAGCTTTTCGAGCGCGGCTTCTGGCAGCTAGATTGCACGGGCTGGGACAACCAGCTCCGGTTCGAGGCGTGGGCTTACATCACCAATTACGTTGCTAGCGGGATGGGAGATTGGGGCTTTTGGGCAGTACGGGACGAGGAATTTCCTCGGATTCGGGTTTATTGTTGGGGCCAGACCGTGCCTCATGCCTATTTGTTGCTGTACCTCGCCAGCCAGCGGGAGATCTTGTTCACGGGGGCGTCTTGGTATGATGGTGGAGGACAGGAGGCGATTGTCATGAAGACAAGTCTGGGTGATTGAGAGAGGAGGGATGGGAAGTTCTCCTTATCTGCTACAGCTCATGAGCACTTTGTCGGTTAAGGGGAGATGCCAACGTCACTGGGTATTATGCGACGGATGGTCATAGCTAGGGCGATAGTTGAGGTATGAGAACGGTTTGCATCCCATCAATACGAGTTTCCTCCACCTTTTTCGTGGTCTTCGTGCGCAGTGCCGTTGGTTTAATATATAGGATGTCAATACTCTGTCGAGGCTGGAGCCTCTGACCTAAGTGTCAGACTCCTCACAGATAGCCAACCTTTAAACTGCTCGCCTGCCTGTCTCTGCTCGTTCACTCCCACGGAATGACCGCTCACCACAGTGGCTCCCCTGTTTTCTATCCACATCGTCTCCTGGATTTCGCGGCCGCCATCGTTGGTTACGATAGTGAATCGTTATGGTGGGGATGGTGGTGATGTCCATGGAGCCGGCCACACCTCATTTCCGACGTCTTAGCACTGCAACCAGCTGGAAAATATCTTGGCTGGTCGGCGACTGGCTAGAAATAAGTAGGGAGGATATCACGTGCAAAGCCTCAAGATAATAGGCTAGATAGGGGCGATCAGGACGAAAAACTAGTCAGTGGTGAGCTGCCAATTTTCGGAATACCCAAAATGGAATGGAGCCAGAATTATAGCATAACAAGGGGATTTCCTTGGTGGGTTGACGAATGCGATCCCGAACCCTTGGTTGTTACCAATCCTCGACTGACTAGGTAGGTGCCCGCCCAGACTTATTACGTGCGACCCGAGGGTTTGCATTGGCAGGTGGTCGTTCCACGGTTCGGCGCATCGACTTTCCCAGGAGTTTCCCCAAGGTTGGGGCGGGGAAAAGGGGGAAGACGACATGCTGTGGCCTGTGAGCACTCCACATATGTTTACCAACTGGACCCCTTACCACGCCCCCTTTTTCGACTATATTTCCGTACTTTCCTTGGGAAAAGGACACCCCACTTCTCTACACATGTAACATCTCCCACCCCCCTGCGGACCACCCCCCCGCGGACCAGCGCGTTCTGACCCACAAACGCGTAATTCACCAACCACCAGGATTATGGTGATCCACCATCTATACCATCACTTTTGCATCTTTTTTTTCACAAAGCACACTATTTGAATCCTTATCCACTGCTGAATCTCATGATGTCATTTTACGACCGTCAAATAAAAGCTGAAGCCGCCATTTTGGCCATCCAACGCGGAGCTCCAGTCTGCTCGTCAGCCCTCAAATGGCAAATCAGTCGCTCGTACGTCAACCGACGAATCTCTGGCACCCTAACGCGGAATGAGACCAGCGCTCTCCAACAGGCTCTCTCACCGTATCTCGAACATAAGCTGGCAAGCTGGGCCCTGGGGCAAGCACGGCTAGGATATTCTCCGGCGGTCTCTAAGTTCCGTCTCATAGCCTAACGGATACTCCATGCCACCGGGGATGCTCGAGAATTAGGGAAAAATTAGGCATCCAAGTTCCTGTCTCGAAACCCAGAAATCAAGATAATGAAGTCTCGTGTTATCGACTACAACCGAATGAATGGTGCTATAGCGGCAAATATCAATATTTTTTTCGATCGGTGTGACGCCCCTGACGTGGTTAACCTCATGCCAGCACGCTGGTACAACGTCGACGAAATGGGAATCGCCCAGGGGGTTGGGGACTCCCATTGGGTGGTCTCCGAGGCCTCCGGCAACATGGCTATGAAGAAAAGGGTCGAGAAAAATGAATGGATAACTGCCCTAGAGTGTGTGAGCGGATCTGGTAAGACCTTGCCGCCGCTGGTGATTCTCAAGGGGGTTAACGTACAAGCCCAGTGGTTAAGCAACCAAAATAAGGGCAAATTCACCAACTGGAGGTTTATTATGTCGCCCAATAGATAGACCTCGAATCCATTGTGTTAGAATAGCTTCAACATATCTTTATTCCTCACATTCGGGAGGTCCATAGCAACACATGGGTGGTTTTGGTGTGTGATGGCCACGACTCCCACATGAATAACGAGTTCCTAGCCACCTGCTTGAGAAACAAAGTATGGTTGATCTTTTATGAACCTCACTGCTCCCATGTAGTCCAGGTGTTAGATGTGGGAGTCTTCAATTTGGTAAAGAAGAGGTTGAAGACCTTACTCCAGGAAACGCCCAGCGGCCGTCTGGGACTCAGGCCATCTAAGGAGGAGGTTTTGGAGTGTTACGAGCAGGCCCGGAAGGACACAATGACGCTCCTCAATATCAGAATTGCTTAGAAAAAGACTGGGATTGTTCCTCGTAACAGAGTGGAGGCGTTGAAGTCGAAATATGTGATTCTGGAGGACAAGGGGGTGGCCAGGGCACGCCAAAGGGACCCTAAGACTTCCGAGCGAGCCACAACACCAGATTTTCTCGAGATGGTAGCTAAAACCATTATCACAACACCCTCTGGAAGCCGGGCTTTGCAGAAAAGTGCTCGAAAGCTCAAAAGAAAGGACCCTTCTTTTGGGGGGCCCTCTGAGCGCTTGTTGGTGTGAAAGGCTGGCAAAGCCATGGATATTCAGGCTACTACCATTACAAATCTACGGGCCAAATGTGAGCTGCTTGAGGCTCAAGTGGCTAAAAAGACTAATACCACTTGAAAAGCAGTCAAACCAACACCAGGGGAACGATTCGTCATAATGGCTAACATAAGGGAGGCCAAAATGGAGCTGAGGAACAGGAGGGTCTATAGGGACTCCGCTGCAGGCGAAGAGGTCCCACAAGAGGTCCCTGGTGAAGATTTAGGGTCGGAATCGGATTCTGGGAGCTGTATTATGGTTAGAACACCACGACCTTAGTGTATTTAGCAACTGTGGTGGTTGTAGATGGCTTCATCTGAATGAGAGTGGTGTGGTGTGGAGTGGTCCGTGGGGGGGTGGTCCGCAGGGGGGGGTGAGATGTTACATATCGGATGTCACTGCCGCACACCTCAACATTGAAGCTTACAACAGTATAGCGCTAACAGGCAGCAGTTGACCATAGGCGTAACAAGAAAGGGTCGGTACATGTTCAATTTGGGGGTTTGTTCGTGAGGACGCCACAACAGGAGGACCAGCCACGGTCGGGATGAAGATCCGTCAGGCCCGCGGTAACCTAAGTACCTTACCTACCTCACCCTCCCGGGCATTCTCACCATTTCCACCACCAGCGCCAACCGAAAGGTCGAAGCCTCTAAGTCGCGTCGGTCGCCCCCTGACGTTGATTCATCTATCGGTTGACCGACGAGGGGCAGACCGGGGGTCGGAGTCGGACCGAGGACCGCGCGAGAGAGCACATGTTTCATCAGCCTTTTCGCAGCCACGATGCGCAAAATCACGTCGAGTTCGGCAACAAGAGTTTGGTATCCAACATTATGCAGAGCCAAGCATCTGTTGGGCAAATGCTAGGACCGTGGGAATCCACTGTATCTCACATCACCGCTAGCCCTGGAGAATCTGCTCACCAGCATCATCACCACAACGAACCATAACACATCACGTTTGATTTCTCATATGTTGACCTCTTGCGGGCCCGATCGACGATCGGAGGACCAAGAGCAGCAGGACCAGATAGTGCTTTGCGTCGCCACCGGAAGCGGCAGCGATCGGGCTGCGGCCCGGTCCAACCTTATGACCACCGGCGGCCGAAATCACCAATCTGCGTGTTCAACAACTTCACCGGCTCGAGGCCAAAAGCCCACGTGATGGAATCCCTTGGCTGTGCTCTTCACAGACATCATCACGTGCGATTCTGCATCAGCCATAGTGTCGCCAGTTTTCGGCATCAACAGAACAACATGTGTCATGTGTCAGAACCCGTTCGAGCAGTCGGGGGTGGTGCCGTCTTTAATTCCAAGGAAGCTAGACGTTCTATGGTCTGTCTCTGTTGTCCACCGGTCATATTCACGGGAATTACCCCTGGATTTTCTGCTGAGGCAACCTCATGTGATGCCTCTTGAATGAGGTGCCGACATTGGACGGTAGGCTACCCGTACCTATAATGCGGTCGATAGTTGCGCAGGCTCCCGTCCTTCTCTTCCTTTGGGATATCACCGCGCTTGCTCTTAGTCTTTCGAACAAGTGAAGAAGACGCTCGAGCCTCGAGCCATACTTACGTCTCTGGACTCTGGAGGATGCGTCCAGCCACTCAATCACCAATCTCTCACTGCGTGGTGACCTTGGCCATCGACACCTGTTGAACCCCAATCACCCAACATTGCGCCAATTGGGTAGTCAAGGGGAATGTGTTTCGCACCGGCTTGGAGTCAAAGTCTTACGCCAGGGCTGCGCGGGTTTCTCAGGCAATCACCCTCCACGTACCTCTGTTTTGGGCGTGGGACCGTCGCTCATGGTGTGGCTCCATATTGTGGTCCAAATGACCGAAGGGGGCTTTCGACCATGTGCTGGATCCCATTCGAGTTCCGAGGGAAATCATAGCAGTTGCTCCAATGAGATGTTACTGTCCTTGAGGTAACTCTGCCCCACGGCTTCCTAGTAAGTTGGGTGGCGCCATTGGGTCAGGAAGCAGTCCAAGTGATGGGGAACTTGGAGTCGAGCCGCTCAACTACCGATTGTTGAGGCTGTAGAAGGGAGTTGATAACCAGACGCCGTCGACCTAGCGTGCAGTGGTTTTGATGCGATAGACGCCAATAGGGTTTGACCATCTCGGCTTGTTTACCCTGATGCTGGACTGTCGCGTCTGGAGACTGAGACTTTGTTCCGAATACCTATGGCCTCAGACTGCCACGTGTATACCAGACATGTGCGCTCGCGAGGTCTATATAAGAGGCATGACCCAAGCGGTCCGGGAAAGGATCTCTCTGGTCTTTTCATCATCCTCGATTATCATTACTGCCAATTGTTCATCGTCTCCTGGCATTACAGACCAGAGTTCATCATCCTCGACTGCCATTACTAGCAACTGTCCATCATGGCAGCGCGACGTATCTTCACCATCGTTGCAATGGCCAACATGGCTGCAATCGTCGCGTCAATGGCGATATCTGTCCCGGCATATGCGGACCAGTTCAACTGGACCCTCATCGAGGAAGCGTACAGCAAGGTGGGAAATCACAGCGCAATCCAAGACAACTTTGGAGTTCTCGCCTCTGTCGACGCCTTCGCTGGGCCCGTCTCCTACGGCAACTACGCTATTAATGCTCCCTTCTGTAATGGCGTCAACACTCACGAGGGATGCTCCCTGTTCACGGATGGCACTTTCGACCCAAACCGCTGCGCCGATGCCTGCACCGCACACACAACGTATAGCCTCGCTCACGGCCTCACCAACCGACCATGCCGGTTCTTCAACACCTACAAGCTCATGTTGAATGGAGCTATTTTCGGGCAGTACTGTTCTTTGGTATATACACCCTGCAATATACCGCTGCTGGTGCGATAGGCTGACACGTGCTCGCCCAGTATACTCAAACTTTCGATAGGTCATGGGCCACAAACCCGGGCAGCATCGGTGCCGACGGCAACAATTACACTGTGGCCGACTCCGTTGGCTACTACAATTCTACGGATCCGGCCACTTGCCCCACGACCACCACGACGTATGTGAATTCAGGAGTTATTTGGCCCATTCTCTGCCAATGTCTTGGAAGTGAATGTTCTCACTCAGGCCTGTCTCATGAGGTCTTTTCCCACGAGACAAGCATCTAGACCCCCTTCTATTCCAAGATCGTTTACTGACACAGAGGATTTCAAACAGAATCGCGACAGCCACAAGCACGACGGCAAGCAGCACCACGGCAAGCACCACGGCAAGCACCACGGCCAGCACGACGACAAGCACCACAAGCACCACGACTACGACCTCGGCCTCGACCACGAGCACGACAAGCAGGACGACGACTACCACAACCACCACCAGCTCTCTGCCGACCGCAGCTTGCGATGCCAACGTAAGCAAACTTATTTGTTAACGGGCTACCAGCTCATTGCCCTGTGTCGGCACAATCACTAACTCGAAATAAAGGGATATCTCATTCAGTCCAAATCATTGTACCGTGTCAACCTGGCCAGTGCCGCTACGACACTAGTCTCTGCCAATGTTGGGACAATGACCAACGCCATGGGCTACAACTCCCTCGATAATTACCTATACGCGTCGAACTATGTGAACACCACCAACGCCAACACATGGACGCTGATCAGAATTGGAGGTACCGGCGCCTATACAAACGTCACGAGCCTTCCTACGGCCCCCGCCGCCCAAAATTGGCTCGTCGGCGACGTGGATGAGTCAGGGCAATACTGGGCTTCCTATTATGGCCAGCAGTGGTTCCAGCTCGACCTCAAACCAGGGTCGGCAACATACGGCCAAGTTGTTGCGAGCGGCACTGCCAGCCCCAGTCTCCAGGTCGTAGATTGGGCGTATGTCCCTGGTGCTGGGAACTACCTGTGGGCGCTAGGTTACAACTCTGCCCTCACCTCGACCACACTCATGCGATTCGACCGCACAGCTCACACCTGGACGGCTTTGACCAACTTCGGAAACGTTGCGGGTCAAAACACCTTCGGCGCTGTGTACGCCGGCCCCAACCAGACGCTGCTCGGAACCGAGAATACCAGCGGTCAGCTCTGGAAATTCCAACTGCCGGTCGTGGGCACGACAAAGACCCAGTTGGGCACAGGTGCTGTGAGCAGCTACAATGATGGCGCCAGATGCATCAATTCTATCTAGATCCAGATCAGGGCCCACCTGCTGAGCGGCAGCATTATGCTGGGGACGAGCATCGCGGAGGGCAAGGAGGGCAGGGGAGATTGATGGAGTGTCTGCTTTTCGCTGGGCCATCTTCACTGGGAGGACTGTGAAGGCAACCTGTCGCTTGGTACGTACGCGATGGGCCATCCCTAGGATAGTCTACAGTTAGTTACACACGCAATAATAAAGTACCTGCTCCTCAGTATCCTACGCCTTGAATAGTATAATATCTTGTACCACGGGCAACTCATGTCGATTTGAAGTTGTTGCCCCAGATACCACCCTGCAGGTCCGTGGTTTCTTGAATGAGTCGACTTGGAGTCTCACGCTCTTCGAACCCGCCAGGATAGAAAGGGGCTCAGTATCTCAGTGGCTCGAGTAAGTTGGGGGCTTGGAGGAAGGGAAAGGGACGATGGGCGAAGCGATCTAAGCGGTGAGGCGCGGACGCGAGACCAATACTGCGTTCTGGCTCAGTCGAATTACTGGTAGTCAGGTCTAGTGTATGGCCTTGATAGAGGAGGTATCACGGTACTGAAGCAGCCAGATTTCTCCTTTGATTCGTGCCCGCGGCGTCGGACCCCGGTGTTATCAACCCTCTCGTCTCACGACTTCGCTTCCTAACCGAGGACCACACACTTAAAAACGAAGGCCTGGAGTCATCTCTCCCTTGAGCACTGCCTTGACGAGAGCTCCGAGGGATAAGTCTGTGGCGGACCACTGAGAGATCTGATCCAATACTGCCGCGTAGGGGTACGGGGTACGGGGTCAAGTATGACCTCCCACAAGGCTCTGGATTGGAACTGACTCCTCGATGGATAAGAACGTGGTCTGAGGTCAACGAGGCTGGGTTCCGCAGGTGTCATGATATGGCAGACGTAGGGCTTGCCCGGCGCCCTCTTCTACGCGATGTGATGAAGTGACAGGATTACGATTGCCGCGAAGATGTGAGGTTTGAGTATGTTAGGGGGTACATCATTGGATGAATACAATTTCGACGGCGTATTCTGGCGGTCTATGAGGCATGAGTGCTACGAAGCTCGATGTGATATTCACGGGAAAACCTCAATGTATACTTACTAGGCAGGCCCGGATTACCGCAAATGAGGAGAAAGTAAAAGGGGCTACGAGGCCTGCTGGGTTGGACTCGGTCTCACCGTTCACTTATGATACTTGGTAACCTATTGACTCTGCCTGGGTTGGTACTTTGAATAGGGACTTGGAGATTCTGAGAACTGGTCGATAGCACCAACCTAGTGAGCGGTCTAATGGTCTAGTACTCTATTATAGTTAAATATTGTTCGAACACATGTGGCGGTCATCATAATGGCAGAGGAGGTAGCTTAGACATTAACTCAACGAAAAAGGGGATTGTCTGAATTATATACCAACGTTAATATATATAATCACGATTCATTCACGCCGTGCCTACTTCTATTGCTTTAGTAGATTCATATACACTCTTGTAGAGCGCTTCATCTATATCTCCACGTTACTACAGCGAAGCTCCGATGTCATGTGTTTTGCACTGTCTGTCTCTGGGCGACGCAAGTCTTAAACCATCAACGTGAACCCGGCGACCACGCAGCTTTCCAGACGCTCGTTCACGTTCAATATCGTCCGAGTCACTGCAGCCAGACATGTTGCTTGAGACTTGAGTGCTCGTGTCACAACCAGTTTGTAGCACCTGGGATACATTGGGGACTCTCCCACAGCCCCTACTGCCCAATGACTTCCACAAATCTGCGATCGCCCAGGCCGCGCACTCTCTCGATCGATCCGGTTTGAGCATTTGATCGAGAACTCGCTGTCTATAATTGGCACATGCTCCCACGCCTATGAAACACATCCGGATATTTGAGGTACCTATCGTGAACTCGTTCTTAATGTTATCTCCGCTGCTGGAGAATGCCTGTCGGCTGACAGGCCCTGCCTGCTGATTCTACCCCCTGCGATGTGCGTGGGAAGCTCCCCCTGCCCTGCACAGCGCAGCGCAACCCCAAACCCTTCCCTCCCTCCCACTCCCACTCCCCCAGCTCCCAGCCTCCCATCATCCTCCCCCTGACTCCTGCAGGCCAACCCTCGCTGCTGACAAGGGAGACAAGCAGGGAGGCAGGCATTGAGATGCTTCCTAAGCAATCGAGTGGGCGCGCCCCAGCTCCACGGTTCCGTGAACCTCGACATCCCTGAGATGTGCAGAGTTGCACAAACATCGATGGGCGGGTTCTCCCTTGCACCTTGCCAAGATCCCTTGATTATTAATGCTCCGTCCCCGCTGTACATGGCCCAGACCGATTGCATATCGACAAGCAAGATAACGTAGCACGCACCGCAACGTCGTCCCTGGCATAGGGAGACGCCCACGTGAGGAGACACAGCTCCCTACCTGATGTTTCCGTCTATGTATGGTATCAAATAGCCGGATGCGGCACATTGATTGGCAACCTACGAGACCAGGCACACCTCTGGGGAAACACACCGAGTCAAACACAGGCACGGAGTCAGCGATCGGACCTTTCTGCTTGCGAAATGAAAGGAGCGCAAAGCGCAAACAAGAACGGCATAGGCTACCTGTGCACGTACTGTAGTGTACGCGGTAGGATCAGATCTGATTGACTGCGGAGAAGACAGAGGCAAAAAGCAAATAAATCAAGGCCGGTCAGGTCATGTCATATCATATCAGATGTCACATTTCAGATCTAGCGAGCTCGTTACTGTACTCGGCAGAAGATCTGAGCGCTGTTGAATCTTGATAGCACACGTACAGTGCAGAAAACCAGTCTTGTACCAATAATAGATAGATACAGTACACATACGAGCGTAATCTTTCCTGTTTGGACGAAGGACACCTCCTGCAGGAACACTGTTTTCCCGATTGCAACCCCCATCTATCCCAGGCACAGATAGTTGGACGCTTGTCCAATGCTGGTGGTGGTATATTTACTTGACGTTTCCGAATGCCTGCAACTTGCATGGTAGGGATTCCACGCGCATGGGGAAGCCGGACGACTTGGGAGTAATCCTCGTCGACACTACGGCATCCTGGGCTTTCATGCGCAGACGGCGGTGTCGCGATATCTGCGCGTCTTCTCAGTGAACGAAGCCCGTCAACTTGGTGCTCGTTCTAGAAGTGCGCGCGTGGGATCGCGGCGGTTTGCTGGCTTGCTTTGTTTTGCTTGCCTGGCTGGGCCCGATAGTCTGGTGTGTGGCTGCTGGGAGATTATTAGGTCGTTATTCGAGGACTCGGGCCGCGTCACTGGAACGACCACCCACCTTGCGTCCTGATGTCGTCTCTTACTCATGATTATCAATATCTCGTGATGATGCAAGTGCTGCAACCTCCCCTCGGAATCTTTTCCACGGTGTGATGTGATCACGCCTTATTTCGGAGCAAGCGACGCAAGCGCAGAAGCAGCAGCCAAATAACAAAAGTCCCGACTGATACGTACTGCACTGTGTACCTAACTATGCAACACGAAGATCACTCGCTTACGCAGTCACGTACCAGATACAGGGCGGTGCAGTGTCAGAGCCGGTGATTCGATCACCGAAGGGCTTCAAATGGAACTTTGATGGAAACATGGATTGTCACAAAACCGCTAAAGCAGAGAGGCATGGCAGCTAACTGCTTGCTGTTGCTGCTACTGCAGTCATTATTCCGCTGATGAAGGGCAACACCACTGCGCAGCCGGTACCGAACACCTTTGGGACGGTACATCGACCTGACCAGACCAGGGAGGGGGACGAAAAGGACGCAGTGGAACGATATCACCGTTGCATGGGTAATGGAACCGGGGCCCCCTCCCATCTGCGTGCTCGCGAAGGAAATTTCCCTCTTTCCTGACCCCGTCGGTGGGTGCGCGGTGAGTGGGTATAGGTGGCCCATGGTCGCCTGCAAGGTTCAGGGGCCCCGAGCCACCCAGCCGCCCCCTGTCCGTTCTGCTCTCTGGGATGGATGACTGGGACTCTGTTCTCCCCACTGTCATGGTGCGGCCGGGAGCACCCCCCGATGCTTGCTCCTGAGCCTGCTGCTGCTGTCTGTGCGAGTGAGATTATAGTCGGGGGCCCTGTTAAGATGACAAGAATCTCAGGGGGTCAATTGGGCCCCCATGGAAGAAATGGATAGATGACGGGAAACGGTATGGAAAACGGACACCGTGACGGCGGAAGAAATAAGTGCAGGACGCATCGAGGGCTGCGCTGCACAAAGGAACCTTGCCGATGCGTGCTGACGGCACGTAACGTATCGGCGTACGGCAGGGTGGTATTGGGGAGGGACGAATCTCCCCACGCTGGACCAACAGGATGGGCGTCGGTACCCCAATTGCACCGACGGTGCTGCAGAGGGTATTTCTGAAATTGACCTCAGCCAGTCATGTCAGACAATGCAATGGAGGCTAGGCTATCGATGGAAGTTCCACGGATCAAGAGCTTCCTGCTTGTGACAATCGGGCTCGATGCCAACCACACGCCGCATGATCACCACGAGTTTCTCGCTTCTCCATGCGACTCTGGGCCTGCTGTCGGGGAATTACCAGACGGACCAAGCGTTGAAACGAGGAATGCTCTATTTTAAGGGGCGATCTTCGGGATGGGAGCTGTGACTGGCTGGTCACGTCGAGTGGTAGGTAGCTCGGTGTAACTTTATGCGTTTCTGCGGATATTCTGAGTGCGAATGCGTTTCACACGACGTCCGACGTGAGAAGCGCGTAACTGTACTGTACCAACGTCTGGTGGTTCAGGTTCTGGCAAATGCAGCTGTGGTTACATAGTTGCTGGGCAGAGAAAGGGGCAAAGTGGCTAGCATACCGTACTCGCATGACCCCTTAACGCTCACGAACCGGTGAGATCTACTATGCTACATAGCAAGTCCACTTGTAACGTTTGAAACGGCCGAAATGTAGCTTTACGAAAGAACAACATGAGATCAATGGCCCTAAGACTGATATAAGTTACTCGGTGAGTGTTGTTGAGAGGACATTGTGACATGTGTACTTCGGGTTCCATGTAGAATTACAGCCTGGGCCCTCACCACAACTATTGTCCGATTGTCAGTAGTTCATCGACAACCAAGCGTGATCAGCCATGGTAAGTTATCGCCATCAAGGCGAGGCCGCGAGGAAGAGCGGGTGGGACGACGATGTGATGACTTGGGGCAAAAGTGAGGCAAAAGTTCTTGACGACCTGACTCTCGGCTTTCAGGGTGGCGATCTACAGCCGTGGGAGAAGCTAGAACATTCTCAGACCACCTGGACACGATGAGTGCTAAGCAGTGGCAAGATCAACTGTGATTTCTCCAGTAGCTTTAAGTCAACACTTTTAATCAAGCTGTATTTCCAGCGGTCAGTGAGAATATACGAGGACCCTAAAGCTTCAAGACCGCCCCTCAGAGACGCTCTACAGACCGTGAAACTTGGAAATTGATGACAAAGTTTATTTATCCGATGTACACGAGAGGAGGGGTGGTCCTTGTTGGTATCTTGGAGCTTGTCTTCCCTTCCTCGATCCTTCATGCTATTTCAAGCCTAGATGGCATGGTTGACGCGCGACTATCACCTCAAAATACTGCAGCGAGCTCTACTATGTAGGAAGGAAGTCCACGCAAAGCGTGCATGGCAATATGAGTTGCCTAGCCAAAGTCGCCTCCCTTTCTCCTCGTGATTCCTCCGCAGCTCGTGAATTTGCCCCTGGATACAGGGTTCTTACCTTAGGAGGCGACTCGGACGCAGCAGACATATCGGTGAGACGAACAGTTCACTTGAAGGAAGTCGGGCAGACCATTGTTCCGGCCAAGCCACGCAGTTTGGGGGCGCAAGTTGGACGGCCACGTAGGTCTGTAGTCTTGACCACCCTCCCAAGTGCCAGAGCTGCATCCGAACTTGCGGTGAGGCGACGAAGGAATACTTGTGCTTCTGGCTTGCTTGTGGCGACAGCTAGTCCCAGCATGTCTGGGCTGGGTATCGACGCAAGGAGAGAGGAAGCAAGATCCTGCAGTTTTGTCGCCTCATTGGAACCCTTTTGCTTTTTCCCTCTCGCCTCACTCACTGGCTGATCGTTCGTCCTCCACGCTCTAACCAATCTTTATCGAAGCTCGATCAAAGGATTTGTCAAGCTCGGCACCAGTCTTTGGCCTGTCATCACGGGCAACGGTGCCAGGAAGGCCGTCGTCATTGGAGGAAGAGGCGACTTATTTGCCCAACGTCGGGGCGTGCCCGCGACTTGGAGCGTACCGGGCTGCGCGTTTCTTTGGAAAGCCTCGCTCAGATAGACAGCTTTCGAGGTACCGCGATTAGAGTTGGGAGTATCAATGCTCGAAGAGGTCGGGTTAATACCCGTGTTGCACTGAAGTCAGAATTGAAAACGTTCTTCATGGTACCCCCTGCGATAGCACACGACCTTGTCAGGGAATCCAGTACCCCGGGGGGTAGGCGGGATGGCAGGATTCTGACAGCTCTGTGGCATGGAGCCCCCTGACATGATCTCAGTGAGATCAGAGCACTCCCCAGCCAGCGTGCCAGACGGCCGGCCAACCCTTGAAATTGTGCTCAGGTAGTGGTTACCGGCTACAGCCGTGAAGATTCAACAGACCGGGCCGTCGTAGGGCTGGAAAGAAAGCTTCATGAACCAGGTCAGTGGCCACAACCATGACCGTTCCCTATGACGACTTGGCTTGGCTTGGCTTAGCCGCCACAGTTGGTTCTGAGAACTGACGACCCGTGGGCATGGTCTGCGTATGTGGCGTCCACACACGTTGCCTTCAGACAGTGAGTATGAAAACTGACAGCTTCCACGATATCTGATGGAAATGCTCCTCAGTTTGTGCAATGAAAAGCGACGGGAAGCTTTCGCGAGACTTCTACGACAATCTCTGTGAGACAGGCCCGTGCGTTGTCAGACTCAAAACTCAAGACTTCTGTCAAGTGGCGAGCTCAAGGTGCGAGTAGACAGACGTCAACACCAGAGGCGCGTAGCTTCATAGTCAGGAGCTGGTGTGGTATGTAACTACGATGTCTGGGTGCTGTCGCCGTTGTCAGTCGCCGTCACATGCGGGTGAAACATGACGTCGTCTCGATGGGGTGTGACTATTCAGGCGGAATCTGCACTCGTTTCCTGATTCCGGCTCGCTGTGGGCGCTTCCCCGTGCCGTAGCGGCCATCCTGCCTGATGACTGTTACATATCAGGTCACCGAAGCCGTGGCCTACCTTGACTTTACTACGATATGTCGATCTAGGAAACTCAAAACGAAACTCGTGCCGGCCAGTGACCCTCACGGGGCGGAACGGTTTTCTTGATACAGGCGAGATTGGCCGGTCACTGATCCGTCACAAGCAACTCGATGCGACTGGGAAATTGCTCTACGCGTGTGAAGAAATGTGAAAACCCATAATCAAACACGGTGGATGTCTCTGGACTTCCGGCCCATACCGTCATACCGCGAGGAAGAAGAAATGACCTGAGAGTTTGTTTAGCGAACCCGCGTCGTGGAGGGAACATCCATGTTTCGAGGTTGAGCAGCAAGCGGCTTCGGGGATGAGTGGTCCTGGATGCGTCGACAATCAGACCATACTTGCATGGCTAGCATGGCCGTCGAGTCCGTGGGCTACTTTCAATCCGCCCTAATTCGGTACAGGTACCAACCGGCAGCAATCGCCGCATTCTCTACTGAGTATGTGATTTGTAAGATGTCGAATGTGAGCGGTCTCGTCGTGTCTGCGTGTGTAACTCGGGATCTCGCATCGGCTCCCACCTAGGATGCCTTACGCAGTGTTCTGAGCAGCTTCGCCTACAGGGGGTGTAGATGTAGCCAAAGTACCCTGATACCTTTAGATACATCACAGTAGCGACGATGAGAACAAGCTCATGACATGATGCGGTCGGTAGCGACAAGGTTTGACCAAGTTGTTAGCCGGCTTGGTCATTTGGTGTCAAGACGTTGACGTGACGCCATGATGTATGTGGCACCAAACGAGGTATTCACCCACCTAGAATCTCAGCGGCAATTGGCCATTGCGCCGTTAACGGTGGCAACTTGAAACGTAGAGGTTAAGCGTGGGAGAATTTTCCGGAAGACGGTTCGGTTGCAATGAATGTTCCACAATAGTTAGTCACTTGCCAGTAACTCGTGAGATTGGGCCTGGCCGCCCTGGGTAAACGTGGCTAGGATAGCTGGCAAGGGAGGGCTTGCGGCCTGTCTGTCGACAGATTGGGGTGGGGGGTTGGGCCAGGCCAAGATACTTTACCGCAGTAGTGGACGACCAGCGGACGGGATGGCTGCCATGCAATTTGAACGTGAGGAGAGCTTCTGCGCCGTTACGCTACGACTCCAACGCTGTCAGGCCACTGGCCAGAGACACCCATGATCCATCAACTCCATTAAACTTACTAGCTGGGACTAACCCATAGCTTGGTGCCGATGTGCCGCCCACATCCCTGAGCCTGCTTGATGCCAGACCAACATGGGCCAAGTAACGTGGGGAGGTTGATGTCCCAATTCTGCCTAATCCTTGACCGGCCGTCGACAGGGGTGAGTCAATGGCGAACGGTGACGCTACAGGTGAGACCAGAGGTGCTCGCGTAGGTGCTCGATACAATTCAGGCCGAGGCTCGCCCCGAAGCTCTGGCATCGCCGAACGGCATTGGAGATTCGGGTTTCCCCCCGACGGTAGTGTAATGTTGCAATCGAAATCCGCGGTGGAGATCTGCTAAAAAGCAAAAGCCGTTGGAAGCGTGTGCAAGCGCTAGCCTGCCTCCATTGCTACAATATCTTAAATACCGTTTCGTAGAACGGGTGGTCCTTAATATGTCGACAGCACGTGGATTGGCCCTGGCATTCCAGGACGTGCCTCGACGTCAACGCGGGTAGCAAAAACCCTGAGGGTGGACGGTAAGGATGCGTCCCTTGGAACCTGTGAGCGGGAGAGGACAAGGGATGTCGAGATTCTTCGATGTGGGTAATCAGATCCAGTGACTGGGCGTCGCTGCGCTGCAGGCCATTGATGGCCGCCTGTGGTGTGCTGTACCGTTGGTATGTAGGTCAGGCCTGGCGAAGGTGTTGACGAAGAACTGGCCTGTCGATGCAAGGGGACATCCTCGCATCCACAGACAGGCACAGGGCAGACCGGCAAAAATCCCCGAGCTGGGACAGGGACGGGGGGAGTCAAGCAGGCCCCGGGATATCTGGTGGCCGACCATCGATCGTGACCGGCGACGGCAGTAGACGGGAGAGAGAGGTTCGCCGGGCAGACATCTCAAGCATCGCTAGGCCTGTAGGTATTCCCTTGTTGTTCCGTCGGGTTGTCCAGCACTACTGTACTGTACCGCGCAGGTGATGCTGGTCTGCCCTATGGTTGGGGTCGATTCCACCATCCAGGCTGCCAGGAACATGCGGTGGAGGAGAATGTGGGGGAATCATTCTGCCCTCTGCGCTGGGACCAGAGATATCTGCCGGCCAAGGGTGATGCAGTGTATACAGTGTACATACATGATGCAGCCCGTCGAAGAGCTGGCCAGCCGCCAACGTGGATCGACCGCAGTCCGGGGGAGTGCATACATACGCAGTACTCGCAGTAGGGTTTGGCCGCGGATGAACAGAAAGAAAAGGTCAGAAAGAAACGGAGAGCTTGCGCTTCATTACCTACCACCGCCTGGGAAAACTCAGAAAACGACAAGGACAGGCGAGCGTTCGCGTTCACAACGTGCGCGCCCAGTGATAATTAGGAGACTGGAAGCAGTCAGAGCTTTGAACTTGTCTCATCTCCGAGTTGAAGCCATTGATTTTCGGGACTCGGACAGTTCGGGTATACCGGGCTGACCGGTATGGCACAGCACAGTGAGAGGCAGTGAGAGTGAACAGCCTGATCAGTGAGTGGGAAGGTGCCAGCCAACATTGAAATGCAACTGCCTTCGGTATTCTGATGGCGGCCAATGGAACTAACCATATGCAGATAGGCTAATAGGGTTAGCTCGCCTTCAAACTCGGCGTCTCAGACGACTGGAGGCCGTTGGACGAGATGGATGGTCAATACTCCATCTCTTATCACGAAAAGTACCTAAATTGATATGCTCGTGTAAGCAATCATCTTTGAGACATCGCGACTCGTATGCGTGAACCGACCCAATCCCAATCCCGCGCCTGATCGGCCCTATCCGGTTTGCGGCTCGTCCCAATTCGTAAGATACAAGCAGTCATTTCAGCTCTGCATGAATTGGGTAGCAATTCGTCCTCACCCAAATTTGACATTTGACGCGACAAGCAGAGACA